TTATTATTATTATCATTATGGCCATCCCTATTTTCTTTGGAGATATGTTGGAGGGTATGGAAATGGGGAAAGCCACACACAGGCATATTACAAAAATTACAGTCCTAAGAGCTCCAGGAACTCTGGCCAAATACTACTAAATTCAGTGCAAACCAAATCTAGTGAGGCTCTCTAACTAAAAGGGCCTCAGTCCAGCTTCACTGCTTTCCAGTGCTGCAAGCTGTATGGAGACGGCAAAAACCCTTACAAACCACAGCCTTTGATATGATGTAATCATTCACATAAATATCCAAGGATTGAACTGAGGGCAGAAAATCTCAGAGGTGAGTCAAGAGCAAGGGTAACTTACTGCTCCACCTCCCATCAAAATGAATCACTGAGGAACCATCAACAAATACAGGTTTTTAAATATATAACAGTATCACTCAAGACACACAAAATTCTCCACAGGGTTGCTGGCTGTTGCCCACAGCCTGGCAATCTCTGCAAAGACAGGCACGTCCTGCTTTTTTTTAAAGTAGAGCCTAATAATCCCACTTGGTACTGAATTGTCCCTTGCTAAGCATTTTTAGGGCGTTCCATGCTTAATAAAACCCCTTTGCAAAACTATATTTTATTTGCCAGTTTGAAAGGAGGAAGCAAACGTCAGAAACAATCCATCTGAGCCTCACAGCAGAAATGATTCTGCTCTTGAAACTGAAAGAGCTCAAAGACACGATAGCCAGCCTCTTTTTCTCATACTGGTTAAGTATAACAATAAATTCCACACCGAATGGTGGGTTAAGTGGAACAATAAAAGTCACAGCCCAAATGTCAAACAGCCTGTCCAAGGGTCTGAGTCATAAGCTGTAACCCTAGTTTACAAGCAAGAAAAAGAAGAAAAAAGAAACCAGAATTATCAGCTGTAAAGTTCTTTGGCTTCTCCTCTCTTGTCAACATACGGTACTATAGAGCTTAATCAATCCATATTTACAGTACAATACATATTTACAGTAAAGGGTTACTATGCAATGCAGCATAATTAAATGACTACAGTTACAAAAACAGATACAGTGGTACCTCTGGTTACGTACTTAATTCGTTCCGGAGGTCAGTTCTTAACCTGAAACTGTTCTTAACCTGAAGCACCACTTTAGCTAATGGGGCCTCCCGCTGCCGCCACGCCACCATCGCGCAATTTCTGTTCTCATCCTGAAGCAAAGTTCTTAACCAGAGGTACTATTTCTGTGTTAGCGGAGTCTGTAACCTGAAGTGTATGTAACCCGAGGTACCACTGTATATATCAAGTTGAGGAATTTCCAGATAGGTACATTTTCTGTTCAGTTTAATGATGTTCCCTTAACAGCCATCTATTAGTATAATTCCACCTGGCTGCTGCAGAGACAGTGATGGGGCAGTAGGGCTTACTGCATTCATTTGACTGATGGACCAGCAGCCATGTGGCTCCTCCTTCTGGGCCAGCCCTACCAGTAGACAAGGGTGAGCCTCTTGTCTCAGGCAGTGATTGGGATGAATGGTGGATCGCTGTCCCCCTGCTAATCTGCAGCTGCCTTCACCTGCAAAGCCACTCAGTGCTGCCATTTTGTTTGCTTGCTGGATCCAACCCACCCCTGCCCCACATCGCAATCTCCACTGCAGCACTCTCAAAGGCCTCTACAGACCCCCACAAGTCCTTGGAGTGTGGTGACTCTAGCACATGTGTTAAACTTTAAGCAGTATTTGCGGTTGTTGCAACAAACATGGTTTAAAGTTTAACAGTAATCAACACCAAAGCATTATTCTTTGGGACACTTTCACTGTGGTCTAAACCACTAAGCCTCTTGGGCTTGCCAATCAGAAGGTTGGCACTTCGAATCCATGCAACGGGGTGAGCTCCCCTTTGCTCTGTTCCAGCTCCTGCCAACCTAGCAGTTCGAAAGCACATGAGTACAAGTAGATAAATAGGTACTGCTGTGACAGGAAGGTAAACGATGTTTCTGTGTGCTCTGGTTTCTGTCACGGTGTCCTGTTGTGCCAGAAGCGGTTTAGTCATGCTGGCCACTTGACCTGGAAAGCTGTCTGTGGACAAACGCCGGCTCCCTCAGCCTGAAAGCGAGATGAGTGCCGCAACCCCATTGTCGCCTTTGACTGGACTTAACCGTCCAGGAGTCATTTACCTTTTTTTAACCTATTCTTTGGGACCACCACTGGTCACTCCACAGCAGACGGCACAAATTTGGGAAGGTGGGGGAGACAGACCAGATGCAGCAAGCAAACAAACCAGCGTGGTATCTATTTATTGCATTTCTATCCTACCTTTTTCTCCCTCAACCCCCCGGTTCTTCCCCTCCTCATTTAATCCCCCCACAACCCTGTGAGGTATTTAGGCTGAGAGGCAGTGACAGGCCCAAAGATCTTCATGGCCGAGTGGGGATTTGAATCTTGGTCTCTCAGGTCCCAACCACATGGATCATGGCAGAAGATAGCCCAGGAGGACTTAGACAGCTAACGCAGCAGCAAAAACTATTTCAAGCCAGAGGCGGCAGCAGGGAGATCAGGCCTACCTTCCTCGTGTGGCACAATGTCTTGAGGCAGCCCTATCCTCCTCTCTTCCTAAACCATCTCCATTATAAAGACAGTTACATTACAGTTACATTACTTTAAGGAAAGGTGTCTGCTCTTTTTCTTTTCCTCCCTGTCCTTTTCCCTTTCTTAAGACTGAAAGCCTGCAAGCAAGACTGTCTCTTGCTTTTTGTCTTAGCGCAGCACTTTATTATACATGCTTCCTAAATAATAAATAATAAGCAGTCAGCTTGATTTTTCTGGCAAGCAACATACCCGGCAGGAAAAATAACCTCTCAGTGAATCTTCCTTTCACTGCAACAAGACAATGCATCCACTCCTTGTATCCAATAAATGCAGTGTTTGTGCAAAGAGCTGTATGGGCCAGGTGTAAATAAGTAAATTTTTATTTATGCCCTGCCCTCCCCGGGCAAGAGCAGGCTCAGGGTGGCTAAAGGCTGTTGCATTGAGGCGAGGAAATTGTGAATCAGTAGCTTCCTGTGTCTGGAATACCTTCCTCAGTAAGATTAAGTCCACAGGGATTTGCAAGCATTCCAAACTCACACATTGAATGCTGTTTATTTTCCAGAATGGGTGTGCAACTTGGTGTAAATATTGCATTTCTCTCTCTGTATATGATTGCCATTTGGCCAATCTGACGCCAGACCAATCAGGCTATTTATTTTTAAAGCTCAGCTACGTAATTGCCCAGTGAAATGGTATACAAGAGGGAGCTTCTCCTTTTCCATGTGTTTTTCTTGGTTACAATCAGAGTCTTCTAAGCATGTTGCCTAGTAAGCATTAAGATTTCCATGATAGGCAGTGAGGGCCATCAATGTGGAATGCATGTATGAAAAGCCGACTTAAAATAATGGCAGCCTTCTGCATGGGACCTATTCCCAAACAAACAGGGATGGCATTAGACTGCATATAATGGGGGAAATGGTTTATTTATATCATCTTTTATAAAACAAACACCACAGAGTTACAGAAAACACATATCTCTATACACAAAACTTCATTATGTATTTGTTTGTGTGTCTGTAAATGCATGGCTGACAAACAGAAAACAGAATTTATTCAGCTAAATATTCTGACTGCTATCTTTGTCAGTAACACAGCTGGATTTCAGACTCCAGGCTGCATGCTAAGGTGGCAATTCTATAAAATCTGAAGGCAGTATCCTCAGGGAGGAAACATCCGCTGTAGAAATGGAAGAGAGGCTTACAATGTGCAATCCTATACATGTTTAGCTGGAAGTAAGTCCCACTGTGTCCAATGGAACTTACTTGTCCCTAAGTGTGCTTAGGATTGCAATAAAACCTGATCTTCCTTTTTTCCCACACGTAAGGGAAAAAGAAAGTAAAGCTTTTCCATCAGCCTCAGAAACCTGTCTGTGGAGAATCTATAACAACTGCCAATGTTTTAAGACCACGTAAAATGATGCCATAAACTAAATGCTGTGTTCTTTTCTTTGCTGTAACTGCATTGTATTATTATTATTATTATTATTATTAGAGCGGGTAAAGGATTGCAACCATAACTGCACGTTGAAAACAGAGGTAACGTTTTCATATGCTTCATTTTCACCATGACTATGCTGAATTTCTGACTTACGTGAGCCATGTTGGGATTGGTCTGAAAAGCAGTTTAAAACTGAAGAACAGAACTTGAAATAATATTCTCCCAGATTAAGGCACTGATTTAGATATCTCAGGACTCAGCGGCTTTTTTCCCCCCCTGTGGGAAATGTTCCTAAATGAAAATGTTGGACTCCAACCCCCAACAGCCTTAGCCAGTGTGGCCAATGGCTCAGGAGTGATGAGAATAGTAGGCCAACAATATTTCCAGGACCATAAACTCCCCATCCCTCTCTTTTAACAGGGATGACCTATGCCATCAAAAAGATTTATTTATTTATTTAAAGGAATATTACTACATTTATATTGCACCTTTCCTCCAATGAGTTTGATGTGGCACTCCCCACTTTCCATTTTATCCTCACAACAACCTCCCAGTCAGGCTGAGAGACGGTGAGTGGCCCAAGATCACCCAGTGAGCTTCATGGCTGAGGAGATTTGAGGTCCCCAAGGTCCTAGCCTAACACTCTAGCCCAGGGTGGTCCAGCGCACGTCCCAAGGGCCACATGTGGCCCTCAAGGCCTTTTTCTGGCAGGGCCCTTGAGTCCTCCCACCTCCTTCCTAAAGCTTAGTTGGAGATTTCTCAGCTTTGGGAACGGGGTGGGAGGGCTCTAGGAACCTGCCACAGCCTTGCACCTTCTTCCCCGAATCCGGAAGCAACTTGCTTATCAGTGTTGAGAAAGCAGTGTGATGGCTGGGGGGGGGCACCAAGTTTTGGCCTTGCTCCCCCCCCCACTGCTGTGCAACAAGGCAGTGTGTGGCCCATGAGTTGAAGTACTTTTGCAGACTTGGTATGAAAAGTTGGACTGCCTGCTAGCTATGACACCACACTCGCTCTTCCAAGTTTACCGGTAGTTGCTATTCAGACAACGTATTACTTACACTTTTACGCAACCTTTAAAAACCGCCTGTAAAATGTAGAGCTGCAAAGCTTGCAGACTAGCAAATAGCGATGTCATTCATAATTAGGCACCTACATAATTTTCCAGCGTGAGGAAAGGAAAATAGACATACAAAACATGTAACTAGAACTGTATTAATAATGAAAAAGTCCAAAACTTCAGTAACAAAGGAACAGGCATAGGTTTATGCAGAAAAGGTGGGGGAAAGGCCATGTAAATCTTTCTTCGAAATAAATAAACACTTGTGAGCAACAGCTGAGATAGCTATCTCTCTAGCTGTTATGAAACAGCAGCTAGAAACATATGTGGTCTTGTACAAACTTGTTGATCACTTTCTAAGAAACAGTCACCTGCCCTTGCCGATTTCAACAGAGACACAAAACAACCTCATCTCACTGCCTCCCTGATCTATGTTTGTGTGCCATAATCCAAACGGTTTACAATTTTTACTCACTCTGTCCTGTCTTGCATGAGCAAATCTCCTTTTCCACCTCAGACTCAGCCCCACCTACAATACTAATGGGAGTGGAATTGATTTTCAGAGTTGCCTCGTTGTCACTTTACAGTATGAAAGACATTATACACAACTGGTAGTGGTGCTGCTGCTATTACAACGGAACTGGAAATGCAGTATGTCTCACAAAAGCCTAGTCTCTTCTTCATGCACACATGCAGATTACATCGCATGCAACAGGACTGGGGAACTTGTAGCCTTCCAAATATCATTGGTCAGGGATGATGGGAGCTGTAGTCCAAAAGCATCTAGCGGCCAAACAGCCACCACACACGTGTCTTCCCTCTCTCCCCCTGAATACAAAATACTGGGGACAAACCCCCAGGCTAGCAATTAATTTCTCCCCACCAACGTCCGACACTGAGATCACGAGTTCTCCCCGAAAATCACAACCCATCCCCATGAAACCTCTCTTTCAGTTAGTTTATCTCTCACACACGTGTCTGCTTTATACACACGTATGCTCAGCCCTCCCTGCTACTGTGCGTCCCAGACTCCTAATAGATCCGTTTCACAAACTTCAACCACTTCCCGCACCTTTTCCTTCCACACCGGTCACATTCCTCCATCCCAACGCAACCACTCCATTCTTTTTGTATTTATGTTTTCTCAGCGGCCGAACCCCTTTGCTCCTTTCCCCCTCCCTCCAGCCAATAAAAGTGTCCCATTGCTCCAACAACTACCAATCAACACTCCTACCGCACTCCCACCCGCTATCAGACAATAAGTACCTCCCGCCTCCTCTTCTTTTTCCAACCAATCACTGCCACAGCCTTCACCTCCCAAGAAACCAATGGGCGGAATCCTACACGGAATCCCGCCCAACGACCTGAAGTTTCGCGACGCGCTCTAAATCTCGCCTCTCTTCTCCCACCGTAGCCAATGAGGGATACGCAAACGTCTTTCTTCCAACCAATGGCGTTGCTTCCTCCTCCCCACCCCCCCACGCGCCTGCCCTCCGCTGTCAACCATTTAGCGCTCTCTCTCGCTTCCTGCTTTCCACGCCCCCGCTCTGACTCCGCCCCCTTTTGCTCTCGCTTTCGGAGAATTGACTGAGGGAGGGTGCGCGTGCCGGCTTGTTTTTTTTTTCCAGGTCACGCTGCGATCACGTGATAGGAAGTAGTGTCCTGTCCGAAGTGGCGGTTACTTCCGTCTATTTTTCTCCCTGCCCCCCATCCCTTGTTCCTGTTGCTGAGGGGAGGCTGAGGCCTTTGGGCAGGCAGTGGCCCATCAGGTAAACGTCTAGCGATGGGGGAAGGCCGGCCTTGCAGTGTAGGATGAGGAGCTCGTAGGGAAAGAAGAAAGACAGGCTCGTGAAAATTGGGGCATTTTTATATATCTATATATAGATATACATATAGATATATATTATTGTTAGGATGAAAATTAATACTTTGAATTTTGGTGTGTTCAAAACGGTTCACATGCATTAGGTCAGGAATCCTTAACAACAGCCCTGTAAGGTAGGTCAGTATTAATCGTCCTCATGTTGTAGTTTTGGGTCTTTTAAGATGTGTGTATTCATGGTGGCTTACTTCTGCTGTGGCCCTGAGGTGAAATTTCTTCTGGGGGCTTCTTGAGTCTCATAGCTGCAACGTTATTAACCTACATGCTGCTGTTGTCATAATAATAAAAATTATGATAAATAAAAACCATATTGTTGCAGGTTTGGGTCTATTGCAACAAATAATGCTGCCTTAGAAGATTAACCTTGTTTATTGTGGGTTGAGATTTCCCAGGCTACATCCCCAATTCATCAGGTGATTAAAGTGTTGCGCGTTGTTGACAGCTACAGGTGCATGGCAGTACAAGGGAAATAAATAGTGGGGTCAAATTTGCAGAGATGGGGAACTGAGGCTTGGCATAATGAAGTTCATGATGGATCTAAGATTTGGACGGAGGACTTGCTGATTCATAGTTCTATGTCTTACTTTGTAGATGTTGCCATGGTGGTGGGAATGGCAAAAACAAAAGAGAGAAGAAGCTAGATGTTGCCTAAAATGAAGGACTGTCACTAAATAGTATTTCTAATAAAAAATAGTTATAATTATAGTGCTCATAATTTAGTCATCCTTGCATCAATCCTGTAAGGTTGCAACTTTTGGAACACTTGCCATTTTAGGCTGTTGCAGCAAAAACAGGCTTTTGCTACCTAGAAGATTTATCAGAATTATTGTAGTGTAAGTTCCTGTTGAGTAGAGCAGTTCGCCTAAGGCCTCCTAATGGCTATGATTGTATATGGGACTTTCAGTCACCATGTAGCACTTGTAATGTGTATAAGCACCTACTTTATAGTTCTTCTTATTCACATAAAGACTTCCAGGTCAGACAGTAGAACTATTATGTAGGCTTGAGCCTGACCACATGTGATTTTAAGGTGGAAAGAACGAAAAGAAATTGAAAGAATCTTTTAATGCATGTGTTTGGCAATGAAAGGATAAGAGGAAGAGAAATTTTAGTAGACTGGGGAAAGGAGAAGTGCTTATTTTCCTTAAAAAGTACAGGAGACAGGAATGTCCCCAGAGATCATCTGATGAGTAACAGTCAAAGCATGCAAAAATGGCTTGGCACGTGTCAAGGAATTAGCAGATGTAAAGCAAGTAGCACAAGTGGCATCTGCCATAAGAACTCAGTAAGGTAGATCAATATTGTTACCACTATATTGCAAATGGGAGCTCAGGCTAAGAAAAATAGATCGCCTTGGATCAATTAAGTGAGTTTGTGGCAGAGTTGAGATTCTGCTGAGGGGGGGTGAGAGGCTTCCTGGATCATTGCTTAGTGCATGGATAGGCAAACTAAGACTCAGGGGCCGGATACGGCCCAATCGCCTTCTAAATCTGGCCCGCGGACGGTCCGGGAATCAGCATGTTTTTACATGAGTGGAATGTGTCCTTTTGTTTAAAATGCATCTCTGGGTTATTTGTGGGGCATAGGAACCCGTTCTCTTTTCCCCCCTTCAAAATATAGTCTGGTCCCCCTCCCCAAGGTCTGAGGGACAGAGGACTGGCCCCCTGCTGAAAAGGTTTGCTGACCCCTGGTTTAGTGTCTCAACCAACATGCTACATTATTAAATGTATCTTTCCTCCAAAGAGGTCTCCATCCCTTCATATTATCCTCACATCTCTGTGAGGTAGGTTAGGCTGAGAATTGATGACTGGCCCAAGATCACCCAGTGGGTTTTATGGCTTAGTGAAGATTTGAACCCTGGTCTCCCAGGTCCCAGTATGACACACTAACTTACGTGATAGCATGCCTGTGTGGGGCGAGTGCTGCTTCCTTGTGTAGGAGAGGTCAGGTTTCAAAGACTTTCCCTTCTTCCTAGCAGAACAAGGTAAATCTAAAAAAGGAGTCAGAAGTGTGGGGGCAGGGATACTATTTCTGACAAAGTCAATCTGTGTTTTTCTTGCCTACCCTAAATTACCACCATGCCTGTTTCCCAGCTTGTTCTCCCTCTCTCAGCATCATTTTTGTCTCATCCACTGGGAGAGAGCAACTGAGTCAGAAAGGTGTAATAATTATAAATATATATTGAAGCTAAATGGATTTGAGATGAATTAGGCAAAGAAGTTTAAGATCTTATTTTTTAAAAAAGATCTCCAGCCCATTAGGTTCCCAGCTTTTAGGAGTGGAAGTAGGAAGTGATGAGGTGATGTCAAGAGGTGTTTTGGCCTGTTTGAAGAAGCATAAATCTAGGGGGAAGGGGTGAGCCCCTTTTTATGGGAGCAAGGATTGTGGCTCATGCTTGGATTGACAAACTTCTACTATTTGTACATGTTCCTTGAAGTCCCTTTGGTTGAACGGTGGGGTGTTGAAAACAGATACCACGGATGGGAATTCTACTAGCCAAATCCCACTGATTAAGATTTGGATAATCAGCCTCATTGTGCATTGTGAACCCCATGGGAACAGTAAGAGAAGTGTTGATATTAAATTGGTTAAACTGTGTGGAGAGGAAAACTACAGAAGTAGCTAAGTAGGTGAGGAGCTGGTGATGAGATGGAGGAAAGGGGCAAGTGATGGGCGGAGGTGGGGTCTGAGGAGAGCCTGGGTTGGGATAGTGGCCTCTGAGGATGGGGATTGCAGGAAGTCTCCAGGCTTGCTGTCTCCTTGCAGCTTGAGCAGGTCGGTGTTCTTAATGAAAATCCAGTCTAGTCTGAGAATGCTCTTGTCGTGTTATACCCTGTGTATGTAAATTGGAAATGTTTTCATAGTCTTTTTCCTTCAAAATAAATAAAAAAGTTATTTACCAAAAAAAATGCTCCTGTTGCTGGCTGAAGTTGGCCCTCGACCAGTTATTGAGAGCATATGAGTCATTTGCTGCACCATCTATGCTGATTTCTCATTTGCTTCTCGGTTCAGCTTGGGTCGCTGGTTATTTATCTTTTAAGGCCGAAGTCCTGTACCTAACCAGGAAGGGAGTCCCATTGAACGGCTGAGTAAACATACAAAAGATTATGCTGCACAGGCCCTAAATGGCAAAGAACCAAGATGCCGAGACTCCTTTTTAGTCTAGGCCAGTGGTTTTCAACCAGTGTGCCATGGCACCCGGGGTGCCTTTGAATGATAGCCAGGGGTGCTGCAGGCAACACTGGCCTCTTTATTTCTTTCCCTCCCTCCTCTGATGCCCTCTTGCAGCTCTGCCTTGAGGAGAAGACACTGAGGGAATACTCCACAAGGGAGGGTGTTCAAAAAAGGGTGAGAGGCTGCCAGCTCTGCAGGCAAGGGGTGACATAGCTGGGCTCCTGAGCCACACAGGGGTGCCGCAGAAAGAATGGAGTTGGTCAAAGTGGACTCAAAAAGTTTGAAAACCTCTCCTCTAGGCTAGCCTTCCCTTGCTGGCTGACCAGAGTAGGAATCCAGCACCTACCTTGAGAAAGGCTGCCAACTGCTTCTTGCCATATTCACATGGCCGTTTTCTAAGGTTAAGGGAGAGACCTTGTTGTACATCTGTGGCTTGTTTAGCAGGAGCATATGGTAGGACCTTCTTTGTTGGTGAATGCCTTGCCCCAGAAGATTGATTTGGCTGCCTTCCTGATGATGCCTCGTTCGAAGCTGAAGACTTTTTGTTGTTGTTCAATAGGCTTTCCATTTCTTTAAAGTTTTAAATGTGTGTTCTTGATCATACTTTTTGCCCGCTTCCTAGTTGCCATACTAGTGGGTTTATATTTTCTGCTGGTTTATGGATTTAACCTTTAGTTTCTGCATTGTTGCCTCGTGCGCTTTTTATGGTGTTGAATCACGTATGTGCCGTTCTCTAGCACCTCACTGAGTCGGCAAAGCAGGACAGAAATAGCGAGGGAATGGTTATTTTGTTGGGTGATGCGTTGGTAGCTTTGAAGGAAATGTTCCAGAGTTGCCAAAGGGAACTTGAGACTTTTATGCTGACGTCGTAGGCTGAAGAGGAATCAAATGAATTTTAAAAAACCTGATAAAAAAGAACAAACCTTGACTACAGCTGGGAACTAGCAAAGAGAGGACTTGAGTAACAATGGCACTGAGTAACATTAAAAAAACAAACAAACCAGCAGTAGATCTGCTAGCAAATGGCTCTGAGGGGAAGAAATGGAAAAGTACAGGGAGGAAGTAGAAAGCAAGTATACAAAGCCCAGGTAATAATGGTGGGTTCAGAGAAGATTTCTTAAACAGGTCCAATCCATCTACAAGGCTGACTTGTAGATGCAGACCCTGTGGCATACCACTAAACTGCCAGACTCAGTAGCACAACTGTCCCAAAGCTTGTTTTTCTCAGATTTGCAGGTGATAGCTAGTTGACTGCTGTGCAGTGAGGAATGTAATTGCATAGTCTCCTTTTGTAAAAGTTGGACCTTTGGGGCATCTTTGGGTGGGATGTTGAAAAAAGTCACACAAACCTATGCAAGATAATTGTGGCGTGACATCCCACATGACAGTTGCATGCAGCAATATGCCCCATGCATGATGAAGACTGCAATCATAGCCCCACTTACCTGGGAGTAAGCCCCATTTAATTCAATAGGAATTCCTCTGAGTAGACATTGGTAGAATTGTGCGGTAAACCATCCAAATTTTGCACCACAGTTGTGCTGCATGCCAGTGCAGGTACCATGGCTCATATCTTTTCCTAGAAGAAAGACCTCAAGCCACTCCAAAACCTCCTCTTCCCCCAGTCCCACGCTTGGCAAATTTGATATTTGCAAATTCCAGTTCAAGCTGATCTGCTGTTGAACTAATATGCATATTGGAACATAGTTAACTGGCTTTTGGACTTCTTGAATTGTCTGCTGAAAAACTGTATCAAACTATGTTTTACCAGAGAACAACCTTAACCAGAAACCTTTAATAGGAATCTGGTTTTAATATGTGATCCGCATCTGCCTATTCATATTCAAGAGGTTTCTTTGGTTATCCTTCAGTTCCATCCTTGGGTCGAACCTTGAACCTGGAACACAGTTTGATTTCCTTCCTGGCTGCCTTCCCTTCAGTTGCAGGATCAGGGACTCATGGCTGCCTTGACAGATAACCTTGGGCTCCACTTAAGCCCTTGTGCTTTCGGGGGCTTTGCTGCAGCTGCTGGATTCTCCCTCCTCATCACCATTACCAGCTCTGAATTCTGCACTGTAATTTCGTTCCTTCGTGGTGTAGCTCATGGGTAGGCAAACTAAGGCCTGGGGGTCGGATCCGGCCCAATCGCCATCTAAATCTAGCCCACGGACGGTCTGGGAATCAGCATGTTTTTATGTGAGTAGATTGTGTCCTTTTATTTAAAATGCATCTCTGGGTTATTTGTGGCGCCTGCCTGGTATTTTTTACATGAGTGGAATGTGTGCTTTTATCTAAAATGCATCTCTGGGTTATTTTGTGGGGCACAGGAATTTGTTCTTCTTTTTTCAAAATATAGTCCGGCCCCCCACAAGGTCTGAGGGACAGTGGACCGGCCCCCTGCTGAAAAAGTTTGCTGACCCCTGTATGGGGAAATGTTGGTTGTCTGAATTACACATCCCTCCATGAATGTTGATTGGCTTGAGAACCGATGACATTTATCAGGTTTTAGCCAACTGAGAGAAAATCCTTCCCAAGCTGCTTCTGCAAGCCGATTCATCAGTCATAGTAGTATCTTAAGTGGCTTTAAATGGTTGCCTCTATAGTGTTGGCAGAAGTAGGGGCAGCTGGAAAAAACAACAAAAGGCAGCCATGCTGATATGTAAGCTAGGGAAGCAGAGCCCTCAAGTCCACAGTTGGGCAACGCCTTTATTATGGCCAACCAAAACATTGCAAAATGGTATGCCAGCTGCAACTTTTGAGTTCTCCGGTATGCATGATCAGGCAGGATGTTACCCAAAGCAGAGGCTGTGTGGATAAGGACATCAAAAACAGAACAAAATAGACCCGCTGTTGAAGGTGTGAGCCTGCATTTTTATTCAGGTTGCAGACTGGCTCAGGTGTCTGCAGTTGTTAAGCTACGTCTAGGATTCTGGGATGAAGAAGCAATGAGTGACCCCCATGTTTGAAACGTAAAGAGTGGCTGTTACCCAGATCTGCCTTGTTTAAACAGGAACACAGGCAGATGCTTCCCACAGGCAGGCAGATAGATTCTAGCCTAGATAATGAGCCAGGCGGTGCTTGGAGCACTGCGTCTATCTTTACAGTTGATGTGCAGCTCCTCTTAGCAAAATGACTTTCATCAATCTTCATTCAGGAAGCTGCGCTGAAAGCCCTCAACCCACCCACCCCAACTCCCTTCTTTGGGAGACAAGAGAACAAGCCCAGTCAGAACTATGCTAATAGGAGTAACTAACACCTGCCTAGCAAGTGATCGCAAAGAAGAGATGGAAGGTGGCGCTCCTGCGATTAGGCCTGCTCGGAAAAGAGAGAAAAGGGTGTTGCTGTTGTGGCAGTCACATTTAAACATGTGTGTGGTCTGCCAGTTGATGCAAGAAAATTCAAGCCCCAGGTGTCTCCCATGTAGGAGGTTCGGCATTGCTGCTATTTGTGTATACAGTCATATCTTGGATCCCGAACGCCTAGAGTTGAACATTTTGGCTCCTGAATGCTGCAAACCCAGAAGTGAGTGTTCTGGTTTGCAGATGTTCTTTGGAACTTGAACGTCCAGCGCAGGTTCCGATTGGCTGCAGGACCTTCCTGCAGCCAATTGGAAGTCACGCCTTGTTTTCCGAACGTTTGGAAGTCAAACAGACTTCCGGAACAGATTCTGTTCGACTTCCAAGGTGCCACTTTATATGTGTGTGTGTGAGTGAATCAGCCTTCAGGATAACTCTCTCCTGCCCTCGGATCCCTTGTCAGTGGCATTGCCCTATGAACAAAGTGGAGACCTGAGAGAGGAATGTATTCTGCTTAACAGATATATTTGGTTGGTTGGTTTATGCTGCCAAAGAAAATCGTGTCCGTTCAGGTCTTCAACTCGGCTCTTCTGGGGTTTAACAGGCGTGTTCCTCAAGCAGTGGGGTGAGAGGCTAGAGAGCAAACGTGCTCATCTGTTTTCAGCCTCTTTGAAAACCAGTCTCCCGCCCGCTCTTCTAGACCACAGATAGCAACCTTGTTTGTTTGTTTGCTTGCTTGCTTGTTTTAAAACTGGATTTTATTTTTAAAAATCCTATAAAGCATAATCTAAAACAGTTGGATTTTCTTCTAAGCGTCGATGTCAAAAGGGACCGAACTGAGTCAAGGGGGATGAAAAACAAAGCAATCCAGCTGAGTGGACAATGATTCAGTCACATGCTGGAGGAACAACACTGCTACTGTTAACACACTCTCCAGAAGAAAGGGGTGAGTCAAGAACTTCTGGTATGAAGAGCTGCCCTGCAGGATCAGAAGAATGTCGGTCTAGCCCAGCATTCTCTTTGTAGTGCTGCGCAGTGGTTAGAGTGTGGCCCTGAGACCTGGGAGAGCAGGGTCAATTGCTGGCTCTCAGCCTAACCTACCTCACAGGGTGTGTTGGGAAAAATGGGGGGGGGCAGACTATGTTCAGCACCTAGAGTTTCCTGGAGGAGAGGGAGGCTGTGCATATTTCTCACAGGCCACACAGGTGCCTTTAGGAGTTCACAAAGGGGGTGTGAAGGTCTTATCCTCTGGTAGCCTAAAAATACTTTGGAGGGGAAATTTCTTTTTTTAAGAACTCTCTTTTTTCAGTTTTTCCAACAAGGGAAAAAAATGATTTTGGAAGAGCCATTAAAAATGGTTCTGTGGAATATTTTCACTTTTGGAATGGGTGAAATGTTATTTGACATGAGGTTTCTTTTGTTTACTACAAAATTGGTGGTTTCTCTTTTCAGCCTTTTATTTCTCTCCCTCCCAAACCTTTCAGATGGCAAAAATCAAGCTACACGAGCTGAGGTAGCATGTGGTATAACAGTTTTTCAGCTTGCTCTCTCTAGTGCTGGGTATGGTTGCAGTGTTACTTGTACAAAATAAGGCAGTTATATTTCAGGAGACTGCAATCCTATCCTAAGGATGCTTACCTGGGAGGGAGCTCTACGAAATAGTCTTGAATTTTCTTCCCCCAACCTGGGTGACCAAAATCCACGGTCCTTTAACCTCTCTTCTTCATGGATGCTGTATACCTGTTCTGAAAAACCCTCATTCTTCTGCCTTTCAGCCAGAGATACACTTGGGCAGGGGGTGGCAATGAGCAGTTTTACTGAGCGATCCTATGACAGCTGCTTAAGTGGTGTTCAGACTTCTGCACAGAGCGAGGAGATGTGTAGAGGCACCGATGTGTATTATTCAGGAATCACAGATGGCTGAACTTCTTCTTTTGTTTGAGACGCTTGGGTCTCCTGCAGAAAGTGGAGGTCCCAGTTCTTACTCAGTTATGTGAAGTGACATTTCCCTCCCTTCAGTCGAAGCTAAGTGGCTTAAGAGTCTTATTTGCACAGGGGCTGACACACGCATGCATATGAAAGGGCGCTTGCATGTGTAAATTGTGTTGGGCTTTTTCCCCCTTGCAGGAAGTTTACAGTTGGAAGGTCTAATCCTTTCTCAGTTGCTGCTGTCATATATTTCTCTGGCAAAAGCTACTGCTTGGGAGATGAAATTGTGCGTGTGCATATTCATTCTTGGGAACTGCTTTTCCATCTTTAAAACGTGATATGTGAAATGTTATTTGGATGCTTCACTTTTCATATGTCTGCAGGCCCTACTTTCTTATTTATGGAACCTAGCTCTGGGGGAAACAAAGCACAGGGATCTTCTGACATATCTAGAAAACCTGCGATCTGACTGTCATACTTTGATCCGGGTGGGGGGGTGTGGCTGGTGTTCTCCAAAGATGCTGGAAATTAGAGAGAAGCAGATAGGGTTTTGGGGGTACTTGGCCAGTAGCTGCTGCTGGAGTCTAGTTATTGCAAAATCTTTTTCCAGCTCTGCTGCCTTTTGGGTAGGGAAATTGAATTAGATGACCTTTGATTCCTTCCAAGTCTCTGAACCGCCATCTGATATAACAGTTGCAGCTATTGTGAGTGAGGGCCCAGTTCCCTCAACTCCCATCTGGGCTTCAAGGAACAAAAACTGGGATGAGGTAGACCAGTGTTTTCATGCTTCCTTTTTATTCAACCCAGAAAAACAGGTAGCAAAAAAGGAAAAGAAACATGGTGTGTTTGAGAGGTGTAAATAACTCTCCGTTTCTTGGCTGTAACTACGTGCACCCAAAGCATTAACCTGCATTTTGGTTTCCTGCTGAGGACCTTGATCTCATTCTCTTTCCCTTTCCCCTTCAGCCAGAATACCAAGACGATCTCACTTCCCTGTTCTTTCTCTCCAGCCCCCCTGCAAACCCCACTGCAGATGAGCCATTGACAGAGTCACGGATGACACGTCTGCACGCGAGAGCCAACCCTTTCACCCTCCTGCCTGAGGATGAGCAAGCTGTGGGGCTTGCAGAACGGTGACCTGGAGCAGAGTCTTCCCGCCATTGCATCCTCTCTTTCCCACAGCTCGGGCCTCTCCCCGCACCACTTCTTCTCTCCCGAGAGGAGGCGAGCCATTTCTGACGTGCGTCGGACCTTCTGCCTCTTTGTGACCTTCGATCTTCTCTTCGTCTCGCTCCTCTGGATAATTGAACTGAACGTGAGTGGAGGAGCTGGCCTTTGTGAATATGGTTTCCTGCTTCCCCCCGGGGTTTGGCTTAAACAAGGATCCCAGAAGTGGTTGTCCCTAAACATGTTCATATAGCAACGGCAGTGAGTCAGGCTCAGTTTAAAACAAAACAAAAAAACAGGGAGTGCCTCTCTCTGAGAGTCCAGGCAGGCAGAAAGCAGTTGTGGCAGACTCCTCTGAGCTGGTTCCCCTCACCGCCTCTGCCTTGAGCTGTCAGTGTGCTGCTTTCATCGCAGCCCACAAGTCTGTCCGTTGTCGGGTATTGTTAGATCCCAGGGTGAGTCTGCTCAGGTGCTGATGCTGCTTGGGCCAAGAGCAACACATGAGATTGGAGCCCCATTCAAGGTTTCTGCACACGGTGGAATTGTACACAGTGAACAGGAAGTTGGGACGTGCCAGGTAGCCCCTTCTGCATGGCATCCCCATGTACAGAGCAAACCGTTTAAAGGGAGGGAGTCTTCACATATATATAGTCTTTCATGGGATCTGCAGGCTATTAACACACAGGGTTCAAGATCACAGGGAAGCCTGTGCATGCTGAAGCTCCCTCCCTCCTTTCAGACCTTTGTGTTGCATGTGTGTGAGGGAGGGGAGAGCTGCTGATCTGGCTGTCCTGCCCAGCCACATAACGGCTTGAAGGGCCATCAGAGATCTAACCGTCACCCAGTTGCAAATCACTCTTAGAAATTAGCCATGTGCTGGGTGCCTTTTGCAAGTGGCGCAGGTCCAACTGGAACCATGTGGAGACCTCTAGATTCCAGGTTGGCAACTGACATCTCCATCTGGCTGGCCTCTCCAGCTTTCTTAAGTGGAAAAGCTTATTCATTGCATTTATTTTGCACCTTTTCCTCTGAGGTGTACATGGCTCACCTCTGCCTTCAGTTAATTCCTACAATGTCTCCGTGAGGTAGGTTAAGAGGCAGTGACTGGCTCAAGGTCACTCAGTGAGCTTCATGACTGAGTGGGGATTTGAAACCTGACCTCCCAGGTCCCAGTCCAACACGCTAACCACTGCACCGCACTGGCTTCCTGGAGTACTTATGCTATGGGACAGCTCTATTAGTTCAAGTAGGTAGATAAATTTGAGGAAAGCAAAATGTCACTTAGAGTAGAATCTGAAATATTTTCCTTGAAGCTTGCATTTGTTTTATTTGATGCTTTGATGTGTTATAAACTGCTTTGAGAATTTTTCTTTTAAATATAAAGCAGGATAGAAATAAAATGAATAATAATAATGTTTCACTAAAAAGAAAATGTGCCTAGACATTCCGTTGTGGTGACTGTAACTCAGGTTTAAGGTGCCATTTGGCGATATCAGCTTATATATCTGAGTTTCTAACACTGTTGCAAGTCCTTGTTTTACTGCTCATCTTTAGGTAGAAAAAGAGTGAACTCTTCTTCCTCCCCCTCCTATTATCCGGGGGTTCTTTGTGAGCTCATTTCGGTCTCAGAAGGAGTAAACCAAATCAGAGGCTGAACTGAGTTAGCAAATTGTTAGTCCCAGATTTAAATGATAAACAAGCCTGAGATAAGCAGTGAGTCATTGCTTAGAACTGTTCTAATCATTGGGCTGAAAGGAAGGATAAATCCAAATGTTGTCCTCGCCCACAAAGAAACCCACACAAATCTGGACCAGTGCACGCTGCAAGCTTGTGGCAGGAAGACCGATGACTCAAGCAAGTGACCTACACGCTACAGAAGCGGGAGCCAATCTGACCTTGCAGGAAAAATTCCTGACCTCACATGTTTTCAGATGGCTCAACTAAGCGTCAGGAAAACCCTACCCATTAATATAAAGCAATGCTATGATTCCCCTGGAAGCAGTGATTGCTGGCACCAGCATATTGAAAGTCAGGGGTGAGGAACCTCTAGCTTGGATCCCAGTTTGGCCTGTGTGGATGTTTTCTCCAAACCATGCCCACCTGCCCTACACATGATGTCATATGTGATATTTGGTGTGGGGCAGTAGAGACATGGTTGGATCATCTGCACAACCAAACTCTCTGTGGGAGCTCAGATGCTCAGCTGATCCTCGCAGAGAGCAGGCTTTAAATGATCACAGGTCAGAGCATTGCATTAAAGAGTCCCAGGCTGGCATTGTGGTGTGTCTTAATTTATTTGACTTTAATCTTGCCAATCTGCAGGCCACCAAAAGCATCCAGGAGAGTCTGAAGTATGAAATCATCGAGTACAACTTTAAAACGTCCTTTTTTGACATATTTGTAAGTATCCTGACAAAATTGTCGCTTGCAGTAATAGCCAAGGGGAGACCTGGAGGTGGGCATGGCAGGCGGAGTGCAGGGGAATGCCAAAGGAGCCATGAAGTCAGTACACAGGCAGCTTCAGTAGTCTGTGCATTTCGCAGAACTCCTTGTCTGTTAGGCCCTACCTGGATAAGAGTCCTGTGAAAGCCTGAAAGTTTGCCTATTCTTGGTGCCAGTTGAGGTTGATTCACAAAAAGAGATTTTAACTTCTCTGCGTTTTTGAGACCTTCACAGGGGCCTTCTCATGATTTGCCTCTTGTGTTCCTTCTTACAAGCTCTTGGCTTTCTTCCGGTTTTCGGTGCTGCTCTTGGGATATGCTGTCCTCAAGCTCCGCCACTGGTGGGTCATTGCGGTAAGAAGTCAACTTTTTACCTTGCTCTCAGAGACATACATAACATTGAATTGCAGCTGTAGTTTGCTTGCTTGCTTGTTTGTTTGTTAATGGGCTTCTCTCTTCTGTCCCCACCCTCCAGATCACTACATTGGTGTCCAGTGCCTTCCTGATTGTGAAAGTTATCCTTTCGGACGTGAGTTGCTGATAGCAAACATGGATTCTACTCTAAATCTTTATGGTCCCTTTCCAAAACCTCGGAGCAAATTGCAAGCCTTTAAAAGCAGACGATGCAAAATTTCAGTTTTTTAAAAAATGGGAACATTTTAAACTTCAGGGCTGCTTGTTGGTTTGGGGGTACAAATGGATGGTTACAAGTGCTTTGGGTGTAGTTGTTCCGCGACAAATACTGGAGATCATTTCATATGAATCATGTCGTCTCCTTTTTTTTTCATCAACAGCTGCTGAACAAAGGGGCTTTTGGCTATCTCCTGCCCATCATTTCCTTTGTCCTTGCCTGGCTGGAAACATGGTTTCTGGATTTTAAAGTCTTGCCCCAAGAGGCTGAGGAAGAGCAATGTGAGTCTGTGTTGAGTGAGGATGGATGAATGGAAGAAATCTCCTACCCTGGTAAAATTGGTTTTGACAGCCCTGCTGGTGTCGTGTCCCATGTTTTGTGAGGGGGGTGAGAGTGGCAGCACTCAGAAAGCAGATGACCTTAAGGGTTCATGGACGCAGGTTGCTGTATTTACAGTGGGTATCGCTGGATCCACATTCTGATGCCTCAAGGCCTTTTAATAGGTTAGATTAGTCCTATGCAAGGAAAGCATTGAAAAGCAAAATAATGCAAAAGATTACTCTTCCATTCTGTGTCTTTGGGGTTTTATTTTTGCATGTTGAGAAAAGGGTTTAAAGATGACAAAACTAAGCAAGCACTTTGCCACGATTGGATTAGGGAAACGCTCAGGGTTGCTAGGAGGAAAAAGCTCTCTATTGCATTAGATGCTTAATTGCTTTGGAGATATGATAGGCAAAGAGGCCATCATTCTCCATGTAGATAACATGTCTTGTCTCCAGCTGAAAGGTTGAGGGGGGAAGCAGCTTGGCCAACTCCTAAAGGGTAGTGATAAATCTGCTTATCTGTGCAAAGGTGTCTGGTTGTGTTAAGTGACAATACACTGCCTTGTTGTTGTGCAACAAAATGCCCAAGTTTAGAATACACCAAGTGCATCTGCATACATTTATTAGGTTTCCTTTTGGCTTTCTTCCTGTGATTCAGAGTTTGCAATGCGTTAAAACGTATAGTGAGTCAACGAGGTGAAGATACTTCCTAGTATTCTTCCATAACCATCAGGGCTAGAAACTTGTGCAGGCACAATGAAGTTGGAAAGGATGTCGAGGGTGATCCTTTCTGATCCATATGACTCTGGTGCTCTCCCTCGACAACCAAGGGCCCACGTATTTAAAATGCCAGGCCAACATCCTTCTGCAAGCTCAGTACTTGGTTGAGAATCTGCAAATTGAAGTTGCTGGAAGTGAAATGCTTCAACCTGCGTGCTCCTTTCACTGAGCTTAGCTCTTCCCCCTTCCCATACCTGCTTGGGCAGATCTTCAGCTCAAGCCACCAAGTTAGGAGGCCAGCCCAGTCCTAGTGTTCTCCACTCCGTTCAAGCTTGAGAGGCCAACTTTTGCCTCTTTCTCCAGGGCTTGTACTTCCCTGGTCTTTCATTCTGAGCTGCTCATCAAATAACTCAATGAAGTTATTGTTCTCAGTTTATTAAGGGAGGCAGAATTACCGTACTGAGAGGATTGCTGGCTCTTCTCAAGCACAGTTCTGCCCTTTCTCAGACAGCTTTTCCTCCCTCATCTGGGGGTCACACAGGTTGAGCCAGGGATATAAATGCAATGCAATATAAATGAGCTGATTTCCGCCCCCTCCTCTTTCCAGGGTACCTGGCAGCTCAAGCTGCTGTGGCCCGAGGACCCCGTCTTTATTCAGGGGCGCTTTCAGATGGCCAGTTCTACTCCCCTCCAGAATCTGTTGCAGGTAATGACATTTCTTCCAAAAACTTGGGTATGATGTATTTCTGAAAGTCTGTCTCTAACTGAGCACTGGTAAAAAATAATAATAATAACTCACTCCTCTCTTTACCAGTCAGTTAATGTGTACAGAGTGTAATATGAAAGTTGCAAACACACAAGATTGCCACTCCTCTTCTGAGCTGCAGTAATCTAAAGCTTGTTTGAGCCCAGCCAAGCTCTCTTAACTTCTGTGTTACAAGAAGGGGCCAGTCATAACATGTACATCTCATATGCCCCATTTCTGCAGTATCCATGCTTTCGTTCACAAGAGAGAGGGAGAGCACAAAGGGTTATTTCAGGAATTCTCAGCCTAATTCCTGGGAAATTGTAGTGTGTCGCAAGAAATACATGGACCAAAAGGTCCTATTGGCTGTATATTCCTGTCCACACAGGAGGCAGCCCATTGCGTCCTTGCATGATCCAGTGTTCTGGCCTTACTTGTCTTCTGCAGAAGTTGAATTGGGAAGACGTAACTCTGTTGCATCTGCATTAGGTGACACTGGGATCTGTCACTCAGTCTCAATGCAGAGATGCAGCACTATTGTCCATCCTCTAAGGAGGCTACCTGTTGCATCTCTGTGTGAATTACTTCTCTGGGCTTCCTTCCAGTCAGGCAGCACACTTAAGACCAGTGACTCAGGCAGAAACCCAGGAGAATTGGCTGCCTGGAGGTGGGTAATTCCTACTCTGGCATGCTCCAGCCATCAGATGAATCTTGCTCAGCAGCCAACGGACAGTAAATGCCTGATATTCCTAAAGATGAACTTGTGTGAACAAACAGCCTTGAAATTGTGCAATGCTGCTTCGTATCCTATGCTTAACACTTCCAGATCTCCCATCATTTAACTTTTAAACATTTCCTTTTCCCCCCTCGTTCTCTAGGATCAGATGACTCGGATGATGAACTTTTGGGAAAGAGGACATTAACTGACCAGGTAAGCCCAGTGGTGTAGCTAGCCGCTCGGGTGTCCGGTGCATCCTGCAGCCAGCTGCCCATGAGGGCAAGGCAAGCCAAGGCAGGGCATGCTGCGTGGAGCCTCTCCGCAGCCTTCCCCTCAGCTGTAGGGAGGCTGAGGCGGTGGGCAGACTCGAAAAAGCAACGCGGAGCTTGAAGGCAGTCCTCCCACCGCCTCCCCCACAGGAGAGATGCGTGGCTCAGGCACGCTGCAGGCCCTGCAGTGTGACGCCCAGTGCCCCCTGCCTCACCTAACCATGCCTCTGGATTAGGCAGATTCATGGAGGAGAGGACTGTCGAAGGCTACTAGCCATAAAGGCTGTGCTCTGTCTGCAAAGTTGGAGGCAGCAGTGCTTCTGGTTTCTGGAAATCACTCAAGGAGAGAGTGTTCCTGCAGTGGTGTAGGAAGGGGCGTGCGGTGGGTGCAGGAGTTTTTTTTAAAAAAAGTGTTGTGAGCCCATTATTTATCTATCTATCTATCTATCTATCTATCTATCTATCTATTTATTTATAAACACATATTTTTGCCATTTTGTCACACACACCCCTCAGTGATGACACCCGGGGCAGTCCGCAGCCACCGCACCCTCCTTCCTATGCCACTGGCTAAGCCTTATGTGAGCTGAGCAGCCCCTTTCGCATTTGCTTTCAATCAGGTGGAAAAGCCTCAGTTTCCAAAGATTGCTAGTGTGGTCAGAAATACACCTCAGTGTTGTGGGGGCTGCATGGACGGCATCTCGCAAACGCAATTGTTTCCTACAGCTCATTCATGCCTTACAGGTAGGGTTTAATAGACCTTGACCTTGTTTCCCTTGGCGTAGGAGGGTTGTCCCTAGCCACAAGCCCTTGTCTGAACGCTGTTACTTTCATTCGCAACACGCAGGGTACATTCCATAAATGTTTCGGCAGCATGCATGGCCCACCAAAATGGTTATCACAGGCACCTACTCAGTTTAGCAGAAGGGGTAATGCATTGTTGAGGGGCTGATGTGTAGCATAATGGCTAATCGCATGGGTCAGAAAGCCCCTGGTCTAAATTTTGGCTTGGCTATGAGAAGAGGCTGGGGTAACTCAGCTAATCCACTGTCTCTCAGCCTCCATTTGCCCCTGATCTATGTTAAGCCCACTGTCCTCTCTGGCAGCCAGGTTGATGGGTAAAGGAAACCAGTGTAGGCTTAAGACTAGCTCCAGGTGGTTTGTAGTGGTTAGGTGCTGCTTGTATGTACTCGCACCCAGTCACCAGTTTTTCAAAAAGCAATAATTGAATTTCATAAATGACATTATTATTATTTATGCACAATTTTTTTGTGTATGCATGCATTCTTCCAAAAGCTTCTTTAAATAAGATTCATTTCTGCACGCTGTGTTCCTGTTTTTAATGCATGCACATTTCATAGTAACTATAATATAATTCCCACGCTTATGTTCCCAATGCACTTTGGTTTCCGGAATCGACCTGTTCAATGCCTTCAGGCATCAGTAATTTTAGATAGGCTTGTACCACTCTCACAACTTGCAGTGCAACTGCAGACACAACAGTAGAGCATCCATTGTGTTATTTTAGGTAACATGGATGCACGCACGCACACAATGAACATTCTCCTCCTTGTCTTTTGGTAAAGGTTCAGATGACTGCCAGAAAAACATGGATTGTTTCTCTTGTTCTTTAACCGACATGCAGCCTTGGAGTCTTGATTATAACAAATTTTTATAGTTAGCTTATCAAATTGATTAACTACCCTCAAACTATGTGAGGAGAGTGTGAAATACTTCAGAATTCTCAGAATCCCAATCTTTGTTTTGTGGAAGTCAGGTTATATATATATATAATTCGTTCCGCGAGTTTTGTCGTCTTGCGATTTTTTTCGTCTTGCGAAGTACGGTGTCGGGAAAGTTTTGGAAAAGCTTCAAAAATCACCAAAGTCTTTAAAAACCTCAAAAAAGGCTACCACACCGCGTTCTATGAGTTGCTCCTCGAAGTCAAGTCGCAACTGTATTAACGGTGTTAAGAAAAAGGAATCAAACTTGCAAGATGTTTCCGTCTTGCAAAGCAAGCCCATAGCGAAAATCGTCTTGCGAAGCAGCTCAAAAAACAAAAAACCCTTTCGTCTAGCGAGTTTTTTGTCTTGTGAGGCATTCGTCTTGCGGGGTACCACTGTATGAGAGAAGTCTGTTTCATGATATGTACATTGCTCTCATCTCCTGTTGGCCACCAGGGGGCAGCATTAATCCAAAGCAGTTGACTCTGAATTTTCACTTTCAGCATCCCAAATAATTTGCTTTGTACATTGCCATTTGTTTGCTTTTATGATTTCTTACCTGCCCTTCACCACAAGGTTCCGACAATGCAGAAATGCAGTGTTAGAATCACTTAAAACATTGGTAGTCCATTTACAATTATACTTTTGCCAGACCATTATTGGTTTTTTTGAATTTATGGGTCAGTGTTGATGTGGTTTGGGTACTTGCCTGCATCCTGGGAGGTCCTTATCCTGCCTGGAGGTAGTTGCTGCTCACTCCATGCGAGCAGTTGCACGACAGCCAGTACTTATATATCATAAGCCACGCTTACATACTTACCTAGTTGAATTGCAGCAGCTCTCCCTCTGCTGCCAGGTGGGGATGGGAAGAAGCAGGAAGGCAACACTGAAAGCGAGCTGGGCAGGGGGGTGTTAGGCTGGTGGAGAGGCTTGGTTTCACTCATTTCAGTGGGTCAACTCTTGAGTACAGTCTCATCTGCACTATGCATTTAAAGCAGTATCATACCACTTGCCTACCCTCCAAAGAATCCCAGGAACCATAGTTTATTAAGGGTGCTAAGAGTGGTTAAAGGTAAAGGGATCCCTGACCGTTAGGTCCAGTCGTGGCCGACTCTGGGGTTGCGGCACTCATCTCACTTTATTGGCTGAGGGAGCTGGCGTACAGCTTCCGGGTCATGTGGCCAGCATGATTAAGCCGCTTTCTGGCAAACCAGAGCAGCACACGGAAACACTGTTTACCTTCCCGCCGGAGCGGTACCTATTTATCTACTTGCACTTTGATGTGCTTTCAAACTGCTAGGTTGGCAGGAGCAGGGACCGAGCAACGGGAGCTCACCCCGTCGCGGGGATTGCCTAAACTGTGGACTGTTTGTCATAGGAAATGAATTAACTGTTAGTTTTGTCCTAGGAAAGAGAATACATCCAACAAGGCAAAGCAGCAATGGAGGTGGTCGACCAGATCTTAGCCCAAGAGGAGAACTGGACATTTGAGAGATGCAGTGTAAGTTTATGGTTCCTGAAAGATGACTTATCGCCCTTGCAGGGGGGAGGGCGGAAGCAGTGTCAGTCTTCTGATCAGATTTCGAAAAGAAGTAAGTGTCTATTTTAAGCTGGACAGGGCTGTTCGGCTCTCCCTGAGCGTAACCTTAGCATGTTTACTTTTAAGAATCTTGGGGAGGGGAGCCTTGTTCTTCGGTAGCTGCTCTTTTAAATGCCTCCCCCACATGGTGAAATAGCGGTACTGTCTTTATTTTGCACACCACTTAAAAGCCTATTCTGCAACTAAGCAGTATAGAAAATTAGGATGATGACTTAATTTTCAAAAAGAAGTAATGCTTCAAATGTGTGACTCGACACCCCTCCTCCCCTCTTGAGATTTTTTTTTTTTTTAAAGATGCATATTTTTGCTATTCCTGGTGGGGTGTTTTTTTTGCTGTTTCTGCTTTTGCTATTCCTATTATGGTTTCTACCTTGAACTTGTGCATCTTCTGATAGCAGCACTGGAACCTGGCGCTTAGAGGAGAGGGTAGAATATTAGTATGCTGTTAAACAGCCCTGTGTCCTAGCGATGGGCAAGAGGCCTAATTCAATGCTGGAAGTTCTCGCAGTGCTGCGCAAAAGCAGCTCTGGCTTTCCACTGTGGAACTCATGTGCCCTCCACCCCTCTCATGCAGGAGTTTGGCGACACGGTTCACTCTCTGGAAATGCCATTCTACGGCAAGGTGTTCATCCTGAAGGTAAGTTGCCTTGACTTTTCCTCTGAAGCCGATGACTTGCAGAAGTCGCAGTCTTCCTCCTGCACCTTCAGTTAAAAAGAGATGGAGGGTGGAGGCTGTTGCACAGGAATTAAAATCTGGAAGGAGTGTTGTTTGTAGGATTGGGGGAGAGGAAGCAGAATGGGTGAGGCAGCCATCCATTCTGTCTGGATTCCTCTTTGGGGATATTGGGGGGGGGATGAATGTTAATTTGCTTCTAGCAGCGAAACAAACTTTTGTTTCCACTTGCTTTGCCAAGCATGAACTGAACTTGTGTTTTCATTTTCTGGGAGCACGGAATGTGTGCTGCCCAGTGGAAATAAGACCATTGCCACGGGGTAACTAAGCTTCCCAGAGATCATTCTTTAGTTTCCATTGGCTTGGGTTAATTTCATCCCTCTTGGGAAACTTCCCCGTTGGAGAACTTGGGTGGCAGCGGTCTTCCTTTTTCAACAAATCAGGGCTGGGCTGGGAACCTTTTTCAGCCCAAGGTCTGAAGTCCCTTTGGCATTATTTACTATGGTCTGCTTGCCAGCAACGGATGAGGCCAAAGTCACAGCCATACATCCACATGCTCCCCCATAATTCACACATCAAAGGAGTCTTCATTTAAGTGACCTTTCTTGCATCCTCCATGCAGGCATCCCCGTGCACTTCAAGGCGTAGGAAAAACCACAAGGCAAAAATATGGCATTTTCATCCATTTTCATTTATTCCCTCTATCCATTCTTACTGCCCCTTTCCCCCATATTCAAGGCTCTTTAGGACTCTTCAGAGGCTTTTGGGGGGGAAAGGGCTGCTTGTTGGCTCTTCCTAGCTAGGTTCCCTTTGCATCCCTTGGGGGACTTTGTAGGCGAACCCTCCTCAGAGGGACAGGGCAGAGCTAGTAAAAGAGAGCTGGGTGATTAACAAGCCTCCCTCCCTTGCAGGCAATTCTACAGTGTCCTGCCGAGATAGTTTACCAGGAGATGATTCTTCAGCCGGAGAAGATGGTCCTGTGGAATAAAACCTTGTTAGCATGCCAGGTAGGTCTTGGCAAACTCAGCTGCTAATTACTTATCCCTAAATTTTAACTCCTGGCTTCAGTCACTCTCAATCTCCTCTAGTCTTTGATGAGGGGCAAAACAAGGAACAAATGAAAACCTTTTGTATGTGCATCTCTCACCGCTGTGAATTGTTGTCTGTGTTTCCCACTTAGGGAGGAAGTTTTGGGCTAGGGTGGATTGTATATTGAGGTCCTTCCTTGATCTCTGTTGGACGTGGCAACCTTTCAAGTTTTTCCTGTCCTACAGTTTCTGCATGCTTCCTTGAGCTCCTCAGAAGCTGCTTGTGATGAAGCTGCCACTGAGTGCCTTGTTTCACCTTTCTTAGCATGAACGGGGAAGCTTTTGCCCCTTGGGAGTTTGACACCATTTGCATGGCTGAGGGATGGGTTGCTACTTCTGCACTGTGTTGTGGGGTTTCTTCCTGAAGTGCCTGCGGGGGAGCAGGCACACAGGGCAAACAATTTCACATTTAGTTGAAACAGAACTGAGGTGTGGCAAAATGATTTAGAAGCGCAAACCATCTAATGGGATAAACCCAACCCTGTTTAAGGCTCTCTGTGGCATTCTGCAAGGTTGTTCGTGGTACAGCTTTTAGATTTTGTTTTCTTGCAAGCATGAGTCCTTCTGTCTTAGTTGATGTCAAAGTCCTACACGGAGCCCTGCGCTCAACTGAACCAAATGCTATCACAATTCCACCCCCCCCCCATGTAACTGGGAATTGTTTTTGTGAAGGTGCTGAACATTTCCCATTAGGTCTCTGTATTTCCCATAGGCAGCATTCCTGGAGAGAGAGAGAGAGACTGTGTTTTCTTAGATAGATGGCAGCAGAGGTAGAGGGAAGCATCTCGTTTTTCTTCTTTCTTGACAGATCTTGCAACGGATTGATGACAACACAACTGTATCCTATGATGTAGCAGCTGGTGCTGCTGCTGGCGTTGTGTCACCCAGGTGAGTCCTGGTTTGGCCTCGACCCTTGACAGTCCTTTCTTTTTAAAGGAGGGTGATGACCTCTTGTTTTGTGTTCCCAGGGACTTCATAAATGTGCGTCGGATTGAGAGAAGGAGAGACCGGTACATTTCATCAGGGATGTCAACAGTTCACAGCGCACGTCCCCCTACTTCCAAATATGTCAGGTATAAAGAGTCCTATGGATGGTGCTTTGATCTATTTTATTACCTGTAGGTTTCCTCCGATGCACTGGCTTAAATCGTGCATAAGTCTTTGACTTTTAATTTCTGAAAAATAAAAAGTTTCATGGGCAATCCACCTGGACAAGATACAATGCAAATTACACTAGCACTTCCCAAAATGAAAATAAGACCTTGGATACTTCTAAAACTGGGTAGCCTAGTATGTAATGTGAAATGAGACAACATGAAACTATATGGTAGTTTTATGCATAATTTAGGGGGACTCCTCAGATATTTAGAAATAAAAATTAAAAGGGGGGATTAACAACCTGGTTAACCAAGGACTGAATGTCTTCTAGAACCAACAGAATGCTAAGCTGGGGTGGGGAGAGAGGGAATTAGCCTGGCTGAACCTCTGATTGTTGTTTTTTTTTAATGATATTTATTAAAGTTCCACAAAGAAAGAATCACATCAACATAAAAAGAAAAATTCAAGAATAAAAAGAAAAATACACAATGCAAAATACAAAAAGAAAAAAAAATTAAAAACAATTCCCTCTTTTCATCACTACTTTTACATTTACTTGTTTCCCGGACCTCCTCATACCTCCCTCTTTTGTATTCCAATTCAGTTTGTTAGTCCAGCAATTCCTTTCCCTCCTTTTTAATCCCAATCCTTAATCTTAATATAGTATAACATTAAATTTTTACCTATTAAAAACCAATTTTTCCATTCTTTTAACCTTTTTAATCCTAATCCTTAATCTTGATATATTTGTAGCTTTAAAGCCTGTACAGCAAGAAGCCACTTAATTTCAATCCAACATCACTCTAACATTCATTAATTTTGCAATATTTCTGTAAGTAATCTTTGAATTTCTTCCAATCTTCTTCCACCGACGCTTCTCCCTGGTTGAACCTCTGATTGTTTAGTATCCTGGAGAGGTGGACATTAGGTTCAGAGGAATCTGCACCACAGGCTAAAATATCCCTGTGCTGTATGGGGAAGTTTTATGAGGAAGCAAAGGGGAAAGGGCACCTTTTCCCTTTCTCTTTCTGCAGAACTAAACCTGAGCTCTTCAGTGCCAAATAGCACAATAGGGGAAGGTTTCATGAGGATGGGGAAACAAGAAAGGTGTTTTGCATGTGACTGACAGTCAGTAACCCTTGATCCTTGGGGAAGTCGCGGGTGTTGAGGTGTCCACTCAAACCAGCTTTTTTTTTTCTTTCCTTTTTCTTTCTTTTTTTTTGGAATGATTTTTATTAAAATTTCAGTGAAAGATTAAACAGAAAAACATAGAAAAAAATACACAAATACACAATACATAATAAAAAACAGAAAAAAAAAGAAACAGAACAATTAAAAAACAATATCACCTTTCCATTTCCGTTTTTGAATTTACTTATTTTCTGGACCTCCCCATACCTCCCTCTTTTGTATTTCAGTCCAAATTGTTTGTCCAGCAATTTCTTTTCCACTTTTTTAATCCCAATCTTTAATCTTAATATAATATATCATTAAAATTTTACCTGTTAAATACCAAATTTCCATTTCCTTCAACTTTTTTAATCCTAATCTTTAATTAGTCTATCTATAACTTTAAATCCTGTACAGCTGGAAACCACTTATTTTTAATCCAACATCACTCTAACATTCTTTAATCACTCAAACCAGCTTTTCAACGAAATGGTTCTTCAGTGCTTCCTGGGTGTCTAGTCCAACTTTGGCTCCCAGCTGCTGGCTTGTGATGAGCAGAGCTCTTGCCCGAGCATCAAGGCCCCCTTTGCTGTTCTCAGAGCCTCTGCCTCAGGTGACCAGCCAGGGTGTCTTGGCTCACCAACTTCATTTTTCTGACTAATAGCATTAAAAAGTCATTGGCCTTTAGCTCAGCGTCTGCGTAGCTGTTGGGGGAAATCTGTGAGAAGGGCAGCGTACATTCCCCACATCGCATGCGCATGATGAAATACAGTGCTCCTTGTCTCTTTGTCTTGATCAAGCTGATTGGATTTCTAGCATTTGAAATGCGTGGGAAGTGGTTGAAAATACGAGTTTTCTACTTCAGGTGTCCACACACTGAAACGGAACAGGCATGACACCTGTTGCACCCTGCTCTTCTCTTGCCAAACACCATTCCCTCTAAACTGCTGCTGCCTTTCTGGTTTCCACTTTGCCAGGCAAGAAGTTCCAAGGGCCCTACACAGCTGGGTTTAGTTTCCCTTGGATGGGGGTGCACGGATGACTTCGGATTACTTTTGTAAAACTTGCTTTCGGTGACAGCAAACACACTCCTCCAGCAAGACAGGAGCTTTCTCTTTTAAATGGGAACTGAGGCACTCCCATAGAAATGCAGCACATGCACAGATGCTCGTGGCTTCTGACGTTATTAATGGCCTGGCCTGGGCCCAAGGTATCTGTAAGAACCCATTCCTCTATGGCCCATGCCATAAAACCCCTGCTGCATGTATCAGCATCTTCAGAAAAGTGCTCAGGGAGGGGGTTTTCTGTCTCATTTTTGGAAGAGGAGGCCTGCCAGGATCTTCTTTGTGCTGGGGACTGAAAAAAGTGTGGCTCTCAAACCGTATCGGGGGATGGGGGGAATTCAGTTACTCATAAGAGGGGGGAAATTGGTATGTGCTTGATATTTTCATGATTTCAGAGTACACTGCTTTGGGCACAGGATTTTATATATCAAGCCCAATTCTATCATGGGCAACCTTCCAGGGGCTGTATGATGGCGGATGGGGTGGGGCCACAGGCAAAAGTAGATGGGGCAATGGGTCTGCCACTTGCAGATATTCCACCCATGAAAAAGCCAGGTTTCTGCAAAACTCTTCCGTTCTCCAGCCAGACAAGCGAGAGACATGGTCGCAGTTCAAAGACACATTCCAATCAGGAAAGAACACTTCCGGGCCAAGCCAGGGGAGAGGGGGCATGGCTTAGGGAGTCCAGAGGGCCAGGTGGAGAGACACAGAGGGCCACATTCAGCTCCTGGGCATGTGGCTCCACACATCTGTTCTAGGTTCTAGGTAATAGCCAGCTATTAAATTGCTTCTGCTGTGACAACTCTCCCCGTTGTTGGCTTTTTCCAGGGCGGAAAATGGTCCAGGTGGTTTTGTTGCTCTGAAATGTCCCACTAACCCGAACCTCTGTACCTTGTTCTGGATACTCAATACAGACCTCAAGGTAAGGCATGTCTTGTCCTTGAGTGTTTTCCGTTGAATGAGCCAGATTGTGACCATTTCTCTCCTGCTCTACCACTGTTGTGTTTTGCTTTTTAAATGGCTCGTTGTCACGTCCAAGGTCTCAAACCTTGGAAATTTCTGGGTCCTGATTAGACGTTTTTCACGTGAATCAAACGGCAGTGTGGCCCAGATGCTGTAGTGGCATTAAAATCTATTCCTGCTCCCCTCTGATGAACGTGGTATGTGGTTGTACTGCTGAGGATCAAGATGTGCCTCGGAGAATGGTCCAAGTAAGAGGTGAGGGCTGCTCTCCCTCCAGAATGCAGAATCAGACCAATTGCATAGCTTTGCTAGCCAATGAGTGCCCTGTTTGGGGATATAACTTGGACCTGATGAGATGAAAGAGAGGTGCTGAACAGAGGAATATGTAGGAAAGAGGGAGATTTTAAGGAAACCCTACGTTGAACCACCCTGAGATCTATGGGTATAGGGGCAATGTACAAATTTAATAAATATAGTGGTAGTGGTAGTAGTAATAGTAGTAGTAATACTATCCTGTGGTGTTTATATACCTAACATAACAGTGTTACCTGTAACAAAATGTTGCGGTGTGACTGACAACCCACTGACACAGTTAAGGATTATCATGCTTGCCAGCTGGGATCAGAAATTGCTCAGTTCTGTGGTTCCTTTCTCTGTGGCATTCTCTTAATCTTATGGTTTAAGGGGAGGAGCCATAGCACCATTGTAGACCGCATGCTTTGCATGTGGAGAAACCCCAAGTTGAGCCACTGGCATCTCCAGGTAGATATAGGGAAAGCGCTCTCTTATGAAAACCAGGAGAGCTACTGCCCAGTCCGTGTGAACCACCCTTGAGGTAGGTGGACCAATGCATGGATTCAACATAAGGCAGCTTCCTATATTCCTGTGTTCATTTCTACTGCCCCAGCTTAAAGAGAGCAGTGGTTGAGCACATGCTTAGCACTGGATGCCTCGGGTTCATTTAGTGGTATCTCCAAGCAAAGGGGATGTTGGGCAAGGACCTGAGAAATGGTGCCAGCTTGGGCCAGGCAGACCACTGCAGCTTCAGAACCTGTATCAGAGTTGAAGATGCTTCTCCGGCCTCATCCTTCGTCTCTTCTTGCAGGGCCGGCTTCCCCGCTACCTCATCAACCAAAGCTTGAGCGCCACCATGACGGAATTTATTTTCCACCTGCGCAAACGTATTATGGAGGTCATGGCGAGGTCTTAGGTTCTTGGAACTCCTTGCTCTGATGTTGCCTTTTGAGCGTGCTCAAACCCAACAAGGTCCAAAGAACTGGAGTACCTTTCTTCTTCTTCTTCTTCTTCTCTCTCTTCCTGCCAGAGAACAAAGACAAAATCTCACAGCTGACGTTCTGGATCAGGCTGAAGAGCCTTTCCTTGTGTCTTCAGGTTGTCAGCCAGGTAAAGGGCTGAAGGTGATGACCAAATGGCAAGAGGGAGGTCGAGACAAAGCAGGTGGTCCGTGCCCAAGCGAATTGGTGAGAAGCACCAAGGTGGCTTCTTCCAGCCTTTCACCGATGATCAAAGTTAACATTGCTACTAGAACTTGAGCCATTTATGGATTCCGATGTGCCAAATTCCTTCATGATCATGCTTCCAGAATCTGCCAAGTGCTTACCTGTATAGCCCCCTTCCTTTCTCCCTGGGTGTAATCATGATTTGTGTGTCCATAAACTTATCCAGTTGCCTTCCATGGCGGAACAGACGTGCACCATCAGATAACCTGCGCACACAGTCACACGGCTGAAGTGCAGCAGGTTAAGCCAGAAAGTGTCCCAGGCACTGCTACTGGTCGTCCACCTTTCAGCATAGCTGTGACGGCGTCATGAGGTTTTACTGCCCGAATGTTTGGATGAAATTTGCCTATTGTATGCTTGGTAATGGCCAGAGAGAATGAAATCTCCTGCCCCCTGTCAAGTACCTGGTCTTCAGTGGTGCACCAAAACTGACACCTTGGGTTGAAAGCATTGCTGTTCCCAGTTCCGTGTTGCTTTATTTTCCAGTTTCTCCTCCTGCCCATGAGTAGCAAAGACTATAAAATAAGCTTCCGTAGACTAAACTGACCCTGTGGTTGGTTGGTGGTTCCTGGGTTTGATTGTGGCCTCATCATTCTGGAGTAGGCTTCAAATGTTAGTAATGGAGGCCAAGATCTATAATTGGTTCTATTGACTTGTTAATATATAGAGAGGCCAGAGCCCTTATCTGCCACTCCAGAGTGTGTGTGTGTGTGTGTGTGTGTGTAGTGGAGGAGCATCCTTGAAAACTTCCTGCCTGGTGCCTATCAGAGCTAAGCATTGAAAGCAGCCTGTTGTTTCATGAAGCATGAGCTGGGTTTGCCATAGAAGTGAGACTAGTATAGACCTATCACCAGAGCAGATGTTTATATTAACCTCCTTCCTTCGCTCCCCAAAGTCCTTAAGTTGCCTTCCTCTGCTTTCCTGCATTCGCTGTTGATAACCAGTATTCTCCAGGTGAAAAACTACGTAGCTCATGAATCAATCTTCAGAGCCTTGAGTTATTGAGTTCTGTGTCTCTCTCCCCACACCCCGCCTTGCTTGGGTGTAGAAAGCTGGAGATGTGGTGGACATAACATCTACAGGCCTTTTGGTCTGCCATTGACTGAGTGGAATCGTCATTTCTAATCCCTTCAGAGGATCAGCTTTGGGACACAGGAGGGTGGGGCAGAAGTGAAATGCCTTTGCTTCAACATAATAAGTGCAATAATCCTGGCACAGAGCTAACATGCAACTTACCAGAAGTGTCCAAAGTTCTTGGCCTCCAGTGTCAACTGTTGTCCAAAGCCATTTGGGTTAAACCGCACTGACTCCTGTGATTCTCCACTGCAGCGGGACAGCTTTCAGCAGAAGTAGTATGGGGGATTGCACAGAGATTGCAGCCTTAAGGCAGATATTTTGTGTTCTCTCCCATCCCACTGCAGTCTGGCTCGTATGTGTGGGAGATGACTTCTCGAGCAATTCCTGTACTTTTAAAGGCTCTAGAATCAGAATTAGTCTTGTAGCAAGAGTCACGCATGGCTGCTTGCTCGCTCAGTGCATTTTAAGACCCCCAAGGCAGGACTTGAGGTCAAAAGGTTGAAATGAAAGCAAATAAATATATTCTGCACTGGATTTCTTGCGGGGAGTAAACTGCACACCTGGCTTACACAACAACAGGGCAACTAGCATGTGTGCCAGACCTGTTCTTGCAGGCGTATTTTCAGCAGTTGAGGGCCCCCCCCCACTTTTGTATACTGGTTTCTTCCCTTTGCCTTGCCTCTGTTTGTGTGTTTTGTGCAGAATTTGTAGGAAGTTCTGTCCCCTCCATCTGATATCTTTGTCGGAATAGGGAGGCTTGTAAGAAGCTTTTCCTATTGTGGGGTGGGGTGAGTTTCCAGACACCACGATAGGCTTCCAGGGATGAAAAGAGGCTCGCCATCCAGGGAAGTTGTCCGAAGTGACTTGCTTTACAATATTTCTGCATTTTTTGCCAGCATCGGAGATTTGCCCGAGTTCCCGTTTCTAAGAATCAGCTATTAATCTTATTAAAGCGCCTTGGGTTATTCGTAAGCATTTCAAATGGACTGTGAAAAGGGAGGCTTACAGACTTCGTGAATCTAATGCACAGAAACTGTTTTCTTTTATGTGTGCATGGGGAGTGGACCTGCACACCTCATTTAAAAAGCCACTTGAATAACACATATGCCTTTTGCATTGATTCTTTGTTACTTGATCTAATAAAATCTAGTGACAACTTTCCTCTGGCTCAATGTGTCTTTCTGCCTAGCATGGGATATCCCTTCACTTTCGAATCTCCATCCATGAAGAACAGAGCAAAAATACCACAGTGAGGCTATGACTCTTTTACCTTAATTGCTGAGCCCTGTGTTCTAGACTAGCTCCTGCTCCTCCTCTCTTTTAACTTATGTGAGCTGCTTTGGGAGACAGTAATTATCTGGAAAGCGGAATAAAACAATTACACAGTTTACTGGCGTTTTGGCAGCATGATCACAACCCTGCTTTCCCAGGGGCAAATCTCTGTGTGTTCATTGGGATTTCCTCCCCAGATCATTTGCCTGGGAATTTCAGAGTGTTCTGTTGCTTTTGCCCTATGAGCAATCCTGGGAAGCAGATTTACTGTTGTTCAGCATTTTACAGATGGAAAATTCTAATATAGAGAGTCTGATCTGATAACACCAGTTAGCAACTTACATTTAGAAACTGCTCACGGGTGCAGTCTACTTGCACAGCTAGTGTGCCACCCAAGTGGTGAACTTCTGCAGGGTTGCAGCTTTGAAGATCTACTGTCCGCATGAGTAGATTACTCCTGTGAGCATATATTTTTTAGCACAAGATAGGATGTTGGCCTTCCAGTGGAAACAAGTCCATGCATGACCCAAGGTCACAAAATGAGTTTTATAGTAGAAGTGGGGACATAAAATTAAATGGAAAAGGCTAAGAATTGCAAATGAGTATGTGGTTATTCTATTAACCCTGGGTAGAGTAAGGCTACTCTAAACAGCCATGACTTCCTCCAAAGACTTCTTGAAACTGAGAGTCGTTTGTGGACCCCTATTCCTGTCCCAGAGCTACAGTTCCCAGAGGTCCCTGTCACTATGGATCGATTGCGGGTTAATCCACTTTGGCAGTTGGGAAGCCATGACTGTTTTTAAACTTTTATCATAGTACTTTAAGGTGGAATGTGGCCCGAGTCTAACTCCAAGGCTGGCCCAAGACATGTTGCTTCCTGAGGCAATGGGCAAAATAACCCATACACATGCTCTTTCCACCTCTAGTAGCCAAATGAGCTGGCCACTGAATCCTAGGTAAAAACGAAAGGTAAAGGACCCCTGGACGGTTAAGTCCAGTCAAAGGCGACTGTGGAGTTGCAGCGCTCATCTCGCTTTCAGGCCGAGGGAGCTGGCGTTTTTCCACAGACAGCTTTCTGGGTCATGTGGCCAGCATGACTAAACCACTTCTGGCGCAATGGAATACCATGATGGAAACCAGAGCTCATGGAAACACTGTTTACCTTCCTGCCGCAGTAGTACCTATTTATCTACTTGCACTGGCGTGCTTTCAAACTCCTAGGTTGGCAGGAGCTGGGACAGAGCAATGAGCTCACTCCATTGAGGGGATTCAAACTGCCGACCTTCCAGTTGGCAAGCTCAAGAGGCTCAAGCGGTTTAGACCACAGCGCCACCCGCATCCACTGAATCCTACTTCAATACTAACAACAGGGCAAAGCACAGACCCTAAGGCAGTTACAAAGGGAGAGGGCAAGATGCACAACACACAACTCTCTTCTCCAACAGAAGGAATGGTTGGGGAGCTCAGGAAGAAGAGCTATGTGGCACCACTGCCTTCTCGCATAAGCTGCCAGAAGCAGTCACCTCACCCTGCCTAATGACAGGACCAGCCCTGCTAGGGTCAAACGACCTACTTGGCAATTAAGAAGCTCTTTGGGTGCAAGCCACTGTCTTGCCCACTGTAACAAAATTGCAAAGTAGCTGTGAGGATAAACTGAGATGGCTCTATTTATGCTACCCTGAGCTGATTGGAGGAAGGGCTGGTTGCAAAAGGAATAGATGGCGGAATTTCTCCCAGTGGATACCACAGCAAGGCCTGGGTTCTGTTCTGCCTTTCCGTGCCTCTGCACCTTTGGCTTCACGTGGCTCCACAGTGTCTTGCAACTCGTCCAATCCTGCGGTCTCGCTTCTTGAAGATACGAAAAACAAACCTACTTTTCATTCCATATCAACACGGAGCCAACATACAATACACTATTTCATACTCTGCAGTTTGTTTTAAAGGCCTTAAGCTATGGCGGAAGGGGGAGAATCTCACATGATCACTGCTTATGATGTGCAAATGATATTTAAAGAGAATTCATATAACTTCTTTGCCTTCCCACCCACCAAGCAGAGTTCCTTTACTACTTGGACTTAGGTCTGCCCCATCCATTTTCTCTCCATCTTCTGTTTTAGCTTTGGTTTTTATTGCGTTTCAATATGCTGGTCTTGAGCCTGTCTTAGCATTTACAACACGTTGCAAGAAAGAGAGAGAGATGAATTTCTGGTACAAAGTTTGCAGCTGCTGTTGTCATATAGAAGAAGAACTGGAGAAGAATCCATTGGTGGTTGGGTATGTGTTACAAATCAGCTTTTTCATTTAGCAAGCCCCGAGCTTCTGCCAAATTTATAATAAGCAATGGCAGACAACGGCATAAATTAAGGTAAGTGTGTTCTGCTTTCAAAGTGATGCTGTACAGAAGCTGGCAGTTCTGGAAGCCATCTCTCTGGAGGTGGGAAGTACAGAATATTGCTGTTTAGGGCCCCAGTTGGCCAGACAACCCCACCCTTTCCCAGGATATTCCATTTCATCCCCACTCCCAACAACCAGATGGCATTTCCTTCCTCCATTAGAGTTCTGTGTCTAAATATTTCAGTTCTACTTTTGCAAATCTTAGCATTCCCCCAAGCCTGCTGAAAACCTCCTCTTCCTCTAATGGTGTTTTGGTTATGTAACTTACAGGATTCATCATGAAAGGATTCCGCCTTTCTTGCTTTCACAGTTTAGCTACTGTTTCAATGTACAGTGCTTTGTTTGAGTCACTATCTTTGTGTGTGCCTTCACAAAAGCCCTCTTGAATTATATGCACACTTTAATTCTAGGGCTGCAACATTAAATGCTTCCATTAATCAGCTTTTAATTAATTGGTCTACTTTAATTGAGGGTGACTTTTTAGTCTGAAAAATTATTGTGAATAAATGTACGTAAAGGTAAAGGGACCCCTGACCATTAGGTCCAGTCGTGGCCAAATCTGGGGTTGCGGCGCTCATCTCGCTTTATTGGCCGAGGGAGCCAGCGTACAGCTTCCGGGTCATGTGGCCAGCATGACTAAGCCGCTTCTGGCAAACCAGAGCAGCGCATGGAAACACCGTTTACCTTCCCACCAGAGCAGTACCTATTTATTGACTTGCACTTGACGTGACCTTCTGATCGGCAAGTCCTAGGCTCTGTGTATGTATGTAGCAAGGCTCAAATCCAAGGTTTCCAGTCGCAACCTGGTATCTACCAGGCTAAAGAGATGCACTGCGCTCGCCGCAGTGGTAAACCTGTGCCCAGGCTGTACTGCTTTGGACTGAAGTTGCAGGAATCACAACATGAAAGAAATGTTTCTATGCATGAAAACAATTAGCTTGTCAGGGAGAAGACTATGCCTCTCCCTCAATATGCTAGCTGTCTCTGTGCAGGGACTGTTTTTGTACAGAGAACAGACCCTCCAAGTGACCCATTATTCATGGACAATCTTGGATTTACAGAAGCTGTCCTGGTTTCTGATTTGATCCCGGAATGTCCTGCTTTTCCATAGAACGTTCCTATTTTCATTGGAGAAATGTTGGAGGGTATGGAATAGAATGTTCCTGGGGCTTTTTTTCAGCTGGAACTTGCCAGCACCTCTCAGGTGGACGCCATTGCAGTCTAAGAGAACGAGGGAGGTGTTCATGGTGAGTTCCAGCACCTCTTTTCCTAGAAAAATAACACTGGACTTCCCTATTTTTGTTGGAGAAATGGAGGAAGTTGTGAGAAGCATTTGCCCATGTGAGCTCCCACTTTCAATCCCAAGTGATAAAGCCCAGATACCAGATACAGTACCTAGGAAGCTGCCTTCTGTTGATCCAGACCATTGCTCCATGTAGCACAGTATGGCTGACAATGACCAGCAAAGGTTCTCCAGGGTTTCAGACAGGGGACAATCACAGATGTCAGAGATTGAGCATGTGCTCTACCACTGAGTTACTTGGTGAGAAGTAGACCTAGGAGTCCTGTCTCGGTTTGAAGAGCAGCCATTGTGATGCTGTTTGTTTGTTTGTAACCTTTCTGTTGCAGCGACACGCTTCAGTATTTCAACAAGTTGCAGAAACGACGGGAATTAGAGGCTGTCAACTTGTGGAATGAACCAGTGGACAAGACTCACGTGGAACGGGATGATGATCATAAACTCCACATGTTGCTGGAGAAAAGGTCAAAAACACGCCGGGGATCAGAGGTATGTTGTCCTCGCGCACGGAATATTTTTGTTTGGGGGAGAATTTAATTGCAAGACATTTGCCCACGTACAGTCTGATATGGTTGGTTCATCTGGAGGAATAAGTACCAGACAAGGATGTCCACAGACAAGAATTATTGTGTATGTGTGCCCACAAACACAGTGATGCATTGATGTAAGCATTAAAATAATATAAACCGGTTTCTAGTTTCTGTCACACTCTAGTGTGACCCACAAATAAAAACCAGCATAGGGCTATGCAGGTGGGGTTGGGTAATGGCTTCCATTGAGTGATGCAACATAGATGCAATCTGCATGGGTGGCATGACCTTTAGGAACAGGGGCCTCAGTGGGGTGCAGTGTGTTAATGCACATGTAGTTGCACACACAAAGCAGCCCTTTAGAGATCCCTGTAATATATAGGCCTTTCTCCACACATACTTTACATGATGGTGGGCATTTTGCTGAAAAACGTAGCTTAGTGGTTCATTCTTTTGATGGTCTCCTTTATCCTGACAAAGGAATACCGACGCTTGAGCTTTGACATCATCGCTCACCGGCAGATCCGTCGGAAGATGAAGGACCGATGGAAGCAAATCCTAGAAGTCTTGGGTACGGTGTCCTTGGGGGATTTCCACCACAGACCAAACTGGAGAGTGTTAGGAGAGCTATTATCCTTACTCACTTTCATTTCTCTCAAGTTTGGTTTTAGTGTTCCACAACTAAAAACTACTAGAGTCTTCTCCCTGTTGACTTTGGAGGAGTGAAGACTATTATTTACCTATCCTTGGCCACTGTGAGAGCAGGATACTGGGTTCCATTCCTATCCAACAGGGCTGCTCTTGTTATTATTTATTGAGTTGGTTTTGGGACTAGATATGGGCATAAATGATCTCTTCCCAATGTAGGATTCAAAGCTGAAGCAGATGGGCTCCTCACTGTCACGTCCAGCACCTCATATGAATCCCTTCGCAATCCTCAAGAGGCCCGCAGGATCCACACTGCCCTGGCCGAGCAGACAACCATTTTTGGCTGGCATCGTGGTGGTCCACCGGAGAGATACCTCTTTGTCATTGTAAGTAGAGGAAGGATTTGGTAGAAACTTCTGTTGGGGCATGTGCTTGTCTGCGCAGTACATCACCGCAGGGACAGAAGCTGTGGGCCTAACCCACAGCGGCATAGAAGCCACCATGGAGGTAGGAGCAGCAAGCAAGCTCCTCCTGATTGTGGTTTTCAAATAACTGCTTCCAGTGTCATGAAGCCTCTGTGAGTCGACTCCTTCTAATGTGCTGATTGGCCTTACGAATCCTTTAATATCTTGCCACCCTCTCCCAAATATTTTTTCCTTTGTCCTCCAAGTTAAGGGTGACGTTTCCCCTCCTCCTAGTGTTGGGAGTGTGATGCCAAGTTTTCCGTTCAACATAGAGGGTGATGCCTTTAGGACAAAGCAATCCTTTTGAAATTCTCCTCCTTCTGCAGGTAGACTTGTTAATGACTAAAAATACGTGGCGTTTGCTTGGTTAGTCAGTTCTCTTGCTTTGAGGGAGAAGGATCTCAGTTTAATCTTTTCCTTTGTCTGGAACAGGACTTTGGTTGATTTCACTGGCATACTATGCCCTTTTAAAATGTGGGGTTTTTGGGGGGTTATAGGTTGTTTTAATTTTGATTATATATTTTGTGGTTTTATATTTTGATTTTGTTTTATGAACCACCCTGAAACCTCTGGGTATAGGGCAGTATATTAATGATGATGATGATGATGATGATGGGAAGAAGAATGTTTTGTTCTTTATTTGCAATAATTAAATAAAGGGTGTGCCAGCTCCAGTCGTCTTCTTCTTCTTCTTCTTCGGCCAAATAGTTTGTTGGGAACTATTTTCTACAACAAAGGGTGGATGTCTCCTAAGCTAGAAAACAGTCAGAGCAGAACAACAATAAATCACTTTATCTCCGTTTCCCCCTTTTGAATGCTTTTAGACTCAGACTTCCTTTAATAAATCTAATTTACATTTTATTACCAGATACTTGTATCTTTGTAGTTAATTACATACTCCAACCCTACCCATTCAGTATTAGGCCTGTGCTACTAAGAACCTGGGAATCTCCCTCGTGACAGAGGCTCCTTGAAGTACTTTGGCCCCTGCCCCAAACAGGGACCATTTCTTCAGTTTGTTTTATATGTGTTTCCCACACATCCTCTGTCTTTTAAAAGCGGGGTGGAGGCAGTTGGCAACAATTACTTTTTTGTTTGCTTAAAGATTTGGGGGATCCCTGACCCCTCTGGTTACCCAAGGATTGCCACTCTCCCTCCTTCCATTATTTTACCTCACAATTACCGTGAGGTAAAATATAATTGAATCCGATATTTACTCCTGGCTTGGTGTGGGCATCATTTTTAAATTTTCTACTTCAGGTGTCTTAGACCAGCTCTATTGTGGGGTCTCAGTGGACCCCAACACTATCACCTTTTTTCTTTATTTTTGTCACCTTTCCTCCCCTAGGACAGGCTGCTTCTCCTTGATGTGGGAGATGAATTCCTGTCAGCGGCTCGGCACTTCTACCCCGTGGAGGATGAAGAGGACGATGGCTCTTCCAGTGATGGAGGACCTACAACACCTGGTCCTGTCTTGGTCACAATGAGCAACGAAGCTCAGGAAGAGATGGAGGAGGGCGTAGACGGGGAATAAGCCAAGGAGAAGACGGAAGTGAGGCAGACACTGAAGAAAGTGCGAAGAGGCGGATGCAACTCAACCTATGGATGGAAGAACGAATGTATTCAGAGTAGACTACTGAACCACAAACCTGTTGGAAACTCCCTTTGACACAAAGAACTTGCACCCCCATTTCCTGTTCATGCTTTGCCCTTTTTCTTCTGTATTAATGTCATGAGTTAACAAATAGCACCGTTTCTCACGACGCTCAGTCTGTAGTTTTCTATAAAACATGAGGGGAACATTTGGAAGGAAAACTTAAACCAAAACATAGAACTGAAATGTTCTCCATGGCCAAAAATGTGGGGCTTTCCCACACACTGCCTTGACACCTTTACTTTAGGCTTTGCCACTCAAGACTCAGAATAACAATAACAGTAACAATAATAATACCCTGCCCACCTGGCTGGGTTCCCCAGCCACTCTGGGCGGCTCCCAACAGAATATTAAAAACACGATAAAATATCAAACATACTCAGGGTGATGAACAATAATATCTCCATATTTTTCCAGGGCGTTTTCTCTTGCCTATGGCAGGGCCAGAGGCTGAGATAATAGAAAGATATCTTTGAGACTCTTTCTTCCCTTTATGAGCTGAACTTTAGTTAGCTATGAGGCTTTCCATGGAGTATAATAAATTACGTATATGACACAGAGGACTCGCAAACTCGTTTTAGCTGAATTCACTTCAGATTCCTTCAGCACTGAGTGTACACACTTCTGGTCATAAGGCTGAGGGTGTGGAGAGGCTCCTTCTGCAGTTCTGCTGCACACGCACCAGAATGTGGAATTTCAGCCTACAATGGAGCACATTGAGAGTCTAGACTTGCCGTCCACATGTTTGCTTTTAAAAAATTATTTATAGGTCTTAGTGTGGTTTAAAAAGGGGCAGGCTGTTGTTCCCACTCTGATGCACTGTACAAACTATCCCACCCCACCCACCAATTATTAGCAGACAGGAGTAGCCGGATATATTCAGCAAAATATGCTAATAAAGGCCAATTAGCTTAATCTGCATGATTTGTACAGCTCACAGGTTTGGGTGTTTGGCACAGAAACTGAGTTACCCTGATGCTCTGTGTTTTTGGGGCCGAGCCTGTTGAGATTTTTTTAGTTTTGCCTGAAGTTGTTCAACTTTTTTTCCCTCCCAAAAATCTCCCCCCCCCCAAAAAAAGAGGGAATTTTAAAAGCTATTTTTAAGGAAAATCACTAAAATCTAGACTTCCGACATGGGTTGCCATACGTCTGGATTTTCCCAGATATTGAACTGATTTCCACCCGGAAACTGTTTCTGACTGCCATATTCCGACTATGTATGGGAAATTCGGGATGTATGGCAACCCTACTCTGTGTGAAAGAGGAGGGCAGGGCAGGAGGTTGTTAGAAGTGGGTTTAATGTACACAACATAGGCATAAAAATGGGGGGGTAACCCCCCGGATGAAGCATAAGCCCCAGGTTCCCAGCTTTCACTTTGAAAAGCGAGTAAAGTGGTACCTCAGGTTACAAACACTTCGGGTTACAGACTCCACTAACCCAGAAGTAGTACCTCATGTTAAGAACTTTACCTCAGGATGAGAACAGAAATCGTGTGGCAGCCGCGGGAGGCCCCATTAGCCAAAGTGGTACTTCAGGTTAAGAACGAACCTACAGAACGAATTAAGTTCATAACCAGAGGTACCACAGTACATGTTAAGCAGTTGTAGAACCAGAGATGCAAGGCAAAAGGTGTAGGCAGGTATCCCTCTCTTTTGTTTCGAGAGAAGCTTGCCTGTTCCCACCTTTCATTTATGTATGTTTGCTCATATATCCAGGATTTGTCCGTCAGAAATAGCATCCGGGTGGAATTTCCAAAAATCACAGAAAATCATGGAAACCCATGTTGGAAGTGTGGATATTATTTTTATTTCTGGAAGTGTTGATTTTGATTTTCCTTAAAAATAGCTCAAAAGCTTCAATTTTATTTTATTTTATTGAGATTTTGCAAAAAGAAAAAAAGAAAAAGAAAGAAAGCTTAACTTAGACAAGTTTGGATTTTCACTTTTTGAAATATGGCAGCCTCATGAGAAGAGAAGACTCCCTGGGAAGCTGGGAAAGATTGAGGGCACAAGGAGAAGGGAATGACAGAGGACGAGATGGTTGGGCGGTGTTATAGAAGCTACTAACATGAGTTTGACCAAACTGCGGGAGGCAGTGGATGACAGGAGTGCCTGGCATGCTCTGATCCATGGGGTCACGAAGAGTCCAACACAACTAAACAACAACAACAGCCCTAGAGTATTTGCTTTCTCTACCACACCTGCAAAAATAATAATCCTGTGGATGTCCATGGCAAACTACATACATAAATGTTGCCCACTGGCCATGCCTGCCTATGAAATGTTTTTTCCTGCCCTTTCTACAAGAAGGGTTGTTTTCTCTCCTCCTCCTTTTCCCTATCCATTTTTGTGTGTGCTTCCAGGCCACCTGTTCTCCTTTCATCACCCTCTTCTCTCCAATCTCTCTGTGTACAACCTGTCCCTGATATACAAGCCGCCCGGAGCCTGGTGACAGGGATTGCTGCTGTCCCTGCCGCTAATCCCCCTGGCTCCTGTTTCTAAATAGCAGAGTCTCCGTTTGCGGGAAACAAAAGGCCCGGCTGGGGAAATTTCTCCCTTTCTTCTCCTTCCCCACAATATCCCAAGCATGCGATGGACCCAGGACGGCCTTTTCCTGGAGTCTGGATCGCAGGTTTCAAGCATCCAGCCTAGAGGTTGGCAAGAAATATTGGAAACTACTCTACTTGTCCCTCTTGGCAGAGACATGCAAACACATATATCTCTTCCTGTCACTATCCTTTCTGACAGCTGAGAACTGCTAGGTAATTAATGAGTCTTCTTCTCTCTCCCCCCCCCCCCAAACCTCCAGCTCATTTAACAACTTTCCTTGTGATGATTTTGTTCTTCCTTGTCAAGGTTTCTGTGGTTTTACACCTTTCGCAGAAATGTCGGGCCTCTTGGAAGGGATTTTCCTGCCTGTGTGCACAGATGCCCACGTTAACTGTTGCACCCTGGTTTTGAATTGAAGAGATTGAAAACAGAATCACTGAACTGTCAAGTTGCAAGGGGTACCACGAGGGTCACCTAGTCCAACCCCCTGCAAAAGCAGAAATCTTTCTGCCAACATGGGGCTCAAACCCACCACTCTGAGCTTAAGAATCTCATCCTCTACCAACTGAGCTATCCAGGGTCAAGTCACATAATACCTTTATATGAATACGTTGGTGCAGCCACTTTTGGAATATCATCTACCCATATCATAGAGCTAGATAGTACAGTGGTACCTCGCAAGACGAAAAACTCGCAAAACGAAAGAGTTTTTGGTTTTTTGAGTTGCTTCGCGAGACGAATTTCCCTATGGGCTTGCTTCGCAAGACGGAAACGTCTTGCAAGTTTGTTTCCTTTTTCTTAAAACCGTTACAGTAATACAGGGTGCATTGCTTGAAGAGGTGCAGTTGCGACTTGACTTCGAGGAGCAACTCATAGCACGTGGTGTGGTAGCCTTTTTTGAGGTTTTTGAAGACTTTTTTGAAAAAATGGAAACCGTGCTTTGCAAGACGAAAAAACTCGCAAGACGAAAAAACTCGCAGAACGAATTAATTTCGTCTTGCGAGGCACCACTGTATGCTTTTTAAAAGAACACAACACAACTGTGTAATGTTCAACTAAACCTGCAGTCCAACATACCCACCTCAGAGTAAGTCTCATTGGCCTCAGAGGGACTTACTTCTGAGCAGATTTGCATAGGATCACGCTGTAAAATGATGAAGGGCTTGGAGTATCTTAGAGCATCCTGCGGGGAGCTAGATGGAAACTCAGTCCGATTTGGTAGGGCGCAGTCGGAAGGGATGGCAACGTGCTCTCCTTTGACCCCCCCTCCCCACAAAAGGCAAGTGGGGAGGGCTAAAACCTCTCTTTCCTGCTGGCCCATTGCCTTCTGAGGCACAACTGGTGATCCTTTGCATGTGGAACTCCTTGCCCCAAGACTTCTCTGTGTTCTACCAACAAATAAAAGCTTTCTTTTCCCAGTGGCTTTTGGTTCTGCTGCGGCTCAGTTTAATTTAATTCGTCAGCCTGGGTTTATTGTTTTCTTGCTCTGTGCTGCATTTGTGTTTTTACTGATGGATTGTTGTTTTTTTGGTATGCCTTTTATATTTTATAAGCCGCCTTGAGCAACTCTTTTTTTGTAGTGGGGAAAGCAAGGTATAAATCTTTGTGTAAATAACAAAATGGCAATAAGTGTGTGTGTTTTGTTTGTTTTTCCCAACTGCCTAAGCCTTAACAGTCTCACTCCCTTCTTGGCCCTGAGCAAAGGTCAGCATATTATGATCCTCACTATGGGAAAACAAATAGCTACTCCTCTGTTTTTTTGGCTAGGGGCCTTGTAGGAACAGCAAGCCAAGTTATAGTCCCCCTGGGACACAAGTGTGCTGGTAAGCCTCACATTGATGCTTCACTCAACCCAGTCTACAGCTGCCTCCCCCTCCCCCTGCATTGGTTTTAAAAGCTGTATGTGGTGTTGTTGTTAAAGATACCCTCCCCTTCCCAATCCCTGTAGTTCTCCTGTAACATTGTCCTCATACTTTACATACTTTACAAAATGAGCTTCACCACCTGCAGCATAGCAGGCCGTCTAAAACATGGCATAGTAGGCTGACAAATGCATGGCACCCGGGAGCAGAGCGATACCTTTATGCCCATTCCTAATCCTGCTTTTACTGGGGCATGGCAAATGTGCATCCCCCTTAGAGGAGAACGTATTTAATCCCACCCCACCAATTTCCTCTTGCAAATTCCTCTGAGAGTATTCTCCTCTCCCAAAGTTGGGAGAGGAGGTGAGTTAATGGGCAGTGGGAGGCAGGGAGAGTTATGCAGTGTCACACACACACACACACACACACACACACACACACACAGGCACGCACACACCAGCCTCCTGCAGCTGTTCCCATGGTATGGGCTGAAGGCACAGAAGGTTGCCACCTTGCTGAAGCTAAGCAGATCTGTGCCTTGGATGGGTGTTTGCCTGAGAACTACATGCCTGGAAAAACACACTGATGCCACTTTGGGTTCTATAAAAGAAGAAAACTAGAATATAAATGTATAGTGTTAAAAAGTTATCCACCCTATCTCCCCACATTACTGGTGCAAGATAACCATGAGTTTTGGCAGCACTGGCTGCCATTTTTTCCCTATTAAACCATCATTAAATGTGGGATTGACTGTACCCTTGCACCACCCGTCTTATCTTAACTAGGGGGACATTATTGGGATTTCAAAGGTGGAATTGAAGTCTGGGAGGAATCTCCCAAAAGTGGCACTTTGTCCTGGATCTTAGGCAAGTCAACTTTGGGGGGTCCTGGTTTTTACTTTTTGAAATACAGCAACCCTATCTTAGCTGAATATCTTATTCATAGTTAATATTCCCCATACCTAATACAGTGGTACCACGGGTTAAGAACTTAATTCGTTCCGGAGGTCCATTCTTAACCTGAAACTGTTCTTAACCTGAAGCACCACTTTAGCTAATGAGGCCTCCTGCTGCTGCTGCACTACCGCTACACGATTTCTGTTCTCATCCTGAAGCAAAGTTCTTAACCTGAGGTAATATTTCTGAGTTAGCGGAGTCTGTAACCTGAAGTGTATGTAACCTGAAGCGTATGTAACCTGAGGTACCACTGTAAACGAGAAGGATGCAGGTGGCGCTGTGGTCTAAACCACTGAACCTTGGGCTTGCTGATCAAAAGGTCAGCTGTTCGAATCCCCGCGACGGGGTCAGCTCCCTTTGCTCGGTCCCAGCTCCTGCCAACCTAGCAATTCAAAAGCACATCAAAGTGCAAGTAGATAAATAGGTACCGCTCCTGTGGGAAAGTAAACAGAGTTCCCGTGTGCTTCTCTGGTGTCAGTGTTCCGTTGCGCCAGAAGCGGCTTAGTCATGCTGGCCACATGTCCTGGAAAAACTGTCTGCGGAGCAGACAAATGGCTGCTCCCTCGGCCTGTAAAGCGAGAGGAGCGCCGCAACCCCAGAGTCGTTCGCGACTGGACTTAACTGTCAGAGGTCCCTTTACCTTTTAATAAATGAGATCCTTGGACAAGAGGGTGATACATGTTAGTTCATTTTGCTGCAGTTTGTAACTTTCTTCCCCCGCAACCCTTTGGGTTGATGAGGGAAAATGGGCTGCAACCTGCAGGCTGAGTTTCAGAGGAATCAGCAGGACTGCTTCACCCAGACCAGAAGTCTCCTGTTTCCTCTGCCATCCACACCACTTCCCACGTGCTGGATGCTCTGACCTTTGGTCACGTTGGAGAGGTTTGTGCTGTTATGTTAGGAAGTGGTCCCACGTGGAGGGGAATGCTTTAAAAAGAAAATGGGGGGGGGGGGGAGAGGAACAGCACACAGAGCAGGCAGTTACCGCCTAGAAGGCTGTGCGCTTGGTTGTGTATGTGCTAATCTGCCAGGATTATCTTTTTATGGTTTATTTCATGGCCTTTGGAGACAACCGCTCTCACTCTCCCGACTCACCTGCCACCCAAATAAACAAAATACAGTTTGCCTCTCCATCCAGAAAAGGACACACTGATAGTCCCCTGCCAAGTCCTTATTCTATTTTTAAAGCACAAACCCATTTAAAGACCAAGGCGAGAGAGAGAGAGAGAAGGGAGCATCTTTCCAAATACAGGAGTGCAAGAATGCTTTTAAATCAGGGGAAGCTGATAAGAATGTGTGCTTGGGAGAAGGGAAGGCTCTGCTCCAGTTATTAGAGGTCAACAGTTAATGGGGTGGTTGGTGGTGGAGGAGGGGGGCAAACCCTGATAAGGTGTATTATTGATTAGTGACCAAAATGTCTGTCATGATGGCCTGTATGTATGAAAAGGTTATTTGTTTATTTGGGGGGGGGGATAAACAAACTGCCTCAACTGCTCCATTTCAGACCACAGGTGTGTGCTCTCATCTGCAGGTCCTCTTTCAAAGGCAAGATTCCCAGTTTGCATTTTTCAAAACAATACCACCAGACCCTCCATGTGTCCCTTTTTTCCAGGGATAGTCCCAGATTTACAGAAGCTGTTCCAGTTTCTGATATGATCCCAGAATGCACCGCTTTTCCTTAGGATGTCCCTATTTTCACCGGATAAATATTGGAGGGTATGGAGTTATGCAACCCCCGAGCCAAGGAGATAAGTGACTATACAACCTTCAGGAGACATCTGAAGGCAGCCCTGTATACAGATTTTTTTTTTTAGTGTTTAATGTTTTATTCTGTTTTTATATATGTTGGAAGCTGTCCAGAGTGGCTGGGGTGGGGTATTATTATTATTATTATTATTATACAGGACACCCCTACTTTCATCAGAGGAATGTTGGACGGTATGCAACACACAAACCGAAACGCAGCAGTCTTCTGAAATTCACACTTCTCTGAATTTTGCAATGCAGCTTTCCAGCTAAGAAAAATGTACCAAGAACACACACACAAGCTGGGATAAAATGTGCATATAAATGCATATGATAGTGAAAAGAACATACAAACTGCATTGTACGAAGGGGAATTGCTTGACAATACTGTGTACGTTAGGCAAATTTGCGTGCAAAGCTGTGCGTACCAGGGGAAATTCTCATTAAAATGCTAATGAATTTTCACGAGGTCTTTTTAAAACATTGCTAACGGATGTGGGAAATGGGATTTAAGACTGGGAAAACTGGAAAAGGAAACGCTACTTGCTGGTCTCTGTTCCTTTTTTGCAGCTGTAGGAGCTCGGTGGTCTTCAGCCCTTTCAGACGCTGTTGCTGCTGTTGGGTTTCACCTTAGACCAGACCGTGGCACAGCAGTGGGTCCTGACCCCCCAGTGTCCTAGCTGACAGCATCTCTTTTGCTCTAACCCTTCAGCAGTGCCCCCCTCCCCCATATATATAAATAGTATTCAGGAATCCTGGCTCTGAGCCTGCCGAATCACACTGTCTTCCCAGTAGAATTGCTAGAAGAATTTGGCAGCCTTGTTGGTTTTGGGTTATATAAGTCCCTCCCAGCCCACTCCATACCTTGTACCATTGCCAAATGCCCTGGCCCTGCTCTGGCATCACGAACCTGGCCCAAAGGCTTGGATTAGCTGTCCCATCCCTTCCTCCTCCCACCACAGGGTCTCGCCCACATCCCCAAGGGGCCAGATCACTAGGCCTGCCCCGTTATGCCCGTCATCCTAGTGACCTTGGGCTCCTCACGGGCAGAGACATGTGAAGGCTGGGCTGCAAAGGGTAGCCCGAGCCTGTACATATCAGGCTATCTTTGGGGTCAGTCGCCAAGGTCTGCCCTAACTTTGGTTACTGTTTGTAAGAGACAGTTTGGTTTCGGAGATTGCTAGGGAAGGGGGGAGCTTGTGCATGGAGTGGGATGGTTATTATCTGAGTACAAGTGGGACCAACAACAAAACGTTGCGCTGTGTTCCTCTTCAGTGTTCCAGCCAGCCAGCCAGCCAGCCATGCCCTCTTCCAGGATACCATTCCCTCCTGTCTTCCCCACTTGTGTATCCCAAGTTGGTAGCCATTACATGTCCCTGAGTATGCTCAGGTCCTATTGCACTGTGGAGTGTTGCTCTTCAGTGTTCCAGCCAGCCAGCCATGCCCTCTTCTAGGATACCATTCCATTCCCTCTGCCCCATTTGCGTGTCCCAAGTTAGGAGCCATTACATGTCCCTGAGTATGCTCAGGTCCTATTGCACTCTGGAGTGTTCCTCTTCAGTGTTCCAGCCAGCCAGCCAGCCATGCCCTCTTCTAGGATACCATTCCATTCCCTCTGCCCCATTTGCGTGTCCCAAGTTAGGAGCCATTACACATCCCTGACTATGCTCAGGTCCTGTTTGTGTGCTTCCCTCAGGCTGTTGCTACACAGGTTGCTGGACAAGATGAGCCACTGAGATGACCCCACTACTCTTATGACAAATGTGGCACTGCCCAACCAACTTTGGTCTGCCCTCAGCTAGCCCCCACCTGCCTGCCTGCCTTCTTACTCACAACACGCCCAGAGGGTGGCCTTCCTTGCCTGCTAGTACCGTCCTCCTTAGTATCAGAGTTGCCGTTGCAGAACTCAGCAGGGGGACAAAACTAAAATGAGTTGGCTCTGGCTCTGCCTACTGCTCAACTGCCCCAGTGCTCCCCCCCCCCCCGAGGGTACTCAGGGGTTATGTAGTATTGGCACCTCCTCTCCCCCATGTTAAAATTGTGGCACTTAGTGTAAGAACTTCATGGTGAGTACAGGCACCTGTTTTTCTTTTAAAAAGGCACTAGCACAGCCTACCATTTTTGTTGGGCACCAGACACCGCTGCCTTGACTTCTTTGGCCATGTGAAAATTACAGGAGCAAGGCTGCTTGCTGCATTCCTGCAGTGTGTGTGTGTGTGTAGGGGCTGCTATTTGCACCGTGCAAAACAATTAGAGCCCCAACAGAATTCTGGGATATGTTTACACATGTGACAAACCCGAATGTGATCCACCCTTCCGAAGGAGATAAACACATTCCGCGCTGCTCACACCATTCCTTAAGAGCACAATGCCAAGGAATGGTCTGGTCAGACAGCAACCCCTACAAAGGTATCTCATGCTGTTGGGCTGAATTTCTAGAGGCGTAGCTGCCTTGGCAGCAGAAGCAACAAAGAGGTCTGCAGCCTAAGGAAAACAAAAACAAACATAGGACGAAGCTGCATTATACCAAGTCAGGCCATTGGTCTGTGTTGTGTTATTAAAAAAAAAATTAAGGGACACACATTCCACAGCAAACCATTCCTTCATCCTTCAAAATTAGGAAATATTCTCTGAAGAAATAGACACTTTATTTTAGTACATAGGTCAATACCAATGTCATCTTGGCTCTCTTGGTAACCCCAAATATTTCCCCTGCAGTAAAAGGAAATATCCTGGGAAAACCTTTTCTTTTCACCTACAAATCCATCAAATCCTGTGTATGAATAGGAGAGGTCTATGACAATGGTTTCAGAAACTAGGGCATTTACCATTTCAAAAGAATGGTCCAGTCTGGCCCGGGTAATGCATTCGGCAAGCATTATCATGGATCTTGACAGACAGCAGACAGGCCACACGCTCAAATTTCTGTTGTAGACCTCTTTCTGTAACGATTCTATGATGCTTTTGGGTGGTCTTTGGCTAAGGACTTGGGCAATTTCTAAAATCTTTAAAAGTTGTTACACACTTTTGTTCCGGTTCCTCACCATCATGAAAGGTGGTGGTGGTGGGACTCCGTTGCCACACAAAAATAAATATATCCCTTCCTTCTTTCTACTGATTCCTGCCTCCACCCATTCTTCTCTGACCAATCATGGACATAGGGGACTCTGAGTCCCTTGGGAGATTTGGGCTGTAAAAAGCAACCCCAAATTTTCGTATAACTTAGGGTGGATCTTCACACAAGAAAAAAAACATGCTATAAGTAAGTCAGAAATTAAATCGTTATAACAAATAAAGAAAACGCTATGGGAAATCGCAAATATTTTATTTATTTTTTGCTCTCCAGCACCATATGGTGTTGCATGTTTATAACACGTTCAAAACACTGTTTTTTGACTAATGTAGCTGAGTCCATAGTCCACAGTGACTGGCAGTAGCTCTCCAGAATTTTAAATAAGTATTTCCGTCTCTGTCTGCGGGCACCAGGGTTTGGACCTGTGGCCTTTAGGATACAAATCACAGGCTCTGCTACTGAGCAGCCCTTCCCTTGTGGCACTTTTAAGACTAGCAAATATATTGTGGCAGAAAGAGTCGTCCGCTTGACTCCACAAAACCTTATGCCACAATCCATTTTTAAAGTCTTTTAAGATGCCGCAAAACTCACTGTTGTTTTCACATAGGCTGGAGACAGACGTAGGCCTTTCCAGTGAACTCAATGGCTGCATTCTGAGGTGTTTCTTTTCAAACTCCACATGACTTCCAATGCTAAGCCTGCCTTCAATCATAGATTTACTCCCTGGATATGTCCTGGATATCCTTAGGGAGTCACGGATTTTGACAAGGGTCTACATGCTTTGATCTTTGTGAATATGCAGTTAGCTAGCTATAAACTGTTAGCTAATGAATTGGCTCAGGCACATTTTCAACAATGGAGCTCAGGGGATTTGTGGAGTTGGGTGGAGATTTCGGTGAAGGGGGGGGGAATATTTGCTGATTCAACATCTCAACAACATCCAGGACGGAGTTGCAAAAAGATGTTGTGACTTAAAAGGACAACTTGCAATCACTTTTGTGTGTGTGTCTCTGTGGGTTGTGTTTACCTAACTTTTACTCAGCGTATACCCATGGGGCTATACTACGCTGTTAGTTGAATACAGCCCATAATAATTGGGGAGGTCCATGCTCCTGTGCAGTACCTGTGTGTATGTGTGTTTGAAGGGGGACTTCCATTCACACATCCTGGTGTGGGGATGACTGTGATGGAAGAGTGCTTGTTTTGAGGGTGTTTTACCTCTGGTAAGTAAGGAGGATTTTGCATTCATACACATGTAGCAGCAGCTCCAGGAGGGAGAGATCCCAAATGGAGACACAGAAGCAGCTTAATCCTGCTCCTTCCCACTGTTTCCCTACTGCAGTTCTTGTCCCTGTGGGCTCCTCCTTCCACCACAAAGTTCCAGCCATGTTCATTTGTAAGGGTAAATAAACCATGTTACTTTCCCTCTTTCCCCAATGGAAGTCACGTGAACAGCTGCGTGCTCCTTGACCAACGCAAGCTGGACTGAACCAAACTATGCCAGCCAATTTGATGTTTTGTTTCCGAAAGCAGCAAGGTAAGGTTTGCTTGGTTTTGCTTTGCTTCCTAAGGTGTGTTGCAGCATGAAGTGACCTGAGAGACGGACGTCTGCTTGTGAGGTGGCACAGAATCAGTGGCCGACTTGGCTTTCTTCATAGCTGGGACACCAGCTTCCTTTCCTTTGCACCCGTTGGACGTCTGTGTCACTCTTAAGGGCGCACATCCCTTGAGCATGAAAAAGAGAGATGAGCAACTTTGCCGGGCAGCCTGACAAAAATGCAAGGTCTTTGAAATTAAGGAGGTCTTTGAAATTAAGGAGACATTTTTTCTGTCATTCCCCTCATTTTTATTTATCTTATAAGAATACAATAAATCACCATACAGCATTCCACCATGATCAATATTTTTTACTTTCTTCAAAAGTAAAGCAAAGGACAAGAAATACAGGACATTCACAGTGGATTTCTCTACAATTCTTAATGATTTGTCTATAGTTTATCATACCCTATGGGGAGGAGTCATGAGGTGTAAAACCAAATCTGTTTCTTGAACCTCTTCTGTCCAGGTTAAACCCTCTTCCTTTCCTTCTCTATTAGCCCCTTAATTCAACTTTGGCTCATCTTCACCTCCCCAAGATGCAGATGTTCCTCATTATATATGCATTGGGAAATTTTTACTGAGTCCCTGTACCCCAAGTCAGGTCTATCTGGGGAGGAGGGTGAGAGAACGTCACCTCAGAAGTTGTTTAGTCCCATTAACCTCTCCCCGTTCCTCAAGTACAACATTCGGATTCCTCTCCACCCACCAAACACCTGCGCAGGCCACATTGGCTGAAACAGAACCTGGAGCATCGCCAATGTCTTCCATACTCTCTCACTTGCCGCTAACCCTTCAACCTTCCTCTTCTTTCTGCAAGGAACCCTCATTCTCTCCTGCTAAGCTCACGAAGCAGGGCTCCCATCATCATCCATCTGCAAATATGTTTCACCCAGCTATGTGAAACCACAGGGAGGAGGGCCCTGAACCTCCATGAGCTGCTTTGTGCATGATGTTCTCATTGTTTTCTTTTTCTCTCTCCTTTAATTCAGGGGCTCTCCCTAACTCTCCCTGGGGAGGTAGTCCTTTTTAAAAATAAAATAAAATAAACACCACCGCAATGCACGGTGCAGAAAGGAAAGCACTGGTGGCAGAAGTGCACGATGCTGTACATCTAATATATACATTCACACACAGAGATAGTCCTAGTCCTAGTCCTTGCCCCCACCCCCAAGAGTTCTCCGTTGGAGTCATCAAGGTGGCTTCGATCCTACCAAACCTTTTCTATGTGCCTGGGCCCCTTCGGATTGTCCTCATGCAGCAACAGATGTGGGGGGCCACCACCCCCGAGGCATCCAAGCCAGTTCCCGAAGGAAAGTCCTTGCGTTGGGGAAGGGTCCCGTACGCTCAGCCTCTCTGGGCATCCTGAGACATGGAACGGGACAAGGAGCGGGGCAGGCCTTTCTTGAAGTTGGGGCAGGTGGGCTGGATGACGAGGGGCAGCTCTTTGGTGATCTCGGCCACAGATTTCTTGTCGAGACACACGCCGGCTGCCGGCAAGGACTCCACAGACTCTGAGGGGGTCGGGGCGAGCTCCCTGGCGCTTAGCTTGGCCGGTGTGAAGATGGGCAAGGGCAAAGGCCTCTGGTAGGGCAGGTGGTAGGAGGTCAGAGGTTCACCCAGCAGACCCAAGCGAAGGATGCCCCATGGAGACCTCTGCACTATGACCCGGGCTTCCTGTTGCTGGCGGTAAGTTTCTCTGCGCTGTTTGTCTGCTTCAAACCGAGACCAGCTGCGGAGAAAAGGAGTCAAAAATTAATCATAGATTCACCCCACAGCTCGGCTTCAGGCAGGGGTGCCCAAACTTTTTTCTTTTTTAAAAAAACTTTTCATTAAGCAATTTCTACATAACAAATTATCAAACCATATAATCACATACATTATTTTTTCCTTTTTCCCTCCCCCTCCCATCCCTCCCTCCCCCCTCCCACCAAGGACTTCCCTCAGCTCCTCTCTCTGATTTCTCTGCACATATTATTCTCTGCATGTTATAAAATTATACATATCCTTACCTTATCTATCTATCATGTTCTCAGCCAATAAATTTGTGTATGTTTATTCAAAACCTGCCAAGGAGTCCAGTTCATTTTGTTGTCTTTTTAGATAATTTGTAAAAAATTTCCATTCATCCTTAAAGTCACAGTTGTCCTTGTCCCTCAGTTTGTATGTCAATTTAGCCAACTCTGCATAGCTCATCAGCGGCAAGAGTCTTGATAACACAAGGATGGAAGAATGAGGAAATCCCAACAAACTTTTTTCAAAGAGGGCCAGATTTGGTGAAGTGAGCATGTGTGAGGGCCAACCAGAGTTGTTGACCTTTTTTTAGGATTGAAGTTCTTGAGCTTTTTTGGGGATTTTACCTACAGACACCGCTAAACTAGATGGCCCAATGGGTTCAGTTTAACGCAGCTTCCTAGTTTCCTATGCTCTTCTTTGCTGAAAAGGTTGACAAACAGAGACTAGGCAGCCATCTGACAGTGATGCCCCAGCTGCATCCGGTGTTACAGATCCTGCACTGAGCAACACCTCCTTCTGCTATTCTGTGCATCCTCAAAGCCCCCTCTCCCAGCCTTAAAACCCCACACGCCTTACCATCCCAGCCCTAGCCTGGCAAATATGATTAGACTGCTTCATACCGGGCGAAATACTTTCTCCCCTGATTTCATACTCATACAAGTGTGATATCCTTGCAAAGGGTTAGAAAGGAAAGGGACAGATTAACCGGAGGACAGATGTAGCACTCAAAACCAAACCACCACAATCGCTAAAAGCAGAGGCTCCGCTTTCATTGTCAGCGGTGAGCGAAGCAGTGGCCGCATTTGCTGAGGGCACCAAATTATTCAGAGCGGGGCGGGGGGGAGCAAACAGCGCCTGGAAATTAGCTCCGAAAGGATCTCTACAAGCTGAGTGAATGGGTAATGAAATGTCTAATGTGCCTCAATGTCATGCACACTGGGGCAAAAAAGCCCCCTAACTTTATACACTGTTGGGGCCTGAGCTGTCTCCCCCTGCCCTTCCTCTTTGACATGTCTGGCATCTCCAAGACTTGACTGTATCATAGAGCCATAGAGCTGGCAGGGACCCCAAGAGCAATGCATGTTTAACCTCTCCCAATACTTGGCTTTATCTAGGCTTCCTTGGGAGGACCCAGCCAGTAGACTTCTGTAACAAATACAAAGCCGCCTGGCTGGATTATAACAGTTTGGACCAAGCCTATCATCCCCACCAGACCCAAGCCCAACACTCACCCTTCCTCAGGCCTAGCGGTAAGTGAGAGGTCCTTCCATTCCGCACTGAAGGATTCCTTCCGGGATGTGTCTCTCTCGGATACCTGGCAGCTCAGTTCGGCTGCGGCCAGGTTCCCTGAGCTGCGAAGGACCACGGTCTTTCCGTGCATCGTTGTGTCTGGGCTTCTGCTCGAACTAGGATGAGTTCTCGGAGTCTCCCTTCGGTCTAGTCTATTGTGCCTGCTGCGGGTGATTTATATAGGTTTCCTGAATGCCGATTCCAGAGGGGTTGGCATTCAGAGCTATATCGGTCTTGCAAAGTCACCGGTGGAGCATTCTGATACCGGACACCTCCCCTCCCTTCCCCCTGGGTGCGTTTGCTACTGGAAACCAAATTTGTGACGTGACAATATTTTTTTATACACTTTTAACCCTGTCATTTCCTGGCAGCAACTTGTGGCTGTCGACGGGCCGTTTCATTAATTTAGCACGGAAGATCAAAACACGCACTATTCTGAGACGGGAGCTGGAGAGACACTATAGAAATAATGTTTGTTGCCATTTAATTTGGTGCTTCCAATCTGGGCCCACTGGAAGCCAAGACACAAGGGCTTCTTTTGATTCTCAAGAGGGATACCGGGTCGTTGCCTAGAGAAATATCTCTTTCAGTTGCTGAGGCTCAGCACCACAAACATATGAGGCACTCTCCCTTTGCGGTTTCCAACAACGGGTCTGTCACTGTGAGAACAGGATGCTGGACTAGATGGGCCGTTGGCCTGATCCTGCAAGCTCTCCTTATGTTCTTATGACTGCTATTTAGAAGCATTACTGCCTCTAACTGTGGAGGCAGGTCATAGCAACAGCTTTCTATAGCCCTCTCCTCCATGAATTTGTCTAATACTCTTTTAAAGCTGGTGGCCGTCTCTGGCTCCTCCAAATATTGAAGCCATGGCACTATTTGATAGTCAGCACACAGCGGTATATGCAGTGGTTTATGCCGCATGACACTATTGAATAGAAGTCGATATTTAGTATTTGACAACTTATAGGTGCCCATATTCGTCACCTGTCCAAAGAACCAAGTCACCAATGTCTAATGCAGTGGGAAGTTCACAATTCCTCAGTGGCAAGAAGAGCATGTATGGCATACCCTCCAACATTTCTCTGATGAAAATATGAATGCCCTAAGGAAAAGCGGGACATTCCAGGATCAAATTAGAAACTGGGATGGATTCTGTAAATCCAGGACTGTCCCTGGAAAATAGGGACACTTGGAGAGTCTGAGATCTGGATTCTAATCTCTGATCCGCAGTGGATTTTACTTCCCTTGTATCATCTGTAAAATGGGAATGTGTTTAACTTCAAGGGTAAGTAGTGATTTCGAAGGAGGTTGAGCATTTTATGTGAAATCCAGTTGATTACTAGGGAAAATGCAAATGTTTAATCCAGGGGTCAGCAAACTTTTTCAGTCGGTCCACTGTCCCTCAGACCTTGTGAGGGGCCGGACTATATTTTTTGGGGGGGGGGAATGAACAAATTCCTATGCCCCACAAATAACCCAGAGATGCATTTTAAATAAAAGCACACATTCTACTCATGTAAAAACATGCTGATTCCCGGACCGTCCGCGGGCCAGATTGAGAAGGCAATTGGGCCACATCCGGCCCCTGGGCCTTAGGTTGCCTACCCATGGTTTAATCTCCCCCCTTTCTCTTGTTCACTCTTCATCTCAGATGGGAAGGTTTTTTGAGAAAACACATGGTTGCCGGAAGAAGACTGCTGTGACATGTGGCCTCATCCATGTTGATAATGAGAACGCTTACCGTTATGATCTCATGTGCTGCAGGGATACTAATTTCTGTAATGTACATGACCCTGTATATGATCTCCTATGTCCCTACGATGTCACTATGCTGACATAAAATCTCAGCAGAATTTCTGGAACTTTCTGGAGAATGAAACGAACTTAGGTGTCCTGCCTCTGACGAAGACAAGTTACGAGCAAGGGGATGCGATTCAGAAAGGCATTTGGTGATGGATGGATGGATTATGGGATTCACCGGCCGGAGAGGTTTGCACTGAGCCAGCACAGCTGAGTAACGACGCGTCTGATGGATGAAGTCATTGGGAAAGAAACATCTTTCCAACCAATCATTCCCCCTCCCCTCACTACCCCACTCTGGTTTCAGGAGGACCAACAGCCCTCCCTCCTTCCCTTCTTCTCTCTCACACAGACACAGTGCCAGGTTCAAAGGCACTTTCGATCAGCCCCAGAGACAGAATGTCAAAACTTTGGCATAACGGGGAGAAAATGTCCTGAGTGGATTGAGCTGTCTCCTCCTACAGGGTGAGGTGGGGACAGGGGGCAACGTGACAAGTCGACTGGGCAAAAAAGTCACTCAGTAAGGAGTGTTGTGGGCAGAGAGGGCAGGACTCTTGATGCACATGTCTCTCTGTGCGTGCAAGAGATTGTGGGAGGTATTGGTTGGAGGGAAGGCAGAGGGTGGCAAAGAGAAGGAAAACCAGTGAGTGGTGTGTCAGGCCTTGACCAGGCAAGAAGACTGGGCTCAAATCCTGGTACGAAGGTCACTTGAGGCCAAGTCATCCTCTCACAACCTAGCCTGCCACACAGGGTCATTGTGAGGACAAATGGTTAGAAGCGTAGGCATGCGTACCCTCCAACATTTCTCTCATGAAAACAGGGGCGCCCTATTCCATAACAACAACAATAACAATAATTTTACTATTTAAACCCCACCCATCTGACTGCTTTTGAATTATCGTGCTGGAGGAGACTCTTGAGAGTCCCATGGACTGCAAGAAGATCAAACCGATCCATTCTGAAGGAAATCAGCCCTGAGTGCTCACTGGAAGGACAGATCATGAAGCTGAGGCTCCAATACTTTGGCCATCTCATGAGAAGAGAAGACTCCCTGGAAAAGACCCTGATGTTGGGAAAGATGGAGGGCACAAGGAGAAGGGGACGACAGAGGACGAGATGGTTGGACAGTGTTCCCAAAGCTACCAGCATGAGTTTGACCAAACTGTGGGAGGCCGTGGAAGAAAGGAGTGCCTGGCATGCTCTGGTCCATGGGATCACGAAGAGTCGGACATGACTAAATGACTAAAAACAACAACAACATCTGACTGCGTTGCCCCAGCCACTCTGGGCAGCTTCCAACATATACAAAAACATAACAAAACATTAAACTTAAAAAAAAAAAGCCCTTCTCTACACAGGATTGCCTTCAGATAACTCCATACCCTCCAACATTTCTCTGATGAAAATAGGGACGTCCTAAAGAAAAGTGAGGCATTACGGGATCAAATCAGAAATGAGGACGGCTTCTATCAATCCAGGACTGTTCCTGGAAAATAGGGTCTGTGTATGCCATCCCAAGCTCCTTGGGGGAAAAGATGAGGTAACAATGTGAAAAGCAAAAAGAACCACATTCACACCATACATTGAAAGCACTATGTGCCACTGTAAACAGTCATGGCTTCTCCCCAAAAATTCTGGGAGCTGGAGTTTGTTAAAGGGGCTGAGAGTTGCTAGGAGAACTCTATTCCCTTCACGGAGTTAAAAACCTCAGAGTTCTCTGAGAAGAGGGCTTAATAGTAAAAACCATAGTCAGTCTCCTCTGTTGTAGGAGGAATGGGGTGATTTGCAGGCCCCCCTGCCTCTTGCGTGGAAGGGGGTGCTGTCTAACCTTCTGCCAGCGGGGCTCTTCCCTGACAAATGACATAGACTCCCCCTCCCAGCCCTTCCTAGTTCCTGACAGTAATTTGGTTATACTGGATGAACAGCTTCAATAAAGTGTCCTTTCAATAGAGTTATTAAACGACTATCCAGTGCGAGATAAAGCAATCCGTTCCCTCGCCCCCAGCATTGCCAGGGCCTCCATCAAGCTCCTGGAAAGGTCTTCTCAATTACTCCACGGCGAGCGGAAGAGTGTGCGAGAGAAATGGCCCCAATTTAGAGAGGCCCCGCAGGCTGATCCTGATGGTATCAGCCCAAAGTACTCGGGACTAATTGCATTCGGTCAGCCTGGGCTATAAAGCCACTCACCCAGAGCCGGTTGCGTGAGCCGGACAGAGCCAAGCATTTCCCCAGCCATGAGCGCCAATGGTATCGCGGCTGTGGCCGAAAGCTACCAGAAGTTCAACCCTCGGGCCTACCTGCAAAACAACTACATGCCACCCCGTGCCAACTTCACGAGCGAAGAGTTTGCAGTGCCCTGGAAACTTCGCTGCCTGGCAGATGCCTTTGCCACGGGTAGGTAGACCTGTAATTGTTTTCCTTAGCAAACCTGGGTTTCAAAGGTGATCTCCCTTTGTCTCGTTTGAAAATCTTCTGCCTTGCCTCTTGACAGGGCCGGCCCACCCATGAGGCAAGGTGAGACGCCCGCCTCAAGCGGCAGGATTCACAGGGGGAGCAGATCCCAACGCAAACCTTTATTCTTCCCTTGTTCCTGATGTAGATCTTCATTCCCCTCCTTCTTCCCTGGCTGGGAGGCAGGCACCATTTAGTGGTTCGGCCTCAGGTGCCAATATGTCTTGGGCAGGCCATGCCTCTGGGTCATTTTTACCTTTTGCTTAACAACGTCACCATCCATCAGACGTAAGCTTTCCAAATGCGGAGCTGTCTAAATTTGAAAAAAGTGCATTGCAAAAAAAGAGAGAGCTCCTTTGTAAACTTGGAGGGTGGGGAGTAAAATGCTTTGCAAAACCTGAACTATGACCTTCCAGGACCTCAGCATCTTTCTAACATTAATTAATTAATTAACATTAAATAGTTAGCTGAACCCAGGCAACTGACTTAGATTGGGTGAGATTTTGGCCTTGTAAGAAGCTCCATTAATTTGTGGCCCCAAAATTTTGCTTTCCCCTGAAACCAATGCCAAAGTTTAGTGCTAGTTTAGTGCCATTTTGAGTTCCAGCATCCTTAGGATTCTTTAAATGCTCTTTAGATGGTGCGCATGCAGCCCAAGTCACTCATTTTTTTAACCATCGCCAGAGGCTATCAACCACAGAAGTGATCGCAGGTGTAAGTCTTTGCTCCATTAGCTTGCTTAGCATAGGACTAGACAGGCCAGCTTTCTGGTCTGGTGTTTTATTTTCATATTGATAGTGATTACAATTTCTCCCTTAAAAAAAAATACTTCTCTTAAATAAATTTCTTAATTGGATTTCTGAGCTGTGCCTGTTTCTAGAGCCCTGAAACTTTGCACCCAATACTGAGGATTGTAGCCAATGCTAGTTTTAGTCAGACTTAAGGGACACGACTAATCCAGGTTCATGAATTTGAGCAGGTCTTCTCCGAATACATCTTCGTTGAATACAATCCTGATACTCTGGCAGTCTTACAGACCGATATATTAGTTGCAATCTGCTAGTCCATACGGTTTGTAAATAATAACCTCTTTACCTTTCCATCTGCTGGCAAATAAACCAAACAGGACTCAAGAAGCAGGAGGTAAACTGAGCTGCTGGGGTGGGGTCTGCCTATAAGATCTTTGCTCTGTGCTGCTTGGCACTTAAGTTTAGGAAAGGTGGTGACTTGCAAATTAAATTTGATAGACTGTGGTAGATTCCTGCTGTGATCTACTGTGGTAGGATCCTGCCATGGGACTTTGCAAGAGCTCCATTAACATGTGGCCCTGAAATTTCAGGTCCCCCCTCCAAATAAAACCGACAACTGATGCCAAAGTTACCGTAAGTGCTAATTGGACAAGGTTGGATTTGGGGGTGGGCATTAACTTGTGGCCCCAATTTGCTGTGTCAATTACTTAGTTTGGGGGTGGCACAAAAAGTGTGGTTCTGTGTGTACAGTTCCCAGGAGCCTTTTGGTGGCGAGGTGTGTGTGTGTGTGTGTGTGTGTGTGTGTGTGTGTGTGTGTATTCTTAAATGAATGTACACAGCCAAAGTAGGAAACCACACTGCCACATTTTATCCAGCTTAGAAGGTTCTTTTTATCATATGTGGTGGCCTTGTAGTAAGGTTAAAGCTTACTGGGAAATGATACATAATATAATGAAAATGATGTTTAAAATAACCTTTGTAAAAACAAAAAACAAAACCAGAAACTTTTCTTTTAGGAATTGTAGGGACAGCACTACCTAAAATGTATTGAGACTTATTCATGTATGCTACTACAGCAGCAAGTATGTTCCTTGCCCCCAAATGGAAAGAAGCAGAAGTCCCAGTAAAGGAAGAATGGATGCAAAAACTTGTGGAATATGCAGAAATGGGGAAACTTACTGGAAGAATACAAAATCAAGATAACATTTTATATATATATATATAAAAGAATGGAAATGGTTTATTGAATATTTACAGATAAATTATAAACAGATAAAAACATTGGCAGGATTATTGTAATAACCTGCAGTTTTATAAGAGTGTATATTTAAAGAAGATGAATAAATGAGCAAATTAAGTTAATTTGGATATGCAGAAGATATTAAAAACTAATTTAAGGAACTGCAGAAAGAGGGGGAAGGAAGCCAAGTTTTGAAATATCAAAATGAATGTAAAATTAGTGAAATGGGACACGGGTGGCGCTGTGGTCTAAACCACAGAGCCTAGGACTTGCCGATCAGAAGGTCAGCAGTTTGAATCCCCGCAACGGGGTGAGCGCCCGTTGTTCAATCCCAGCTCCTGCCCACCTAGCAGTTCAAAAGCACGTCAAGTGCAAGTAGATAAATAGGTACTGCTCTGGCGGGAAGGTAAACGGCGTTTCCGTGTGCTGCTCTGGTTCGCCAGAAGCGGCTTAGTCATGCTGGCCACATGACCTGGAAGCTGTCTGCGGACAAACGCCGGCTCCCTCGGCCTATAGAGTGAGATGAAAGCGCAACCCCAGAGTCGTCCACGACTAGACCTAACGGTCAGGGGTACCTTTACCTTTTATAAACTAGAAAAGAAAGAAAGAAAGAAAGAAAGAAAGAAAGAAAGAAAGAAAGAAAGACATTTTATCTAGCTTAATCAGTGAGATCATGAGTGTGAGAAGGGCAATTGACCAACGAGAGGGGAGGATCCTTATGGGCAGGGGGATCCTGGAGGAAGAGGCGACTGAGTCACTTCTACAAGGTGTGAAGGAGGACCCAGATGCCTAGGCTTCTCTTGCCAGCAGCGTGTTGTGATGTGGAGTCAAAGGGATGCTAGTTTGGTAGGTGGCTTGCGAGACATCACAATATGGAACCGCTCTTCCGGCTATGTGGAAGACTTAAAATGTAATGCGTGTGCAGATTCTTACAACTCGGCTGGCTTGGAAAGATCCAGAAAACAGGACCATCTTTCGAGCCGCCCCTCATTCCTCCAGGCCTTGATTGGCTGGGAGCTTCTATCTGACTTTCCCTTGGGCATTTTGTCCATCAGTGATAAGGTGACCAAATGCAATAGAATACAACCCTCTTGTGCCTGTGATATTTTATTAGAAGCGGCAATTTTGGCAGGTGCTGTTTTTCCTATATCTCCTGAACTACTGTATCACAAGTACTGGATCCTGCTTCCCTCTCAATATAATTTCGGTGGGAAATCTTCCGGTGAGCTGTGCCTCCATGGGATCAAATCTGCTGGGGTCGGGGAGTGGGAGAAGGGGAGTATTTGCAGCAGGCTTCTCCATTACATTTTCCCACACAAACAGAAAAGGGAACCAAGTAGCCTGGATTCTAGGTTTCTCCTCAAAATATGACTTTAGCCATTTGACTTCCACCCTTCACCTTATGGGAAGGTCATTTCTGGGCAGAAAATTAGGGGCCAGGGTATTGAATCCTCTTTTATGATTGTATTTGGGAAAGACTTGCACTCCCCCTCCACCCTCATCATGAATACAGATTTATTTATTTTCTAAGAGGTTTCCAGTATTTTATGTACCGTATTTTTTGCTCTATAAGACTCACTTTTCCCCTCCTAAAAAGGGGAAATGTGTGTGCGTCTTATGGAGCGAATGCAGGCTGCGCAGCTATCCCAGAAGTCAGAACAGCAAGAGGGATTGCTGCTTTCACTGCGCAGTGATCCCTCTTGCTGTTCTGGCTTCTGAGATTCAGAATATTTTTTTTCTTGTTTTCCTCCTCCAAAAACTAGGTGCGTCTTGTGGTCTGGTGCGTCTTATAGAGCGAAAAATACGGTAATTGTTTATCACCGGAGATGATTGCATCTTAGTTCTTTATTCTCACTCCTTGCAGGCGAAATCTGCGGCCGCACCCTTATTGATATTGGCACAGGCCCCACCATTTATCAGCTCCTCAGTGCCTGCGACTACTTTGAGGAGATAGTGGCCACAGACTACCTGGAAGTGAATCGGGCCGAGATACAGAACTGGGTGCTCGGTGAAGACTCCAGCTGCTTTGACTGGTCCCCTTACATCCAGTATACTTGTAAGATTGAAGGCAATGGGTAAGAGATAAATGCAGGAGAGAGGGGCACGGCTTCCCAAGGAATAAGCCTGGGGATGCAATCATGGTTACCTGTGATCTACCACTGGCTGCTGGCGCTGTGGTCTAAACCACTGAGCCTCTTGGGCTTGCCGATCAGAAGCTCGATGGTTCGGATCCGCGCAATGGGGTGAGCTCCTGTTGCTCTGTCCCAGCTCCTGCCAACCTAGCAGTTCGAAAGCATGCCAGTGCAAGTAGATAAAGAGGTAATGGCTGTGCAGTGCAGGTGACAAAGAGCTTAGCAGAGGGATGGGAAACCTATGGGCATCTAAATATACCCATTACAAAGCACCTTTTTTATAATATACTGAGGTAAAACACCTACAATATATGATTACTGCGGCAAGACTGCTATATGCACAAAGAAAAGCACAGCCTTACCCACTATAGAAGAATGGCTGATAAAATTATTGGACTTGGCTGAGATGGCTAACATGTTTAATTAGAGAAAAATCATTACCAACATTTGTTGAGGATTTGAAATCTCTTATGGACTTTTTGCGTGAAAGAGAAAATGAGCTTGTAATATCTGGGTTTGAAGATTGAAAAAATGCTGGTTTATAGAAGATAGAATGGTTGGATCTTAAAGAATAAATATCATGTGTAGCAACAGAGAGCTGGAAGTCCTTTTATTTTATCTTTCTTCAGTCTGTCTCCCCCTTCTATTCCTTTTCTCTTTCTTTTTCCTTATTTAGATTTCTCGTATTTTCTTCCTTCTGACTTTGCTCCTTTTTAGATTCAGAAACAACTATCTGACTTTTAGAAGACATCTGGAGTTTTTAATGTGTGATGTTTTACTGTGGTTTTATAGTTTGTTTTGAAAGCCTCCCAGAGTGGCTGGGGAAACCTAGTCATATAAATAAATAACATATATATATCATATATATATATATATATATATATATATATATATATATATATATCATATATATATATCATATATATCTATCATATATATAAATAACAAATGATTATTTATTTAGGGAACCGTGGAAGGAAAAAGAGCAAAAGCTGAAGAAGAAACTCAGAAGGATCCTTCCCATCGATGTCCACCAGGCCAAACCTCTAGGTTCCTCTCTCAGCCAACCAGCCGATGCTTTGGTCTCTGCTTTCTGCCTGGAAGCCGTGAGCCCTGACAGGCCGAGTTTCGACCGGGCCCTGCGGAACGTCACAACGCTTCTCAAGCCTGGTGGCCACTTCCTCATGATCGGGGCTTTGGACGAGTCCTTCTATTTGGCTGGAGAAGCCAAGCTGTCAGTCGTGCCCGTCAGCGAGGCAGATGTCAAGGAATCCTTCGCCAAGAGCGGCTATCGCACCCGCAACTTCTGCTCCTATGTCATGCCGCCGAGCCTGAAGATTGGCGTGGATGACGTGCAAGGGATCTTCTTCATCCATGCGCAGAAGATAGCCTGATCCCAGCTCGCCTAGCAGAAACACACACACAAGGTCCTTGCCCCCCGAAAACCCAGCTTATTGCATGCTGCTCCTGTTCTCTTCTGTATTGCTTCTCCTGTTCTGTGGGTGTGTTCACGTCCACACCATACATTTAACACGTTTAAAGCATATGGCTTTCCCCTGAACTGTAGTTTATCCCTCACAGACCTAGAGTTCCCAGCACCCTTAACAAACTACAGTTTGCTGAATTCTTTGGGAGGAAGCCAGATGCTTAAAATGTTCTCTTGCATCGTTCACACAGATCAAAATGTCAGCCTGTTGTTTCCCCCCACCACCACCTTTAATTCAGATTTACTATTTCTGTGGAAAATCTAGTGCTGAAATCTAAACAAAAATCCTGTTGCTGACAGCCCTTTCGTGACATCTGAATGACCTGTTTGCAATATCAAGTCCCCCCCATTTATTGCAAAGTGCTAGACGTTTCTTGTAAACCACTTAGAGGTTTTACTATGATTAAGTGGTATATAAATTTTGTTATGAAATAAATCTGGAAGTACGTTTCCTTGGTACACGTTCCTTAGGACATGAAGCAGGATGGACGTTTCCCAAATGTTGACCTTTTTTACTTTCCATATTGACTCTTCTGCCAAGGTATCCTAGCACATTGCAGAAGATTCTGAGGCATGGCCTGTGGTAGGCTCTTGTCTTCCTGTGTGAGGCACTGGCCAGGCCTCTTGGGCTTCAGAAAGTGCAACCCAGAACAGTGCCTTCAGTCCCCTGTATTCCCTGCTCATTGCAGGAGAAAATCAGTAGTATGGTACAGGCAAAACCTATATTTCAGGTAAGCTTTACGGCCATTATTATTCCCTTTCCTGCCAATGTTCAGGCAGGAGGTCTTGTTGCTTGTGTAGGTAAAAAGCACCGCTCACACACAAGAGGGAGGTACCAGAAGGCTTGAGGGAACCTTAAGTATTGGGTAGAAGCACAAAAGTAAATAAATCCCTGCACATATTTGTCAGGGACAAGGGTTGTAGTCAGGAAATCCTGACATGTTGGTTTTCCGTGTGCAATGTTTTGTAATGGAGCAGCATTTTGTAATATGAGCCCTCCGCTCGCCCAGTACAACCCAGACACTGGTTTATTACCGTACCTGTTTGCGACACAAAGGCAGAAATCTAAGAGGGAAATCTCCTCTTGCTGAGGAGAACATGTCGCTAGAGTCTGAATTAGGTGTGGCTGTCCAGAGATTTAAGAAAACAACGGAGGCATCCGAGGACAAAATTAAGTACTTCACCAGACATGTTTCGATTTCTTATTTAAATAGCAGCTGCTGGTGGGCGGATATCAGATTGAGATGTTGTTGTTTTAAAAACCCTTCCTTCTGTGGCACAGTCCAGGTTAAGGGGATGTTCACAATACTACATACCAGTGTGCTCCCACTGCTAGGTTTTTAGCTTTCACACAACACTAGCCACATTCGAGATCAAGCCAGTGGTTTTCCTCACAAACACTGCCGTCTGATGCATCCCTCCCACCAATCCAATTAGAAAACTGAATGCGAAATAAGCGATAATATGAACGTTTGAGGCAGCCGTCACACATGTGCAAATGAGCGCAAATGCTCCATGAATGTTCCAGGGGGAAGTGACAGGGCCAGGAAACCAAAAAGGTTCTGTGCATCAGGCAAAGGCACTCACTTCCAATGGAGGCCAGACAGGCCCCTTTCCTACTGAATTTCCGGAGACATTTTTTAAAATTCCAGCAGGCATGGTAATTGAATTTTGACTTCATAGTCTTAACCCGTTTTTACTCATTGCATTGTATCCTTGAGATGGCTGTAGCTAAGTGGCATATAACTTGTTTAAACAAACAAAATTAATAAAATGCATCCTTAACAACAACAAACATATTCCGTTTGCAAAATGTATCTCTGCTCGCCAAGAACATGGGCGAGCTTTCGGGCACAGAGGTAGGAACGTAGGAGGGGGCCTCCTACGAAGTCCAGACTTAGGCAGCTCAATATCAAGTCCATTTAGCCCAGGATAATATGTCCTGACTGGCAAAAGGAGTCACCATAGGGGCTTCCAATTCTTAGGGGCCGAGGTCCCTTTGGCTCCCGCTCAATAAAATATTTGAGGGGGCCAGCCCCCTCTTCCCAAAGTTGATGGGCATTGCCATTCAGATGCTGTGCATGTGCTGCATCATGTGATCAATTATGTGGCTTACCTGGGCACCCCCAATATTTTATTCAAGTTGGCACCCCTGCAGGTCACCAGCCATCATGGACTGCTAACCCTAGGCAGTAATGATTCTGTAGACCAGTGGCTGGAAACTGGGGAGGGGTCTTCTCTTCATGTCCCGCTAGCTGGTTTCCCTCAGGTACCTGGTTGGCCTCTGTGAGAATAGGATGCTGGACTGGACGGGCCTTTGGCCTGATCCACGAGGGCTCTTTTTATTTCATTTATTCCCTCATACATTTTTATTCATTTTCCACACAATTTAACGAATTCAATTCAGTTTCCGCGCAATGTTCCCTTAGCATTTTGACTTCCCACCCTTACCTCCGTGATGTTTCTGTTCAAATCCTTTTATCTACTGCCTTAAATGTAATAAATTATTTCTATAGCACAGGGGTCAGCAAAGTTTTTCAGCAGGAGGCCGGTCCCCTGTCCCTCAGACCTTGGGGTGGGGGGGAATATATTTTGAAGGGAAAAAATGAACGAATTCCTATGCCCCACAAATAACCCAGAGGTGCATTTTCAATAAAAGGACACATTCTACTCATGTAAAAACACGCTGATTCCCAGACCATCCACAGGCCGAATTTAGAAGGTGACTGGGCTACATCCGGCCCCCGGGCCTAAGTTTGCCGACCCATGCTATAGCATATGTCCCATGTTACAGTCTTTTATCATTCCCACCCCTTGGCTTATATTTTCCAGTTCTGCCTGCGATTAAATTGAACTATAATGTTTTCTCAGATAAGCAAAAAAAGGGGGGTCTCCGCTATTCCACAAACATTTCGTCTTTTTTGGCCTCTTGATTTTGTCACCAGCTTCGCCATCTCCATATAGTCCAATAGTTTTAAAGTCCACTCCTCTATTGTTAGAACTTCTTATTCTTTCAATTTCTGCGCATACATAATTCTGGCTGCGGTGGTAGCTTTTGGGGGGACTTCTGTCCCTATTATCCCCCCCAAAAAAATGCTTCAGTCTTTTTTGGGAAATGACTATTTGGCTCTATTTCCTCAAGCCCTCCCCCGGCAACAGCATGTGCTCTGTCCTGCCACTGAGCTACAGGCCCTCCACTGAGGATCCACTAGCATGGGCACTTTTCCTAAAGGGAGGGTGCAAAGCAGCCCTTGAATGCTCTCTGGCCTTCAGCAGAAGCGCAGTGGTGGCCTTTGATGACAAGCTCCAGCAGGTCACCTTCACCCACCCGTTTCCGAGCTCCGGGCCAAAAGGGTGGGCAGAATGTACAGTTCTTTGAAAGCGGCCTGGGCTTTCAAAGGGGAAGAAGTGCCCTTTTCATGGCAACAGGAGGATTATTATTAATCCAGCACACACATCGAGCCAGAAGGTAGATACTATATGAAAATCCAGCATGGCACAAATACAGCAGGCACCAGAGCCCAAAACAACTGGCACCTGGGTGGTGAAGAGGGCAGAAGGCAGGCTGCTCCCCCTCCTGCTTTTAGTGACTTGCAGAAGATCTGGCTTCCATCCTTGGCTTGGTTGATTCTTCTAGCTCAGCCAGCTTCCCTTGCCGAACAGTGCTCTCAAGTGGTGGCAATAATAATAATAATAATAATAATAATTAATACCCTGCCCATCTGGCTAGGTTTCCCCAGCCACTCTGGGCAGCTCCCAACAGAATATTAAAAACACATCAGTAAGAGATGTTCGACATTGAACAGATTCCCACGAGAGGTGGTGAACTCCCCTTAAAGGTACCCCTGACTGCTAGATCCCGTCATGGACGACTCTGGGGTTGCGGCGCTTATCTCGCTCTATAGACCGAGGGAGCCGGTGTTTGTCCGCAGACAGCTTCCGGGTCATGTGGCCAGCAAGACTAAGCCGCTTCTGGCGAACCAGAGCAGTGCGCGGAAACGCCGTTTACCTTCCCGTCGGAGCGGTACCTATTTATCTACTTGCACTTTGACATGCTTTCAAATTGCTAGGTGGGCAGGAGCAGGCACTGAACAATGGGAGCTCACCCCCTTGCGGGGATTCGAACCGCCAACCTTCTGACTGGCAAGCCCTAGGCTCTGTGGTTTAGACCACAGAACCACCCGCGTCCCTGAACTCCCCTTACTTTGCCGGTTTTTAAGCAGAGGTTGGATGGCCGCCTGTCATGTATGATCTAGTTGAGATTCCTGCTTTGCAGAGGGCTGGACTAGATGACCCTTGAGGACCACTCTAAAGTTTCTGACCACTCTGAGATTCTGTTAAATGTACCTTCCAAGGCACCAGCAAGCCACCACTGGCCTCCATTGCCACCTGGTGGCTGATTATAGTCATAGAACACCTGACATCAGCAAGCCACCCGGTCTTTTCCATTATTACTTTGGTTCTTCTCTTGCCTTGGGTCACTTTCTGAAGAACCCTTGGCAGTCTTGGCTCCCTCCTGCTGCCCGGTCTCTGTCTCTCTTTTTCTGGCAGGAAATGCTTCAAGTGTTCATGCACACCTTGCTGAAAGTGCTGCAACCCGACGCCTGGAGTGGTGCCAAGTTTGATGCCATTTCAGGGCTGCAGAGGTGTGTCACTGGGATGAGTCATGGGGAACTTGCCCCCCCACCCCCAAAATCTCTGGGAAGGTTCACAAAACCAGTTGGCTTTGCCAGAAATATTGAGGCAGCTTATCTGCAGCCCCACCTTAAAAGGGAATCTTCTGCAACGTCAAGTCTTTCCAAAAGACAAAAAAGGAGATAGGCTCACACCAAATGAACAGAGATCTCAAGGCTGAGATCTCTGCCTCAGAATTCATAGGGGGCTAAATGGCCTCCAGGAATGGCTGTTTGCCACTGTAATCAAAGATGGAACCATGATGCATTTCAGAGATGCTGGGGACACAATTAGGCCTTACAGTTGTACCTTGGTTGTCAAATGTCTTGGTACTCGGACGTTTTGGCTCCTGAACGCCGCAAACCCAGAAGTGACTGTTCCACTTTGCGAATGTTCTTTGGAACCTGAACCTCTGACAGGGCTTCCACAGCTTCTGATTAGCTGCAGGAGCTTCCTGCAGCCAATCAGAAGCTGCACCTTGGTTTTGGAAGTCGAACGGACTTCCAGAACGGATTCCATTAGTGGTACCTCGGGTTAAGAACTTAATTCGTTCTGGAGGTCCATTCTTAACCTGAAACTGTTCTTAACCTGTGGTACCACTTTAGCTAATGGGGCCTCCCGCTACTGCCACGCCGCCGCCCCGTGATTTCTGTTCTCATCCTGAAGCAAAGTTCTTAACCCGAGGTACTATTTCTGGGTTAGCGGAGTCTGTAATCTGAAGCGTCTGTAACCCGAGGTACCACTGTACTTGTAAGCATCCTAAGGTCAGTAGACTAGATGCAACTTTGGTGGACAAGTCTTCTCTCTCTCTCTCTCTCTCTCTCTCTCTCTCTCTCATACCCCACTGCAGTCTGTGTCTATTTTAAAAACAGAGCAGATGTGTCAAAGGAAAGGAGAAATGCCATTTATTTCCCCCATGAATCGCATATCAGCTTGAACAGATGAATACAGCTTCCACACTGGAAGGAATAGTCTTCAGGATGAAAAATTTCAGAGATTCACCCCAATTGGTTTTTTAAAAGAAGTCTTTTAAATATACATTTTTCCATTCTGCTCAGACTTAATTTGAGACAAGGCCCAACCCCTGGTTTTTAATGCCAGGACTCGGCTCTGAAAAAATAAGAATGAACCGAGGTGCATCTGAGCCCGTACAGAGAGCTCACACCACCAAGGAGTATGTGCACAAAGCTTTGAGGTCAGAGGGAAAATCTTCTAGGTAGGTTGAGCCCAGCCCCATTTTTCCTCCTAGAAGTCACCACAACCTGGAATCTTAGTTCTTGTTTTTATCACAACAGGGAAGTCGTGGGGAAATAGGGTTCGCAAAGCAGTGTTACCTGATGGGCTGGCAAAGAACAAAAGGCAACCTGCCAATGAAACAGCATGCCAGGACTGCTTCTCTGAAACAGTTGACATTTCAATTTCACCCATGGCACATGACAAAGAAGGCTTCTGAAAATTCTGCTTCGAGAAGCATCGTCCATGCTGCTTTCGGAAGTCCACTTAGCAAAAGCATATTAGACCAAGAGATCTAACACCATAGAGCTAATCAGGACGGGATAATAAAAACAAATGTTTAAAAATGAATCGACCAGGAGAAGCCACGAGCAAAATCTCCCCAGAGAAGCATGAAAAGACTTGGGAAGGCAGCGCGAGGAACTCAAGCGCAAGTTTCAGGAGAGGCAAGATGTATATCCTGATATATCCAGGAGAAAGGCAGTCAGTCAGTTTAGGACACCATGGCAGCAGAACCCACATGTAGATGCTGGGGAAGTAAGAGGGCAGAACCAGGAAGTGCAAATTGCTGCCACTTCTCAGAACACAGCACACTCCTGCTGGAAACGAACCAATGGATGTCTTCCATCGAGACCAGTGGTGTTCTCCAAGCTGTGTTCCACCAGCCCCTTCAGTCTATTTTAATGATGGAGTTGGCCTTCAAAAGATAGAGGCTGTCGTCGACAAGGAAACTGCAAGGAGAGGAAAGAGAAAGTTGCTGAATTGACTGGCGAGTGAAGGGATGGATTGAGCTACCCAATATGCCTAGAACTAGAATGTACCCATCTTGTCTTTCAACCTGTAGAACCTGCCTTAGGTGAGGCCTTCCTGGTGATGTATGAAAACCTTGAAATGAAAGTCTCCAGAAATAGCAGCTACGTGAACCGCAAGGAAGGTGCAGCACCCATATTGCCCTCCCTCGAATCTAAGGTCCACACCTGAGGTCCTGCTTGCATACCCCAACGGTGGAATTGATTAGAGCTGGTGAGCACATGAAACAGGTCCTTCCTGGTGGTGGCCCTGCAGTTGTGGAACCCTCTTCCAGTCAACATTCATTTGGCTCCTTCAGTTCGGGCATTCAAGGAGGCCTTTAAAGTTCACTTTTCCCCTGCCTTTCCTAAATATAATTTTGGTGATTTAATTCAGTATCTCCCGTTTTTCTATTGGTTTGTTTTGGTCTGCCTAAGGTTCCTGTTGTTTTTGCTTCTCTGTACATTGCTATTTGAGGGCTGGAATGAAGGAATACACTTTATGCTCCAGGTAAATGGCTGCTTGTAGCCTCGTTTCATGAAAGTATATTAAACACGTTACAGAGGACAGGCTACAGGCCGCAGATTCCAACAAGTTCTAGCTTGTCGGATTGTGGTCCTCTCTAGATCAGTGGTCCCCAGTTGGCAGTCCGCAGACCCCAAGGGGTCTGCATAACTCACCCGGGGGGTCCATGGCATCATTCACATAACAAAAACTACCATAAAGATATTTAACTTTTCAAAAGTCAGGGGCACATGGTCTGGCTTTTGAAAAACAAGGGGGTACTCAGTATTTTGGTATTAAGGAACCACTGCTGTAGATCATATGCCTCCTCCATGAGAGTTTTGGTTGCAACACGAGAACAGGCCTTTTCTGTGGTGGCTCCCTGTTTGCGGAATGCTCTGCCCAGGGAGGTTCGCCTGGCACCTTCATTATACACCAGGTGAAAACGTTCCTCTTCAACCAGGCCTATATTAAATGTGTTTGTGGGAGTGAAGTGGGAGGTGGTGGTATTGGTTTTGGTTTTTTATTATGCTGCGTTTTTATCTTGCTTTTTTGTGCTGTGAACTGCCCTGACTTGGATGAAGGGTGGGATACAAAATAAATAGATCAGTGGTGTGTGTGTGTGTGTGACACTCAAGATGTTGCTGGACCACACAACTCCCATCATCTCTGAGCCTTCGACATGCTGGCTGGGGCTGATGGGAGTTGGTAGTCCAAGTAGCGCCCTGACAAGCAATCACAGAGAACCAATGGCAGAAGGCCCACCCGCAAAGGCAAGCAAACTTGGCTGACCTGTAGAAAAGGATATTGACTGGAATGGTGCTGATGTGCCAGATGGCATGGGCATCGAAGACCCAGAGCAACGGTGGGAAGTCCAGGAGCTCCAGGAGGGCCAAGGCTTGCAGAAGAAGCACAACCGCCACACACTTCCAGACGTACGGCAGGCGTTGCTGGTTCCTCATGCACCAACCCAGCCACCAGAGGAGATTGAGGAGGCCTGCAAGGTATGGCAGAAAGAGGACAGCATTTCATGCCTGGCAGTAGTCACAGTGGGGCAGGAACTTAGATATGTTATGCACATGGCGATGAACCAGAGGCACTAGCAGCCCTGGACCCCAGACCCCTTGCTCCTCAGCACCAAATCCCAAGGCATGCCAGGAATATCCCCTCCCCATGCATACATCCCCCAGAATCATCCACTGAGAAAGCATGGAGGAAACTAGAAAGATCTGGGGAGCTGGAAGTGGTGACTCTGCTTCCGAGCCCTGATAGGGCCGTAAGTCAGAGGAGGAACCTCTGGGCAAATATGTAACAACACAAGCTTTTGCACTGTTGTGGGAGATCATGGCTCTAGGGATCTAGAGACCTGCTCTCTCTTGCCTCTATAATGCTGAACAACTATAACTGAGGTGCCCTTTTCATGCTGGTTGGCCCTGCACCCAGTGAATCCACAGATCCCAGCGAACCTGCCCTGAGGGTCCTGGGCTGCTATCCTGGTGCTCTATACTACAAACGCCCTGGAAGTGCAGGGAAGGAATAAGGGAGATATGTACCAGCAATATAGATGCAGCCTCCAAGTTACGCTAACAGCTATTTTGGTGTGTGTGCTTTTAAAGGGTGTAGCTACATGCTGCTCTTAGCAAGTTGCAAGTTTGCATCTGCCTGTCTCAAGAGACAATGGAGTGCGCCTCCGGGGGTGAAGTCAAACTACTGCATTGGCGGCACTAAAGTGACATCCCTGGGGCACAAGCCTGGGCAGTGTGTATGGAGGTTCTGGCTGCCCAGACGACAAGACCTTGACCTCGCTGATATGCTCCAAAGGAAAGCAGATCAATACACTTGGCACCAGCTTGGCTGCAGGAGGTGCCGAAAGGTGGCATACAAAGCGCCATCCCACAGTCTTAGGGATTCCAGGTCTGCGTAGGGTTTGCTCCTTAGCCTTTTCTTCTCCCAAAGATATCCCACTAGGCAGGAGAGGTTTGGGATCAGAGTTTTCCTCCTTCTAGATTGACTACCTTCCCAGGAAGATAAGCCCCATCTGACCTTCGCTTTCCTCGACTGCATGTGCATAAACCGCCTTCATGACTGTTGGACCCACTATTGGCCTCATCCACTCAATCCGCCAGAGCCTGTCTTTGCATGCAGGAGCAAGTCCCTAACTCGCCGAGGGATTGAGACCCATTGGCTACCCGCACCTAGTTTACCCGGCCAATCAAAGCTGTTTCTGGGGTGTGGCCGCTGTCACATGCTGACATCTTCAAGGAACCACAGGTGAGAACTGAGTGCGGGGGGGGGACACCAAAGGTGGGCAAACCACCCCAGAAGGTGCATGACATGTCGTCGCCCCCAGAGGTGCTACCCTTCCCCTAACACCCCATACACTCCACTGCTCTGAGCATGGCTCGCATATCTCCACAAAACAATCTTTTGCTCGGGTTAAGAAACAGAATGATGGGAAATGATCTCTCTGTTGCCTTTCTGTGGCCAGATGCAGAGAAGGACTTGTCAGAGATTCTCTGACCGGAATCAGCTAATCTCTCTTCCCAGGAATTTGCAGTCCTGTGAAGGGATGGGGGGTGTTGCCTGACAACTCTCAGTAACCTTAACAATCTGCAGTTCCCAGGATTCATTGAAGGAGAATCTACAACCATATAAAGTGGCATGATACTGATTGGTGCAGATGGGGCCTTAGAGAGGTTGGGGGCACTAGGGGAGAAGGCCACACAAAGGTTATCTGCTGGGCTACACCTCCACACCAACCAACACCTGCTGCAGGGGGTAGAACATTGCTCCAGCGCCCTCACCTATTACCACGTTGGCAACCATATTGTAACCATAGTCAAAGCGCACGAGCGTCAGATACGACACATGGCAGGCCAGGAAGAGGAGCAGGAAGATGCCTATGGCGGTGGCAAAGGCTGGACGTTTCAGACCCAGAGTCCTGGAAGAAAAGAAAAAGAGAGAGACGGTGCTGAAGGAACTCGCAAGAGCTGTAGGAACTGGGTCACTTCTGGACTCGTTCCTCCGGGTCTAGGCCAGGGATGGGGAACCTGCGGCCCTCCAGATGTGAGCCAAGGGTCAAGGACAAAGGAGTCCAGTTGGAGCCCATCAACATCTAGAGGCCACAGGCTCCCCATCCCTGATCTATGACACAGCTGAGCTGCAAAGGCTGGTCCTGCCGTTCAGAAACTTGAGCAGACAGAACACAAAGCATTTTCTTTTGCTCGAATGGCCACAGCTACAACTCCCAAAAGGCCCGGCCAGTTTCCACTAGCTCTCCTTACTTGCTGCTCTTTTGCTTTGTCCTTGGGTTACTCCTCCTCTATCTGCACATATTCTGTCCGCACACATTTCCTCTTGCAGTTTCGACCTGTCCTTTTGCAGATGCTCAGTTTTTGAATAAAAGCGAGATATGGGAGCTGTGAGTGGACAGGGGAAACTCCTCTCTGCTGCTGCCACTCACCCGCCCACTTAAAAAGGGAAACATGAGCTGCTCCCAACAGCTCTGGAGGCTGAACTGGGAGTGTGGGAGCTGCTTTAAAGCCTTTGCAAGTTTCTCTGCGCTCTCCCTCCTAAGCCTCCCAGGTCAGGGGCTTAAAGGGGGAGCCTGGGGATACTTGGCAAAGCCACGCAGGGGATTTCGACAGGTGGGCAAGGCTGATAAAGATCTAGCCTGTGGAGCCCAAAAAAAGTTCCCCACCCCACCATAACATTTCAACCAGTGAAGCTGAAAAGTGGGAGAGGCAGGACAGACAAAAATTATATGTTCGCAGGGCAAGTGGTGAAGCTTGTCACCGGAAGATGGTGACCAACAGAAGCTGCTTTGGAAGGGGATTGCAAGTAGGGGAGTGCTACTGGGCTTGCGCCAGCCACATCAGTCTGCTTGGCCACTGTGGGATAACAGAACACTGAACTGGATGCGCCTTTGGTCTTTTCCAGCTTCAAGCCTCTCCTTATGTTCTTAAGAAGGAGAGAAACTCACCGGACGCAACACAGGTAGACAGAGTGAAGGATGACGGCTGATGCACAGAAATAATCCATTTTCTGTGGGAAGAGAAATCTCGTTAGAAATCGGGCCCAGTTCTCATTCAGTGCTACACGTTCTCTTTAGAAAATCCTCATGGTATTTGTGTTTATTCATGGCTTTTCTCTAGTGACAGGGAGCTGCATTTAAAGTTTTCTCTTTCCCCTGGGATTATGGCCTGCACATACTCAGAAGCCTACTAGTAGTGTTTTTAACACCCAACAGGGAAGATTCTTCCTGGTGATAGCTGTCCTCTTATCCTACCTCAAAAACAACTTGACGAGATTATGATCCTGAGCACACATATCTGAAAGAAAGTCTCAGGCTAGAATCCTAACCTCACTTCCCTGGGATAAACCCCCACTGAATTCAATAGGATTTACTTTGGCATAGACATAGTTAGGATTATGCTGTCATGCTGGCTGTACTATTTACCTGGGGTTCACATAACTTCCTTTTTTCTACCATTTAACTTATCTATTTTTTTTTTAACCCACTAGAGAGGTTTCTGCCATGCCTTCAAAATTCCCCCGGCGCCCCATACCAACATTTTTCATGATACAAGAGCAAAATTGCTCACCTCAGTTAGATTCGTTTCTCGAGTATGGAAAACTGTAGACCAGAACCAGGCATTTAAAGAAACCTGCAGGGGGAGTGAGGGAGCAGGGAAAGAAATGGTTATCCTGAAAATACCACATTCCATGAAGTTAGGTTGTTAAAACTGGCTTCTACCACAGAAGTAATAAAAACAGGCCATTCTGGGATAACCGGGATAACTGCCATATGGTACTTAAACCAACAAATCCAGAAGCAAGTCCCACCCCCTCTTTAAAATTAGAGGAATCATGCTGCTTTAGTCTATTGGACTGCTGCAATAATACTGTAAGTGAAACACTCAAAAAGTCCTAGATACATGCTATCTCTTATTATCACCATCTATCAATTCTATCCCACCCTTTTCCTCAAATTGCTTCCGAATCAAAACACAATTTGTCCGCAGAGTAGAAGAAAAAGCCTAGATAGAAACTGATATAAGAAAAAACTGCTCCTTTTCCCTTATGGGGTACTCAAGAGCCCGTATAGAGTCCTTATGTAGGTTCTCTATTGGTAGGAGAAAATAACAGGCCAAACCAGAGAATACTGAGTGTAGGGATATCGCGGAGTGGGGAGTGGGGTCCGGAGGGAGCACACTTCCCCACCAGCAGGCAGCCACGTCTGCCTGCACGCGTGACCTTGGGGTGCAGGGAAACCACCCCCCCCAGACAAGCCACAGCTGTCTGTACATCGTTCCACCTCTGCCTGACCTTTCGCGATCTCAGCAGTTTGCGGTGTCCTGTCTGTAACCCTTTTCCATGAGACCTTTTGTCTCCTACATCATACACTGAGCAAGGGGAAAATGACGCTATGGAACAGGTGCCAAAATAACTTTGTACCACCCCACGATTTCGGGACGGAAGATGTGTAAAGGTCACAGCCCAAAAATGTATTTGCCTAGCTTGCATGTTTGTCTCAATAAAAGGAGGCTCCACAGGAATGGTGGTCGCTCGCTTCAGACCACCTGTGCGCAGCTCACATCATGATCAACACCTGTCTTGGGCCTTCACTTCACTGAGAAGCAAAGCAGCTAGTAAGTCTGATCTTTATTCAACTGTTGCAACAGGGTGCTCACCATGCAGGAGGGAGGAGGAACCCAGAACACTGATGTGCAAGCTCTTACACAGACTTTTGAAACTGCCTACCCTGTAACTCAAGACCACCCCCCAAAACATCAAACATACATCACAGAAAGAGGTGGTCCCCAGCAGAAATCTGAGTGTGTTGCTTCTCTCCTGTCTGCCAGTATACCTGATAATGCCTTATCTGATTGCCTTTTATGGGTAGCCTGGCCATTCCTTTGAGATGGTCAATACATAGTTCTTGAATCTCTTATGCATATCGACAGTGTGCTCAGCTTAACAGATACTTGCCAGACTGTATTTACAGGGAGGTGTAAGCCCCTATAGTCCAAAGACAAATGGAAAGCTTTTCCCATCTGAGGTCAATTTTGGAGAGTCAAAATGGCTTCAGGATTGTTCTCTTGCACTATTTCAGACATGTGGTTTATATACTTACGTATGTGTTTGCTTTTTATATTTATGAATATATATATATGACCTTAGAATTTCTATAACAGAAACCAACTCTATAAGCGTTGTTCCAAAACATAACCCTTTTTTTAAAAAAGCACAGAGGAAAATACCACATAATTCAGCAAACCTTTCTCCAAATACCCACAATGCCACTGGAAACACACTGCCCTCTGCTATGGCTCAAGTTGGTTCCTCATGGGAGATGCCCTCCTTACTTCCTTACTTCGCTCTGCATTTCTTGAGACAGCCTGGACTGAGGAGCAGAACATCGTGTGTTTCTGTGAGTCTTCTTGTAGGGAAACCTGTCATGTTTCCCCTGCTTCCTTCCTACAAGATCTCAAGCAACAAGAAGCCTTCCTTGTCTTTTCTATTCCCCGTGTTTCCCACCTCTTTGAAGAAGATGAGAAGGAAGCTAAGGCAGCCATCTTGCCGTGGTGAGGAATTAACCGTCCAGAATGACTTACCCAAGCAAAGGCAATGCAGGTATGGTACATGGGAGAAGAGCGGGGGACAGCAGCTTTATATCTGTTCAGCATCACTAAATTGGCAAGTCCGTTCAGGAACGAAGCAAAGGCAGAAGCAGGCTCCTGAAAAAACAGGAAGCGGGAAAAGGGCCACTGAGGGTCGGGTGGGAAAACAAGGGAGGGAGAAGAAGAAGAAAAATATGTCATCAGCCAGAAATGAGAAGGTATACATGCTCTTTGAGGCAATGGTAGGGAACTGGATTTGGCCAGTGGGCCAGATCCTGGGCTCCCCACCACCACCACCCTTGGAGGGCTACTTCCACAGGTCAATCACTTAACATCACAATGATGTCAGATGACCCATTTTTGCAGAAACCTCCACTACAAAGCAAAATTCCGGCCCAGGAGGGTTCGAAGTTACTACTAACTAGCTGGTAAGTTTCAAGCTCTTTTTTTAATCGAGGGAGCTCTTTTGAAGCCATCCAAACTGGCAGCCATCACTGCTTTCTGTGGGAGTGAGTTGGACAGTTTAACTATGTGTTATGTGGAGAAGTACTTTCTTTTATCCGTCCTGAATCCTGCCACTATGGTGGAGTGTGTCTCTAAGCCACGCGCAGTGTGTGGGTGCATGTGTCCGTCGACACACCAGTCCCAGGCGGCATGGTTGCTGCACCTTCCTCGCGCCACTGTCCCCAGATCCGAGCCCTGCAAGGCGACTTGGGGAGGATGGTGTGGGGATGCGACAGCCATGCACCCCGATCAAAGGTGCACAGTTGCTGTGTTTGGTTGCCCTTTTCTGAAACTTTTCCAACTCTGCAATATCCTTTTTGAGGTAAGACAACCAGAACAGTACACAGTATTCCAAACGTAGTTGTGCCATATGTTTGTATAACAGCATTATGATAGCAGCTTCATTTTCTTTTTTTTCTTCTTTTTTTATATATTTTTATTGGTTTTTAGCTTACAAAATTATAAAACATACTTCACAGTTTATCACAGATACATTCTTATTTGGACTTTCATCAGCACCTCTGATAATCCTCCGTCTTAATCACTTCTTATGCCTTTCTTAACTTAATATTGCCATTAAATCTTTTAACATATCATCTCTCTTTTTCCATTTTTACAATATTTCTAATATTACTCATCACAGAACTTCTTGCAAACCTACAAATAGCAGCTTCATTTTGAATTCCTATCCCAATGATCCTGAACATGGAACGTTTCACAGCTGCTGCACATGAACGTTACTTACCTTTCCATGAAACTGAGGCACTTTGTATCCTTCCTGGACGTAAAGGCCCACCGTCAACCACATACATTCATATTTACATTCATCTCTGCAGGTCCATCCTAGAATACGGTTGGGGGAGGACAAATTAAAATTAGTGCAAATGAATTTATTGCCTAATGCCTGAATGCAGTGGAACTCCGTGAAATAATTTTAAAATACCAGGATGGGAACGGCGGGGAGGGGGTACTCAGATTTGCCAAGTTTGTTTTATTTTAAGGGAGCATGATGTATGGATGTATGACTGGCAAGCCACCTGTTGCCAGAATGAAGTATTACAGTTAACTTGTTTGTTTTAAATGAAGCATATATTGCATGTTTTTTGCTTGGAATCAGGAAACATGCAAATGCAACTATATACAGTGGTACCTCGGGTTGCAAACACCTCGGGTTACAAACACTTTGGGTTACAGACTCCGCTAACCCAGAAATAGTACCTCAGGTTAAGAACTTTACCTCAGGATGAGAACAGAAATTGCGCGGCAGCGGAAGGCCCCATTAGCTAAAGTGGTACCTCAGGTTAAGAATGGTTTCAGATTAAGAACAGACCTCCAGAACGAATTAAGTTCGTAACCAGAGGTACCACTGTAATATCTCTATTAGAGCTACAATCCCATATGGCTGTGGTATGAAACATGGGGGCTTCCAGATGTCGCTGGACTCCAACTGCCATCAGACCCTGCCAGCATCTGAGATGGTGGGAATGGTAATCCAAGATCTGGAGGACCACAGGTTCCAACTCTCTTGCCATGTGGATTTCTCAAAATTAAATGTATGTTTGAAACCTGGGTCTGCCAGTTCTACCACACACATATAACTATTGAATAGGAGATGTAATGGGCAAGAGGGGTTAAGGTTTCCTGAGTGAGAGATGTTAATGTTGCAATCATATACATTTATTTTATTTTGTATCCCATTTTGCCTCGAAGAGGCTCAAAGTGGCACCCTTTTTATTTTCACAACAACCCTTTGTGGTAGGTTACGCTGAGATATAACTACTAGCCAAAGGCCACCAAGTGGCCTTCAAGGCTGAGCAGAGATTATCCAACGCTCTTAACCACAACATCACATCGCCTGCTTTAATTGGGGAGTATATACTGTATAACTGAACTCAGAAGGCTTCCTTCTGAATAAACGTACGTAAGATCTAACTGCATGTAAACGATGGTACATGTTATGCCACCCACAAACAACCTAGTTAATTAAAGAATTGTGGCTTCTTCCCACTTACTTGCTATAACCTCCAAGAAACCTGGAGGGCAGATAAGGCATTGAACCACATACCTAGCAGTAAATGCTACAACAAGCCACTCAATGGGCTCAATTTCAACAGCGCCATAAGAAACCTGGGAGAAATAAATCAATGGGGGGGGGGAGGGAATCTCACTTGAAGAGAGATACTTTAAAAACGTTAGAAAATAGTTGTCTTTACCTAATGGGTAAGGAATGGCTACTCTCCCTAATTCAGGATGAGATATGAGCAGCCTAAATAAGTAAAACAACAATAATAAACAAGAGACAGCTTGCAAGGCCTGAAGCAGGGAGATAGACGCAGCAGCTGCCCCACCAGCCCTTTTGGGGGCATAGCAGAGTCCTGCTTGCAAACAACGATGCGGCAGTGCAACAGCTGTGTGCGCAGCCTCGCTGCTCTAGAGCCCCAGGATGCAACCCTATGTGCATTTCCCTGCAAATTGAACTCAGTGAGGCATACTTCTGAGTAGGACTGCACTGTTAAGAGAGGGAGGGGGCAACGTCAGCTCAGCACTACATCCAAGAACCATTGCCAATTTAAATGGAAAATGCACTCTGCACATGTTCAGATGCTACTGCCCGCTACTGAGCCCCCTCCCACCGAGGGCAGCGGGAGAGAGCGTCAGGAATTGGTCGGGAGGGCGAGTAGGCGGTGCCACCAAGCCGTCCTATGGGGAAACACTGGGCGGGGCACCGTCATTCGTGGGCGTGGTTATGCAAATGAGGAGCACGTCGCGGACACCGCCCCCCTCGCGCCTCGTCCTTGGCAGTGGGCGTGGCCCTCCCTCGGCTGGGGGCCTTGCAGTACCTGTGAGGCTCATGTAGAGAGGCTGGTGGGAGCGGAAGTGCCGCAGCCCGGGCCCGGAGCAGTTGCGCCGCTCGCAATGCGTCAGGCATTCTCGGTAGACGGGCTCCCGGTCCCCCCGAGAGGCCTGGGCGGGAGCCGGGCCGGCGCCCGCCACCCCGAGCAGCAGTAGGAGCGCGGTCCGAGCCGCCATCCCGCCTGCCGGGAAGCTGCAAGCTCCACTTCTGGTTTGGGGACCGGAAACGGTCCTTTGCTTTAAGCGGCTGGGGGGAAAGCCATAGAGTTGGGGGAAACCCGAGCCGCACGCGCAAAGGTTCCGCCTTGGCGGCAAGGGCAGGGGATTGTGGGAAATGTAGTTCTTTCTTCTAAGTCCTGAGAGACTACAGTATTGGGAGAAACTTACCCTTCCAGTTAGAAGCAGAGAAGAATCCCCATCTCTGCCTCCCCTTCAAGCGCTACAATCCTGTCTCGTCCACTTACAAGCAGTATTGCCACCTCTCTTTCTCTTGAAAATTACCTTTTTTAAATCTCTTCCAGCTGTCCCAATTTCCGTTAAAAAAAACACCGAAAAAAACCCGGTCCCTATATTATTGCCCTTATTTTTGCTTTTCGAAAATTCTTTTGTTCAGTGCAGGTTTCTAGAATGATCACTCGTCAGTGTTCAGCTCCTTTCCTCTGGGTCTCTAGAAATTCAATCTTGGGCTGTGGGAACAGATATATAGCTTGCCTCCAATGCACACAGGTGTAAGCAACATGTACACAAACTGGCAGTCTGCACACTACCTTTGAAGCACATTATTTGCCTAAAAGAATTCTGGGCACTGTAGTTTACCTACCACAGAACTACAATTCCCAGTAAACTGCAGTGTCCATTATACTTTGAGGGGGGAAATGTGCTTTGAATGTGCTTTAGTGTGTATGCCGTCACATGCATGCACGGCATGCATAGAGTTTCATGTAGCTCTGCCTGCCATTTCACATGCTGGTGAGGTTAATTTTGATAACAGATTGAAGATAACGTATTGTTTGCTTTTCTTGCCTATCTTTAACCCAAACAAACACCTTGGCGTTTCAATCAAGTGAATAACTGGCTATTGATGAGTAAATTAAATACAGTACAGCATAGCATTAATTGGGGCAGTAAGAAAGTTATGTGCTTAAAATATATGGTGTGACCATAGTTTTTAGCATTTGTAGTAGAAGCAGAGATGAGGCAAAATGTGCAGGTACTGTTGTTCTTTTATGGCTGCTTTCCCTGTCAGTGTTTTACTCTTCACCCCAGAAAAAGTCGTGTGGACACCCACAGGCAGAGCTGATAGCAAAGTGAAGTAATAGGAAAGCCTAGCAATAAATAAAGTGACCCATGCTTCTGTCCCTTCCCCTTGAGACTTTATTCCTTCTCCTGAAGAGGCTTAATCCCTTGAAAGGTCTGGTCAGATCCTCAGGCCTAACAAGTAGCAACCACCCTAACCAGACCTCACGAGCAACAGAATCTGGAGGAATTGTTTGCCTCTGTGGTCAGAAAGCATCCTGGTTGTGGCTCCTGAATTTCTTCATCTCCCAGCTTCCTCAGAATGGAAGGGTAGAAGCCATTGCAAATTTATTCTAATTCATGTACTGACAGAACTGTTCATTGCTTAGAGGTTGTAGGTGTGAACTAAGTGTTTTAAAACAATCTATGGTAGTGGTTATGACCGCATCAGCATTACAATGAATTGTGGCAAATTTTATTTTTCAGTGACTGCTGCCTGGATAGTGTGTGCATTTTATTGTACAGTGGTACCTCGGGTTACATACGCTTCAGGTTACATACGCTTCAGGTTACAGACTCCGCTAACCCAGAAAGATTACCTTGGATTAAGAACTTTGCTTCAGGATGAGAACAGAAATTGTGCTCCGGCGGCGCGGCGGCAGCAGGAGGCCCCATTAGCTAAAGTGGTGCTTCAGGTTAAGAACAGTTTCAGGTTAAGAACGGACCTCCAGAATGAATTAAGTACTTAACCCGAGGTACCAGTGTACTCAGTATTTCAAGGTGGCAGCCCCTTTTGCCAGGGACCAAGTCCCAAGAATTCAATAAAAATTACTTCTAAGTAGACACCTCCAGAGATTCATGTGTATACTCTTCCAAGGGCTGCTCTGCAGATATTACAGCTCCAACATTAATTTAAATACCTTCTATATGATAATTATGCATTCCACTGAATACCTGTCAGACCTGAACCTGTTGCCCGATAGTAGCCTGAACTGGATGACCTTGGGTTCTTGTGTTTTGAAAGAGGGAGATAGTTCCCTCTCTCTATTCATTCTCTCCACACCATTCATCAATTTATAAATTTTGAGATTACAACGTCATAGGGTAGGGGGGATTAAAACAAAAAAGCCGCATCTTAAGCCTTCTTCCCTACCCCACATAAGCTGCAACATGCTCTGTTTTTCCAGTCTTTTTCCCAGTCTCATTCCGTGCAGAATTAGGTGGATAGACTAAGCCCACTGAAATCAGTAGCATGGATCCCAACATTAGTTAAGTTCTCATTCTGTCCCCGTCCCCCCCACCCTCGAAAACCACCTATGCCTTCTGGACAGCCTCTCTGGAGGGTCAAGGGCTGTTAATGAAGAATGTGTGATTGGAAAGATGGAATCACTTAAAATTGTGTGGATCTCTCCCTAGCTTGGGACAATTCCTCTTCTTCTGACGAAAAGAGCTGCTCAATAGTGGAATGGACTCCCTCGGAAGGTGGTGCACTCTACTTCACTGGAGGTTCTTTAAAACGGGTTGGATGGTCACCCGCCAAGGATTCTTTAGCCGTGATTCCTGCATTGCAGGGGGTTGTACTAGATGCCGCTGAGCCCCTTTCCAACCTTACAGTTTTTCAGCAGCTCCCCAGGCACCATATCCCACATTGTACTGGAGGGCCCCCAACTCTCCTGAGATGCTTTCGCGAAGGCACAGGTGACTACTGTGGGGAGGAAGGGGTGGGAAACTTTCCTTTCATGAACTTCCTTAACTTAAATTAGGATCTGAGTCAGTAGATCTAGACATGTCTACCTCCCGCATAGGATTGGGCTATTTGTTACATATTCAGTGGTCTGTGTTTGCCTGATCTTTAGTTTGGACTAAGGAAGGCGTCAGCAAACTTTTTCAGCAGGGGGCCGGTCCACCGTCCCTCAGACCTTGTGGGGGGCTGGACTATATTTTTTTGGGGGGGGAGAATGAATGAATTCCTATGCCCCACAAATAACCCAGAGATGCATTTTAAATAAAAGGACACATTCTATTCATGTAAAACACGCTGATTCCCAGACCGTCCATGGGCCGGATTTAGAAGGCGATTAGGCCGGCCCCGGCCCCTGGGCCTTAGTTTGCCTACCCATGGACTAAGGACTCTGAGCTCCTGTGTTCTGATTTGATACATGTTGTCCAATCACAGAACATTTTAGGATTTGGGCCTCTACCATTGGCCCTTGAACTCTGAGTCATGATTTGCAGTTTGGAAGTATAGACAGCCAATCACAGTGGGAGTGGCCCAGGATTTCAGAAACATATACAGTGGTACCTCGGGTTAAGTATTTAATTCGTTCCGGAGGTCCATTCTTAACCTGAAACTGTTCTTAACCTGAAGCACCACTTTAGCTAATGGGGCCTCCCTCTGCCGCTGTGCCGCCAGAGCATGATTTCTGTTCTCATCCTGAAGCAAAGTTCTTAATCCGAGGTAATATTTCTGGGTTAGCGGAGTCTGTAACCTGAAGCGTGTGTAACCCGAGGTACCACTGTATAAGCAGTTGCTTTGCCTCTGTTTTCCAGTTATGTAGTTCAATTAAGGTTCTTGCTGTTATTGCTGTGTCTTGCCTTGTGGGAACCCACCTACACTTCACTGGCGACGAGGATGGGATGCTAGGCTAGGTATGCAGCCCTGGCTAGCTTCCACAAGCTGAAATCACTGCTGGGGAACTATTGCCTCAGCTGAGCTGAAATCACTGATGGCAGCCACAAGGCAGATCACACAGACTGGATGTCATGGCCACATCAAGGAATTTGACACAACGGTTCCAGAGAAATACTATTAATTGACCCTTTTAAATGCTTCTTGTAGCTCTGGAACAACCTTTTTGAGATGGGGGGGTGACGAGCAGCTGATTCCTGTGTAAATGTAGCATAATGTACATAATGTCTGTATGATGATAAGGCTTTTAAAAAACCAGTTCCTTTCCTAAGGTTTTTTATATTCCATTGCCCAATATTGGTAGGGAATATATTCTTTCCAGGCCCTGGTGTTCTGCAATGCTTTTCAGCTGGGATTGCAAAGGTAAATGTCTCCTCTCTTTCAGGTGGAACCCGGGGAATTAAAACCCACTCCCTGCAAACAGCTGCAAGGCATGGGAAAAAAATATGGCTGAGGGGAAAGAAAAGAATCAGTTAACACCACAAGAAAGTCACACACAGAGAGCCTTTGGCTGCCTGCAGCGTTTGAAGGAAGCCTTGAAAGAACCCATTCTCTAGCAATTCCTCCACGTTCCAAGAATTTCCTCCGCAGAGTGCAGTCTCTCAAGCCAACTGCCCCTTCTTCTAAAGTCGTCTCCCACCCACTGGCCTTTCATATCTGAGACAGACACACACAGAGAGAAACTACAACAAGCCCAGCAAAGCCCTGATCACAACTGGCAGCAAAGCGAGGCTGCCAAAAGCGGCGAGGAAGCACAGCAAACTGGCAAGGCCTGCTGCACGCATGACTTTTTCATAATCCGTCAGGAGTCAGGATTTTGCCACAAGCCCAGCAGTGCTCAAAGCATCTGGGAGGCTCTTCCTGAAAAGGGATTTAGGCAGAGGAGAGCAGCAAGGCTGTGGGAGGATTGAGAAGGGAGGGTTCTTAAACAGTCGCCCTGGTGTTTTGAAGGCAGTTGGGGGGTGGGGAGGAGTGTTGCAGGCTGACCAATACTGGGTTTCTTCTTGCCTATACAGTGGTACCTCAGGTTACATACGTTTCAGGTTACAGACTCTGCTAACCCAGAAACAGTACCTCGGGTTAAGAACTTTGCTTCAGGATGAGAACAGAAATGGCGCAGCGGCGCCGCAGCAGCAGCAGCAGGAGGCCCCATTAGCTAAAGTGGTGCTTCAGGTTAAGAACAGTTTCAGGTTAAGAACGGACCTCCGGAATGAATTAAGTACTTAAACCGAGGTACCACTGTATATCTTTTTAAAAGGGGAATACAGACATAAAAAGGCCATTTGGTGGGTTTATGATCAGCACACCAGGGAAAGGAGCAGCAAGCTTCCTTGCAAGCACAAAAAAGAAAAAAGCACACCATTAGCATCCAAGGAGAAACATTTCCCTTATTCAGCTCAAGGCTTTTGGCCGGGGGAGGAAACATTTTCTCTACTCTCGCAGACTAAACCTGTTCCGACATCAGCTCTACGTTCCAGGTAGAGGGTTCCTGCAGCTGGAGGCTCTGTACATGTAACTCCCTCTTAGGCCACAGGGAAAATAATAAATTGGTTGAAGCCTGTCATAGCACAATGATAAGCACTAGCTGCCTGGAGTGTTGGGAAAGAGGAATGGGTTTGTACACGCCTTGGGTCCCTGAGATGTATGACTGAACAGAGCTAATTGGGGCAGTCAGGGGAGAACCTTAGGCCAGGGGGGGAAATACCTCCAGACCTCCGAGATTCTCCCTTAAGCCATGCCCTCTCTGGTCTCTCACTTCTCAGACCCCTCACTTCTTTTTGGCTGGAATGTATCCTTGACTTACCTGGATGAAGGTGTGTGTGTGCCTTCCAAAGGTGGGGGTGCCACCACTGAGAGGCCCCCCCCCGCCTCTTGACCCTCGTCAAAACACGCCTCAGATATCAAAGGGACCGAGAGAAGGGCCCTTCGGGGAGAGCTCAAGATTCGGACAGGTTCCTACAGGGAGAAGGAAGTCCTTTAGGTAAATACTCATCCTCGGCCATTCAGGGCACTTTGAATCGTGCCTGTAAATGAGCCAGCAAAGCTGTTGCAACTGGGAGTGACGTGCCCCTCCCTGGAAGCAGGACCTCTTGCACAGCTCTCCTGTTGACTTCTTCAGGGTGTGGACAAGAGAGCTTTCTATCAGGACCATGCACCAATTAATTATTATGGCTACTTCCCTGAGTTCTACATCTCCTTTCACATTTACAGTGGTACCTCTGGTTACGTACTTAATTCGTTCCGGAGGTCCATTCTTAACCTGAAGCTGTTCTTAACCTGAAGCACCACTTTAGCTAATGGGGCCTCCTGCTGCTGCCGCGCCGCTGTGCCATTTCTGTTCTCATCCTGAAGCAAAGTTCTTAACCTGAGGTACTATTTCTGGGTTAGCAGAGTCTGTAACCTGAAGCGTCTGTAACCCGAGGTACCACTGTACTTACCTACTTGCCGGAACCCTTTTGCAGGGGGCTTGTTTTGTGTGCTGTTCTTCATTAGATTATTTGGGGGAGGGGGCGTATTCCAGTCTTGCATTGTGCTGTCTTTTAACTCTCCCCCCACCCCCAACCCGAGAAGACTCATCTTCTACATTGTCATTCTTCTGTCTCTTTTCATAGTCAGATGGGTTTGCGTGATTGACTAAAAATGTAAACATTTTGAACTGCTTTGTTCCTGCAAGTGCAAAGGGCCCAGGGCTCAAGCTTGCCCAACAGCAGGCAGCCTCCAATCTGGAAGCCTTCACATGCCCAGAGGCACTGCCATCTGCATGCGGATCTCACATTAAGGGTGCCAAGTCCCGGTCAAGAGATTGTGCTAAGAAATCTGGAAATTCCTGGTACACTGACATGTAATCCTATCAACTCAGGAGTAAGTCCCACTGAGTACAAGTGGTTTTACTTTCAGGAAATGGGTGTAGGATTGTGACCTGAATCTCATCTCAGCCATGAAGTTGCTAGGTAAGCCTCTCCTCTCTCTTAGCCTCCCTTTCTGCAGAATGGGAAGTACAATACTGACCTACCTGACAGGGGTTTTTGTAAGGATTACAGTACTTAGCATGCAAAGTGCCTTGATCTTTCTAAAATGGTATATAAATGCTCATATAATATCCTTTTGCAGAACCGAGGCCCCATCTGCACTATGCATTTAAAGTACTATCATATCTGTTTAAACGGTAACAGCTTCCTCCTGGAAAGGGCCCTGGAAACTGCAGTTTGCAAAAGGTGCGGAAAAGTGCTAGGAGACCTCTTATTTCTCTCACAGAGCTACAAATTTCAGAGTGGCTTAACCAAAAATAAAAATAAAAACCACTCTTTCCAGGCAACTCTAGGAAATATGCATCTGTGAGGGGGAAAGGGATCTCCTAACAACTCTCAGCACCCTTAACAAACTATGCTTCCCACAATTGGGGCTGAGGGTAGGTTTAAAGTGGTATGATACTGCTTTAAATGCATAGGGCAGATGGGGTTTGAGCCTTGTCAACAAGTCCTGGAGCTGAACCTTGACTATTCCAGAAATCTCTCAGTCCTTCCCATTTTAGATTTACAGTACGTTAGAAATGTGCAGTGGTTAGAGGGCTGGGCTAGGATTTGGGAGAACAAGGTTCAAATCCCCACTCAGCCATGAAGCTCACTGGGTGATGTTGAGCCAGTCACTCTCCGCCTAACCTACCTCACAGGGTTGTTGTGAGGATAAAAGGAGAAGAATGCATGCTGGGTTGTAAATGTAATAAATAATAAGTTGTCAGCTTTAGGTGATTCAAGCTGCAGCCCGGTACAGACTTATTTTGAGCTTAAAGGTAAAGGGACCCCTGACCGTTAGGTCCAGTCGCGGACAACTCTGGGGTTGCGGCACTCATCGCGCTTTACTGGCCGAGGGAGCCAGCATACCTCTTCCGGGTCATGTGGCCAGCATGTTTACCTTCCCGCCGGAGTGGTACCTATTTATCTACTTGCACTTTGACGTGCTTTTGAACTGCTAGGATGGCAGGAGCAGGGACTGAGCAACGGGAGCTCACCCTGTCATGGGGATTTGAACTGCTGACCTTCTGATCGGCAAGCCCAAGGCTCAGTGGTTTAACCCACAGCGCCACCCGCGTCCCTATTTCGAGCTTAAGCCCTATTATATACAACTGTAATGTAAAAGTTGACTGCTGAGGTTGAATTTTAATATGAATTCAATCCCCAGCATCCACAGGTAGGAAATTCCTGCCTGAAACCAGAGTTGCTGCCAGCCAGTGTAGACAACAGAAAGCTAGATGGGCCAATTGGTCTGACTTGACATAAGGCAACATCCAGGGTGCTGTGAGCTACCAGCATGTTAAGATTTAAAGCTCCTTTGAATCTTGCTTTTAGGATTTTTGCAATCTGATATTTCAAATGCATTGCAGGGGGTTGGACTAGATTACTCTCGAGGTTCCTTCCAAGTTTACAATTCTGTGATTCTAAATTATGGTTTCCACTGATAGCTGGCTCGAGCGGATTGTGATTTCTCAAGAAATCACATGTGCTTTATTAAATCGTAAGGTCCTTCAGAAGGGCAACTACGTATAACGATTTTCGGTCACGGTCCGAAATCACGTATTTTACAGTATTCAAACAACCAATATTAATTATTTGCCTCCTAATCGGTTAAGGTCTTTGGAAATATTGGACAGTTCTACTTATCACACAGTTGTTTCTTCTCCCCCCCCTCCAAAAAAAAACCCCACTCCAGATTTATATACTTTCCTCTCCCCACCGCCCCCTCCACCTTAAATTATTTGGCAAGCGTAGCCTGCATTTAATTTAATTCCAAGAAATATATATATTTCCCTTCTCTTTGTCCATTCAAGGTCGATGCTCTGAACTGGAAAGTGTCCAAAGAAATCGCCCAAGGAGAAGGAAAGGAATTCCACCTTCAGCAGCAAGGAGGCAAAGCAAAACGTTTCGCAAAGTTTTCTCCTCTCTCCAGCTTTGATTTCCCACGAGGCAGAGAACGGCTTTGGCGTGCTCCGACGAAGAACTCGTTTGCCACTCCCGAGGGAGCAGGAATCCTGCTCCGGAGCGCGCTCGGCGCGCGTTCCCGACGCCTGGTGCTGGTGGGAGAGAGAGTGAGAAGAGGTGGTGGCTTCTGGTAGTGACTTTTTTTTTTTTTTTGGTAAAGGAAGTGAAAAGGGTTGAAAAGTTGGGTTGCAAAGAAAAGTGCAAAGGGGGAAGCGAAGCTCGAGAAAACAAACCGGGCACGATTGCCAAGGCGGTTGGAGAAAACAAAAATAAAAAACAAAAAATCTCCACCCACCTTCCTTCTCTTCCCCGGACGAAATTATGAGCTGGGATTTGCAATGAAAAAACAATGGGGCCCATTCCCAGCCCCTGCTGGTTTTGCATTGGGTTCTTCTTGGTTTCGGTCTGGCTAGGAGTTGTTTGGAGCACGGAAGGTAAGTCTGAATCCGTATGTTTTGTTTTGCTTCTATTTCTGTTTATTGGGGCGGCGGGGGGAGAGAAGCAAAGAAAAGGAAGAGGGAAGGCGTCCAGGAAGGAATCTCTCAGCCAGTTTTGCAACCAAGAAAGGGGGTTCCAAGTTGGAAGAAATAAGAGAAAGGAGAGAAACTTATGTGCGCAAACTTGTTGATTTTCGGGTTTCGTTCGGGGCGGGATTATTTCATTAATTAGCCGCGTGTTTTTGATTAATTTAATTAATTCCTGGTCTCCGGGTCAACGCAGATCGGAGTCGGTCGCCGGGGGGCGGGCGGGGTATGGTGTGTTTTGTGTGTGTGTGTGTGGGGGGGGGTGATCGACAAAAGCTCAGTTCTTTGCATTGTTCCAAACGTTGTGGGAGGTGGGTCTGGGAAATGGGGCCAGCGAGAAGTTTCTGCTCCTCTGATCGTCGGTTGCGCCGAGATTTCGGGCCACGCGCGCCTTCAAGGAAACGGGCCCATTAAGAACTCGTTGGGGCGCGGATTAGCTGCCCTTGAAGATGTCGGCGGCCGCCCTCTCTGCCCCCCTTTTCGCCCCCCAAGCCCGGGCTGCAACGGGGAAAGGGCGCATGTTTGCAGAGCCGCCCTTGCGACGCGTGTTTTTGCGCGGCTGGCGCAGGGCGCTTCTGAGACGCGTTAGCAATTGCTTGCCAGCTGGGCGGTGGAGAGACAGCTCTACTCTCGAGTAGGTTAGGGCAGAGTTAATCGATGTAACCTTGTTTGGGTTACACACTGCAGTGGATGTGTGTGTGTGAGAGAGAGAGAAGGCGAGGGTTTTGCCTCCTAAGGAGGAGGCGGGAGATGGTGCTGGACGGAGCGGGACTTGTTCTTATTCAGTCTCGACGAGTTAACGTGACTTAAATCCCCAGCAGGCCACCCCCGCCGTGTGTCAAAACTTGCCGAAGGGCATTGCTCCGGAGATCCCAAATGTCTTTCCTTAAAAACATAAGAAGTGCCTTATGGCAGGAGTGGGGAACCTTTGCCCCCACCCCCCAGATGTTGCCCACCCGCAAGGATGGCCAGTGGGGAAGGAGGAGAGGAGTTGAAGTACAGCAACATCTGGATGAGCACAGCTGTCTGTTCAAGAACTTTGTAAATTTGCAAATCATCTGCAGATCTTGGAGCGGTTGACCGCATAAAAACATAATTTAAAAACCTGAAAAAAATTAAAAAATTCCTTCCGGTAGCACCTTAGAGACCAACTAAGTTTGTTATTGGTATGAGCTTTCATGTGCATGCACACTTCTTCAGATACGTGCACATGAAAGCTCATACTAATAACAAACTTAATTGGTCTCTAAGGTGCTATTGGAAGGAATTTTTAAGTTTTGTTTTGATTGTGGCAGACCAACACGGCTACCTACCTGTAATGAAAAACATAGTAAAAATAAGAGCAGCAAGAAACTGATAATCCCTCCCATTCCCAAAGGCTGGTTGAAAAGGAACATTTTTGACTGGAGCCTAAAGGTGTATAAAAGGAGAACTTCCCAGGGGAGAGTATTCCACAAATGGGGAGCCACTGCAGAAAAGGCCCGTTCTCGTGTTGCTACCCTCTGGACTTCTCATGGAGGAGGCACACACAGAAGGGCCTCAGAAGATGATCTCAGGGTCCGGGTAGGTTCATATGGAAGGAGGCAGTCCTTGAGGTATCATATTGTTGTAAGACTACAACTTCCGCCATCCTGACCATGGACTATGCTGCCTTGGGTTGATTGACATGGGGAGTCCTGAAGCAATATGGAGAGCCACTGATCCCCCAGGGCGATCTACTCTAAATGGGATAGTAGCCTACAGTCTACTTTCTGCTTGTTTGTGAGCTATGAATTGTCCGGTTATTTCAATTTCCCATTCATTTCGCGGTATTTTCTGTCTTGTGAGTGCGTCATCCCTACCCCTTGGATGGACTATACCATGGGTAGGCAAACTAAGGCCCGGGGGCCGGATCCGGCCCAACCGCCTTCTAAATCCGGCCCGTGGACAGTCTGGGAATCAGCGTGTTTTTACATGAGTAGAATGTGTCCTTTTATTTAAAATGCATCTCTGGGTTATTTGTGGGGACTGCCTGGTGTTTTTATATGAGTAGAATGTGTGCTTTTATTTGAAATGCATCTGTGGGTTATTTGTGGGGCATAGGAATTCGTTCATTTCCCCCCAAAAAATATAGTCGTCCCCCCCAAAGTCTGAGGGACAGTGGACTGGCCCCCGGCTGAAAAAGTTTGCTGACCCCTGGACTATACCATTTTCATGCTGAATCCTCAAGTGCAGTTCAGCCCAATTGCTTTGGGCCTGGGCTGACTGCTCGTGGAGGATTGAAAATATATATATGGTATCCTTTCCCTTTATTTTGCTGCTACAAGGGAAATGGGGTGGGTAAAGGGTGCGTTATGATGAAAAACCGTGTCTTGTTGAGCTCTAATACATATATTGTGTGGGTGGTGATTTTAAATTGTTGTACACCACTCTGGGTGGTTCACCAGTTTTAAAATCAATAAAATGAGGCTACAACCAGACATTAAAAAACAGTCAATGCAAGAAACTGAACCAGCACCAAAAATTAACATTAAACCATCAGGAGGCAGTAAAAGATCGATAAAAATGTGACACACAACCAGGAAAGGGGTGGGTGGACACAAAACTGATCTAAGGACTAAAATGCAGTAAAACCATAGTTGTTAAACAGTATGTGTGAGTAAAGAGATATATACCTGGTGCTGGAAGTGTAGGTGTTCAGTGAGCCTCTCTGGAGGCGTATTCCATTGTCTTCTGAGATGGACGGATGCCAATAATACTGGTTCCAAATCATTTAGGGCTTAAAAAAATTAATACTATCACTTTGAATTGGACCAGTGCAGATGAAAAAAACACTGGCATACTATGGCGTGGTATCTGTCACCCTCCCCTTTGGGACTCTTGCTGCCCTGTTTTGAGCTAGCTGGAGTTTCCAGTCCTTTTTCAAAGGAAGCCCCACCACACAGGACCATCCTTGGAGAGTAGGTGAAGATATGTAAAGCCATCTTTATTTAGGAGAGGTGAAGCACTGTAGCTTGGGGGGGGGGGGAGATCATCTGTTTTGCATTTAAGGTTCCTGGTTTGATCCCTGAACTCTCCAGGTGGGAGACAATACGGAGTTAGATGGACTGACTCAGTATAAGATAGTACGTTCCCATAAGAGTTTTCATCTGATGAGTTTGAGCTGTTGTAAAACTGTGGGTTAATTTTTGCGTTGTGGTTTCTATGATCGATGTTCTTAATTGTTTGATTGCAAAACAAACAGAAAAATGTTCATATAGTTCTGCTGCAAGGAACCCTGCCAAGGGAAGAATCAAATGCCGGAATGGAACCAAGAGCACGAGCTGCAGGAATTCAGCTGATGAAGTTTTCCCGTACCTCTCATGTTGTGTTCACGGGGACTTCACCAATTAAATTATTCCAAGTTGATGTTAAACGCAGAGGAGCAGGGCTGGTGCAAAACAAAGAGGTTGAAACTGTATCCTGGATGGTTTGATAAGTGTTTACGGACTTGATGCTGCCTCCCTGCATCCCACAGTCACTGTTTAGTGCAGAGATCGCGAATAATACTGAAGTGGGGGCCTTCTCACCACGTTGATTGAGCTAGCTTTCTGTCTCTGGAAATCTGAAGAGATGTGCATGTAGGAATGGAGTCGTTAGTGTTGAGTGGGCTTTGCATTTCGGCTTGGTTCTGCATCTTGAATGGAGAATATGAATTCTGCCAGCAGCCCTGGCAAATGGGCTTTAGTAAATTGACACACACACACACACAATTTAAATGTTTAGAGTTGGGACTTAAGTTGGACCAAAGATCTGACTTGAGTTGATGATGTTATTTTAGGCAGGGAAGGAAAATTTGATGGGGTTTACTGGAATGTTGCAAAACTTCTGATGTGGCAAGGGAAGATATGCTAACAACATGCTGTAAATGACACAAAGGGGATTATTTGATCATCCATTCTTGTCATTACTGGCTCCTTGCTTTGCTGCGTGCTGTTCTTTGGCTCTTTTTACTGTGAAGTACAGCAGGCAAAGGCTGTGTTGTTTGTAAATAATTTTTTAATCCCTTGGATTTCGTCATCTTTTGTTTTGTTTAATAATCCCGCTAAGAAAATCCAGTGGTTGAGTTTCAAAGTGAGAGGTACTGGGGCTCAAAGACCTCTTCCTACCTCCAGGTGCATGAGAATTGTTTGTGGCCAGGGATTTAAGAAATGTGTTCACAACCCAGATGGTCTTTCCCCCTGCACATTATATTTTAAATCAATTAACACAGTCACGCATATTTGGAGATTTGGGAAATGTGTAGAATTAGGATGAACCAGTCAGTCAAAAAGTTGCCAATGAAGGAGGCGGTTTTGAGTGCATGTAGGTGTTGCTGCCTTTGTATTGTTTGGCTGAAGAATGCTGTATGACTTGAAGGCTTGCATACTCCAGAGGTAGACTTAAATGCAGATAGCTGTTGGGCTGTAAAAGCATGGTGTGTTCTGCAGATTCAAATAAGACTTTAGCAGGGGTTCTGGTCGAGAGCATGTGAATGCCAAGATTATGCTTGGGCAGTCTCTGCAGTCTAATATGTAATATACTACAGTGATGCTGGTCTACTTGGCAGGGTTGTTGGAAGCAGTGCTTTAAAAAGAGAGGGAGAAGGTGCCAGTACTCACCATGAAGTTATTACAGTAAGTGCCACAGTTTTAACATTTGGCGGGAAAAGATTCCAGTACTACGTACCCTTGAAAACCCCAGAAAAAAAGCACTGGTTGTAAGGATTATCGAGGTAATCTGTGTGTCTTTTTTAAAAAGCTCTTGCAAATCATGAACAGACCCCAAAACCTATTTGACATACCCAAACCAGATGCTACTTTCATAGCTTTCCAAGATTGACACAGATAATTCTGTGAGAGACTCCTAAGAATTCCTACTTTTCTGAAAGTTTGTTTGCCATGTCAATAAATGGTGACCGAGAGATGCAACCCTTTGCTCAGAGCAGGGTGAACATAGGGGAGCAGTGACCCAGAGCAAAGGTGTGAGACAATAATTTGGCAAGGTCCCAACTTGATTTTCATTCTTTAATCTTCCTTTCTTCCTTGAGTTGGGATATTAGCATGAGTTGGCGGGGGTGCACACACTCCCTTGACCTTAGTTAGCTTGTTTCCATAGTGACCTTCAGGCTCCTGCCAGAACCTTCCCCCCATCAAACCTCTCTTCTATTGCAGCTGCCGTTAAATATTAAACTCTCTAATGGTTTTACAGAGCAAGCAAGAAACCTTCAACCTCCCAACTCTCCACCAGTCTCTCTCCCCCAGCAACCCACCCCTGTTCCTTAATAGCAGAATGTGCTGGGTAATTGTAACAGACATTGCCATGCTCTGAAATCCCAGGGATTCTTTATCCTGTAAGATGACCAAAAGAGGGAAGGGGAGATAGATAAGCACTACTCACTTACCACAGGCAGCTGGTGTCCCTGCCCCCAGACTGTTAAAAAATGGTAAAGGTCCCCTGACAGTTAAGTCCAGTCGTGAACGACTTTGGGGTTGCGGGGTTCATCTTCCTTTACTGGCCGAGGGAGCCGACATTTGTCCGCAGACAGTTTTTCTGGGTCATGTGGCCAGCATGACTAAGCCGCTTCTGGCGAAACCAGAGCAGCGCACAGAAACGCCATTTACCTTCCTGCCAGAGCGGTACCTATTTATCTACTTGCACTTTGACATGTTTTTGAACTGCTAGGTTGGCAGGAGCTGGGACCGAACAATGGGAGCTCACCCTGTCATGGGGATTCGAACTGCTGAGCTTCCGATCGGCAAGCCCAAGGCTCAATGGTTTACATCACAGCGCCAGACTGTTACAGCTCCCCAAATCCCTCATAACGCTGCTCCAGCAGCAGCAGCATGACTCAAGCGCTATGCATTGCCATGCCAGTCTAGAATTGCACCACAACTTCTTCTGTGTCATTACAGGGGGTCCTGCGGTTCACTTGTTTTGACGACATGCTATTTTCTAGGTTTCCCTTAAATATACTGCTATCTTAAGTGATTGCACTTGGAATAGTTTGTTTGTTGCTTAAAGCATTCACCGATTTGCTGTGTAGCTGTTTAGCTATGATAGATCCAGTGGGGAATGGAATGTTCCGCGGGTTATAGACAACCTGGGATGGGGGACCTGTGACCTTGCAGATGACTTTGGACTCCATCTCCCATCAGCCTCGGCCACCATGGCTAATGGTTAGGGATGGTGGGAGTTGGAAGCCAGCAACATCTGGAGGCCAACAGGTTCCCTGCCCCGGGGAAGTACCAAAACACTAGGGGGGGGGGTTGTTGTGAGTTGGAGGTTGATTTAGCAAATCATTGAATTGTACAGTCGGAAGGGGCTCCGAGGGTCATCTAGTCCAACCCCTGCAAATCCTACATAGGTTTCTGTTTAGCCACTTGACTGGTCACTGTGCAGAATAGAAACTCTTTCCCGTTGAACCCCTGCTATCACAGAGCACTGTGTGTGCAGCTGCTACTTTGTTTTTCCCAGCGCTCTTATCCTCCTCAGCAAGATTAGAGATCAAAGTACCAAGTCTGGAAGGGAAATTGAGAGGCACTGCTAGTAGTGCCATGCCACACGGGTGGCTGTTCCTTTTGGCTTCCTCTCCCTTCTGCTTCTGCTAAGTAAGAATGCAGCTAGGAAGCCCACCAGCTTAGGAGGAGCCCCAGCAAAGCACAGTTTGCCAAGGGTTCCCTCAAAGCTGTTCAAGCAGGAGACAGAGAGTTGGAGGGTGAATGGGTGCTTATTAGACAGCATCTGTCCATCAACATCTTTTAAATTTCATGCTTTGGTTTGCCAGAATTCTGCCTCAGAGAAGTGGTCAGATCTAGTGCCTTATCTCCATCCATTCTGGCTCTGTTGATGGGGTTCGCGAAGGGTGTGGATCTTCTGTCCTTCCCTTGAGAACTCATTCATAGCACAATTCCATAAACCGAAAGAACTAGCATGATCTAGTCTACCATGCTGTATCCAACAGCAGCTAGATGGGCAGAATGTGAAGGTGACGGCCTTCGCCTGTTGTTTGCCTGTAGAATCACCTGGCTTTTTAGAAAGATGCTACTTCTTAACATTGATGTTCCATTTGGCTATTTTAGCTGTTCATAGATCTGTTAACCAAATGCCTCGACATTGTTTGATCCTTCTGGAAAAACTCCCAGACCTAGTGACCATCCTCACATTGTGTTGTGCAGAATTCCATAGGTTAACTGTGCGTTGGGTGAAGAAGGAAATGTTTACAGCGCTATTCTATGAGTCTTACCTGAATTTCTTTTTTCTTTTTGTGTCTGCAAACATGTGAAGCCTGAAGGTGGAGTGGGTGGAAAGGGGAAATTCAGAATAGGACATACCATAGCACTGAAGGCAGTGGAATCAAAGGACTGGTGATTTTTAGAAGGAGAAGTGGTTTGTGGGCTTTGTGCTTGGACCACACCTCTGCTTTGTACTCAGGTTGTGATTTTATTCATTTATTCATTTGTACTTTATTCAATTTATATCCCGCCCTTCCTCCAGGGCGCAAATCACTTGACCTTCAGGTCCAGCACTCTTGTTTTAATACCTCTGGGATGCTTACAAGCAGCGCACGAGGACAACAATGTTCCCTTGTTGTTTATCTGCAACATCTGGTATTCAGAAATATGCTGTGTCTGAATACAGAGCTTCTAGTTAGCTATGGTTTCTTCTGTTGGAAGAATTGGGGTGGAGCCACAGAAAAGTAGACATGATTTATAGCTCATTTCTTGCAGGCACCTGGTGCCCTGTACAATAGCATACTAACTTTCCTTGCTGAATTAATTGAAAACAAGCGGGTCCACTTGCCTCAGCTGTATTTGGTTTGTTTACAGATGCCTAATCCACTTTTAAAGTTTTTTTTTAAAAAAAGTGGTGCAAAGAGGAGAGCATCTACGAAAGCTGTGGGCGCTCAGTCCGGAACTGAATCTCACCAGCTGTAATAAAGTTAATTTTAATGTGTCCTCCCACTCTTTTTATACCAAGCACTAGAAAAGAGCCCAGGCCCTCTGTTTGTCTGGGTGGCCCAGGCCTGAGGCCTCTTACTGTTTGGTTGCTGGGAGACCACTGGCGGACACGCTGAGAACTCGGGCAGCTGGGAGTTGACTTTATTACGGCCCCTTTTCAGTCGATTGTCCCGTAGGAGAGTCCCCACTGAGCCCTAGATGCCGAGGAAGCGAGACTGCTCTTTGGCAAGTGACATGGCTGCTGTGCCTCGGCCATGGTAGAATTCCCCATTCGGTGTCTGCCATGGGCAATGCACAACCATAGAATATATAGGGCTTCCTTTGGGATGAAGAATGCCAAAGGAGCAGGGTTTCTGAGACTGCTGTAAGGATCCCCCAGCAAACGCTAGTCTCTTCCCCATTTTGCTCTCTGTAGGATGTGGGGACGGCACTTTTCTTCACAACTGTCTTTCCCAGTGTTGGGGTTCCTCAAAAACCTCCCACTTGTGTCTGGAAACTTATCTGTAGTGTTTGCTGAAACTTGACACACTTTATCGTAGCCTTGCTTACCAGACTGGTGTTTCTGTCCTTACGTGGGCAAGTATTGAACCCCTTGCCTGCGGCTTAGTTTTCTTCCAAAACTAAGACCTTTCTCCTTCAGTCCTATCATCTGTAGACTTAGATACCCTAACTAATTTTGAGATGCACCCTTCAAAACATGGGGAGCTGTAAATGTGCCTTTTTAATAAAGAAAAGAAAAAGAATGCTGAATTTCACCAACCACACATTTTAAAAACCGGGAGTTGAGAAAGAAGAGCACGCCTGTTACTTGCCCTGCCAAATTTTGGTTTTTGTGCGGATAGTGTCATTTTTATGGTGTAGCCACTAGGTGACCCTGAATATAGCTGTATCTGGATGAAGTCAAGTTTCCTGTGCTGTGTTGCTGTTGTTGAAAACGAGATAATAAAAGTTCTTGTCTAGCTTCCTGGTGTGACTTACCAGTGGCAGAGTGCATTTATCCAAAACCCTGTGATTGAATTGCATGTCAGAGCTGACTCGGCTCTAAAATGTCTGACGTAAATTTGAAGTGGGTCTCTGAACACGCACAGAGTACATTTCCCCTCTTTGTTGCTGTATCAGCTCTCTCCCATGTGAGAATATCTAGAAGGCACAAAGTTGTTTACCCCTGTGTAAAGAGACTGAGCTCTGTACCTATCAAATCCTTAGCAGCTCCTTCCTTTTCACAGCCTCTGCTATACTGTAGGTCAGGGGTAAGCAACCTTTTTCAGCCATGGGCCGGTCCACCGTCCCTCAGACCATGTGGTGGGCTGGACTATATTTGGGGGGGGGGAATGAACAAATTCCTATGCCCCACAAATAACCCTGAGATGCATTTTAAATAAAAGCACATATTCTTCTCATGTAAAAACACCAGGCAGGCCCCGCAAATAACCCAGAGATGCATTTTAAATAAAAGGACACATTCTACTCATGTAAAAACACGCTGATTCCCGGACCGTCTGCGGGCTGGATTTAGAAGGCGACTGGGCCGGATTCGGCCCACGGACCTTAGGTTGCCTACCCCTGCTGTAAGTCTTGATCTCCCAGTGGCAACTGGGCTGGGTGAAGTGGGGGAGCTTATCTTGATTCTAGCTCCTTTAAGCTGCATGGGCATGCCCAAAATGTGTAGAAGGTGGAGCATGTCGGCTCCACCAGCATTGCTTCAACGAGCCACTTTTCCTTTCTAAAACATGCCCGGCTTGAAAAAGCAGTTTTGTTGTCAAACCCTGCCAAACCCGCCCGGGGGTAGTCTAATGACACCATTGATCCAGGAGGGAGAAGGGTTGAGCCCCAGCTTCTGCTGTAGAAGTCATTCCTCAAAGAATCCCCCAAAAAGCCAATCTAGGCCTCCACCCATAAATGCTTTCTTCATTCTAAAATGGAGATTGTCTAGTGAAGTCACCTGCAATATTTTCAGAACTGGCACCTCAGTCCCAACCTGAAAATCTATATTTAATTTTCTTTCTTTCATCTACCATAAATGTCCATATTTCTCCTTTGCTCTCAAGGAGGCTAGCTGCAATTGGAGCAGGGCTCCTACATCTGTCAATAGTTGCAAAGCAGATTATGTTTTGATGTTCTTTCTTAGTTGTATAACTCTGTTGACCTAAAAATTGGCAGGTGTAGCATGTTGTGCAGGGAGGGGGCTCTACACCTGGAAAAATCCCCCAAACTGTGTGACATTTAGCAGTAAAGGGGTTCTGTGACCCTTTGTCATCTGATAATACAATCTAGAACAAACTAGTGGTTGTACTCGTGGTAAACTTCTAATTTGATTTAGATGCTGTCAAAGTTCTAATCTATTAATGGTGTATAGTGGATAAAAATGCACACCGTTAGTAGGAGGAACCTTCAGTTCAGATCCTGCCTCAGCCATAAACTCTGTTATGTTTAGTAAGGGGTTGTTTTTCTCTCGTTGTCAGTCATTTGTAAGATAAGCCTGTGGTGTTGTTGTTGCTGTTGCTGTTGCTGCTGCCTTTCCTGTGTTGCTGCTGGTTTACCGTCTAAGGCTGCTGTACCTATTATTTTACTGTGCCAAAAATATTTCTGCAACGTGAAGATCCAAATTCTGCCATCGGTTGTCGTGCCAAAGTAGTTGTTTTAATCAATTGTCCATAATACAACTAGGGCTTGGGCAACTGCTTCTCCATCCTAGGGCCAGTTCATTAAAATTAAGATTTAGAGAGAAAATACATGCTCCTTGCAAGTGTGTGCTCGCCTTCTCTCTCTCCAGTTCTTTATATAAAAATGACCAGTCCTTACAATTTTTAAAAATCCTCTTGATTTTAAACAAAACTTGTTTCTGTGTTGCCATACTGCAGGTCTAGACAGTTAGTGAATCTACCAACCCAAACCTTGCTTACCAGCCTTGTATTGTGGGTTGCCTGCCACTTGACCTGTGCATTTACAGCCGCAATCAGGCAGCACTATCAGGTTATATATTATTCTGCCTGCTGGGCTGTTTGTTCAGCTTGGTAGGCCAGAAGTTGTGCACACCTGCTATACTGTTTGGAAGTATTGCTGGGTAGAAACTCTCATAACATCCACCATTTTGGGGAATAAATATCCTCTTCTTCTTCTCCTTTTCCTCCTCCTCCTCCTCATTCCCATAAGTACCTGGGCTACATTGGGTTACAATACAGTACATTTCACAAATGGACAAAGGGATCCTTACAGAAAGGATTCCTGCCTGAATTGATGCCTTTGCCATTACTGACTTTCGAGGACTATGTACTCTCCTGCAGACTGTACTCATTTGCTGTGCAAATAGCCTGCCCTACACCACTTTAAAAGCAGAAAAGGGTGTTTGTTCATTTGGTTAAAGATGCACTAGGAAGACACACTTGTGGTAATACGTTACCAATAACTCAAAGGGAATCTTGCCAGCTGCAGAATGTGAAATGGAAAGCTGTATCAAGCATGATACTTCAGTGTTCATTGACATTCATGCCAACAAGAATCCAGTCAGAGATTTTGCTTCTTAAAAGTCCTGGCTGGGGTGGGTGGGACTGAAATGCCACAAATGAAGAGTTGTGTATGCATACTAAACAACATTTTTGCAAGGCATCCCCCAAAGGCAAATGAGAGAAAAATGATTTATCAGGGAGAGGTACCCAAAATAGAGTTGGCTGGAGCAGAAGAAATCAAAAAACAATTTGAAAGTCTGTGGAACTTGTTTTGAGAGTATTTTCAGATAGTTCTCAGCCACATGGTAAACCTGAGTCCACCTGTTCATTGTTTTTAACCTACTTATTAGCCCCACCTTGCTTATTGCTTCATTCCCGCTGAACCTTGGACCTGACTCGAATCACGCTTTCTTCTGCCAACAGTAATGTGTCAGTTTCTTCCCCACTGTCCAGACTTTTATCTGATTGGGAGCTGCTGGGTTGTGTGTCTGTGGGATCGGTCACTTGGCTGCCACTGGGCTCCTTGGCGTCATGTTGCCGATCCTCTAGAGGCGAAGGCTGGTTCTGCTTCTCTTTCTGGTGCTTGTCCGTGCAGGAAAGAGGGTTGCGTAAACGGCCCGCGTGGGAATGGAGTAAACATGGGGAGAAGACGCCCATCCCAACCAGAAAAACAAGCTTGTTTCTCTCCTGCTCTGAATGTTATAACTGGCCTGTTATTTCTTAGTGCCAATCTCCCTTCCCCCGCCCTCCGCTTTCAAGGAACAAAGTGCAAAATCTCCAGTGCGTAGCAAGTCTGAAGAATGGTCCTTTCCCCACAGAAAGCCTTTAAAGCTTGTTTCTATTCGGTCCCTATTTAAGGAGGGCCATATTAACTATACTTTCATAATGTTTCTGAGTTTTGTTTCCTAAGGGTGCTCAAAGCGGCATGGTAGCGAGAGAAAAACAAAAGGAAAAGGAAAAAAACATTTGCACTTGTTTAAAATTAACTTGCTCCTCTAATGATTTAATACAGTGCAATTGCAATGAAGCTTTTTATTTGCTGCGGCAAGTGGTACAGTGGGGGGGGGGGGGCAAGGAGTTCTACAGAGTGGGTGCCGCCAGCAAGAAAGCCCTGCTTTGTATCCTCTCAGTTCTTCCTGTGTAAAATGGCCCATGAAGCACAGCCTCACATCCAAGTACAGTGGTACCTCGGGTTAAGTACTTAATTTGTTCCGGAGGTCCGTTCTTAACCTGAAACTGTTCTTAACCTGAAGCACCACTTTAGCTAATGGGGCCTCCTGCTGCTGCCGCACCACCGGAGCATAATTTCTGTTCTCATCCTGAAGCAAAGTTCTTAAACCGAGGTACTATTTCTGGGTTAGTGGAGTCTGTAACCTGAAGCGTATGTAACCTGAAGCGTATATAATCCGAGATACCACTGTACAGCCATACCTTGGTTCCCAAACGCCTTGTGACTCGAATGCTTTGGCTCCTGAACGCTGCAAACCCGGAAGTGAGTGTTCCAGTTTGCGAATGTTTTTTGGAAGTCGTACGTCGGACGCGGCTTTTGCAGCTTCCAATTGAGTGCAGGAAGCTCGTGCAGCCAATTGGAAGCCACGCCTTGGTTTTTGAACTTTTGGAAGTTGAACGGACTTCTGGAACGGATTTCATTCTAGAACCAAGGTACGACTGTACAAGAAGGTACTTATGAGAGAAGATTCTGAAAAGACTAATCTAGATTAACCGGGACTAAGACTGAGATGGGCAATCCGAATGCACACTGGAGAAGATGAGGTACAATCTGCCAGCACATTTCTCCTGCGCAAGCCTAGTGAAAATGAACTGGAATTGCATATTTCAATATGATTTGCGCAGGTGAACGTCCCATCGTTTTGCTGTTAAATGATGCAGCTGTGTCTCCCTCTCTGCTCACCCTAGTTTAGGGGAATAGTGGGGAACCTTAGGGGAATAGTGGGGAACCTCACTGGGATCGACTGCGCATGGGAGTTCTCTGTTGGGCTGGGGGCTTCTCTTTCTCCATTTGGAGGAAGCAGTTTAGATTAAAACAGCTTCCTCTGCAGACCGCCTTTGAATTTTGACAGGTGTCCATCTGTGGGTGTCAGTATGATCTCAGTTGGATGATCCCACGCACCTGTCAGAGTTGGTCCACAGCGGATGGGGGAGCTAGGGACGTGGTCTGCCAGCTGGGTCCAGTTCCCCACTCCTGCTTTAGTGTCGTTACCATCTGTGGGGCAGAATCTTGCCCCATAGTAAGGCTACCTACTTCTGACTAGAGGTGGGCAAATTGTTCAGTTTCCATTCTGTATCATCTCTGCATGTGCTAACCCATAAATCGATTCTATCCTGTTTTTGTATTAATCTATGATTTTTAAAAAATAGCACACGGAGAAAGAAAATCGCATTTAAATGTACGTCGCTGCTGCTTCTGCAAGCAAGCCACAGTTGCCCACCACCTCATCGCACATAGTAATGCCTGGTTGTACAAAATACCGTATTTTTCGCTCTATAAGACGCACTTTTTCCCCTCCAAAAATTAAGGGGAAATGTGTGTGCGTCTTATGCAGCGAATGCAGGCTCCATGGCTTCAGCAATAGCAACGCGAAGCCTCCGAAGCGCAGTGGGAGTGCTCCCACTGCACTCCGGAGGCTTCGCATTGCTTTTGCTGCAGCCTGGAGAGCGAGAGGGGTTGGTGCGCACCGACTCCTCTCGCTCTCCAGGCTTCAGGGATAGCCGCCTGAAGCCTCCGGAGCACAGCGGGAACTCCCGTTGCGCTCCGGAGGCTTCGTGTTGATTTCGCTGAAGCCAGGAGAGCAAGAGGGATCGGTGCGCACAATCGCTCTTGCCTCTTGCTCTCTTGGGTTTGGTTCGCTGGAGAGGCGCTGCGCAGCTTTCCCTCTCTGCACAGCGCCCCTTCAGTGAAGCGGGAGGAGAAATGGAAGGGGCTCCATTTCTCCTGCCACTTTGCTGAAGGGGCGCTGCGCAGAGAGGGGGAGATTTTTTTTTCTTGTTCTCCCCCTCTAAAACAAGGTGCGTCTTATGGTCGGGTGCGTCCTATAGAGCGAAAAATACGGTATATGATATCACCGGTGTCTTGATGCTGTACTAGTTTTCCCCAACTTCACTGCATCTTGTTGGGTGTAGCTTATAGCGAGGGCAGCTCTCTCTATGTGTCTCTGTCTGTCTGTCTGTCTTTCTCTCTCCAGCCAAGGCCCCCATAAGATTACCCATGAGGGAATGTGGCTTTTGTGGTGGAAAAAATAATTTCTGGTTGTGTCAAAAATAATTTCTTTTGCTAATGTGTTAGGGTGTTTTTTGCTATCAAAGAAGCACATGCCCAGCATTCGTTGTGTTATGAGAATTATAAGGTCTAAGATATAAAATAAATGTTCATAAATGTACCAGGCAAACACATACATCATTTATTGTTATGATTATGATTAATAATAATATTTATACCCCGCCCATCTGGTTGGGTTTCCCCAGCCACTCTGGGCGGCATCCAACAAAACATTAAAATACACTAATTCATGAAATATTAAAAGCTTCCCTAAACAGGGCTGCCTTCAGATAGAAACCACATGTCTGAAACAGTACAGGAAAATAGTCCTGAAACCATTATGACTCTTGCAAATTGACCTCAAATGCTCCTCTGCAAGGAGGAAGGAAATGGGAAAACCTCACCATTGTCTCTTTGCTCACAAATCCTGTCTTAAGGGCGTATCTGTGTATGAAAAGGGTGAGCCTGTGACCTGGATTCAGGAACTGAGTATTTACAAGAATGCCCAGACTGCCCAGGTAATGCAACCAGTGACCATTATCAGGTACTCTGGCAAACAGGATTTCTGCTGTAGACCGCCTCCTCTGTTGTTGACCACCTCCTTCTGTGATGTATGCTAGATGTTTCAGGGGGTTGGTCTTCGGCTACAGGGTGGGCAGTTTCAAAAGTCTATATAAGGGCTTGCACACCAATATTCAGGGTTCCTCCTCCCTCCTGCGTGGGGTTGTAAACACCCTGTTGCAATAGTTTAATAAAGATCAGGCTTCCTAGCTGCTTTGCTTCTCAATATTTTATGGTTGGCCTCTGTTATTTTCTCCTACAGATAGAGAACCTAGTCCTAAATAATGACTCTACATGGGCTCTTGGGCACCCCATAAGGGAAAGGGAGCAGATTTTTATTATAACAGTTGTGTGACTTCTACAAACCCTTCCTCTTGCTTTTAATTGCCTGTTATTTCCATAAAACCTACCAACCTCTTGGTTTATCTTATTCCAAGGTTTGTGAGGAAGCTATACACTTTGTTTTGTCTATTTCTATCTGGTTTGGAAAGCATAATTTTTTTCCGTTTAGTCCCAAATGCGTTTGTTCACAAACAAAGGTCGTTGCAAACCGTTGAATCTTGAGTGAGATGATCTTCGAAACAGTCGCTCCCTCCATACCTCCTCCTAAATGCCAGGTTTTGTCAAAATGTAGAGCTCATTGGCTGTGGAGCAGCAATTCTCACACACACACACACACACACAGAGAGAGAGAGAGAGAGAGAGAGAGAGAGAGAGAGAGAGAGACTGCTGGGCTGTGGAATTAATCAATAGGAAGTTATTGAAATGAGCTACCAAGTTGAAACGGGAGCCCAGCATTTCCTATAGTAACAGATAGTGCTGTGTTGTCTTTGGTGTTAGGAATCTGGAGGAGGATTTTTATTGAGGCGAAAAGGCTGTACGTGGGGAATAATGCATGCTGGTTGGCTGAATTGTGAACAGTGGGGGAAGGCACAGGAAGTATCGGGCTTTCTGAAAGGATGAGAGAAGTTCCTGCTTGGCTCAGAATGGCTTGGATAGATTCCAGCCTCCGGGAATGAGTTGCATGCTGAGATTCCCGAAGCCAAAATAAAATAAAATGGCCTCTTTAGTTCAAACCAGGGTATGAAATCACCATCCAGCACTGCCTATTTGAGCTCTCTGTTGCACAGGGATTTAAAAGATGCCCTTTTTTCCACGCACGGAACGTCACCTGTTGGATTTCTGCCTGACGCATGTCTTGTTTAAAGCCAAGAAATCTTTCCAGAAAAATATATCTTGGCTCTAGAGCTGGAAAAGCCTCACATTTACAGGGAAAGACAGAACTTAGCTTCCTAAAACTTACCTTTTCTCCCACTATCAGGCGTAAAGTTTATCACCTGCCACAGACCAGAGGCCTGTAAGAGAAAGGCTGCTCAATTTTCAAAGATCATTTTATTTTCAGTTTTTTGTTCTAGAGGGGGAAGCAGCTTGTCTATAAATAGCACGGTTCTCTATACTTGAATTAAAAACCTGTACCCCCAAATGAATTCTGCATAATTTTAATCCACTTTGCATATACCGTATTTTTCTGTCTATAAGACGCCCCAATGTATAAGATGCCCCCTATTTTGCGGGACTCCGATTTAAGAAAATGGGGGGAGATGTATCCGTGTATAAGACACCCCCAAATTTTTGACATTCTTTTTTTTGGGGGGGACATAGTATTATACACGGAAAAATCCGGTATTTGCTTGTCTAAACTATTCTGTTTCTGCTAGTCATGAAGGAGAAAAAGTTACCGTATTTTTCCGTATATAACGCACCCCCATGTATAACACGGCCCCTATTTTGGGGGGACTCCAAATAAAGAAATCCCCCATATGCACTATCCATGTATAAGACGAACCCCAATTTTAAACTTCAAAAAATATGGCGGAAATATAGTCTTATACATGGCAAAATACAGTAAATGGAGCACTGAATTCCAACTCGGCTTGGCTCTGCCATGAGCTTCCGGGATTCCTAGCATACTTTAGCAGAGCTGAGGGCTAGGAACTTACTTTTAAAAACCAAAAAGAGAGAGTTGAGATTCCTAGTGTGCTGGTTTCTTTTTCCCATTGCTAATTCAATGTCTTTTGGGAAGGGTGCCTTCAGACTACGCACAGTCACAATAATGAGTATTGATTCACTGGTTTATATACTGTATTTTTTTGCTCTATAAGACTCACTTTTTCCCTCCTAAAAAGTAAGGGGAAATGTGTGTGCATCTTATGGAGCGAATGCAGGCTGCACAGCTATCCCAGAAGCCAGAACAGCAAGAGAGATTGCTGCTTTCACTGCGCAGCGATCCCTCTTGCTGTTCTGGCTTCTGAGATTCAGAATATTTTTTTTCTTGTTTTCCTCCTCCAAAAACTAGGTGCGTCTTGTGGTCTGGTGCATCTTATAGAGCGAAAAATACAGTATGTGGAACTTTTACCTTACATTTGGAAACTTAGACTATTCTAGTTTTACCCAAGCCTTTCAAAAGGAGTTCATAACAAGGAGCCTAGGATTGCAGACATGCTTCCAGGTGTGTGTGTGTGTGGATGTCCCACTTTTCTTTTGATTCCAACCTTATTTGCACTTCTCCTCCTCCTCCGCAGTCTGCACCGGGACCGACATGAAGCTGCAGCATCCCTCCAGCCCAGAAAACCACCATGCCACCCTCCGCCACCTCTATGAGAACTGTCAAGTTGTGCAAGGCAACCTGGAGATCACTTATCTGCCGGCAGATGTGGACACGTCCTTTCTCAAGGTGTGTGTGATGGGAGAAGTTAAATGCATGTTCCCAAGACAGCTTCTCTTTATCAGGATGAAAATGAGAAGAGGAGGAAACAGGGAAGGTGGGCACACACTCCACAGGGTGGATAAAAATCAATGGGTTTAAAAAACATAACCTCAAAAATCGGATTTTTTTGATTGGATTTTTAAAATAAAATGCTTTTGGAGGAAAAATCTTTCTAAAGATAGTTTTCTATTTAGCTCACATTGTAGTCCAAAGGCTATTCATCAGGAAATAAGGATTTGTTTTAAGTTTTTAATGTGTACTAAAACTCTTAAGTTTTTTTAAAATTGTTTAATCACATCAGTTAACAAACATGGATACATATGCTATAATGTTATTGCTTTAGTTAAACAAATTGTTTAAATTGTTCCTAAGGAAATGGTTATTTTTCTCCTTCCAGTAAAGTACAGCAGAAAAGTTGTCCAAATATAAACAGTTAATTTATTAAACCTCACAATAATTTCATAATTATCTATCTACGTCTTTCTAATAGTATAACCAAATCAGTAATTTTTGATAGAACTGTAAAAAACTACTCTGATAAATTTATTATTCCAAAAATGAAACCTTCATCTGGTTGTAAATATTAAGATTATACCAGCAAGAAGGAGTCTTTCTGTAAAAAAAAAAAGGATTTAAATCAAGTCTTACTGACTAGTGATTTAAATTAAGTCTTACTGACTAGTGATGTAAATCGTGATTTAAATCAATTTGATCCACTCTTCCCCTTCATATTCTCAAGTAGCATTTAGAGGAGGAAAGTTGATGGAGATTGAAAAGTACATTTCACCAGGAGCAGAGGAGTCAGGTTGTGCCATAGAAATCTGCATGTCTCTCTCCCTATCACAGTGAAAGTGTCACATACGGGAAGGTGCTTCCGAAAGCAAGCAAGGCTGGGTTTCCACCTGTGGCTGCCACCCATTTCCTCGAAAGAAGCCACACTAGCTTCAGGTGCTGTGATTGCACCTGCAGATGAGCAGAGTTGGCAGAAATAGCTTTGACTGGACAGCAAAGCTGTTGGATCTGGGCCCACGGAATCTGTGTTTGGGCGTCTGCTCAGCGTGATCTTGTTGTGTGCAAGCTACCTAATCCTTGAGCCTCCATTGTCCATCTGTAAAACAGCAAACCATAGTGGTTGTCTCATAGGGGTGAGCTTGAATTAAGGGCTTTAGAACTCCACCATTTCAGGTTTTCGCTTGTTTTCAAACGAACAATAATACCCTAAGTGGAAACTAAAAAGACCCTTTCAGAAATGTGAGGAAATGCTGGAGAACGTGGCTTGGCCTTCTTGCTTGTACCTTGTTGAGCTGTTTGTTCTGCAAGTATGCTTTCTGCTTCTTCTGTGCTGGGGATTCAGTGACTGATTAAAAAAGCAGAGCAGAGCAGGTGCCACGGGGTTTTGTTTGGATATATTTAAATTTGTCGCGCAAACGAAAACGCAGTAAGTATTAAGAGCATTTGTTGTACAGGTAATATATAGATAAATCTATTGCACCCTCAGTGTCTTTGGCACTCTGGTTGTAACTTTTAAAGCCCTACATGGCTCAGGATCCCAGGTAATAATAATAATTATTATTAGTGTTTTGTTGGACTGCCTTCTCCCACAGCAATCTGCCCATCTACTGAGATTGTAATCTGAAGCCTTTTGTCTGGGTGTCCTTGCAGCTTCTAGTATGGCAGATAGCAAATGATGACAAAGCCAAGGTCGCCCAATGAGCTTCAGGGCTGAGTGGGGATTTGAACCCTGGTCTGCCAGGTCCTTATCTGACACTCTAACCCAGTGTTTGTCAAACTTAGGTCCCCAGCTGGACTACAGCTCCCATCATCCCTGGCCCCAGGTCCTGCTAGCTAGGGATGATGGGAGTTGTAGTCCAGCCAGAACTGGGAACTCAGGTTTGAGTCACCACACCGACTCTCCGTAAGGATGGGCGGTTCCGCTTCTCTTCGGGGGTTGCCCTGGGTGGCCTTTGGACAACTTACCATGCCGCGCAAGGAAGATTCCTTGCTCCTCTTTTCTTGGCTTCTCACTGTTTCTGTTTGTTTGTTTGTCTGTTTGTCTGTCTCTAGGACATCAGAGAGGTCCAGGGATATGTGCTGATTGCCAAGAACCACGTGCGCCACTTGCAGCTGGAAAGCCTCCTGATCATCCGTGGGACCCAGCTGTACGAGGAAAAGTATGCTCTGGCTGTCCTCAACAACACCGACCCCAGCGGGGATGTGGGGCTTCAGGAGCTGGGCATGTTGGATCTGACAGGTATGGAAGGAGGGGCATGAAAAGGCGACGGGGACCTGAAAGAACCCGATCTGCCTCCTCAACTGAGCTACAAATTCAGACGTGTCCCATTTGAATCTCCTCCTCTCCCCTCTCCCTTTCTCAGTAATACGAGATTCAGGGCTATTGTAAGCATTACAATGAAAAAATGCAAGTGAAGGTCCTTCAGACACTCCCAGGGTGCCATAGAAATGTTCCGAGTTTTGTTTATTTCAGCATTTGCTAAAGTCCTCCTGGACTTGGAAGTAGGCCGCAATCTAAGCCATAGAAATAATAAAAACAAAGAAAACAAAGCAAATTAAAACAAGTCTTTTATGCATTGCTCTTTACTGTCCCTTTCTCTCCCCCGATTTCTTTTCAGAGATCTTGAAGGGTGGTGTGATTGTAGACGAAAACCCCCAGCTGTGCTTCCAGGAGACCATCCACTGGGGGGCCATTTTCCACAAACACAACCAGCAGAACTACACGGAGATCAGCAGCCATCGCCGTCGGATCTGTAAGCGAACCTTGTTTGGCTGCTGGGCTGTGTTGGGGTTATAGAATTCTGCACCGAAATGCTCTCCCACAAAACCATGGCAAACGCATATTCCTCGCTGCTCATTCTTCCTTCGTTGGCACATGCCAGAGGCCTTTGAAGCCTGCTTCTACTCCTTTGATTTTCATGTCTCCACCTATTCTAACCTCTAAATCAGACCACTGCAACACACCAAACATGGGGCTGCCTTTGAAGACGATTTGGAGATTGCTGGTGCAGATTCAGCAGCCAGATTGTCAACCGAGGCAGGGCAGTCTGAACATATAATGCCAGTTCTGGCACGACAACACTGGCCACCCATTAGTTCGCAAGCTCAGTTTTGTCCTATAAGGCAATTATTCAGCTTGGGGCCCCAGTGTCTCAAGGACTGTCTCACCCCACATAAGCCAACCTGGACCTTGCAATCATCACCTGAGGCTCCTTTTTGTGTGCTGCTTCCATGGGAGACTTGGAGGGTGGCAACATGAGATTGGTCCGGTGTTATCTTGATCTATTTTTAGGCAAAGGTTTATCTCTTTACCTGTGTTCTTGGCTTGTAATCTGAAGGGTGGCATTGTGGCCCATTTTAGTTGGGTAGGATCAGAAAGTCCTACCTACCTTTTATCTGTGTTTTAGATTCTTATTGGAGGTTCTTAATTGGATTGGACCTAAGGTGCTTTGATTTGCTCTGTGAGAAAAGTGACTGTAACAAATAGAATACAGGAATATTTGGTGAGGACCACCTTGCTTTTAAGAAAGTGTCTGTTTTCCCCACTCCTCAGGCCCCGACTGCCAAAGAATATGCCTCAATGGCCACTGCTGGGGAGAAGGAAAGGGGAGCTGTCAAACATGTGAGTATCAGGCTTCTTGGGATCTGGGGTATACCAAAACGTGCAGGTTTTACACAGTATCTCTTAACAGCTTTGGAGTGCGTAATTTGCGTGTAGAATGGGGAATGGGTCGCCATTTTGTCTCCCCCAGCCTGAGCGCTGCATTCCCTTCCATGCAATCATTCGGGGGCTACATGTCAGTGGTGGGCAGGGCTGATGCTAAAAGTGGGAGGAGCAACAAGTGTGAATTGTATTGTAGGCTCATTTCTGCACACTTGTGCTCACCCCTCTTTCCACCCATCCAGATGAACAAGAGGCACGTCAGAGTTCAGACATGCATTTCAGGCAGATGGGAACAGTTAAGGTGAACGCAAAGCAGGGCTGTGGCCTGGGGAGAGTCCCAAGGGCCAGACAGAGGGGCCTGCTGGGTTGCATATGGCCCCTGTCTATGGGATTCTCTATCCTTGCCATAGATCAGGGTGGGCCGTGCGGTCCTCGAGGCCCTTTTGGAGGCCCTTGGCAGCATTTGATGCCCCCCAGCCCTCACACCGCCATGCCAAAGCTGGGTAAGGGAGACACTGGGCTTTTGGAAGGAGGTGTGAGGGTTCTGACAGGGTCCTGGATTCCCTCCTGCCTTCTTCCAAAGCCTAGTTAGCACTTTTCCAGTTTGGGGAAGGAGGTGGGAAGAGTACATCTGAGAAGAGTACATCTGAGCATGTCTCTAAAGCAAAGCCTTTAGAGGTCTTCTGTTATTCGCTCAGGGAGTTAGACTTCTGCTTAGCTCTCCCCTGTCCCACAAAACTCCCTGGCATCCCCGCTTCTCCTGTTCTCTCAAAGGCGCCTCTTTCTCCCTCTTAAGATTCCTAGCCTGTTGCAACGACCTGGGTTGTCCCCTAGTGTAGCTGTGCCGTGCCTTATTTTCCTCTCACCCTACTGTCACCTGGCATTTATGTCGCAGCCCAAGCAGCAGCTGCTGCTGCTGGCACCTCCCTTTTTGCAAGCTGTCAGTTCAGAGGGTACGAGATCCCTCTTGTGTTTGATGAAGGAGCGGAGCTTCTGTGCCCATGACTTTTCTGTTTTTCTCTTTGTCGTCCCCCCCACCCCCGCCAGTGACAAGCACAGTCTGCGCCAGCAGCTGTGCAAGGTGTAAGGGGAGACACCCAACGGATTGTTGCCACGAGCAGTGTGCAGCCGGCTGCACGGGACCCAAACACTCCGACTGCCTGGTGAGTGTGTGTGCGCCCTGGGGTTCTCGTTTCTCATTTATCAAATGCGCTGTCAAGTATTCTGATTGCCAGAAAAAACACACACATTTACCTCTCTCACACACCCAACCTGTATTGGAGCCGGATCCAGACCAAAACAGGGGTGGAGCCCTGGCGGAACCCAAAAGGCAAGGAGCAGATTCCTGTTGAATCTGGTGATCGTGAGCAGAGCTTGTTGGGATCTGGAGTTGACTGGCTTTAGAAGACATCTGAAGGCAGCCCTGTATAAGGAAGATTTTAATGTTTAATTTTGTATTATGTTCTTGTTCCTGCTGGAAGCCGTTCAGAGTGACTGGTGCAACCCAGTCAGATGGGTGGGGTACATCATCATCATCATCATTATTATTATTATTAGCCTCTTACCTGACAAAGGAGGGGTGTTAGCCAGCTGATGAAGGAAATGAATGGTTAAATGATTGTTTTTGAATGGGCAGTTCACCTGCAGGGGAGGAGTCTGAATCAACTACTTGGTGTGTGTGTGTGTGTGTGTGTAAGTAAGAGAGAGATTGATTCTCGAGTTTAAATCAACAAATAGAGGCAGAGACAGGTTTCTACCAGCTGAGGAAATAATTTCTGGCTGGTATTGGGGATTCAGCCTTCAGGTGAGGGCTGCTCACTGAGCATCACTGCCTGTAGCAAGAGTGCCCGTTTTACAGTCATACCTTGGTTCTCGAATTTAATCCATTCCGGGAGTCTGTTCGACTCCCGAAACGGTTCGAAAACCAAGGCATCGCTTCTGATTGGCTGCAGGAGATTCCTGCAGCCAATCAGAAGCCGTGTAAGCCGTGTCAGATGTTTGGCTTCCAAAAAACAATTGCAAACCAGAACACTCACTTCTGGGCTTGCAATGTTCAGGAGCCGATTTGTTCAACAACTAAGGCGTTTGACTACCAAGGTATGACTGTACTTCCATTTATACTGTGTATATTCTGCATTGTAAATAAAACAAATATTACAAAGCCGCCATAAAGCTGCAGCGCTCCCCTCCCCCCTAAAAAGAAATGAAATCGCATAGTGCTGCCCCAGAATTTGTCCCCGTTTGGAAGTGGGTGCAAGGCTGGTTCTACAGGCTTGGAGCATGAAAAGAACGTCTTCGGAAGTTCATTGCCACAAAAATTTTCGTTAGCCTCTGTGGGGCCACGGAAACTTCGTTGCTTTTGATCCAAGTGACTCACTTTCTAGGGTGGCCCCTGAGTGTTCAGTGGGGTCCTTCCTAGATGAAAGTTATCAAAGTGTAGCTAAAGCTAAAGGGACCCCTGACCATTAGGTCCAGTCGTGGCCGACTCTGGGGTTGCGGCGCTCATCTCGCTTTATTGGCCGAGGGAGCCGGCATATAGCTTCCGGGTCATGTGGCCAGCATGACTAAGCCGCTTCTGGTGAACCAGAGCAGCGCACGGAAACACTGTTTACCTTCCCGCTGGAGCGGTACCTATTTATCTACTTGCACTTTGACGTGCTTTCAAACTGCTAGGTTGGCAGGAGCTGGGACCGAGCAGCGGGAGCTCACCCTGTCGTGGGATTTGAACTGCTGACCTTTTGATCGGCAAGTCCTAGGCTCTGTGGTTTAACCCACAGCGCCACCCGTGTCTCAAAGTGTACGTGCCTTTAAAAATAGAAAAATAGGACTTGCTACCTTTCCGTTTTTCCAGGCCTGTCTGCACTTCAACCACAGTGGGATTTGCGAATTGCATTGCCCACTTCTCTTCAACTACAATCCAGACACCTACGAGCACCTGCCCAATCCAAATGGACGGTACACTTTTGGAGCAACCTGTGTTGCTGAATGCCCTTGTAAGGCTCTTATTATTATCCCTTTTGTTTTGCGCATGTATATGTTATTGGGGTTGCGGTATGCGTGCAGGATTTTTGGAACTGAAAATGCCCTGGGATAGTTACTATCTTCTGTTTAGTGAGTCCTTAGCTATGGAGACGATCCTGTGTTTTGCCTCCATCCCTTCTCCCTGGGAGCCAAAGGCACATGACAGAGTACTCCAGCACACAGAATATTCCTTTCATGTATGCCAGTTGCTAGTTTTTTAATTCCCCCCCCCACACACACACAACATGAAAAAGGCAACATACAAACACCTCTTAAAAACGGTTGAAAACAGCACAGAAAATAGCAGTAGACACACAGACACATATATAAAATGGTGGTGCTTTCAGTCATTTGAACAGCTGTCTGCATTCAGCAGTGGTATAATCCTGATACTGGTTTACCACCTCAATGAGAACTTGGCCTTTGTTTTCCCCCTTTCTCTATAAAGAAAAATGCCCCCCAAATGTGTGTTTTTTAAAAATTCTATTCCTATGCCTCTTTTTATTCAAATAAATCCCAAAGTGGCTTACAAACAAAATATTAAAATAACATAATGAAACATCACAAGTACATCATAAATTGTATAGAATACTTAAAACAATCACAAATTGCAAATAAAACAGTTACCATCTATGTAACACTATTAACAAAACAACTAAAAAATAAGCATCACAGTTACACCCAAAAAAAATCATATTATAGGATTCACAAAGTACGATAGCATTCATATCTATAAAACAATTTCAAAACGTTAACAAAATAGCAACAAAACAAAAAAAGCCCTGTTGAATTTGTACACATGCTCTCACCTCCGCCATGACTCATAAACTTTCATTCTATTTAGTGCATCAAAAGACACTTGCACAAAAATGCTCTTGGCAGCAACTCCCTTCTGAAGGATCCTTGCAGTGGAGGTGTTAATTTTCTCCCAATTCCATGAAGCAAAATGGCTTCCCGAAATTCTTTTTAAGAACTTGGGTGGAAGGAGATGGACCAGAATGAGAATGTGATATGACAGGGGTCAGCAGAATTTTTCAGCAGGGGGCCAGTCGACTGTCCCTCAGACCTTGTTGGGGGCCAGACAATATTTTGAAAAAAAGAAGGAATTCCTATGTCCCACAAATAACCCAGAGATGCATTTCAAATAAAAGCACACGTTCTACTCATGTAAAAACACCAGGCAGGCCCCACATATAACCCAGAGATGCATTGTAAATAAAAGGACACATTCTACTCATGTAAAAACACGCTGATTCCTGGAATGTCAGCGGGCCAGATTGAGAAGGTGATTGGCCCGGATCTGGCCCCTGGGCCTTAGTTTGCCTACCCATGTGAAATGGTGTAACCTGATGGCCAAGGAATACTGGTGAGGATTTAATGGTCAGGCTGTTGCGGTACATGAGAAACATATTGGCAGCGGGGGCTCTTTTGCTGTTGTTGTGAGCTGCTTTGAGCATGCTTTCCCATGGGAAAATAGCATATAAGTGAACGGAGGATGGTGTACGTATTGCTATAATCTGCCTTGCTGCACACCATCCTTATGCAGTGGTTTTTATAATTAAAGAAAAGAAATGCTGATTCCAGGCTGTCATTCACTTCCTGTTGTTTTGAATTACAGATAACTACTTGGCGGCAGAGGTTGGGTCCTGTACTTTGGTGTGCCCTCAGACCAGTCAGGAGGTGAGCGTGGGCACCGTGCAAAAGTGCGAGAAGTGCAACAAGCCGTGTCCCAAAGGTAAGAGCTGGGAGTTGGCCAGTGGAGGGAGAAACACTGTTTCCAGGAAGACTCTGACTTTTCCCATGATGCATCAGTCTTGGCATCACATTGTGTACGCCCACCATGCATGTCCTTCTGAGAACCTGGGGTACCAGCAACACTTGTAGGGTATGCCCTCCTTCGTCGCATGGAGATATTTGGCACGAGGGGGAGGGATATATATGGGGACGCAGGTATGGGATTCTGTACTACTTTGTTTCCTGTCTCTCGTTCCTGTTACCCGTAGAAATGGCCAATGTTGTAGAAAGGGCTTATGGCAGCTTTCCCCACTTCAGTGTCTTCCAGATGTCTTGGACTGCCACTCTCATCATCCCTAGCCAGTCCAAAACCAGAAAGGCGAAAGGCTTGTTTATGCAAACAGTTGCAAACGTTGAAACCAATTTGTGCTCTCTTCAACGTTTTGGTTTTAACTTATTCTACCTCCTGAGTATTCTGACCCTATCCTTGACCGCCTTGGCTTTGCTCTCCAACTTTGCAGCAGTTTCAGGAATCGCATTTGTAGATATTCAGCAGGCGAGTCACCCTGATTTTTGGGCTCATGGCTCTTTCTTGGCCACTAGGGGTTGCAACTGGTGCATTCAACACCCAAGAAGGACTTGGGTTAGCCCAGGCATAGGCAAACTCTGGCCCTCCAGATGTTTGGAACTACAGTTCCCATCATCCCTGACCACTGGTCCTGTTAGCTAGGGATCATGGGAGTTGTAGTCCCAAAACATCTGGAGGGCTGGAGTTTGCCTATGTCTGAGTTAGCCTTTCTTTCGGCCCTTTAGCCCAAAGGTTCTGTGTTGTTCCCATTGTCTGCTCTGCATTATGGTTGTGATGATGTTTGTAGACTCATATGCACATTCTCTTCCCTCCCCTCCCCGCCCCCCACCTCTCAGTCTGCTACGGTTTGGGGATGGATTTCCTGAAAGGGGTCCGTGCCATCAATGCCTCCAACATCCACCACTTTGCCGGCTGCACCAAGATCTTCGGCAGCTTAGCCTTTCTGCCAGAGACTTTTGCAGGGTGAGTAACGGTGAGCTTTGGGTGTAAAGGGTGTGGCATCAGTTTGCTCAAGACATCCTTGTAATTGTGCCATGTGAGGTTTTAGCTTTGGAAGGGCTATGGGAGTGTTTATAAAAAAGGAAAGAAGTGGAGGAAGTTGGAACGATTTAGGCTCTTTGGGGTATATGACAAAAATGGTGGCCGTGGAAATCAGACCACGAGGTGTGAAAGCCTTCTGGTATTGGGAACAAGTAGTCTCAGAAGCACCAGGGCTGGAGATGGAAAGAATATAAAATCCCTACCAGAGAAAAATGGCAAATTAAACTGTTGGACTGTGCTGAAATGGCAGAAATGACTGGAAAGCTCAGGAACCAAGAAGACCAAAACTTTAACAAAGAATGGGAAAAAATATAATTTATATTGGAGACCACTGTAAACAGATGAAATCATTAGCAGGATTGCAGTAACACTCGTAAGGTAGCAAGTACTAGGGAGACAATGGAGTTGTATTAAATATAGAATATTGGAAAAGGTGCTGTAGAAAAGGTTTGATAATAGGACCCATGGAGGAGAAGGTGGGAAGTCCAGAGATTCAGAGGAATCTGTAAATGTGGATCTGTATGGTTGTATTGTGATAATTTTATATTTCTAAAATCGAATAAATATAATTTTTTTAATAAAGGAAGCACCAGGGCTGGCTTTTGTCTTTGTCATTTTGCCCTTCACAGCAGAGTTTCCTTGTGAGAAATGCTGAGGTGATTCCACTCAGAATAGCATGTGGTGCGTAAAATATTTTGGCCACATTTTCATCAACTGAGTAGAACCAAAATTAAAGTAGTGGTCACTTAAGTTACAAAGAGTGCAGTAATAATAGCAAGAGGAAGCGAAGTGTGTCTGTTTATTTCATTTCCCACCAATGCAGTTTCCTTCCTTTCTGTCCAGGGATCCTGCCTCTGATACTCCGCCCCTTGATCCCAAGCAGCTTAAAGTCTTTGAGAACCTGAAGGATCTAACAGGTACGTAAGAATTTTATTTCTAGGTAGCCTTGGTCCCCTCTACCCTGCCTCCAAGTCCCAGGCAAAGGGGTTCTTCATTGTTACGGAGTAGCATTATTAAGGGAGCCAGTGTGGTTCAGTGGTTAGAGTTTTGGACTAGGACCTGGGAGACCAGGGTTCAAATCTCTACTCAGCCACGAAGCTCACTGGGTGACACTGGGCCCAGTCACAGTCTCTCAGCCTGACCTACCTCACAGGGTTGTTGCAAGGATAAAATGGGGAGGAAGAAAACCATGAATGCCACCTTGAGCTCCTTGGAGGAAAAGTTGGATATACAAGTGATAAATAAATCAGGTGCCCTCATCCTCCGCTGAATGGTCCAAACTTTGTGTTTTGCATAGGCTTCCTCTATATTGAATCCTGGCCGGAGTCTCTTGTGGACTTAAACCCTTTCCAGAACCTTCAAGTGATCCGGGGACGAGCCCTTTACAAGTAAGCGCGCGCACACACACACACACACACACACAAACACACATGCACACACCCTGGATTGGGGCAGAAATAGCTTAGATTGCAACAGCTAAAAGACTGAACTATAAATCAAGGATTCCAGAATCTGAGCTTGCCTCTGCTACTAACTCACTAGATGGCTGTAAGCGAGCTGTCTCTATTTACTTGCATAAATGCTGTCAAACCCCAATGGATTTTGTGGCTCTCCAGATCTAACAGGATATATCCCGTCCCTCTTTTTACCAGTTATCGAGTCCAGTGAATGTTGGTAGTTGTGTGTGTCTGTCGTCTTGACATTGTCAAAGGCTTCCTGCTGGTTGTCAGCTTGCCACCATATTACAAGTATTCACTGTTAACATGCACAAGGCAGTGTGGAACTTCTGTCACTTGGTCAAGCAAGCTCAGGGTCGCTCAGAGGAAACCCAGGTTTCCCATTGTCTCTCCTAAGGGGATCTCTGAACTGGCATTTCCTGCTGAAGGGAAACCCCTCCAGAGATGGAGGCTAATCCTGCAGAAGCACTCAGTGAGTGGAGGGCTTGCCTCTCACCTTCTGACGAAAGGTTGGAAGATATTCAAATAAACCACAAAAACTTTGGGCCTACACAATGTAACTTCTTCTCCCTCACCTTTCTCCTCACACACCAGCCATGTGGTAGGTAGAGTGGAGAGAACCCTCTGCTTTGTAATCCCTCACTAAAGCACTTCATCCTGCCGTGGTTGGTGCCCTGCGCTAGCCATCTTTCCTCCCATATATGAAAAGAAAGAAGTTGGAAGTAATATCCTCAGGTACAGCAAAAAGATGCCTGAATATCTTACTTATTTTAAAACCTACACCCTTCATACTAACTGAAGTTCCTGAAATTATATTATTTGAAATGCAACAAAACGAGACAGGATGTTAAATGAGTCCCTCGCTGGGCTAGTCAATATCAACTTCAGCACGGCAGGGATAGACAAATAAAATCGCTATTTTAGGGCTTCTTCTCTTCTTCCTGATTAGGGAGCCTGTTTTTTCTTTTCTTTTGGCAGCGGAGTCTATTCTCTGACATTGCAAAACCTCAACATCTCCTCCTTCGGCCTGCGTTCGCTGCAAGAGATCAGCAGTGGAATGGTCCTGATTCACCACAACCCCAACCTTTGCTTCATCCAGAACGTTCCTTGGGAAGCCATCTTCAAGAACCCTCGGCAGACCTTGTTCCAGAATGACAACAACCCCGAGTGTAGTAAGTGTATAGCACCTACTCCTATAGTTCAGGGAACCAGGCAGAGGGCCCGCCCTGTGGAATGCCCTCCCTTCAGATACCAAGGAAATAAACAGCTATCTGACTTTTAGAAGACATCTGAAGGCAGCCCTGTTTAAGGAAGTTTTTCATGTTTGATGTTTTATTGTACTTTTAATATTTTGTTGGAAGCCGCCCAGAGTGGCTGGGGGTGGGTTATAAATAAATAATTATTATTATTGTTGTTATTATTATTAGGCCCGCTCTCCACAATCTTCCAATCTGGGAGCCACTTTTTAACAATCTGGTGCTGAGGGGGGAGGGAAGTGAGCCCCTTTGCCAGGCTTATGAAAAATCCTGTGCAGATAGGAGAATTTAGGGACTCCATATGTGAGCTCTTTGTGAGCAAATGCATAAGAATTCAGGGTTATTCAGCGCAATGTTAGCTTGGGCAGCTCACAGTGAGGCCAGCAAGAGTCGAACAAAATGACTTGTCATTGATGGCTTCCTCCATCCTTTTGATGGTACCAAAGGAACAGGTAACAATTGCATACACTCCTATATCTTCTTCTCCACAGTACATGAAGACCAGAGTTGCTCCCCGCTCTGCTCCAAGGGGCACTGCTGGGGACCTGGGGGGACTCAGTGCATGTCCTGCATTGGGTTTCTGCGTGGGAACGAATGTGTTAAAAACTGCAGCCTTCTGGATGGGTATGTGATCATGGGGAAAGCAGACTAGGAGCCCTGTCTGTCTACAATTCAGATTAGGAGCAACTTAATGGCTCTGGGAGTGCTATGTAGAAAATACATTGTTTAGCCACATTAAGGTCTAGAGACATTTGCTATGTTTATATATAAAAAAGCTACATTTTCTTAGTGTTGGGTTCTGTGTTGTTGACTAAATTCTGTGCTTTCAGGGTACATGGAAGAGGTGTGAAAATAGCATACATATCACCTCCTTGTTTTTCTTCTTTTTTGAAACATCCATCTGTCACCACCAAATTTTATAGAACAATTAAAATGCAGCCCTAGTAGAAGTTACTGTGATGAGAAGGGCACCGGCAGATGATGGATTGCCAATCCACGACATTCCAGGAAGTTAAGGAAAACCGGGAGGAGAAAAATTGGAAGCTGCCTAAATTTTGGATTGACCTGACTTTGCAATTTCTTCTCCTACAGAGAGTTCCGGGAATACGTCAACGGGACACGGTGCCTTCCATGCCATTCTGAGTGCTTGCCCCAAAATGGGACAGAGTCCTGCAATGGATCGGTAAGGGCAGGGACTGAAGGCTGCGGAGGCCCAGGCTTTATTCTGACTTCCTCGCCTTTCCACATCAAGTTGTCTATCCATAAAGTATCTTTGAGCATCTGCTCCAAGACACACACACACACACACACACACACACACACACACACTGCTCATGTTCCTTGTCACCCTATATGCACATAAAGAATGACCAGAACTGGCATCTACTGTCCTGGCAGGTCTGCCCTGGCCCTCCATTAATTTTTCCTCCTCTGGCACTGATCAGGACTGGAAGCCACCATTTACATTTCCCACAATGCCCCAGAGCAGTGCTGTGGTATTGTCGGAAATTAAAATGGTGGCCTGTGGACCCAGTCTCCCCATGCTGATCTGAGTAGTTCTGGCTGCTTGCTCTCACTATCCAACAAACCTGCCAGGGCCTCTGACATTGGAGGGCCCCCACTAGACAGCTCTTTGCTAAGGGTCCCCTCAGCTGTCCCTGAATATAACCTTGAACACACCCAAGAAGTCAGTTCTGACCACCCTTTGGTGCTACATAAACAAACCCTGTGCCCCCCTTCTTTTCTGCTCTGGTTTCTTCTCTCATCTCCAATTTACATCCATATATGATTTGCACAAACCGTAGGATGAATTGGTTTGTATTCCCGGTTTGCTGCTCAGAGGTGAAAGGAATCTGGAAGGTGGAAGCATGCAAATGGCAGCGTGTGTTCAAATAGTGCCAAGCCAATTGATTCAATACTCCCCATGACTGCATGTTGTAAAAGAAGGTGTTTTGCTGTCGATTTTTAGAAAGCTTGTATCTTTTAATGGAGGAAGCTTGGACAAATTAACCAGTCACTGTAAGGAGAAATAACTAGTTTTTGAACTGGCTTCTGCCCTCTTCCCTCCCCATTCATTTTTCCTTGTGTGTCATGCCTTTTAGATTATGAACTTGGGGGGGGGGGTACTGTCTAATTACTGATCTAATAAGCCACTCTGGAAAGTTTTGGGGTTTGTTTTTTTTTGCTAATGAACATGACAAAAATGCTTTAAAAAAGCTTCTTAGGAATTTCCATGTATGCTGGAATAAAATGTGGAAAAACCATTGCTCAGTATAGCAAGGTGTCTTTTCCAAAGTTGTTGGACTACAAACCCCATAATTCCCAGCCATGGGCCACGGTGGCTGAGGCTGCTGGGGGTCGGAGTCTTGAGGGCCCATGGGCTTCCCATGTCTTTGCTACAGGCTCCTTCCTTTAAAATGAGCTATGAATCCATGCAGTTGAATCTGTGGAGCAGGTCAGTGGGGAGGTTTCACCTGTTCTCTCTTCTCACGTCACCTGTATCCAAATATTAAGGGAGAATTCCTCAGGCTCGTTTTCAAACAGGCTTGTTTTTAAACCGGGTGACTATGAAATACCAGAGATAAATTATTAACAGGAAAGGTGTGCTTGTTTGCATTCCTTCCAGCTAAATTCTGTCACGGCTTTACAGAAAAAAATAAATGGTCCTATTACCACAGGTTTTTCTGGGTTTTTCTGCCTTCTTGATGTTTTGATGGATGTTTCTATTTTGTAACATAAAATGAGAAAAGTCGAGGGTAATAAAACTTAAATAAACTCAATCATCAGTCTTTATACACACAAAACCTAATAGCTGTGTGACCCATAAATGCGTTAACAAAATGTTGTTACGTAAAAATTTGAGTTGAACCTTGTAATAGAAATGATAGGAAGAAACAAAGAAAACTGAATAGCAAATAACTAAAACAGATAAATTTATAAACACAGCGTATATCAATTTTAACCGGCAATACATCGTGGTGGCTGGGAAGTCACGATGTATCGGCAGCTCAAAAAGTCTGAAACTGGTGTTGCGATGCAAACGCCATACCGGTTTCAGACAATAAATAGAAGTATCGCCCATCCCTCCTCTTAAGGACTGCCCACATAGTCATTATGCAAGAGAGCAAATATCAGCTGGCATGCCGGCAAAGACTTCGTGCATCATAGATAAAAGCTGGGCGAGCTTTATTCAGAGCTTGTCGCCTCAGACACTGAAGATGAAAGTCACAGCTAGTCATTTCTTTTAGATTTTTCAGAGCGAGATCCAGCCAAAGTGAAGAGCTTTGAAGCTTGAAAGCTTTGAGGCTCATGCCTTGAGCATGTGCTTAAATTTGCCCATTGAAATCAATGCGCCTGCGATGTTACAAAATCCAAGTTACCCAACTTTTCCCTTCATTAGGTAATAAAATGTGCAAGAACAGCACAGTTCACCTGAGGCGACTTTGCAACAGCCCCAGACCCAGCGACTCCAAATCCATAGATTCCTATCAAAGTTTCTGGCTTTAATGTCAGTCTCGGGTCATGTCGATAACGAGTCACCTTGAGTTGTAGGGATGATATTGAATGCAGATCCATACAGGACAGCTGATAGGGAGGAGTTCCCCTCCCCCTGTTCTTCTTATAGAAAGTCTTCTTTTTCTGTCCTTCCTTCCTTAGGACGCAGACCAGTGTGTGGCTTGTGCCCATTACAAAGATGGCCCCTACTGCGTGGAGCAGTGTCCCAGCGGCGTGAAGGTGGACGGTTCTTTCGTACCCATCTGGAAGTATCCCGATGGGGAAGGCATGTGCCAGATCTGCCCGACCAACTGCACCCACTCGTGAGTTTCCAACATGGTTAATAATAATAATATAATTTATTATTTATATCCTGCCCTTCTGGCTGGGTTTCCCCAGCCACTCTGGGCGGCTTCCAACAAAATATTAAAATACAATAATTCATCAAATAGTAAAAGCTTCCCTGAACAGGGCTGCCTTCAGATGCCTTCTAAAAATCGGATAGTTGTTTATTTCCTTGTCATCTGATGGGAGGGCGTTCCACAGGGCGGGCGCCACCACTGAGAAGGCCCTCTGCATGGTTCTCTGTAGCTTCATTGCTCACAGTGAGGGAACTGCCAGAAGGCCCTCGGAGCTGGACCTCACAGTCTGTGCAGAACGATGTAGATGGAGATGCTCCTTCAGGTATACTGGGCTGAGGCCGTTTAGGGCTTTAAAGATCAGCACCAACACTTTGAATTGTGCTCGGAAATGTCCTGGGAGCCAATGTAGGTCTTTCAGGACCGGTGTTATGTGGTCTCGGTGGCCACGCCCAGTCACCAGTCTAGCTGCCGCATTCTGGATTGTGTGGAGAAGGTCCTGCTGGAAAAGAGGCACCAGCACCTTTGCCTAGTGGGTGATGGGAAGTGGGGAGGAAGAAATGCTAAGACTGTTAGCGGTTTGCTCTCTGCAGAGCACACCTTCTGTATAATTTAGCACGTAATCGTTTTGACTTCTGTCAGCCTTTTACTTGGCCGCCCTGGAGCGACACCAAAAATCTGCCGCCTAAGGTGTCCTCATCGCCACCTGCCTCTAAACGGGCTTTGATGAAACAAGGTCAGCAAACAAAAATTAAAAGGTTTTTTTTTAAGCTGCCTTTAAATGTCGGCGCTAGAAATGTCTTCCACAGCTCGTGATAACTGCATGTGTCCGAAAGCTCATGAAGCCGTGCAAACTTTTATTCAGTTGTCTTCTTTTTATATATATAATTTTTTATTTGATTTTTAAAAAAACATAAACATACGACAAAAAACATTTCAAAATCCAAAGATCAAGATTACTCTGAATCTCCTGACTTCCCCTCCCATCCCTTCTATGGGTCCTAATGATAATATTTACAACTGCATATCAATACTGTCCCAAGTTTTATCCTTCTAAATTTTCCATACTTTCTGTTAGTTTACAAGTGTGGTTGAAATCCTGCTAATGTTTTAACCTGCTTACAGTGTTCTTCTAAATAGATTGTAAACTTTTCCCATTCTTTTTTAAAGTTCTTGCCCTCTTGATGTCTAAGATTCCCAGTTAATTTTGCCATTTTAGCATAGTCCATCAACTTTGTTTGCCATTCTTCTCTGGTCAGGGTTATTTCCAACTCTGGGCTAGTAGCAGCCGTGCAGCTGTTGTCGCATAAAACAAACTTTTATTCAATTGCCCGTCTCCTTCATTCTGCTCTACTGAACATTATTATGCCTGTTATAGTTTTTAACAAGATTGCTTTTAGTTCTCCACACTTTGTATTTATCGGTCGTTTCAATCAGTTAAAAGAAATGCAAAAGTGAAAAAGAAATTAAAATTGCCTAAATGTTTGCAAGTAGCGAGCTGTATTCTGTTCTGGCACCCGTTGTTTCTCCTTAACAAGTGAAGTGGTATTTCTTAAATGGTTGTGTGATACAACTTGGTGTTTCCTTTTCCAGGTGTACAATACGGGATGAACGTGGCTGCCCCGTGGATCAGAAACCTAGGTATTAGATATCGGCTCATTTTCATTTATATCCCACGTATCTTCCCTTGGAAGTCAAGATGGTGTGCAAGCCTATACAAAGTATAAAGTTTCTTGTGTTACTGAAATATATGAAAAAATAAAAAGAAATTGTCCAGTAGCACCTTAGAGACCAACTAAGTTTGTTCTTGGTATAAGCTTTCGTGTGCATGAACACTTCTTCAGATACCTGTGTGTTACTGAAGTTACTGAACATGGAAGATTTCTGGGCACAACCTAAGTACAAAGGCCATGCTAAGAGCCATGAATATGTGCGATTGTGTGATCAGGGAATTCAGTATTCTGAGAAACCTCAGCTTTCCATTACAAAAAAGGTTGTTTTTGAAAGGATGTTTTCCTGTCCCTGTGACGGGACAGATAATCCTGCAGTGTACTCTGATGAGCTGAATGTGCTACAGAAAAAGCAAATGGCCACAAATTTGGAAAGATTCGCTGGAAAGAGAGAGATTATTCAGTAAAAACCAATAAACTTGTGGCACCCTAAAGACTGACACGTTTATTATGCCATTTGCTTTTGAGGGCCAGAATCCACTTCATCAGATGCGTGAAGTCTCAAATTGGCAGACAAATATACATGGTTGCGTGGGGGAGAAAAGTGAGGTCAGAGGGAAACAAAATGCAGTGGTAATTTCGTAAAAGTGAAATAATTTTCAGTCCATCTGGTGAATTCGTGGCTGATCTGAGACATGAACCACAGTGCTCACAGCCTGTGCTCTTTATCACTAACATGCATCAGCTCTAAAAGATCTAGGAGATAAATCCTTTGAACACATTATTAAAAAACAAATTCTAGCTCCTCATTATTAAAAGTATCTCAAAGTAGGTTACAATCACAGTACATTAGAACCTCGTGCAACAGAAAAAGCAGCAGGAACCACTGTGCTTTGAAACTATTATTACTGAGCAGTATATCAGTCGGTGGGTGGTTTTGCTTTATTTGTTTTAGTTATTTATTAAAATGCCAAACCAAGCACAAAACAAAATTCATCACAGAAAACAGGCATGAAATGTCTAAGCCAAGACAAAGAGGAGGGCTACAGACATCACCAATACATTCCAGACTTTTGGTATAATAAGAATTATAACTAGTCTGTAAAAAATAAAAACACCAGTACCATGGATAGTCCTTGTTTTCCAGGGGGCTGAGCTGCAGCAAACTTTAATTTGGAGCGCTACCTGTATTCCTCTATCATCCACAGCCGTTTATAAGCCAAGTGGGGCTAGTGGAAGGAGGAGATTGGTTATGTTATGCATTGTTAACATAAACAGTAAGATCACACCAAACAGGAAGAAGTTTGTCCTTACATTTTTGACCTCTAGAGGCTCTCAGTTTATATTTCAGTTTCTCTGGTAGGGCTGATTCCCACACCTTCGTGTGCCTGTGAAAAAATATCCGCTCCGGCTAATTCCCACCAGAATCGGGTTATTGTGGCTGTGGCAATACGGAGAATCCATTGTTGTTGAAATATAAATAAAAACCACGAGGGATGAAAATTCGCCATAACATCAGGAGAGACTGCTGACTTTCCTTGAGTATCCCACGGTTCACTCAAAGGCCTGAGGAATTGGGCAGGTCTCTAATTGGCACCTGAAACTCCCTAAAAAGTTTCTCTCTTGGCAACTCATCCTCCTCACTTTCTCTGCTTGGTTAAGCCCTGCCTGGCGCAGCTTCTCTGCCTGCCTGCCCGTTCGCATCCCCTGAAAGTTGCAGGCAAAGTTGGCTACCCTGCTTCAGGCTTCCCCCCTTTTCTCTCTGTCCTCTTCCAGCCAGGCTACGTCCATTACAGCTGGGGTGGTGGGTGCTGCGCTCGTCCTGGTTCTCTTGTCCATCATCATCATTTGCATCAAGCGTCGGAAGCAGCAAGAGCGGAAGCACACTCTGCGGCGTCTCCTGCAAGAGACAGAGGTAGGGTTTGGCGGCCGTAACCTCTTTCCCCCTGAGGTGGGGTTGTGAGGAGAGCCTGCAGCAGAGCTCATGGGAGATTTGGCACGGTGCTTCTGGATTTTAGCAGCCTTTTTAGAATCGCTGCTTTATTTCCCCACGTGGGGAATTGCCTCCCTGTATATTCCATGCTCAATGGAACCTCCATGTACAGGGGCAGTATATCTCTGAATATGAAATGTTGCCAAACGTTTTAGGAAAAGGCCTTCATCTTCATGCTCTGCTTCTGAACTTCTGCAGACAGCTGACAGAAAGCCAGATAAGACAACTGCTTCCCTGTTATGCATGTATAAAAAGACCTAAATGTATAAATAGTCCGAAAGGGAACTTCCCACTGAATAATAATAATAATAATAATAATAATAATAATTTATTATTTATACCCCACCCATCTGGCTGGGTTTCCCCAGCCACTCTGGGCGGCTTCCAACAGAATATTAAAATACAGTAATCTATTAAACATTAAAAGCTTCCCTAAACAGGGCTGTCTTCAGATGTCTTCTAAAAGTCTGGTAGTTGTTTTTCTCTTTGACATCTGGTGCGAGGTCGTTCCACAGGGCAGGTGCCACTGCCGAGAAGGCCCTCTGCCTGGTTCCCTGTAACTTGGCTTCTCGCATCGAGAATAATCTTCACAGGAAGTCCCCAGCACTGTTGTGTTCTCATTCTTCTCCATGTCCCCCCAAATAATTTTATTACATGCTTGTACGTGAGACTGACTAGGGGGCAGTGGAACCATAGAGTTGGAAGGGACCTCAAAGCTCCTCTAGTTCATCCCCTACTGATGTGGGAAATCCACTGCTACATTACCCTTAGCAGGTGGCCATAAACCTCTACTTAAATCCGCACCCCCCCTCTGCACCCCTCCTTACTTTCTTTGATGCTGTTAGTTGGTGGAGCCATTGACACCCAGCGGAGCCCTGCCTAACCAGGCACAGATGCGTATTCTCAAGGAGACGGAACTGAAAAAAGTCAAGGTGTTGGGGTCAGGCGCTTTTGGAACGGTGTACAAGGTGAGGAGCGCTGGATTAGATTTGTTGCGTGGGCAAATGGCGCGGGAAAGCCCTTGGCTGGGAACCCAACAGCTTGAGGACCTTTGGAAATCTTTTCAGAGACTCAGTTTGAACTACCAAGCCTTGAATCCTGTTCCTCGTTCACTCAGGATCCAAGTGTTTCCTTTCAACGAAATGTTCCCGTTCCAGGTGGTGATCGCATCTTCCCAGCAGCCATTAAGTTGGTACTGGGGGGAAATGGGATTCCTTTGTCAGCTAGCAGGGCCACTGCAATTTAACTTAAGAGTTCTGCCTGGGCTGCTGCTGTGTGCGAGTGCCTCTGGCACACCACAAAGTCCTGTGTGAAGAGAGGCACGGCGCTCTGCGTTGCCACACTAGGCCACATCTTTCACTTGGGAGATTTTCTGAAGTGTCTAGTAGGCAGTCTCCTTCCCATATTCCTGTAATCATCATCATCATCATCTTAAAAAACAAAACCCGATGCATTTATTCATCTTGCTCTCTTTCTCTTAACCATCCATGCAGGGAATTTGGATTCCAGATGGTGAGAGTGTGAAGATCCCGGTGGCCATCAAAGTCTTGCGGGAAAACACCTCGCCCAAAGCCAACAAGGAGATTTTGGATGTGAGTGAGGAAGGCACAGTGACCCCTCTTAATCCGGGTTTGGATTTGCAGCCTAGTGGCTAAAGCTGAACCAGGGACAAGCACCCTGAGGCTCAAGATTTTAACTGAGAATAATTGCACTGTTTCCTGATGCGCCATTTGTACTGTAAACCTAAATGACTGCACAAGAAAGTGGGGGGAAATCCATCCAAGCAGCTCAGCGAGGCAAGGCACTATGACTAAAAGAGCAAAAAGAGTCAAGGTGGTGCAACAGGAATAAAACGATAACAGCAATTTGAATAAGAATGAAACACTGTGTATGTGTGTGCGCGCCTGTGTGTACACACATACAGGCACACACACACACGCACACAAACACTATAATGATGACCAGCCCAAACCTTGCCTCCTCTGAAGATTTTACCACCTCCAACCATAAATCTTGAGGGTGGCCCGGCAACATTTCCTTGCATGTATGCTAGCTCCCTTGCAAGGCAGAGTGACGACCATACAGCTTCTTGTTGAAAGGATCAAGTTGCGCATGGCCAATGGCAATAAAACACACATGGAAGCCGTAAAGCTCAGTCAAGCATTGTTTACTTGAACGGCAACACCAGTCTTGATGGTAGAAGACTTATTTGCAACTTTACTACAATGCAGATAGTAAGGCACACTTCAGTTGTACATGCTGCCTGCGCGCAGCTCAGCAGTCTCTCCTCTGTAGGAATCGCACATGTCCACAGATAAGTGCTCCATTGCTATTTATAGCTGCTGTAGACGAGGCAATCTTGCACCTCGATGCTTCTGAGAATCTTTGAGAATCTTCTCACAGTTTCTGGAAACCGACAGTGCTTTCTCACTTGCTTTAACATCCTCTTGGTACTTCCTCCAGCCCACCTAATTGAAAAGCGGCCTATGTGCCATAGCTGCAGTTGCTGTTCTAACTGCATAGCACATGAGCATCCAGTTGGAGATAAATTGATAGCTACCAGTTCACTGCATTGGGTCAACAGGTTCAAAAGATCCCAGCATCTCCCAGCAGAGCAAAGCAAAACCAGGAGAAACAGAGGAGGAGAATATGCAGCGCCTTCCAAAGTTGTTGTTCAAGAACATCTGGAGGGCCACAGATTATTCCCTCCTGCTGTATGAAGATCACACACTACCCCTGATGTTGTCTCAGTGTACCAGATGCCAGTATGGAATCCATGGGGCTTATTGTCCAGAACATGGATGGGGAACTTGTGGTTCTCCAGATGTTGGACTGCAACTCCCATCAGCCCCAGCCGGCATGGCCAAAGTGTCAGGGATGATGGGACCTGGAGTCAAAACAACAACTGGAGGGCACCACATTTGCCAACCCTGCAATAGAGAGATACTGTCAAAAATGATGTAGGAGGGGTGGGGCAGTAAGAGGATGGAGAATAAGGCTTAAAAGCAAAAATTGTGGGCCTCTCCTTTAAAGCAGTGCAGCCAGACCTTTATATCAGTTTGGAGCTGAGAAATAGACCTCTAATAAAATAACTCCACCCTTCCTATATGCTCAGGATTTCCCCGGGTTAAAATGTCACCGAAATCCCTCCAGTTGACTTAATTGTCACGCAGGACACATAAGCACATCTCCTTTCAGCATCTTCTCAAAGCTGAGCCAAGTATGTTGCGGTTTCTCTATTTGCTGTGCTTCCTCACAGATCTTTTCTGCTCTTACTGGGTTCAACCTGCCCTCCACCAATTCTCCTCCTGGGAATGCCACAGACTCAAAACAGTCTATAAACACTTTTTGTCAGCCAAAGTTACAAGCAACTTACACAGCATCGGGCTTCCCTGTTGTTGTCACCCATGTTTTGTTTGCCGTGGCTGAATTCAGCAATTCCTGGGGTCTAGTGGGAGAGGATTAACAACCCCTCCTGGATGTCTTCCCTCTAACCTGGGTTAGCAAACTCACACTGCTTCCCTCACCCACAGAGGGATAGAAATCTCCCCTTGAAGTCTGGCCCGTGTGAGTTCTTCTCCCTGATCTCCATCATTATTTCTCTTCTGAAAGGAGACCTCTAACACCCACCTTTCCTCCCCAGGAGGCTTATGTCATGGCCGGGGTGGGCAGCCCTTACGTATCGCGGCTGCTGGGAATCTGCCTCACCTCCACAGTGCAGCTGGTTACTCAGCTCATGCCCTACGGCTGCCTGCTGGACTACGTGAGGGAGAACAAGGACCGCATTGGATCCCAGGACCTCCTCAACTGGTGTGTGCAGATAGCAAAGGTAGGCGGAGCTTCAGTGCCGGGGGCGGGGCTTCATGGTGATTGTCCGCCTGGCATGCGACTGCATAGCCAGTTGTATTCTGCCCCTTTCAGGACCCACCTCCTCTCTTCACCCACATTCAGTTTTCTTTGCTTTATCTTCCCCCATCTTTCACCTCTTTAAAGGTGGGGGGGGGGATAGAATCACAAACCGACAATCAAAGAAGAAAATAGGGTCACAACGGAGGTAGTAACTGAAGAGAGCTGCATTGTGAGGGATCGTGGCTGGTGATGGTGACGGGCTCATTACAGAACAGACTTCCCTGTGCTTATATGAACCACCCCAAAGGGAGGACTTCAGCAGATGACACTTGTCCCACCACTGCGGTATTAAAATGGAAGACTGGGCGACGTAACTTGCTGAAATTCTTCCCCCTTCACAAATACAAGTGCCCCGCTGAATCGAATACTCTTTGGAGGAAATGCAGAATATGTGCATCCAGTCTCTCTCTTGCATTTTAAATTTGCAACAAGTTCCTAGTCCTTATGAGTTCAGCCCCCTGATCCCAGCTTTTAACAAACCACTTATATTTAGGCTTATTGCCTGCAAATCCATCCACACACGTAACCCCACTGCCACTCCCAAAGCATTGACATTTGCAGAGATGTGAAGTGTATAATCCAACATAACTTAATGGTAGAATGTGTGCTCTGCTTGCAAAAGACCCTTGCTTCAATCCCTGGTGTCTCCAGTTAGAGGAATGACAGCAGGACTGAGTATAACTTCTGTCTGAGATATTAGAAAGCTGTTCTCGGATAGTACTGAGCTACAGGGAACGATTGCCTGGTTTAGTATAAAGCAGCTTTGTATTTTCAAGCATATTTTTTGTTTTGTAAGCTGCTGAAAAGGAACAAACCAGTTGAATCAGGCATGGAGGATAGGAGAGCACTGCAGGAACCCTCCTTTCCCTTCTCCAAGCAAGTTTAGCAAGTTTGTATCGATGCCACAGAAATTAGAAATTAATGTTAATTATTTTCTCCACTTCTGCCGTTGAGACTGAGGGTGCATGGCATCTGTTATTGCACCTATGTGTTTTTAAGAGCTCTAGAAACAGTTCCCCTTGGCTCAACTTTAAGGGGATAGTTACTAGCATTTCTTCATTCTCTCTCAGGGTATGAACTACCTGGAGGATGTCCGTCTGGTCCACCGGGACTTAGCCGCCCGGAACGTCCTGGTGAAGAGCCCAAACCATGTGAAGATCACAGATTTTGGTTTGGCTCGGCTGCTGGACATTGATGAGACAGAATATCATGCCGACGGAGGGAAGGTTGGTCAGAGAACACAATTATGGAGCAAGTCCAGGGTGCACCTCCCTTTAAGACTGAGTAACACCCTAAAGGTTGATCAGAATTGTTTAGAGATGGGTGCAGTTACATATCATTTGAGTAGTGGGAGAAGTGCACTGACACTGTTAGTTTCGTCTCCTCCGGGCAAATTTATTTATTTATTACATTTCTATCCCGCCTTTCCTCCAAGGAGCTCAAGGTGGTGTATGTGGTTCTCTCCTGTCCATTTTTATCCTCACAACAACCCTGTGAAATAGGTCAGGCTGAGAGTGAGCGACTAGCCTAAGGACACCCAGTGAGCTGGATGGATGAGTGAGGATTTGCACCCTGGTCTCTCAGCATTCTAACCACTAGGCAGTAAATAGGAAAGTGCCTTATTCCAACTTAAGACAGTTGGCCCATGTAGCTTGGTATTGTCTACACCAGAGGTAACCAATGTGTCACCCTCCAGATGATGTTGGACAAAGACTCATCATCTCTTGCTGGTTGGGGCTTATGGGACCTGACAGTGCTTTTTTTCTGGGGGCGACGCATACCCCTAAACATTTTGTGAATCTAAATTTGGCCTCATTGAGGAGCAGTATTTCAATATGAGTAGGAAAATGAGAGTACCTCTAAACATTGTATTTAAGAAAAAAGCACTGGGACCTGAACAACATTTGGAGAGGGCACCATGTTGGCTAACCCCAGTCTACATGAACAGGCAATGACTCTCGTGGTTTTCAGGGTGGTCTGCTGGGAGGTGGCAGGGATTAAGGTTTTGCATGTAAAGCAGAAGCTGTACCACTGTACTGTATCAGGCCTGCTTCTTATAAACAACAGCAGAGGGAGTGAGCCTGTGTCTGAGCTGCAACACTTTGAAGTGCATGCGAGGGCCCACCTGATCGAATGATTCTGCAGGCAAAACAATTCTCTCTCTCTAGAAAATAAGCCTGTTGGAGAAAAGGTCTGTGGCTTACTTCTTAGCTTGGCATGCTTGCTTTCTATATACAGTGGTACCTCAGGTTACATACGCTTCAGGTTACATACGCTTCAGGTTACAGACTCTGCTAACCCAGAAATAGTGCTTCAGGTTAAGAACTTTGCTTCAGGATGAGAACAGAAATCGTGCTCCGGCGGCAGCGGGAGGCCCCATTAGCTAAAGTGTTGCTTCAGGTTAAGAACAGTTTCAGGTTAAGTACGGACCTCCGGAACGAATTAAGTACTTAACCTGAGGTACCACTGTACAGGGAGAGTGTTCTCTGTGAAGGAGGATTCCATCCTGTGTCCCTAGGCTTGCCCTCTTGTGGTGGTACGGCCCAGGCGCAGATTGACTAGCTCCCTAAGAACTAGGCCCATAAGCCTGTTCTCCTGCCCCACACAAACACACACACAGCTGCTGCTGCTTGGAACCAACCCACAAGAGGGATGGTTTGATGCCACAGTGGTAAACTTTGTGCCATTTGCCTTGCCCAGGTACCTATCAAATGGATGGCCCTGGAGTCCATCTTGCGCAGGCGTTTCACACACCAAAGCGACGTGTGGAGCTATGGTAAGTGGGGGCTTGTGGGGACCCTCCTGTTCGTTCCTGCGGTTAAACGTCGGCTGGCACTTGACGGGACCCCCTTGCCTGTCTCTCCAGGTGTGACTGTGTGGGAGCTGATGACTTTTGGAGCCAAGCCGTATGATGGAATCCCAGCCCGAGAGATCCCTGACCTGCTGGAGAAAGGAGAGAGGTTACCACAGCCTCCCATCTGCACCATTGATGTCTACATGATCATGGTGAAATGTAAGAAGCTAGAGGTCTTGCATGAAAGGAAAAAGGGTTGCAATGAAATACAGGGGCAAGGGGGGCAAGGCCCTTGGTTACTGTAGCCTTTGTTGTCGCTGGCACCCCATAGCCCTTAAAGCAGCCTTTCTCAACCTTTGGGTCCCCAGATGTTGTTGAACTACAACTCCCATCACCCCTAGCTAGCAAGGCCATAGCTCAGGGATGATGGGAGTTGTAGTCCAACAACATCTGGGGACCCACAGGTTGAGAACCGCTGCCTTAAAGGGAAGTGGGGTGCCAGCAAGTTGAACTATACCTTTTTCTTGGAGGATCTTTATGGTGCCTCCTAAGAAGGCCTGCATCTTTGAACTTGTATTTTCTGGAGTTTGAACCTTTTGGCTAAACGTTTGTATTCAGAGCTTGAAAGTTCATTTTCCAAAGGAGCTGGTTCCAGTTCCAATTTGTCCCTTGACAAAATGAACTAGTAGTTGGTTCAATTCAACTTCACCCAATGGATCCTCGGCACGTTTGTTTTTCAGCGTTCATAATGTTACAGGCTGCTATGCCAAAGTATAAAATACACTTAAGAAAATACCAAAACACACAAGTCAAATGTGAATGGTTTAATTTATTTCCCCCAACAATTGTGGTGTTTAATCTTAAAGGCCCAAAGCGTCCAAAGAGTAAAGAAAAGCACACATATAAGATAATGAAGATGAACTAGAAATCATTCAGAGTGCTAGCCCCAAATGAACTTAATTCATATTCAGTTTACCTGTCAATTATGGGAGCTACCTTCAGGGATAGCTTAGGTAATTTTTAAGTAATTCAGCGAACTTGATTAAACCGAACTAATTCATTCCAAGTGCTGGCTGTGCTTGCCACACAGGTTGGATGATCGACTCAGAATGCAGGCCCAAGTTCCGAGAACTGGTCACTGAATTCACACGAATGGCCAGGGATCCGCAGCGTTTCGTGGTCATCCAGGTGAGCCAGGAGTGGTGGTAGGGAAAGACTTTCATCCTGCCAAGACCTAGGCTGTGTTCAAAGGGGATTTTTCTCCACTGTGTTAAATTAGCTTTCATGAAATATTTTCTTGTGTTACAAAATGGACAAATAAGCAGAGAAAAGTTCAATTGGGGGAAGAGGGAGGGAGGGAGAAAAATGGGGGGGCGTTGTTATTTCATTCTATTACCTAGTGTTAGCATCATGTGGATAGATCCTTTGTGTGTGTGTGTGTGTGTGTGTGTGTGTACACACACACACACACACACACACACTCTGAGAGGTTAGGGCAGGCACCCCCAAACTCAGCCCTCCAGATGTTTTGGGACTACAATTCGCATCATCCTTAGCTAACAGGACCAGTGGTCAGGGATGATGGGAACTGTAGTCCCAAAACATCTGGAGGGCCGAGTTTGGGGATGCCTGGGTTAGGGGGTCCAGAACTTGGTTGGTTGTGTTCAATTGGTTGCAGTGTGGCTTGTTTGTATGTGTGTAGTGGGGCAGGGGTAGGTTGTTGGGTCACGTTAGCCATATTGATTTGTATGTTGTTGTGGAGGGGGGAGGAATAGGTCATTGTCTTGTTGTTTTGTGTATATGATAAAGGGGAACCATACTGGAATGAAGGTGTCCTCCTTTGCTTGTCCCCATGCTAGTTTTAAGTTTGTTGGTTAGCTTTTCTAGTAGGGGATTTTCCGTCACTAAGCATCTTGTTCAGTTGCAGGTAAGTGGTGGGAGGGAAGGAATAAACACAAGCACGTAAAATGTCCCTTGCTGGAACAGATTAAACCTATCTAGTCCACCCTCCTGCCTCAAAAACAGTGTTCAACTAGATACCTCCAGGAAGCCCACAAACATGAAGGGAACAGCCCTTCCTTGTTGATTCTGCTGGCAGCTGGTGTAATCTACTGCTAGGAGAAGCAAGGCATTGCCAAAAGCGAGGGGTGATGCTGCTGGTGTCTGTGATCGCTGAGCCTGATAGCTGCTGCTGCTACAGTCATTGGGAGGCTTCTGAACACATACTGTCTGACTCCTGTTTTAACTGGGCCTGGGTGAATTAGAGTCTCTTCCATGCCTGGGATCAGATTGATCGGGGGGAGGGAATTTTACTCCCGAGCCAGCTTAACAAATGGCTGTTTATGTATGGCATTCTTTGTCCCCCTGTAGCATATGGTGTGGCTCATTTGTTTGAGTTCTTTAGAGTTAGAATGGTGGAATTGTAGAGTTGAAAGGGACTATGAGGATCATCTGGTCCAGCCTCCTGCAATGCTGGGATCTTTTGCCCCTTGTGGGGCTTGAATCCACAACCCTGACAATTAAGAGTGTCATGCTTTACTGACTGAGGTGTCCACTAACCTACTGTACAAGGTTGTTGTAAGAATAATGGAGAAGATGCTATGTGGGCTACTTTCATGAATCCTAAGCCCACTCCTCCTGCAGGAGCAGTGGAATTCTCAAAGCCACAAATACTTACTGCTGTCTATTAGAACATGCATGCACATTAATATTTCTGGTTGTTCCTCCTTGGCAGAACGATGATAAAATGGGTCTTGCCAGCCCCATAGACAGCACTTTCTACCGCACTTTGCTAGAGGAAGAAGACATGCAAGATCTGGTGGATGCTGAAGAGTACTTGGTACCCCACCAGGGCTTTTTCAATGGTGAGGCATCTGCAGACTATCGCTCTAGGATCCCCTCAACCAGGGTAAGCATGTGGCTGTTATCAGTTTACAGTGATAATAGACAAAGCCAGTTTGTATCCTGCTCAGGCTGGACTTCCCAGTGGGCATGCCCTGCTCTCCTGTAAAGCGCATGTGCTGGAAACTCGTGTATTGAATATTTCAGTAAGTTTGCAAAAGAGAGAGCTGGTGACTAGCCCATAGCCTACAGGCTGTATACACAGCGGGTGGCACTGTGGTCTAAACCACTGAGCCTCTTGGGCTTGCCGATCAGAAGGTTTGAGGTTCAAATCCCCGCGACGAGGTGAGCTTCCGTTGCTCTGTCCTAGCTCCTGCCAACCTAGCAGTTCGAAAGCACGCCAATGCAAGCAGATAAATAGGTACCACTGTGGCAGGAAGATAAACAGCATTTCCGTGCACTCTGGCACTCGTCACGGTATCCTGTTGCACCAGAAGTGGTTTAGTCATGCTGGCCGCATGACCCGGAAAGCTGTCTGTGGACAAACATTGGCTCCCTTCGACTGAAAGTGAGATGAGCACCGCAACCCCATAGTTGCCTTTGACTGGACTTAACCGTCCAGGGGTCCTTTACCTTTTACCTTATACCCCCCAGCAAGACCACCTACCTTTATTGGGGGGAGGTGTGGCAAAATCAGAGGGCTTGTGAACCCTGCGTGTGGCAGTTCAGCCAAGAAAGATTAGCCACCATCATAGAACTTCATAGTATAATCCCCTCCTCAATAATTCAAATCTCCTTCCCTGCTGGCCAGGGCTGCAAAATGGTCCCTAAGCCTGAACTCTCAGCTTGCACTTACCCTCGGCGATCAGGTTTCTACTTGGCATGTGTTCTTCACAGGCAATGCTGAAGCGCACACCTGTTTTTTACCCTTACCAGAGTACCACAGAGACTCCAATGGATGAGGATGAACCTGAGCAACCAGCTCAGTACCCCTATTTGGGCCCACCTCTGTTGGAAGAGCCAGGAGCTGTCATTCCTGACTTGCTCGAAGGGGACTATACAGGAAGCACTCTGCAGCGCTACTGCGAAGATCCCACTGGTGCCTCGATTAATGAAAACGAGAGCCCAGAAGCTAAGAACTACAATTCACCTGTGCCCTGCAGTATGGTTCCAGGTATGTGCCTTGTTCGTAATGTATGTACTTGCAAAAAATTCAATTGGGGAATCTTGAAAAGTGTTTTGGTGTGGGTTTTGTTTTGTTTCAAAAACAAGCTTCTAGCCCCTGTGGCTGTGGATTGCCAGTACCAAGTGTGGCGTCTTATTTGAGGACTCGAAAAGCCATGTTTGCTGTTAGTTTGGGTGGAAGGTTGGTGGAAGTCACCGTTTCCTGGTTTCGGCCATTTGTTTTGCATTTTTCTTATCCCTGCAGAGTATGTGAATCAGCCAGAAAACAGCCTTCCAGCCAACAAAGGCCTTCGACCACCAGGATCCACCCTAGAAAAGCCAAAGGGTCACTTGGGCAAGAACGGGCTCATCAAGGAACCAAAGAACGCCTTCCATAACAGCAGCAGCTTCAGCAACGTGGTGGAAAACCCAGAATACCTGACGCCCTGCAACCTCCCTCTGGCCGGCCCTTTGCCTCAGGCCTTTGACAATCTGTATTACTGGAACCAGGAGACTCCCAAGAGCAACCCAGCAGAATTCTTTGCCGGCTCTGCCGCTCCTGCCACCAACAGCTTTGCCACTACGCCGACGGCGGAGAACCTAGAGTATCTAGGCCTAGCCGAATCGGTTTCTCGCCCTAAGGACTTTGCGTGAGGACCCCTGTCACCACTGAATCCTATTTTTGATATTTAGGCAGCTCAGGACACAAACGAACGAACTATTGATGCATGCAAGATGAGCGGGATTCACTAAGGCCTTAGCACAGCCCTCTTGAGGCCTAGTAGGCCGCTCCTTCTCGTCCTGGCAGTTGGGCAAAAGCACTTTGTTTGTGACAATCTCCTGTCATGCAGTTTGGGCAACCCAGGCCAACTGTCATTTGACATACAGCAGGGATGTACAACAGGACGATCGCCGGGGTGCTCCTGATCGATCCCCCCAAAAGCTCAACAACTCTGGTGCATCCTCCCCCCAAAAAAGCTCAAAAACTGTGGGCAATCCTCTCCCTGAAAAGCTCAACAGCTCTTGGCAATGACAATGAGTAGATCACTGCCAGTTTTTTTATACTGGGAGTAGATCACGGTCTTTTGGGAGTTGGACGCGCCTGACATACAGGGAAAAAGGGCTGCTCTTCTGCCCCCTCCCCCTCTCCCTTCGAATACAAGACAAAGAGGGTCAGACCACTGACTGGGCTCAAGAACTAAGGGTGGAACGCTACTTTTTTTTTTTTAAGGTACATTTTCAAAAAACAAACTTAAGGGTACTGACATGAGGCGGGGAGGGGAGAACCATGAGATCGTGTGTTGTAAAAAATGAGGGCAACGCATGGGTGTCGCATAAAAACGGTGGTGTGTTTTCTGTTATTGGTCATTTAATGACAGTGGTAAAAAGGGAATGTGCTTCCTTGACCTTCGGATCGGGGCCAAGGGCACCTGCGTCCTTACAAGAGAGTAAATTGGGGGGGGGATGGAATTGTGATGTTCCTTAAACACAACATCTTGGTGGGGTCTGGGGAGGAAGAAGAAAACAATGTTGCCTAGTGGCGAGAGCCTCCTTCCCACCCCTTTGCCCTCTCAAGAAGATTCCAGAAGACGCAGGTGAGGAACTAAAACCAACTTCATTTCTTGGCTTGGACAGCTTGGCAAACTGAGAACAGTTGAGCATCTTAATTAAGAGAGAGAATAATTTTGGAGTGCTTCCCTAAGAAATAACACCATGTTTTGAACTCTCTTTTTTGTATAGCGCCGCATTTTATGCCCTGGTGGTTGTTGTGGCTTCCTGTTCTGAGGCAATGGGTGAAAAGGGAAGACGAGAAGCTAAGCTGGCATGTTGTTTCAGAGGGGAGAGGTTAAGTTGCCCCATAGAACCAATATGTAACATGTAGGGGAACCTGTGGCCCTCCAGACATGCCTGAACGACAACTCCCATCATCCCTGACCATTGGCCAGGCCTGCTAGACAGTGCTGGCCCAATATATTTTGGCACCTGAGATGAACCACAAAATGGCTCACCACCATTGAAGAAGGGATCAGTGAAGATGTACATCAGGAACAAGGGCGGGGGGAATAACGATTGATATTGGGATCTGCCACCTGAGGCAGTTGCCTCACCTTGCCTCTTGGGTGGGCTGGCTAGGGCTGCTAGGAGTTGCTGTTCAGCAACATCTGGTGGGCCAAAGGTTCCTCACACCACTGGGTGGGGCTGGGTGCATGCCTCCTATTACATTGGAGAACTGGAAACCCGCAGTGTGTAGCAATGGGTGCAGCCATTTAGCTTCCCGAGAACCATATTCCTTCCTTTTTGCTTTTTAAGAGAGAGAACTTGGCTAATATGTGCTTGAAAGTCTGTGGGCAATGCCTGCTGAAATCTCAGAAGCCTGAGAGGCGTCTAAATTAAGGTTTCCAGAGATGGGAGATGGACTCCGCTCAGCTCCTTCTCCTTTCCATGACAATCAGAAATGCAGAATAACTATGCAAAATGGGATAAATGGTGCAAAATTGCTCCATTCCTGTAATTTATACAGACTGAGAAACAATGCACAAAGCCCTAAAGCAGGGCAATGGTACTCAGCGAATTAATCTGTGAGGACTGTACTTTTTTATCTTTCAGACTGCACTTTGCCCCCAGCTCTTGGAAATGTTTTGTTGTCATTCCTCACTCCCCCCTGCAGTTATGTTGATTTTTGGATACCTAGCCTGGAGAATTCTGTTGAATGTTCCTTGGTTTTGGAATCTCGCCACGTACCAATCACTCATTACTTTGGGAGGGTGTCCGAAAGCAACTAGGACAGGATGGTCCTTTTAACCTCAGCCAGCCAAAGACTGCTGGGATGTAGAAGAAAATGCAACAGGGGGCTTCTTATGAAGAGTGGTGAGAAAAGCTACCACTGGCCTTTGATCTAGTGTACCAATCACCTTTTTTGTGGTCCTCACTGGTTTTCTGTGCCCTGCCTCTTTCTAGTGTAGAGGCAGCCCTACCAATAAACAGGTGACAGCAGCTGTTTCAATGTCTGGCTCCAGGTGCCATTAAGGGCGGCAGAAATTGAGATGATAAATCCAACTCATGGGGGCACAAGTTCTTCTGTACAAACCTCATTGCAGCGGATGGGCTTTCAGTTAAGTCTTGTACAGCGAAACATCCCTGGGGATGTGCAGCAAAGACACATGCACACATTGATAGTATGTGGTAAGAACATAAGAAGTGTCTGCTGGATCAGGCCAGTGGCCCAACTAGTCCAGGCTCCTGTTCTCACAGGGGCCAACTTGGGAGAAACACACAAATCAACATGAGTGCAGCAACACTCTCCACAGTTGTGGTTTCCATTAAACTGGTATTCAGAGGCATGATGTCTGTGCTGTAGAGGCTATTTGGATTTCTTGCTTCCCCTACTAAAGTTTCTTGAGCCAGCTCAATGGGAGGAACAATGGTGTGTTCCTCAGTCTCCTTACATGTTGAGCTTGGCTGATGAGAGTCACAGTCCAAATTATCCGGACAGCACCAGGTTAGAGATAGTGGCACTAAGCTTGGGCCCAATGCTCCCTATTTCGTTGCCTCCATTTCTGTCTTGTCAAGATGGTGGACTCAATTATTGTCTAAAACAATGTGGAATGTTCACTGTACCTACAGCCAGTCAGTCCCCATCCTTCCTCAGGGAGCGGAATTTGGGGAAAAAATTAACAGCACAACGGATGTGGAAGTATGGATTTTGCCAAGAAACCAGGAAGCCGTCTCAGTAAGGGCAAACTGCCTGAGGAAGAAGCTCTCTGGAGCTGTCCCTCCTTGCATGCACAAAGGTGAGGGGAGCTACCATTAGCATCAACTGAAGAAACACGTTTAGACTTTGTTTGTGGTGTGGAAGAAGGTGGGGAAATGACTTGTGCCATTTCTAAAGTTTGTTCCACCCTGACCCCTTGCCCTGTTCAAGCTCTCTCTCTGAAACCTGTGTTTTCCAGCTTGTGGGTACATTGAAGGTATTCTGCTGTGGGTGACTTTTAAAAGAATCAGTTGTGTCATAAGTATTTGTATATCTGAGAATTGTACTGTACAATGGTTTTCATTTTCTACACTATTTGTCTTGAGTAATTATTGGAGTTTGTGAATTTGGTATACAGGGTGTTTGCGGGGCCATTTTTTGGTTGGATTTCAGCTCCCCTAAGTGAGGTAACCCGGGTGGCGCTGTGGGTTAAACCACAGAGCCTAGGACTTGCCGATCAGAAGGTCGGCGGTTCGAATCCCCGCAACGGGGTGAGCTCCCGTTGCTCGGTCCCTGCTCCTGCCAACCTAGCAGTTCGAAAGCACGTCAAAGTGCAAGTAGATAAATAGGTACTGCTTTGGCGGGAAGGTAGACGGCGTTTCTGTGCGCTGCTCTGGTTCGCCAGAAGCGGCTTAGTCATGCTGGCCACATGACCCGTAGCTGTACGCTGGCTCCCTCAGCCAATAAAGCGAGATGAGCACACAACCCCAGAGTCAGCCAAGTTTATTGGCTTCCTCTAGAGCAGTGTTTCCCAAGCTTGGGTCTCCAGCTGTTTTCAGACTACAATTCTCATCATTCCTGGCCACTGGTCTTGCTATAACTAGGGATGATGGGAGTTGTAGTCCAAAAACAGCTGAAGACCCAAGGTTGGGAAACACAGACCTAGAGGCAGACCTTTTATACACCAATGTGAGGTTGCAGTCTCTGGTGGCATTTTTGGTATCACTAAGGGGCAGAGACCTGATCCATCACGGGCTCAGTCTGAAGGGAAGTTCTTGTAGAAGCCCAAGATATTGAAATAAATTGGCATTGTGGAAGAGAACATCGGTTTCATTTACATCAGGAGTGAGGAACCTGTGGTCCTCTAGCTTTCATGACCAACAGTCAGGGAAGATGGGAGTTATAGTTCAAGCAACATCTGGAAGGCCCAACCTCCCACCCACTTCAAATTTTCTGCCTCGGGGTTTGGTTCAGACCCAGTGTCCTGTACCACTTTGTTCCTTGCCAGAAAGTTCTAAATTCCTTGAAGATTCAGTCTTCGAATCAATGTATGCACAATGAGCCAGTGTGGTGTAGTGGTTAAGAGTGGTAGACTCGTAATCTGGGGAACCGGGTTCGCGTCTCCGCTCCTCCACATGCAGCTGCTGGGTGACCTTGGGCTAGTCACACTTCTCTGAAGTCTCTCAGCCCTACTCACCTCACAGAGTGTTTGTTGTGGGGGAGGAAGGGAAAGGAGAATGTTAGCCGCTTTGCGACACCTTAGGGTAGTGATAAAGCAGGATATCAAATCCAGTATTGAAATGTGCTTTCAAAGTTTACTCCGATGACTACTTTTTGTGGCCCAAAATCCCCGCTGCCTTTTGCCATCCATTTATTTTTCTTTCCAACCGTTCAGTGGAAAAAAATCAAAACTTTTTTTCATATAATATGTAAGAGAAGAGTATCTTAGTCTCAAAAAGATTGTGCCTTCCGGAGTCAAAGCCTTTCCCCTTGTATGTAAGGACTGGGTAGATCCGAGTTTGTTTTTAAAGACTATATTTTTAGAAGTGTATATACAGAACTGGATACCATAGAGCAGTGGTCAGCAACAGACAAAATTGTGAGCTGACTGGCCATAAGTTATGAAGGCAAACACCAGACCATTCTGCAGCAGTGATCACTCCCATGTAAAAGTTTAGAAACCACATGCTTGCTTTCTGTTTGAAGGCTTTTTAACCCCAAAGCAAGGGCAGCTGAGCCCAGGACATGTTGGAATTCCTAAATTTATGTGTTCCTATCAGTGCTGCTGCTTTTTCCCTGTAGGTCTCTGAACAATTTGTTCTTTTGGGAAATTCTCAGAACAGAAGAGCGTCAGCATGTTTGCTCGTACGTATACTGCACAGCTGCAAGTCATTCCCAGCAAAAGGTTGCCAGGTCTCAAGGCTTCAGCTAATGTTTCCACTTTTAAAATGCCCCAAAGTCTCTTGCAGGCATAAAAATTTGGTGTTTGCCTTACTATCCTACGCAGAAGAAAATGATAGAAACGGGCGGCTTAACCTTCGGAACAGGAGAGCCAGACCTTTGAGAATAGCTTGCCCCCTTGACTTCTCACCCTCAAATAACTCCTTGGCTAACATCCTAAAACTTTGGGTCAAAGTGCGAGAACTGGCAATTTTGTACCTGATTAAAGACACTATACGTATCTGCCTTGCCTGGAGTGCGCCTCCAAGGCCAAAGGCACACCACTGTTAGCAGCACTGAGGTGACTTCCCTGAGTGCAAACTTGGGCAGTGTGTATAGGATGCCCAGACAACAAGACACAACACGCCCCCCCCCCCCCAATATGTCACTGATGTGATTCAAAGGAAAGCAGGGCAATGTTTGGCACCAAATTGGCTGCAGGAGTTGCTGGAAGGAGAGACACAAGGCATCATCCAGCCGTCTTAGGGACTCCACACTGGATTAGTGTAGGGTTTACTCCTTAGCCTTTTCTTCTTCCAAAGATGTCCTTCAAGGTGGCTGTGATGGCCTGGGAATGTGATTCAGAGGCTGAACCTGAGGAATCCCAGCCTGCACAGGAGTCCCCGCCTCCAGGCAACTTCCAGATCCTTGACCCAGGACTGGACTCAGACCACGCCACACGGTAACCCCTCCCCCCCCCCGGACTAGCACAGTGGCAGAGGTTTAGGATCAGTTTTCCTTCTCCTATTTGGGCTACCTTTCCAGGTTGATGAGCCCCATCTGCCCCTCAATTCTCTTTACAGCATGCACAGAAAATGAACAACTTCCACACACACAAAAGGAGACAATTTACTCCGAGCATTTAACTTTTTTCCTTTATATAAATTGAACCAAACATAAATTCATCAACGTTTGCAGCACGTAAACTAGACAACAGGAGGTGGTGGGAGGCATGACTGGCGTTCACCGATCTCCCCCTTCTTAAAGAGTTAGCAGCAGCACTTGTGTGTCACTTTGCACTTCAACTGTGGCAGATGTGCCAAAGTCACCAATTGACAGATTAGAAAAGTGAAAACAGGGTGATAAAACCCAAGAGCCTAGGAACAGGGTGGAGGCATGAAAGAGGAATTTCAGATTTGAGCTAGATGAGATGGATATTCATGACAATAATTACACAGCAGCTCTTTGTGTGGCCTATTATGCCAGAGCTTTCCCCACCCCTGTTCTGTTTCATTGGCTGCTATATCGCACTGGCAGGGAAACGTAACAGCATAATCAGGCCATCATATACATTCTGTATTACTATCAAGGAGATGCAGGTCTAAGCATGCTAACTGCAAGAGATTAGGGTTGTTGTTGTTTTTTAAAAAAGGCATGTGTGCATTCATATGCGCAATCTAACCAGAATTAAACATCTCAAGTCCCACGGGTTTACAGCAGGAGAACTGAGCAAGTATTTCAATCCTGAAATCAACAGATCTTGAAAATGCTTCCTTGAATAGTTGGATAATGCTTGAGAATATATGGTTTAGTTGGGTTTTTGTTTTTTTTAAGTTCTTGCAGTTCTGCAGAGAGAATTATAACCATTGACTAAACAGCTTTCAAGAAGTTCTCACTGTTTCACTAGCCTGTTCTGAACTATGCTGAGTTTCATGCTAGCCTTCAAATAGAAAAAAAAGGCCAAAGCAACCGGCAGGTAGGTAGACTCAAGCGATGGCAGATCTCGTAAAAAGCATGAGTTCTATTTTCTCCTTTGTCCAAAGATCTGGTCTGGCTTGAGGATATCTGTTCCACTGCAGGTGCCTGCCCATGGATCATGGGTGGGACTTGAACAAGCTCTGCATCACCACTGTACTGGCCAATTAGGTAGACCTTAACACCAAAAGATGAATGGCTTCAAGTCAAGCCAAGCCTCCACTTTCAAGCCCACACTTGGGCGGCGGTGCAAGACAAAGAAGGGGACAATTGCAGAAGTGTTGTGGAAATTCTCCCACATATTGTGCGAACAGTGAGCAGCTTTCTACACTGGTCCCCAAGACTATAGTTTGAAGGTGTCTGAGGGTCCTTCAGAGCTTGCTGCAACAGTATGAACCCTATCCAGACTGGATAAGACAGGGTTTCAATGAGGGCAGGATGAAATACTAGCTTATCCTGGCTCACAGTTAAAGGGTTATGGGGACCTGGGAGGAAGAAGATAGCTGATGGCCCAGGATGAACCACTAAAGGTCAGAAGAGATGACCCAATTCTGAAAGGAGATGGGGGAGGGCTTCATCCTTGTCAGTTACACATAAAGACAGAAACGCAGCAGTCACATTAAGACAAAATCCATTCTGGTCTTTTTAGAAACAGGAGAGGCTCCCCAAGCAGGAAGGCTGATCCGCCCAAATTAATTTAGCAAGCACCTTGTTCTCCTCACCTCCTTAAAGTGGCTCAGGTTCTTGCTTATAAGGCTTCATGTGTGTTAGCAACCCAAATCACCTTGCTGTGTTTCATCCTCTCCCCACCTACCAAGGTAATTAAACTAGAGTAGGAGGTGGAGGCAGGGAAAGCGAGCATTAAGGGTGGGCGGGCAGGTTTGGGCCAGAGAAAAGAGAGACTTAAAGGATGACACAAGGTGGTCGGCTCTTGGTGATCTTCTCAAGGGGCTCCCCGTTGCCAGCCTTGCGGATGGCTTCAATGAGCTGCAAGAAGAGAAAACCGGAAATGTGAATTCTTCATATACAGCTCAAGGATCTGAATATGTTATTGAATGAAAGCCACCTGCTGAAACAACTTCCTCTTAAGGTACTCTAGGAGAATGCGATTTCAAAATAAGTGCCAGCTGTTCCGCAGTACATAACCATAGAGTCATAAACACCCATACGCACACTCCTCTTTCCTTCCCCATAAGCTCACCTCTAGAAATTGAAGTTAGTTTTTACAACTAATGCTGTACACTTTAGCAGCTGACGAATCAACTATGGGTTGTTTCCAACTAAATTTTACTCAAAGTAGACTCAAAGAGATTAATGGACCTAAGTAATCTATTTATTTAAATGGTGAAGCCTAGAATTAAGAGCATGCTAGTTTTCTTTTTCAAGGCTATTTTGCTTTTAGGGGATGATTTCTTTTTTTAAAAAATCAAATATTAAAGCTGTCTTCATTTTCTAAAAAGACTAGAAGTTTGAAAAGCTTATTTTTATTAAGCTGTGACTTATTTCAAAGAGGCACCAATACAGAACTTTTGGCGGCACACAAAGCTATTTAAGTTTAATGAGCTGTCTGCCTTTTAAGATTTTGAAACGCCACTTATAATACTCCACAACTGTGACAGATCTTTGGACCAAGGGAGCCCGATTAAGAGCGCAGCTGTCTTTTAACAAAAACAAGCATCTTCAAGATGTAACAGATCTTCTAGATGTTAGAAGAAGCTGCCACTACTTGGATTAGGATGGAGAAATGCAACTTGCCTGCATTTTGGAGTACAAAAAACTCCATGTACAATACAATACATTTGGGGAAAGGGTAACTGGCAGCATATTGGACACTAGGGAATCCCACGGTGTCAGCGTTCGAAACTCCCATTGTTCTAGGTGTGTTTTGAGATAGGGAATTTCATTAACGCAAGCAGTTTCTGAGCTCTGGGCGCAGTACTGCACCTAAGATTTCACATCAAAACTGCCATTGCTGGAACGAAAGGACCTTTTTCTGCTTCTTCATTTCCAGCCACTTTGAGGACTGGAGAAGGAACCCTCATAAGAATATTAGGAGGGCGGGCAGGGGAAGTATGGCTGTGTTTTTTGCAGTCTTCAGATGAGGACTAGACCATGTGAAAAAATGAATATAAGAGTTTAGCTGCAGTTCATTCAATTTCAGCTTTGTATTCTTGTTATAAAAAAGCGTGCCTAGACATTCCGTTGCTGTGCCCACAACCAAGGTTTAAGGTGCCATTTAGCTCCCAGCTTTCATATTTCAGTTTCTAACACTGCACGGTGCACCTGTTACCATAGTGGCTGAAGCATCTTCCCCAAACTATGGACTTGGAACGGCTGCAGGGGGTGGGAGGAACTTACATCTTTCTCATAAGGGAATCCTCCATTTTCAAGTTTGGAGAAGATCAGCTGCCCATTTATTTCTATTTCAAAAGCACCTGTAAGGGGGGGGGAGGGAGAGACAATATAGCACGAGGATAAACTTAGCTCCAGCTTTATACCAACTGCTCATCACCATTTCACTGCCCAGATATTCGGCAATAAATCAAGATGACAAAATATCACAAAGGAAAAAGCAAACCCACAGAAGCCATGTGGCTTGAAGAGCAAGAAGGTCCAAGATGGCAGGGGCAAAACTAGGCTCTTTTTCACCCAGGTCAAAGACCCAGTTTGGAAAAACAAAACAAAACCATGTGTATTTGCATACACATACAAACGCACACAGAGGTTGGGAGCTTCGATGGCACCCCTCTGGAGGCTTAACCTGGGGCAGAAACCCTGATAGCACACCCCACCCCATCCCACCCAGCTACCCCTCTGCTAGATGGCACACTAGGAAGTGAGCCCAAGCCACATGGGAAAAGAGAAGGCACATCACCTCTCTCCTGTCATTTGGGCTGCGTACACACTACGCCTTTAAGTCACATTTGAAGCACCATTCCACCCATCAAATAATTCTGGGCACTGTAGTTTGTTAAGGGTTGCTGGGAATTTTAACTCTAAACTACAGTGCCCAGAATTATTTTAAGAGTGGAAATGTGCTTCAAATGTGCTTTAAAGGTATAGTGTTTACACTGCCTTATTCTCTCTTTCTGGTTACAAAACTCCCAACTCCCAGGGGAGGCCATAGGCTAGGAAGCTTCAGACTGTGTTCCTAAGATGCCTGGGGTTCCGCAATGAGAAGATAAGCAACGGTTGACAAAGGGATCTGAATTACTGCTGGTGCCCATTGCAACGAGCTTCCTTTGTTAATGTGCAGCCACGGGGGGGGGGGGGGGGGGGAAGGTTGATTGTATTCTAAGGCACAGATCTTCAACTGGTGGGTTAAGAAACAGATCCCATCAGATCTGTATGGCTGCCTCCACAACTGGAACCCAGCGATGCTAACAGAACCAATCCATTTCTAGAGCATTATTGAGCATGCTGATGAGGCTAACATCCCACACAATCCTCATTTTAACCTAACAGGAATGCTGAATGATGTGTTCACCCTCATCACACTATGAATGGGGTCCTTACTCATTGCTGCTACTGTCAGCATGGAAAGTTCCACAGAGACCATACCTGTCCCTCCAAGCCGCGATTCAATCTCCACGTCAGGAAATTCCTCTTTTACTGCATTTTCCAGCTCTAGGTAGGCAGACTCAAAGCCACAAGGTTTGCTAGGAAGAGAAATTTGGTTAGGGCGTCAAATGGAAGCTGCAGATGGCAACGACGAATGGAGAGGAGGACTTGTGAATGGAGTGGGGGGGGGAGGGATAAAATATTTGCTATTTGTATGTGACTGCTTTTGTTTAAAGGCAGCGCTGAAGTGGAACACCTGTTCAGATGTGACTGGTATTTGAAAAAGGCAGAAACTTGCACAAAGAGCTTGATCCAGACCCCCATTCTGCAGGATCCCTGGTTGTGTGGCTTTGTAACAGAACAGTGCTGAATGAAGTACAGCAGTGGAGTCTGATCTGAAGTTTCAGGGCTTCTTCCTTCTTCCCAACAACTCCAGAAAAGTAAAATCCCAAGGCAGTGAACCCAAACCAAGAGGGCAGGCTACCTGTTGCTTGTCTTGAGGATTCTGCCACTGGCTTCTCCCTGTCACCCCACCCTCAGTCTAGACATCATTGGAAGCACCATGCACTGGGCTAAGCTTTTGTACTGGGATAAGCTTTTGTAATGGTTTACATGAGTCATCCTACTCTTGCTAGCTTAGTCCACTCTGTCTGCCCCGTCCCAGGCTCCACACATTTATCTGCCAGTGAGACTAGACCAAGTGCAGCCAGAACCCAGCCATTCTAGCTTTGTCCCCCAGCCTTCCTTCTGGCCAAGTTATGGAAAGGCAACATTGATGCTTAGGGCAATGAAGGTGACATGCAGTGCCAACCTGGGCTGTTTGTAAGCAGGAGGACAGGCAAGTAGCAGGTTAACAAAGGGCTGGCTGAGGTTGGTGGGGCTGTACTCCTGTTCTCCATAATGGACCAGCCCTCCCTGACTTAAGGCTCCCTTTGGTTTTTCCTAGAGCTGGTCTGGGAGAAAGCCTTCTCCATGGCTCTCAGAAATGCCGTAAGCAGAAGGGGCAGCCTCAAGTTTGCCAGGAAGTTCACCCTGACTAATGGTAGCCTGTTGATAGCTTGGTTAGGAGAGCATAAGACTCTTAATCTCATGGTTGCATGTTGGAACCCCATATTGGGCAAAAAAAACCCTTCATGGCTGGGGGCTGGACTAGATGACCCTCGTGGTCCCTTTCAATTCTATGATTTTTATTTTTTGGAAGGGGTGTGTGACACATAAAGGTGTAACACTCGCTTTGGAAGCTCCTCGGGGCAGGCCGTTGTCCTTCTGGCTGTGAGGAGTCCTTCAACCGTGGCTCCCCAGGAGTTGCTGGCAGGGCCGGATTTAGGTTTGATGAGGCCCTAAGCTACTGAATGGGGCCTTTATATGTCCAGCACGTAACAAAATATGTATTTTATCAAAGTAATTGTTGAATGGAAATACAATCAAAACAGTTTTTTCCCTTTAATTTTTTCGGGGCCCCCTAGGAAAGTGGAGCCCTAAGCTATAAACTTGTTTAGCTTATACGTAAATCCGGCACTGCTGGACTTCAGCTCCCGCCCCGTCCCCCCGCTGCCACCATCTAACGCTGCGAAGCGCAAAGAAAAGAGTGCAACGCGGGAGGGGCGTGGCTAAATTGAAGCTGGGCGGGGCCAAGCAGTCAACCGCGGAGTCTTTCAAAGAGGGAGGGCGTGGCCAGGAGGCGCGAGGGGCGTGGCCTGGGCGCAAAATGGGCGTGACCACGCCCTCCCGAGCCGCCTTCCTCTCACCAGTATTCCACCACGATCCGAACTCCCGCTCCGGTGGCTGCCGGGGCCTCCGCAGCTGGCTCGCCGGACCCGCTCATCGCGCCGCCGCCCAGCCAGCCAGCAGGCCCAGCCAGTCCCTCCCGAGCCGCAGCGTCGAGAACGTGAGGCGCGCTTCCGTCGGGTGCAACGTCACGTGCGTGGGGCGGGGTTGAGAGGCCGGGTGAGACGGCGCTTCCGGGTTTCCGCCTCTCGGCGGGAGGTCGGGTTGTGACGCAATCGGGCGCGCCGGCGTTCCTCGCGTCACGCGGAGGGGGGGTGTTTACCAAGGTCTTGTTCTCGCGGTCTCTTCCCCCTCCCGCGAAGAGAGCGCCGAGCGTTTTGGTGCCCCCTGGTGGGTCTTTGCGGGAAGTGAGGCTCCGCGCAGGCTGCTTTGCCTCGCCTTCCTCAGGTAGCTACCATGGGTCTGACCCTTTCTCTTTGTAGGGTCTGGGTTCCACCCCGCGTCACAGACCACTCTTCCTACCCCACCCCCAGAAAGGAGTTCAAGCAGGTGCTCCTGCACCGTGAAGGGTTGTGCAAAAGAAGAATTCAACAGGTGTAGCTTGCAAGATGAGCTGCACCTGACGAAATGCCTTCTGCCACGCCCTGTGTGGAATCTGGTCCCTGTAGGCAGGTTCCCTCCTATCCTGTGGACAGAAACATATCTGGGACTCTTCTGCTTGCCATCTGATTCCCCTCCTCACTCCAGCTCAGAGTCCTGCCATATCTCCCCAGAAGTCCCAAGTACACACATTTTCTTCTGGTGCTTATGGGGCACACACACATACACTGACATCCCCTCCTCTAGGACAGACACCTCAGACATTGGCTGGTGTTGACATACTTTAAGACCTATCAGTGTTTCTCAAACTTGGGTCCCCAGCTGTTATTGGATTGCAACTCCCATCATCTCTGACCACTGGGTCCTGCTAGCTAAGGATGATGGAAGTTACAGTCCAACAACAGTCGAAGACCCAAGTTTAAGAAACACTGATAGGTCCTACGTGGACACATTCCTATGCACCCTTACTAGTGAGTAATTCCAGTTGCACTCACTGGGCTTACTTTTGAATAGACACAGATAAGGCTGCATAATAAAACCTCATACCTTGGCATAAGCTCTGTTAAACCGTTGTCTGTGCTTAAAGCATGCAATAGTGTCACCCCATACGAGTAATGCAAAACACATGCAAGTGAACGTATGAATGAAACATGATCTTTAAATTCACAGATATACAACCATTTGAGATGTTATGTGCAGCAAGTTCCATGGTAGACCAACACTAGACATGTCAGCAGAGCGGTAAGTAAACCAGTATTAAAAATTATTACATGTAAACATAATCATGGAGACTTCATCCCCCCCCAATAAATCAGATTCTTAGATGCTACAGATCATAACACAATGGCGCTTTTAACCCAAAATCAACACAATAACATCTTATCTCTTTCCAGTAATTTCCAGTTCCCCCAGAATTCTTCAGGTTCCTCTTTCTTCTTTGTCTTTGGTGCAGATCCTCAGTCACCATTCTGTATCCCAACACAGCTTACAGCCCAAGATGATGAGTTTCCATGACATTTTTAAGCTAGGATGCAAGCCTTGGTACCAGAGCTGCATTATCCAAAGCTTTATTCATTTCCCCTTGTACTCCTGTGGCACGAGGCAGTTTTCAGAAACACACAAGTGCACCTGTAAGCCTTTAACACTATTTATTATTTATTTTCCTGAGCTTTTTCACCGTTCGCCTTCTCCCTCCAGATTGTCCGGTTTTTCCTCTTTCCCTCTAACTGTTTATTGTCAGAGGATAGCAATCCTCTTCCGCAAGTGTCAAGCCAGGGCAGAAGAAGGGATGCAGCATCTCTTGAAAGTCACCTGTGATCGTGCAGATTTCCACCATGTTCTCTGCACTATAAAACCCAACCTTGCCGTTTTCATAGTCTAGGAGCACTCCAACCTTTGAGGGGCTGTGGCTGGGAGCAAGACGCACTGGGGTTGAGCTCAAGGCGTAGAAACGGTCTCCTGGTGCTTTCCTGAGGACCCAATATCCATTTTCAGGAGCGAGGTTCTCCACTGCCTTGCGGTTGACGCGGCAGCTGGCTGCCCCAAGGACCCAGTTGGTTTTTTGCCCAATGCTCACTTCCCAGTAATGCTTACCTGACTGGAAGCCCTGTGAGCAGAGGACATAGAGGCAGGGCTGAAAACGCCGTAGGCTCTTTGGAACTTCCTGGCAGTGAGGGCTCAGCTTGACCGATTTTAAGTCTGCAGAAACAATCAGGTGAGGATGGGCGCTGCTGTCATCGAGGGTGAGGTTCTCCAGTGCACAATGTGCCACTCTCTTTAGCATCTGCCTGCAAATGGAATACTTTAGGGGTGGGCTACACAGCACATCTGGTCCACAGAACCTCATCTCCTTGCTGTGCCTGGCCATCTGCATCCGTAGCTGCTTCAGTCGTAACTCGGCCATGCGCATGTCGTGTCTGCTGGTGTTGTCAGCCACACTGAGGTTGTCCGCCAGTTTCAGAGCAGAGGATGCTGCCTCAGACACATCCATCAGCTTGTTCTCCAGGAAGCGGAGGTGTTTCTCTTCCTCTCGGTCTATTTTAGCCATAAGAGACGACTCCTTGTCGTACAGGAAGTCATGCAGCTCCTTGAATCCCATTGTCACTTTCTCTCGGAAGGAATGCAGAGCTTTCAGAGTAACTTGGATCTTCTCTGTGTAGCCACTACAGAGTTTTTCTGCTTCCTCATGCAGGCCCATGGCATTCTGAGCCACCTCTTCCGCTTCCTTTCTAATGTCGGCACCTGCTGTTGGCGATTCCATTATGGAGGCTTGGAGTTCTTTTTAGCTTCAGGAAAGCTGTTGGAAACAGTGGCGTTAATATAATCAGAAGGATTGTATTAGCTCCTTCTCTAAAGCCAGAAGACCGGCCACTTTTTCGAGGTTGATTCTGACACTTCTCTTCTGGCCTTTTATAATCAGCTGAGGAATAAATAGGTTTCCTTTTCCCAGGGTTAATGTCCACACCCAGGTGAGGGTTTAGGAGTTTCGTTTTCTTCTTCTTGCCCCTCCGTGTAGAAAAGCTTCTTTACATTCTCAAGCTACATGTTGCTCATTTCGAATGCATATTTTCCTCCACCTGTTTTTGTATTTTAAAATGACTCAGGCTTCTGAGCAGAGAAAACTGGGCAGATGAAACAATATACATAATCAGAATATAACTTCCCTCTTTTGTCCTTTTCTGCCTCAAAAATCACTCCCTTCTTTATCACACAGCCTGAAGAGGGTGGTTTGCAGCTGGAAAAGGCACAGGACGGGAAGGGTTAAACAACCTCCTGCCACCTGCCCTCCTTCATTAGCGGCATGGAGGAGAGAACACAGAACTCCACTGAACGCTTAAGAAAAGGGTTATGATGGTTTACAGGGGAAGGAGAGGGATGTAGGTGGAGCCCAGGCTGTTTGCAAACAGTTGCGGGGAAACATTTGCAAACCTTCCTGCTGCAGAATTTCTGTAGACATGCAAAAACCTGTAAGATGCAGTGCAAGATGTTTTTCTTCCATCTTAAACAAAAGATGAAACACGGATAAGCAGGAAAACGATGTTTGAAGCACCTGCTCATCATTATATGGCAAACCCAACCCTCTACAGGGAGACTTTTAGGAATTCCCTTCCCCTGGAAATTTGTGTTGCTTCCACATTACAAGCTTTCCGGCAATCTGTAATGACTGTTTTCTTTTCTTTGATCTTTGATTATTATTTTTTTGCTTTCCTGCTCTGTTGTTGTGATTTTGTAATTCATTGTTGGTTTTCTGCTCTTCTACGCTAGAGAAACGTATATCTTTGTTCACTACGCTTTTGCTTTGAAACTGCTTGGAGCCGCCTTACAAATTACATTAAAACAGGCAGAGGAATCCAAACTACGCCAGACGGGGTTTGTATGGGGGCAGAGATGTCCCTTGGTGCAGCCCTATCTGCTTCCACTGGTCTCTGCTGTTGACAGGCAAGTCCTGCCAGCAAGGAGCGTCCCAATATGCTCTCCAAAATGGCAGGTGGAAGCTGCCGCCAGCGCTGCTGCTGGTAGCTAAGGGAAACCCCAGAGATGCGGCATTTCAGGGGCAGGGCTGGCATAGATTCCACTGGACCTTCCTCCCATCATGTGATGGCACTGAGCCTGATCCAGACAATTTCACCACTGGGAGCAGATGCAGAGAAGGGACCATTCTTCCTCCTTCCCACACCACATCTTCTCCAGGCTGATGTGAGTGCTGGTCCAGGACCGTGGATGCAACAGGGACTACTCTGCCCTGTCAAGTCGCACCACTGCCAGCCGGGAGTTAGGATTGCAGCCTAGGTTCCTCTGAATTCACTAGACTTTACTTCCTTGGGGAATATGCAGCCTTTGTCCTCCTGTTTTCCCACAGGACGGATGCATATGGGCAGATCTGTTTTACCTAGTCCTGGTGCGAATGTGGGCAACCTGGGCTGACTGTTATAGGAAAATCCTTGGGCTCACTTGGATTACCAAACAAAGATACCAGCCAGGAACATAGGAGCAAAACAGCAGCCAGTAGGCCTGGTCTTTATTCAAACGACTGTTGCAACAGGACTTCCACCACATGGGAGAAGCAGGAAGAAGCCCAGAACAAAGGATGGCTTCCACTTTTATCAGTTTTGCAAAGATACCCACAACACCCCTAAAATTACATCATGCATACATCACAAATACATCACACATTGGGAGCGTCTGGCGACAGAAACCTGAGCGTCAGGGCTCCCCTCCCCCCCGCTTCCCTTGACCTCCACCATACACCCATCAAGTGATATAAAAGAGATATTTACATGTCCCTGTTTCCCAGCCAAGTTAATCACAGCCTTTTGTCTTGATCTGGGTTTGCTATTGTTTCTGGAATGGCTACCTGTCTGGCACTCAGGTATCAGGATGCCAGGGATTATCACTCAGGCAGAAGGGCTGCAGAGTACATGGGCTCACACTTTAGGGATTATGGCTGCCCCCACTCATGTCTCAAGTTCCCCCCCTCGGTAGCCATTTCCTTCCCAAACAGAACAGCATTGGAAATTGTGTGGTGTCATGCATTATGTGGTGTGTTTGTGTGTGAACAAAGGGGGGTGTACACTGTGTGCTGGAGGGGCAACTCCCCCAATCATTATAAAAATTCCTGTAACACTGACCGAAAACCCTAGCTGTGGGCAGAAGTGAGTGCAGAAAGCCTCGTAAGCTCACGGAAGCCATTTTGGATTCCCAGATCGAAGCTTTTGTTTGTCCCATGTTAAGTCTTGTATTCCCCTTCTCTCCCACCTTTTCTTTTTTTAAAAGAAGTCTCCGCTGCACCTAATTAAAAGGAATAGGTTCTACTCCTGCATCACTCAAATCTTAAATCAGTTTGACTCGGTCTAATTATGGCAAAGTCATCAATCACAGTTACCATATTGTGCCTCGAGACCAGGAGACTTGTCGCGTGTTCCTTCGGACAGGATAGTTTCCTTCCCTCTGGCTGCACCAACCCCTCCTCCTGCTGCCCCAAAGGCCGAGAGCGAAATGCAGTCAGTCTTTTCTTTTTTTGCAAGAACCATAATTAAAAAAAAGCACCTCCCCGGATAAAGCTGGCATGTTCCCCTTGTTAAAAGTTTATCCGCTGAGGCCTGGTTTGCGAGAGATTTTGTTAACCCTCCCCGTGCCAAAGCAAACGTGGCTCACTGGAGAAGAACGAATGTGCGGCTAAGTGGCCTCGGGTTGCCTGAGCAGCTGGGTCTTTCTTCAAAAGCTGATAAAAAGTCCTGGTTGGCAAGGAAGCCCTCTCTCTCTCTCTCTCCCTCTCCCCCCACTCTCCTAGCCTGTAGTCCGTGCTCGGCCTGACTTGGCCCTGCCAGCCTCAATCTCGAGGCAGACAGAAATAGCTTGGCACCATGTGGCTTTTGAGTCACTCAGCATCTCTGGACGGCATCTGCTCCTTAAGGATACCCAGGCAGATTCTGCCCCGCAGGGCGCGCAGCCGACGTCGCCTTCTTCTCCAGACGGGTCCTCCAGGCCGAGCTTGTGGCACAGGGACCGGGGAGCACGGAAACAGAAGTGGGTGTGTTTAAGGAAGCCGGAGGAAGGGGCTGCTACGGAACGAGCCGTGCCGCTGGATGGGTCCCCTGCTAGTCGTCGCTATTCCGAACATCCAGCCCTGTCATCTTAGCCGAGTGTGAAGCATATGGGAGGACCAAGCGGGGAGGTGGAATTGGGGGGCGTGGAAAGAGCCCCTTCTGCGCAGCTGCATGCCGAGTCGCTTCGGAGTAAGGTGGAGAGCAGTCATGGAGTCCCAGGGCCAGCCAATGGGGTGGCTCAGTTAAAAGAGGATGACCTGGAGGCTCTCGCTTGTGGACCGCAGTATGCAGGAGACCCGGGGCTTGCGCTGGAGGAGAGCTGTGGGGGTCGTCTTCTGCTGCACCTGCCTGCGGAAGCGTGGCTCCCCAGGCGAGGGGCTTGCCTGCCCCCGTCAGAAGAGAAGTCGCAGCTTTGCTCCCTGCTACAAGGTAATCCCTGATCTTTGGGAACTGGCGGCTGGTATCTTAAAGAGAGTGAAAAACCAGGTTCCCTTTAATCTGGAATCCAACCCAGATGATCTGAAGGGGCTGCCTGTACTTACTCTGGGGTGAAGCGAAAAGTTTTGTATCCCTCCTTTCCAGGACGGAACTTGTTCATTTTCTTAGGCAGTGGGCATTTCTTAAATAGAGGGATGTTGGGACTCAATAGGGCTCCCTAAGCTGAGCTATGTGCTGGACTGTGGCTGCTGAGAAGTGAGGGAACGGCACTCTGCACATGCACAGTGACAGTCTCTTTATTCCAGGCTTGAACTTCAACACTCAAAATGCAAAGCTAAGTGAAACTAAGACTCACAAGAGTGTTAATAATGAGTGTGCAGAAAATGACTTGCCTGGAGCACACAGATGGTTCCCTGTTCTGCTAACAGATCCTGAGAGCATGAAGCTGCACTTTTGAGGCGAACGTCAGCCGGGAATTTGCATGTTGTCATGCCTCTGATAATGTGAGTGGTTGCACATACGCAAGTTTGTCTAGAACGGAGGGGGGTCACAATTCAGCCACAATTCAGAATACAGCTTTGTATGCAGGAGGTCCAAGATTTAATCACTGGCGTCTTCCTTGAAAAATATGTTGTGTAACCGTGCTGGGAAAGACCTCTCCCTCAAGGCCTTGAGCAAGTGATGCTAGTTGGTGGTGCTGGGCTGAATGGACTAGTGGTCTGCTGCCTATAAGGCAGATTCATACTTTTGCATCTGTGTGGGGAAGTGTGCCAGTGTGGGAGCTGCTGTATGTCCATGTGGAATACAACGGAATGCTATGACGAACATTTTGTCTGTGCAGGCATTGTAGCTTGCCAGATGAAACAATCCCCTCTCCCTTTGCTGTTCTGGGGTGTTCTCCTGACACTCCCATCCCAAGCCAATTTTGGGAGGGGGGGAAGCCCCCTTTCACAAGTGGAAATCCTAGTGCAATGGATGCAGACTCATTAGGTGAATCCTGCCCCATGAATTATGTCCACCTATGTAATAGGTCATGTTGACTGATCTTGCATATTCACGTATTTTCAAATGAAAACATGCTTTCTGTTTTGAATATAGGTACCTCCCCACTTGCACGCGGTCAGCACACGTTCTTCCACTGACACGCGTGCCAAAAATGGTGCCAAAAGGCGTGCTTGTTTAGTACCAAGAAACCACAGTCAGAATCTATGCTTTGTTGCTGGCTTATGAACTTTGGCTCATTCTAAGTATGGTTTAGCATTGCGTGCAAACCCAGCTGCTTCCTTTAACCATGGTTTGTTTGGCCACCCCCTGCAAACAATGGCCAAGGTAAACAGGCATGAGGCAACAGCTGCTGCAAAACAAACTGAACTTTGAAGAAAAAAACCGAGACATGGTTTGCTTGATTGCTGGCACGACAACTTGTGGTTTATTTAACAAGCTTAGTGTTAAATAACCTTAGTGTTATGTGGGAGCCAGTTTGGTGCCTCTTCCTCCAAATTCTATGCTCAAGCTGTATGAGTTGGTGCATACATTTCCCTAGTTTTATTTCTTGAATAATTCACTATTATTCCAAGATTCACGTTTAGAGATGAGACAAGCAGCATACTTCCCCTGCTGAATTTCCACTGATGGTGTACCAGTTAAAAGTCCAAGCGATCCTGCCAGGAAAATAATGGCAACCCTAGGTTAGGGCAGTGAAGCTGGTGTGCTCAAAAATGCATGGCTCATCCCCACTGTTCCATTTGGCCCGTGACTTCTAGGGCTGGGTCTGAGAAGTTTTCCTTTTGTTCCTCTGCTTTCCCTAGGGAAGCCTCTCTGTTTACTGCTGAATTGGAGCAAACATCAGCTGGGTTTTCTGCATATTGATGTTTGATTCAGCTGTAAGCAGCAGGTTTTCCCAGGGAAAGCGGTAGGACAAAAGCAAAACCTCTGGTGCCAGTGCTGAGAAATCACAGGCCAAACAGAAGAAATTGCAGGGCAAATGGAAGTCAGAATGAGTCCTTAGTTGAGGGACTTTTGCCTGGGAGGGATACAGGTGTGTCAGTGCTTGCTGAGCCAATATGGTACCTGCACATGTTTCAAGGGAGCCAGGCTTGTCATCTTTCCCCCCACTTGTGGCAGGCAACAAAGCAACAGGTAAACTTTCCCTAGCACGTGAGATGAAAAACCTAATTTGTTTAATTTCTGCCTATATTGCAGCTTAGAATAATAGAATTGTAGAGTTGGGGGGACTGGACCATGAGTGTCTTCTAGCCCAAACCCCTGCAATGCAGGAATATTTTTGCCTAACATGGGGCTCAAACCCACAACCCTGAGATTAAGAGTCTCATGCTCTACTGACGGAGCTGTCCCAAGGGATAACACTGCCTTGGGGGGAAATGTATTGACTGTGAGGAAATGTGGGGTACAGGGGTGGGGGTGGAGATGCACCACCACAGAACCATGAGAAACAACCCTCAAGGGGATGCTGCTATAAGTAGGAAGGCTTATTTTTGCAGCATGAAAACTGGTAGAAGCCCAGGGAATTTTGGAACCTGAAATTCTCTTCCTTCAAAGTAATCATTGATCATAATGTACTGTTTTTTTATTGTTTTATTATTTTATTATTGCCAGCCATAGGGAAAAGCAGACCTGACCTTAATTACACACAGAGAGAGAGGTTATCCCAAAATGAACTAACAGTCATACCTTGGAAGTTGAACGGAATCCGTTCCGGAAGTCAGTTTGACTTCCAAAATGTTCGGAAACCAAAGTGCAGCTTCCGATTGGCTGCAGGAAGCTCCTGCAGCCAATCAGAAGCTGCAGAAGCCCCATCAGACTTTTGGCTTCCAAAAATAGTTCGCAAACCGGAATAGACACTTCCTGGTTTGCGGCATTCGAGAGCCAAAACATCCAAGTACCAAGGAGTTTGGGATCTAAGGTACGACTGTACTGTAATGCTCTCTACATAGGATTGCCTTTGAAGGCACTGCAGACACTTCCACTTATGGCAACTCCACCACCACACTGGGGACTAGGCAGTTGGCCACATCACAACAGTTTTGCACCAGTTACATTGGTTACTTATTCATTTTCAGTTTAACAGCTAGTACTAACCTTTGAAGGGAATTTTGGAGGACTGCCTGAACCTATATGAACCTGCCTGTGCCCTAAGAGGCTGTGCTCAGAGAGGCCCTACTGTCTAGCCCACCATGACCCCTTTTTAGTGGTGACCCACACGTGAGAATTCCCCACCACAGGAGGTGCGTCTGGCCTCTTCTCTTGTGATCTTAAAGAACCCCTAATTTAGTGTTATTACTCAGCCCAGCTTCATCTTCTTGGTGCCCCCATATATGATGTTTTTGTTGTGTTTATTCAATTGTGTGCGTGTGTGTGTGTGTGTTTTAAAAAACATTTTAACTGTAAGCCCTCCCGGTGATGACTTTGCCTTAAAGGGCAGGGTAGGAGTATCCTAAATAAAGACATAACAAAAACCTCATATCATTTGGCATAGCGCAGAGAATGTTTCCTTGGGCTCTGGGGTGGCAGGCTTCAGGGAAGAAAGTGAGGCTGTTTCTTGGTGGTTTGGCCAAGGCTTTGGGTTACTGCTGACTTCAAATCCCAGCAGTGAGCGCAGCCCATCACTTCAGCTCCAGGATGACACAGCATTTCAACACTCTAGCGAGGCCTTTGCAGCTGTCTTGGCCTCGGAACCATCCTCAGATTTATGTGTCAGCTGCATTGCTAGCAGACGCTGCCCCTCTACTCCCTTCCGATCTCCAAATACGTAAGATCTCATTCTTGGGCAGCCCATTTTTTTGCACCCAGTGCCACACTAGGTGCCAGATCACTTTTCCAGGCAGCCACGGATCCCAGCTGTCAATTTCTCCCCCAGCCAAGCAGCCCCCTTCCCGCTTTTAGCATTTTGGGTGTACAGCATGTTCCTGCGGCTTTTGCTTCTGCTGCTGGGAAAGAATTCCGGGAAGAGGCTCCTTGTTCCTGGAAATCTCATGTAAGCTCAGCACTTTCGGCAACCAAACAGCCAAGGGGTGCTGTAAATCAACAGCCATAAAAGGGTTTCGGAGAGGGAGAGGGAGTTGTTGAATGTGGGGCAAAGATATACTGGTGTCTTTTCCCTTCACTTGGTGCCCCTCTCATTTGGTCCTGCCTTCTCAGAGACGCAAGAAACGGGCTTTATGGAATCACTGAGCTGAGCAGAACGAGAAGGCTGCAACAGAGAGCCTGGGCAGTCGGTTTGACTCCAGAAGTCCTGAACGCCTATCTCTGAACGACACCAGTGCCGACTGCAGATGTTTCAGTGCCTGAACTGAAACTTTTGACCCCTCTCCTGAAATTGGCTTCTAGGAACTGGTGGCAGAGGGCAGCAATAGTGTATTAAAGCGCAGGTTTGAGGCATGAACTGAGACGCTGTTGGTTCAGTGGTTGAGTACATAGTTTGCATGCAGAACATCTCTTATTCAGTCTCCAGCATTCTCCAGTTACAAGGAGATTAGGGATGATCGCTGGGGAAGTCTTCTGCCAGAGATCTTGGAGAGTCACTGCCCTGCGGCGTCTGTAAGTGCTAAGCTAAATGCACCGATGATCTGACTCGTTTTAAGGCCAGACGGTCTGCATGCCAAACGTCCTCTGTGTACACATCGCAAGTTCAGCATGACCCGAGGCACAGAAGTGCCACACTGCCTTTTATCCACAGCTCTGTGAAATGTCTCTGGTGGGATGTTGGCCTGTTGTAGGGAGGGCTCCGTCCCTTTCCCTACCCGTCACCCATGTGGTAGGGAGCCATGCATGGCCCAGGGTGAATTTTTACAGCCGCCTCTGTGCAAGGTGGCTGGAGAAGAGAGCTTCCTGTGAAGAGCTCAGTGTGGGAACTTGCCACTGCCTCAGCTTTTCAACACCTTCAAGTGTGTCTTAAGAGTCTTGTGCCGAAACCTGAATCTTGCACCAGGTACCTGGGGTTCACAACTGGATTGCCACAGGCTAGGAGTAAGGATGTTGGAGAATTGCAATGCAAAAGGAAGCAGAAACCGCTGCAGTTTGTATGTTCATCCGTGGTCAGGAATGGAAATATCCCAGCGAATATTCGTTCATCAGGAATGGAAATAAGTCCAGTGAATATTCGTTCACCTCACTGTTGTTTATTAAGTCTGCATACAGTATCTTATTCACGACAGCGGGTTTTTAAATACTGATGATATTATAAAACAGAAAAGCAAAGAAAACATTAAAACAATAAAATAATACTGTTTTGATTTTTACACTGAAATGAACGTAAGCTTACACGAGTTATGTAAATAGTTACATCACCTACATCTTCTTCTTCGGCGATCACTTGTAGCCAAGTAAGATTGTCTTCCATAAACACGGTTTTAACAATGAGACCGAAAGTGACTGTGGAGGCCGATTCTGGATCCACACGTCCTTCCACAGTGGGGACATTGGTTTCCGGGAGATAGTTGATCACGGTGTGGATTTGCTAAGCGTGCCTTCCTCTTAGCACATTTCTCCCTTGCGTCCTGAGTTCGAGTTCGGAGTACCTTGCGTCTAATAGCAGACAGCAAGGCAAATAACATCGTATTTGGAGAAAGCCAAACAGTTGTGATGAAGATGGACCAGAATGGGAACTGCTGCCTTCTTGCACCCCTAGCTGTGAGCCTCCGTGGGCAGGCTTCCCCCCACAGCCGCTTCAAAATGAAGTAGTTTTAGATATTCTTTCTCAGGTCTCACCCAGTGGTTTGGTAAGTAAGCAACAAAGCTTGGGGTTTAAACCAGGTTCTGGAGCATTGCACCAGCGAACTTCCATTTTAGTTATGTCATGAAAACATACCTAAGCAGACCTTACTATAAGACAGCGTGACTGGTTTTCTGCTTTCAAAGAAAACATGACCCTGTGAATGGCTGCTTCTAGATTTTCTATTTCCTGGGGAAAGTGTTAAAAAACAACAACACACAAGTGTTTGGTTTTTTTAAAAAAAGAATCTGAATTTCTATTGAAAGTTTTCAACACATAATACAATAAAAACCAAACTAATCTAAATAAAAATAGAGAAGAAAACAGGAAAAGAAAACAGTAAGAAATAAAAGAAAAATAGGAAATTAAAATACAGAGTCCTTTATCAGGGACAGATCTTAACCCTTATCTCACATAATATGGGATGGGCCCCTCCCAACTCTCACCTGGGAGCTTCCATTTCTTTTCACAGCCTGGGAGTTCTTCCCTTCCCTGCCTCTCACGCAGGATCCTTCATCAGTCATCTTCCTGTATTAGTTAAAAGTTTTGTTGCTCTGGCAGCCTGTTCCGATAAGGTAGTTCTTCAAGAGATTACTGCTTACTCCAAAATCAGGGTGCTCTCGCTGAACCTTCTGTTTCCTTCATCAGGAGAACGTGGAATCGATTTCATCGGGACTCCCACTTCTGGAATGGATCCACAAGGGATCGCGCTTTGATATCCAGAGGCCAGGGAAAGGTAGGAGATCCCTTGCGATTATTCCTCCCAGGCCCCACGGCTCACAGATCGGCTCCCTTTCAACTGAAATGTGCTTAGGCAATACCTTTCAAACTCTGCCTGAAGCTAACAACATATACAATAAGGTTTTTACAGTCTGAAAGGGAGAATATTCATGAAGTAGTGCTTAAATGAACAGTGTTTTCATGCAGCTTTAAAAATATATATATTGATCAAAAATATATATTTTGAGAGTCGTGAGCATCCCCAGGGCACGAAGCAAAGTCAGTCCTCACTTGGCTGTTTTCCCCCTTAGGGTCCCTACACACACACACACACACACACTGATGTGCAGTGAGAATATTCTCCTGATAAATTCTCCACAAACTGTCAATTCCAATGTAAGAACCAGTTTTACAATCCACATTTAAAAAATCTAGTAAATAATAAGTCAAGGTGTGATATTGCTAATGTAAGTAATGAATAATGATTTTTTTTTTAATCCATTTACATTACTGGGTCATTCACCATTGGCAGTTCTGAAATGTGAGCTACAGAAAATTTTTTTAAAAAATAGTTTAAAAATGCTATTCATTTAATTTGATGAACATTTGAATTCGTATGTATTTCAACTATATGTAATAGTCTTTTTTCTATTTTGGTGTGACCTTATTCTTAGCAATTCTATACCCTTGGCCATACAGTGTGATTTCTTTTACAGAAAGTAGTTTTAATGCTTTGTATACTTAAAGTACCTAGGCCTATACAATTATGTGTAACTGCATGTAAGGTGGTCTTGATTTAAACAGTTGACGTTTCTATATTTTTACTTATTTCTTGTGACAATTTATCAGTTATAATTTAAATATGTTGTCTGTTGCCTTGCTTGTCTAAGCAGATCATAATTTGCATTTCTGATGTTATGTAACTTGTCATTACTGATTATTTGTGTTATATTTTCTGGAAATAATAGCATTTATTTTAAACTTTATATAGATTTTATTAGTGTAGCACTGAAAATATTCTACCATGTAGATATGCTTATTGACAAAAAGTACTCATGTAGTGGACCTGAGTTTTTTTATATTCCTTTTACTTTAAAAGCTACATTTCATACATACACAACATAATTAGAATTCAAAATTGGTGGTAAATTGGTTAGTGGCAAGCTTAGTGATTAACGTGAGTCATTCGCATTGAATTTTCAATTTCAACTTTGGGCAGAAAATAAAAGAATGCGAATTCACTGCATTGCCCCATTGAATAAAAGTACCTGTACAGTTTTTGGTTGCCATCTGAACAAGTTTATCCACGAATAAACATGTATGTTGACTAATGATATTATTTTCAATGCAGTAAATCATTTTCAATGCATAAAAATGAATATTCCTCTATTTTAAATGAAAATTCTCTAATATTCTCATTAATCGAGAATATTCTCGAGAATATTCTCCAAAAGATTATTCTGGAGAATTTAACATCACTACACCCACCCACACTTTTGATAATACAGTGGTACCCCGCAAGACGAACGCCTCGCAAGACGGAAAACCCGCTAGACGAAAGGGTTTTCCGTTTTGGAGGCGCTTCGCAAAACGAATTTCCCTATGGGCTTGCTTCGCAAGACGACAGCCCATAGGGAAATCTCAGGGACAGCGGGAAGCGCAGCGCGTCTTCCCACTGTCCTCGGACCTCCTCCGAAGCCTGGCGGCGGGGCGGGGACACCTCCTCCCGCCGCCGCCGGGCTCGGAAGGCTCCTCCGAGCCGGGCGGGGGGAGGGAACACCTGCTGCCGCCGCCCGGCTCGGAACGGTGCTCCGAGCCGGGCGGGGGGAGGGAACACTCTGCCGCCGCCGCCCGGCTTCGGAACGGTGCTCCGGGCCGGGCGGGGAGGGAAGACCTCCGCTCTGCCCGGCTTCGGAACGGTGCTCCGGCCGGGCGGTGGGGAGGAAGACCTCCCGCTCTGCCCGGCTTCGGAACGGTGCTCCGGGCCGGGCGGGGGGCGGGAACACCTGCCGCCGCCGCCCGGCTTCGGAACGGTGCCCGGCCGGGCGGGGGGAGGGAAGACCTGCCGCCGCCGCCCGGCTCGGAACGGTGCCCGGCCGGGCGGGGAGGAAGACCTCCCCGCCGCCCGGCCGGAACGGTGCTCCGAGCCGGGCGGGGGAGGGAAGACCTCCGCCGCCGCCCGGCTCGGAACGGTGCCCGGCCGGGCGGGGGGAGGGAAGACCTCCGCCGCCGCCCGGCTTCGGAACGGTGCTCCGAGCCGGGCGGGGGAGGGAAGACCTTCTGAAGGCGGGCGGGGGCGAAAGTCTTTGCTCCCCTGCCTGCCTGTCCCGGAGGGCTTTTGAAGGCGGGGAGCAAGACTCGCCCCGCCCGCCTTCAGAAGAGGTCCAGGACCTCTTCTGAAGGCTGGCGGGGGCAAAAGTCTTGTCCCCCTGCCTGCCTTCCCAGGGGCTTTAATTGCCCCGGACAGCGGAGAAGTCCTCCGCTGTCCCGGGTGATTTTAAATGCCGCCCGCCAGCATTTTAAGATCGCCCGGACAGCGGAGAAGTCCTCCGCTGTCCCGGGTTTTTAAAATGCTGGGGGTGGGAAGAAAGCCCTTGCCTTCCCCAGCCTTCAGAAGAGGTCCGGGGACAGACTGTCCCCGGACCTGGTCTGAAGGCGGTTTCCCTAGGAACGCATTAATTGATTTTCAATGCATTCCTATGGGAAACCGTGCATCGCAAGACGAAAAACTCGCAAGACGAAGAGACTTGCGGAACGAATTAATTTCGTCTTGCGAGGCACCACTGTACTGCAAGCCTCAAGGTTCCTCCCAAGTCTGCTGATAGCCTCTCTTTTGTGCATGGCTGCTTCTGTTTTGGCTCCATAAGCAGCAGTACTAATTAAACCGGAATGAGAATACAGTGGTACCTTGGTTCTCAAACTTAATCCGTTCTGGAAATCCATTCCAAAACCAAAGTGTTCTAAAACCAAGGCAAACTTTCCCATAGAAAATAATGCAAAATGGATTAATCCGTTCCAGACTTTTGAAAACAACCCTTAAAACAGCGATTTAACATGAATTTTACTATCTAACGAGACCATTGACCCATAAAATGAAAGCAATAATCAATGTACCACAGTCACGCAATCAATCAGTCAATCAGTAGCTGAACTGGGTTCCACACAGTCACAAAAACAAAACAAAAAGCTGCAAAAACACAAAATAAATAGCAAAACCAGACAAACCTCAGCGTAACACTCAAAATGGAAGTATGGCACTCAAATGAGAAGTGTAACACTCAAAACAGAGCATGTTTGACTTCCGAAAAAGTTTGCAAACCAGAACACTTACTTCCGGGCTTTGCAGTGTTTGGGTTCCAAGTTGTTTGAGTACCAAGGCATTTGAGAACTCTATAGAATGGGTCTGCTAGTGGAGAAGAAGCAGTGCCAGCAAGTTTCGCTAGAGGATGCTGGTGGACACAGTGAGGATATTTGCTTAAGAATGGCTGTATTCTGGTCCGAGGTTATAAGGTGCTGGGTAAATCCTGATGGATGTGAATTGCATTCCGGTGTTCTTCAGCACAGCTGGTTAATGAGGGCACTTAACGGTGGCGAAGCAATTGCTGCTCCAGTACTGGCAAGAAATAACATTCAAGTTGTGCAATGAACTTAGAACCTTACCAAGTTGGGACATGCGAAAAAGTGGCTTTTTGCAAACAGCAATCAGAAGGGAAATATTTAGACATCTCAGTTCCATATATGGACTTGTTTGTGTCTTTCTGTATCCCTATTCCCTCCCCTCTTTCCTCTGTCAAAATTTTTAAAAAGTGTTGTTTGTATTGTTTTTACAATTACAGTATTATTATTTTTATATAAAAAAAGAATGGGACAATTTTATGGTATAGAGTTAAGTAACAAATAACTACTGTAATGGTTCTAGGGGTTGCTCGTGCGTAAGCTGGTGCTTATCTCCCCGGCTGGGTGCAAACACCTGGCTGGGTTGCCTAAGTGAACCTTTTCTGTCCGGACAGCCACTCACCCGTGGCTGACTCAATCGCTGGCAGAATCTGTCAGTGGGCGTTTCTTAAACTTCTTCCAGCAAAGAAGCTCTTTGACGCCTAGTCTCCTCCTACTCTTCTCTGCGCGAAAGCCTTCTGCGCAAGGAGGGTGTGGGCAACGGAGGACCCCTACTCTCCCCGCTGGTCCCAGGCAAGGAGTCATGGGACCGCCTCGCCGCTTCCCCCATCTGCCCCCCTTCTCCACTGGTGCTACGCTGATTCTCTTCCCCAGAAGATGGGCTGCTTCTCCCAATCCCTGGACGTTCTCTGGAATCCCTCTGGCTTTTGCTCTCTCCCTCTGGCACTGATGGCAGTTCCCTGACATCCGCCTCCTCCTCAGGACCCCCACCCCACCCCTGGCGCGATCTTCCGATACAACATCCTCTCTCTCCTCGACTGACGATGCGGGGAATCCCCTGAAAGAACTGTCATCATCTTCTGAGGATTAAAAACCAGCCTCCCATCCGCTCGGATCTCTTCCCGCTGGTTGAACCTCCCAGTCTGATTCTTCTCCCTGGGACACCTCCCCTCCCTCCTCTTCGGAGGCAGGAAAACCCACAAAGTCCCCTTCGTCGTCTGTGGGTCCAAATTCTTCCTCCCAGAATCTAGCTAATAGTTTGGGCTTACCCGGGAACAAACCATGAAATTCTTCCACCAGATACCCGTCAGTGATTGATTCTGCAGGGACCCAAGTGTGCCTGGAAACACTCATTCGCATTGGCGGTGTCTGGTGTGTCACTTCCCCTCCCAGTAGTTCCATGCCATCGATGGTGGTCACCTGCAAGGGAAAATCTAGTGGCAACAGGTGGAGCTGGTGCTCCAGAGCGAAGTCTCTGCTGAAGAAATTACACGAGCTGCCAGAATCCAGCAGCCCCTCCACTTTGACTGGGTGCCCATTTGGGAGTTCTAGCACCACTTCTATGGCTATAGCTGCCTTGGGAGGGTCAGGCTGGGGCACTTCTATTGGTTGCTGGCCTGGCTGCTGCCCCTGCTGGTTGGCAGCCAGGCTTTGTCGTTTCCCTGCACCGGCCCTTCCTCTCCCTTCTCGTCGTGGCCTGCAGCCCCCATCATGCCTTGCCAGGCTTTTCGTTGAGGACAGACCTTTGCAAAATGTCCTGGCCACTGACAGAGGAAACACTTCTTGGTAGTTTTCCACTCCTTCTTTTTCCGGCCTTCACCAGCGTTTGAAACTTCGCGCGCGCGCACTCCATCAATTTCCATCGGCTCCACCGCCTGGGAAGGCTCCCTCGGCATCTCAGGAATGCGGTTGCCATGGAAACGTTCCGCCCTTATCTCCCGCTTCTCCTGAGCCCGCGCTTCCTGGCGTACACCGATCGCGAGCACAGTCTTTGTGAGTTCATCCATCGACCGTGGGCAGGGCGCTCTGGACAACTCATCTTTCACTTCGGGGTCCAAACCCGCTTCAAACAACATTTGTACTGGTTCAGAGTCCAGATCCCACCCGAGCTTGTGGACTAACATCACAAAACGCGACCAGTAGTTTCTGACGGACAGGCTCCCCTGCTTGCACCCCATCAGCTCCCTCTGTGTCACGCTTTGCTCAACCTCGCTGGAGAACATCACGTCCATTGCCTGGTAGAATTTCTTAAGATCTTTCAATGCATCATTCCCCGTTGCCATTAAGGGCCTGATCCATTCGCGCGCCCCATCCTGCAGATGTCCAACAATATAAGCCACCCTCTCCCCGTCATCAGCAAAGTCATTTTTCTGCAATTCCAAAGCGTATTGAATTTCCATTCGGAAAGCATTGTAGTCTTGGGGCTTTCCACCAAACTTGTTTACCAGCCCCGGGACCTTCCTCCCTATCGGGGTGGCTCTGACCTGTGCATCCTGAGCCCGCCTCTCCTCCAGCCGTGCAGACAGGGTAGCGACATGTGCCTCCAGGTCTCGGTTCCTCTCGACCAGACCTCGCACCATGGCTTCTTGCTCTGTCTCTCCAGCCGGCCCTGTTTGGCTCATCGAGCTGCCTCTCCGGGGCTGCAGACAAGCAACGTCAGGGACTGACGGATTGCTGTAATGGTTCTAGGGGTTGCTCGTGCGTAAGCCGGTGCTTATCTCCCCGGCTGGGTGCAAACACCTGGCTGGGTTGCCTAAGTGAACCTTTTCTGTCCGGACAGCCACTCACCCGTGGCTGACTCAATCGCTGGCAGAATCCGTCAGTGGGCGTTTCTTAAACTTCTTCCAGCAAAGAAGCTCTTTGACGCCTAGTCTCCTCCTACTCTCTCTGCGCGAAAGCCTTCTGCGCAAGGAGGGCGTGGGCAACGGAGGACCCCTACTCTCCCCGCTGATCCCAGGCAAGGAGTCATGGGACTGCCTCGCTGCTTCCCCCATCTGCCCCCCTTCTCCACTGGTGCTACGCTGATTCTCTTCCCCAGAAGATGGGCTGCTTCTCCCAATCCCTGGACGTTCTCTGGAATCCCTCTGGCTTTTGCTCTCTCCCTCCGGCACTGATGGCAGTTCCCTGACAACTACTATCACAGCTTTTATTGAATTGTGAAAGCTATAGAATGTTGGATTCCGACTAAATCGGACACAGTATGAGAAAACGATGTTTGAAACCGATCGGATTAGTATGCTTAAAGCAGCAATCCACTGCAGTAAACTTTCACAGATTCCCCGGGGTCCTGTTTTTGCACAGCATTTAGGCAGGAGGAGAGATTGCAGCAGGCAGGCGTTTTGGAAGACTTCGATTGACGTGTTAAATATGATGGCTAAGGTCAATAAGTCTGAACTGTGAGTTCAGTGTGCTCCAGGGGAGACATTGGAGTTGTATTTGTCAGATTCACAAACTCTATGGCAAACTTCTGTTGGGTTTGTTATATTCTGCTATTCAAAGAATAAAACAGGGGTGAGGGAAATCCTTTGTACACACAAACAGGGCTCCCATACACCCGGAATTTCCCAGCTGGACACAGCCGGAACACAGCAGTCGGAAACAGTGTCTAGGAAAATCCGGACGGATGGATGGCAACCCATGCCAGAAGTCTAGATTTTGCTTAATTTCCTAAAGAATAGTTCAGAAACTGCAAAAGAAAATGGCAACCCTAACACAAAGCTACATTTTGTTTCTATTGGCTGTAACCGATCAATCTGAAATGAAGTGTGTGTGCTGGCCTATCTTGAAAACTGCCTCTCCCCCCACCTTTTCTTTTTTGCACAGATTTCCACGTCAGCACTGGAGCTGGAAATTCTGCCTTTTACTTGGCACAGAATATTTCTGCAAAGTAAAAGGCATTGTTTCCAGCCAGCCCCACTCCTGTGCTGGAGTGCAGGGGGCTGGCATTGCTGATTGTGTACGTGTTTGGGTGTGGGAATGTACATAGGAGCGTGTGCAAGAGCGGGAGGTAGTGATGTCTTTCTGTAAGAATGTGTGTGGTCCGTAAGTCTAGGGTGTGGGTGCATGCGAGCATCAAACATCCCAGGACCCAGTGCATGGGTAAATGGCTGGAAAAGGGGAGGCTCATAGATGTCTTACTGTCCTTCAGCATACCTGACCCATCCAATCACCTCACCTCTGTGCTGCTGCTACTTTCTGTCTCTCTCTCTCCCCCCCCCCCTTCCTGACCACTAATGACATCATCCAGGCGTATAATGATTTACAAACAAAGCAGAACCCTTGTTCCGGTGACTAATGACTTAAGAAACAGAGAGGAATTAAAAATTCAGTTATGCAAAGTAATATAAAACAAATAGATATTAAATAACGTTAAAAGCAAAACAGAATATACTCTCATAAAACAGTCTCATAAATCTCGACATTAAAGTGCAAAGTTCCAGCTGATTCTAATAAAATACAGATTATTCAATCATCAGCTGTTTTAAAAAAATGTTACTGAGTAGATTAAAGGAATAATAGATTAATAAATGCTAAGACCAGAGGACAATTTCATAAGGGTAACTGGGAAATTTCCATCCATAATAAAGTGTGGAATACTCAGAATCAATCAGGCAGCTTTGGGAATTACCAGTTACAACTTGATCCATGGTTTTAGAGATTCTAACACCCTCCGGTCTAGCACCTGGAAGACTGCTATATCCTGAAACCAATCAATGAAGTTCAGGTAGGGTGGTGCCTTTGTGTAAAAACCCAAAGTGGTTCTGGAGTTTTGCTCACGTGGGGGATGGGGGCCCACCACTTGCAAACAGACTCCAGGGTTTTCCTTCCAGCCTATGAAACTGATGCAGATGTCATTACCCTTGTACTAAGTGTTTTGTGTGGTCTTTTTCAGCAAATATTAAATGGTCACATAATTGTCCAACTATCTAGGATCTGAATGCACACATGAAGGGAGAATGCATGGTTGTCCTGCTTCTAACCTCCGTGTAGATTGTTGTGTGAAATTTGATGATGTGTCATACGGGTCGAGGGATCCAGCTGTTTTCGTCATGTCCAACTACATTGGAATGGAGGGTAACTAGGAGGAGGAATTGAGGTGCAGTCACCCTCCCCCTCCACATTTGCAGTCTGCAGCAGGGCTAGGGAACCTTTGCCTGCTGGCCTCATTCAGCCTGCCAGTCCTCTCAGTTCAGTCCACCAGACTGTCTCCAAGACATAGCCAACATTGTCTCTGCTCCGGCTATTAGGTTGGTGTAGCAAAGCTCACTAGTGCTGCTTTGCCGGACGGTTTAGCTTCTGTACTGGTCACTGAGGAAGTTAGGCCCCTTCTTCCACAGCCAATATGGAAACCGACTGGGCTGGTGAAACAGAGCCAGCGCGCACTGCTTTGTCAGCCCTATCAGGTATTATTTTCAGCTTCCCAGTGAAAAAGGGATCCTTGCCATATAGCAAAGCATGGAAGTAAATTGATCTGTGTGAGTATAAGAGAAGTGTGTGTGTGTGTGTGTGTGTGAATAGGGTGTGCATCTGTGTTTCTGTTATGTGTGCTTGGGAGAGAATGGTATGTGCATGCATTTTCCATGCACACTACTGGTAGGTGGCCCCTGAACATAGGAATTGTAGAGTTGGAAGGGATCCCAAGGATCATCTAGTCCAACCCCCTGCAATGGAGGAATCTCAGCTAAAGCATCCATGACAGAGGGCCATCCAACCTCTGCTTAAATACCTCCAACAAAGGAGAGTTCACCACCTCCCAAAGGAGACTCTCGAAAAGCTCTTATTGTCAGAATTGCACCCCCCCAAATTTAGTCGGAATCTCCTTTCTTATAACTTGAAGCCATTGCTTTGAGTCCTGCCCTCCAGAGCAGGAGAAAATAAGCTTGTTCCCTCTTCCATGTGACAGCTCTTGAGATATTTGAAGATGGCTCTCATAGCTCCTCTCAGTCTCCTCTTTTCTGGGCTAAGCATACCCAGCTCTTTCTACCATTCCTCATAAGGCTTGTTCTCCAGATCACATTTACAGTATGTGTTAGGAAATAACATATGAAAAGGGCAGCAGACAGTGCTGGAGGTTTTTGCTTCTATCTAGGTACATCCAGGCAACCTCCCACCTGTAGGAAGAGCTCTGCCACTTGTTATTTCTGCATATTTAGATTTGGACACCACTCGATGGAGTCGATGGCATCAACGGATTGCCAAAGTTCTTACGAGGTTCAGCCTTTCCTGTTCTCCCATACCAGTGATAAACCTTTTCTCACTGTATCTGGTACACCCTGCCACTGAAATCTGCCACATGACTGTGCTTCTGTTTTCATGGAACATTCATTTCTCATCTACTGCAATCTGAGCTAGAAGAAATTGTAAAACGAGGCCAATCATTTTTCACTTCATAGATTTCCAGATAATCGTCACGCGGCTCATTTAGTCACTTTCCATTCTCACTCCCAATTTTCTCACCAGAGCAAAGTTCCTTCTGATATAATTTCCTGAACTAACCTTAGGATTATTTCCTGTGCAGCTGTATTCTTCTCCCCTGCCTGCTTCCTAACATTTTCTCTTTTGGCAAGGCATCCTTAGATGCGTTCTCCTCTTCTCCAGGTGCTTTCCAGATTGTTTGTTCCCCTGGGCCCTGACTCTTTCCAGAAAGACCTTAGGGCTGTGTTGTGCTATCCACATTCTGGCACGAATGTTCCCATCTCACTTCTGGACCAGCTCTGTTTACATGCAGCCGTGCTAGTTTCTCCACAGAGTTGCCAGAGGCCTTGGCTGGATGGTCCCTGGCAGATACATTTAAAGATCTTTAAAAACTGGCTTTTGATGGCATCCCCTAATAAATGTATTCAATTGTTGCTGTTCATTTGTTAATTGTACAGTCATATCTCTTGTTACGTTCAGTTCAGGGTACATTCTTTCAGGATACATCCCGCGGCGACCCGGAAGTAATGAAACGGGTTACTTCCGGGTTTCGCCACTTGTGCATGTGCGCAGACGCTCAAAACGACATCACACGCATGCGCAGAAGCGGTGAATCGCGACCTGCAGACGTGGGTTGCGTTCTGCTTATGTTGCGAACGGGGCTTCGGAACGGATCCCGTTCGCAACCAGAGGTACCACTGTAGTTCCGTAACTGTTTTCATGTAACAATAAAGGTTTGATAATAATTATTAATAAGTTAAACAATGTATTGCTGGGAGCACAATCCAGCAGTTTTATATTCCAGGGAGGTTCAGCAGACACCTTTCATTATACACTTTTAGCCACGAGATAAAAACTTTCCTCTTCAACCCGGCCTTTGGCTGATTGACATCTGATGTCCTTTCAAATACATTGAGGGAGAGGGGTTTATTGGTTTGTTTTTGTTCTCGTTATTATGCATTTTGCAGTTTTCATATTGTAATTTTATGTCGTGAACCGCCCTGAGATCTATGGATGAAGAGCAGTATTCAAACTTAATAAATAAAATAATAATAATAATAATTTCCCCATGTCATTGGTGCCAGCATGCACTATGACCACTGACGACTCCTTAGCACTATCTACCAGGCTATGTAGGTGATGTGCATCAACCGCAATCTTCACGCCAGGCAGGCAGTGTACCCTGCTGTCTGTATGCCCATCAAAAACCCTACGATCTACCAAAGGTAAAGGTAAAGGTAAAGGGACCCCTGACCATTAGGTCCAGTCGTGGCCGACTCTGGGGTTGCGGCGCTCATCTCGCTTTATTGGCCGAGGGAGCCGGCGTACAGCTTCCGGGTCATGTGGCCAGCATGACTAAGCCGCTTCTGGCGAACCAGAGCAGCACACGGAAACGCTGTTTACCTTCCCGCCAGAGCAGTACCTATTTATCTACTTGCACTTTGACATGCTTTCGAACTGCTAGGTTGGCAGGAGCTCACCCCGTTGCAGGGATTCGAACCGCCGACCTGCTGATTGGCAAGTCCTAGGCTCTGTGGTTTAACCCACAGCACCACCCGCGTCCCATACGATCTACCTTATTACTGTTCATATCAGCCACAGCCAGAATCCTTCCATCCTACCCCACCCCACAGAAGTATCCTCCTCATGAGACCATAGCTTTTCAGCTCCCAAGGAATGTTTCCCTCAGGAGGGAATGTTTCCCTCTTCCTCAGACCAATGTTCTCTTTCCGCGAGACCCTCCTTGACAGCAGGGGAGCTGTCATCGTGGAAGTGTGACACAGCTGCAACATCCCTGAGGCTCATTGGACCTCAGTCCACAACGTCCGTTGAACAAGGGAATAATCATACGTGGAAAGACACTGTAAGGAGCCGGAGTCAAGCATAGATCAGCATTTTAAAAAACAACCCCAAAAAAGGTGTCAGTGAAGTTAACTCTTTATTCAAAGAAACCAAAATAGCACAGGCCTAGTGATCCCAGCAGCTCTTCCCAATAGGTCTTGCTCCAATGAAGCATTTGCGAGGACTGACGGTTCCTACCACACTCTAAGGCTCCTCCTCCCCAGGGTCTTTCTCAAGCAAGTCGCAAACGGCATCTGTACACAACCAATCTCTGCTCTTTTTGTTTCTTTGCATGTTCTAGGAGACCAGAGGGGAGGGGAGCTGGTTGCAGCAAGAGGGGGAGACTCCCTGGATTCCTCAGCAGCCTGTGTCAGCTCTGCCTCTTGCCCAGCTTCCATTCCAGCCTCCGCTTCAGCTTCGGAGCCTGAACTGCTCTCTGCCACAGCCTCTTCCTGCTCACTATACCCTGTTGCCCTTCTAGCTTTTGACACCTCCCCCCAAGTCTTCTCCTTCTGACCACTCGTTGTCATCCCACCGCCAATCCCCTGGCTCTGAGCCTTCTTCCCCTGGGGGTTTCATTGGGGGTTCCCCAACTGGTGCCTCCCACCACTCCTCTGCATCCGGCCAGCCCACGACAACACCTACTCGCATTCTACTTGCATAATTGTTTTTGTAGTCCAAGTTGTTTGAGAGCTTAGGGTTTCTTTAGGTCACGGAAAGGAGGGGCAGGGTGGTGTGCCCTGGTTTCCTCCCCCTACTGCGGAACTCACACCTTCTCAGCCCTGCTTAGTATATTATTGTTTTTTTAGTCCTGTGCTGCTGTATGTAGCATGAAGTGGTAGACCTGAGGTGGTTGCCGTCAGGGGATTTGTCCCTGTGGAAGGTTATATACATCAAGGCACCGATCAACAGCCGGCAGGCCAGCTCGAAATGCGATCTTTCCTTCTCCAGCCTCTGCTCCCTGCCCCCATTCCATCTCTACTCTCCCGAAGCTGTCAAGTCTGGTTTTATCAGGCTTACGAGCAACACCAGATGCCCTTCCCCTGCTAGCTGGCAGGGTTTGAGGTGGCGTGGAATATTGTCATGGCCTGATTTTAATTTATTTATTTTTTAAGAACAAGACGAAGGCAAGAGTATTAGAGGGAAGGGAGAGGGAAAAGTTTGGCAAAGTTAAACATCAAACTCTGCATGCTGTGACCGGGGGGGGGGGTGAATTGGAGGCTTGGTGCACCTGCCGTCGCACGGTCGATCCCGGTCTGGGTTTTATGTATGTGTGTGTGTGTGTTTTGACTGGCTGTGATGTCAAGAGGAGGAGGCGTGGCCGTTCCGGAGGCAGGTAGATAAAGGATTCACTAAACAGGATCCCCCAGTTCTGAGAGTCGAGGCTGCAGCGGAAACTCAAATCACCAGGGCCAGGTAAGCAGGCTCTCTTTCCTTTCTGCCTCTTTCCGCAGGCTCCACTTCCTCTTCCCGCTGGGAGTCAGAAAGGGTCACACTGAGGATAACAACTTTGGAAGGGGGAGACGAAACTATTTGAGGCATCAATAGCTTGATCCTGAGTAGATGTACTCAGACCTAAGTCCCCTGCCTTAAGTGGCGCTTCCTCCCGGTATGTGTGGGTTGTATTGTGAGATCTCCACAACGTCCCGGTCTCTTTCTTTGTTCCTGCCTGTTTTGGTTTTGACGTCTTTCTTAATTATTATCTACGGTCTACCATACTAATTTTGAAGCTGGTCGCTCCACTCCCACCCCCAGTGTTTATGGCAACTTCTGCGTTTTTGTCTCAATATAGCAAGAGATTGCCTGTTCTGAGTTTGAAATATATGTATATTTATTACTGTGTTTCTGGCTCTTTTGACTTTTTTTTTTTAAATTCTCCTTTCACTTGTATCTGTCTGTTCGTTAGAGTTCAGTCCTCTTCCTGTTTCCTACTTTACCTTGAAGCAGAAATGAAAAGAGGACCTGAACAAAAGGAAATGATTGGGAAATCACAGTATAATCGGTTTCAATGTTTGTTTTCTGGGGGGGGGGTGTAAAAATGGGGGGGGGGACAATTCTTAGAGCAGAAGCTGGGGCAAATTTTGAGCGAGATTGCAAACTCTACAACAGGCATAACTCCCAAACTTCAGCAACTAGTTTCACTGGAGAGTCACTTTAATGTTTTTATATAGACAAATCTGTGGAGGAGATGTTTATTTGTAGCTATTGTGTATGATACCCAACCAAATGTCCAGAAACAGTGTACCTCAAGTTCAGCAACAGTTTTCTTCTGGTTACCAGTTGCTGGGGTTGAGGGTAGAATGAGTAAACAACAGGAGATGGTTATTGCCTTCATGCCCTCCATGTAGATTTCCTGGAGGTATTTGGGTAGACACCAAAAAGGATGCTGGACTTGGGACTCAGCTACATTAGTAAAAAAACACACCAGTGCTTTGAATGCATTATAAACATGCAACACCAGATGGCGCTGGAGAGCAAACAAAATTCTTTGCGATTTTACATAGTGGTTTTTTTCTTTAGTTATAACGATTTAATTTCTGACATATTTATAGCGTGGTTCCCCCCCCCCCCCATGTGTAGATCCACCCTGGGTGGATACTTGGTCTGATGAAGAAGAGCTTGTCTTTCATAAGGGGATATTGGGTAGAGGGGCCCGGGAGCAAGATCACCCTCAAAAGGGGGCCACCACTACCTGCTCCCATGGTTGCAGATGCTGCCCCCTAAACAGATGTGCACTTGCTTCTAAATTGCCAGCTGGGAGCAGGATAGTAGCCTTCATGAGGCTAGATTTGGCCACCTTGCTTAGTTTAAATATCCCCCCCCCCCGCGTGTGTATGTGTGACTAGTCCAGGGATGGTGGACGTCAGATCCAGGAGCCAGGTGTAACCCCTCCAGGCCTTTTTGTCCAGCCCCCCATAACGCTCCTTAGGCCACACAGCCATCCCAGGCCATACAGGCCTTGCTGTCAACCCTCTTGAAGTGCTTTTGTCTGGTTGACATGTCTTTAAGCTGCAAGGATGCCTCTTCATTGACTGTTTAGGGGATGGAGAGGTGTTTGCAGGTGGGTGTGAATGAACCTCTGGCTTTCGCATGGCTGTAGTACAACCTGCTCTGCAAAGAGAAAAGACACATCCGTTTCTTGCTTTACCAGCTTTTGTCTCTGACTCTGCCCACCACTAGTATGTGGCCCCCAGGAAGGTTCCCTATTAGACTACATGGCCCCTCGTCTAAAAACGGTTTCCCACGCCTTGGCTAGCTAGATGGAGCGCACAGAATAAATAAGGTTCCTGATTTGGCTGCACATAAGCAGTGCCGGATTTACATATAAGCTAAACAAGCTATAGCTTAGGGCCCCACTCTCTTGCCCCCCCCCCCAATATACTTCTTCTTAATTGTATTTCCCTACAGTGGTACTTCGGTTTAAGTACTTAATTCGTTCTGGAGGTCCGTTCTTAACCTGAAACAGTTCTTAACCTGAAGCACCACTTTAGCTAATGGGGGCCTCCCGCTGCTGCCGCGCTGCCGGAGCACAATTTCTGTTCTCATCCTGAAGCAAAGTTCTTAACCCGAGGTACTATTCCTGGGTTAGTGGAGTCTGTAACCTGAAGCGTATGTAACCTGGGGTACCACTGTATTAATAGACTTCTTAATTGTATTTCAGTTCAACAATTACTTTGATAAAATACATATTTTGTTATGTGCAAATGGCTTTAGATACCTATTAGGTCCATAAATTACCATATAGCATATATTCAACGCAAAAAAGCAACAATTTGTTGTTGACAAAGGACAGCTGGACATATAAAGGGCCCCATTACCTTCAGTAACTTAGGGCCTCATCAAACCTAAATCCAGCCCTGCACAGGTGAATTAGCCACCCTTTGCCACTCTGTCATAGGCACTGGTAGATTCAAGGGTGGCAGGAACAACTTTTTTAAAAAATTCCTTTTTTTTTACTACAACGCCAATTGAAGCCAGGTGCAAAATGGTGGCAGAGAGCCAATTGCGTGCAGCACCCCAAGAGCCATAAAGTGGAATGATCTGCATATGCAGATACCCCAAATCATCATCATCATCATCATCTACATCTGAGTTACTGCAGGTCAAGAATTCTACCGACTTCATTTGGTGGGGTTGGTGGGAAGACTAAATAGAAGGCTTTTTGTTGCTGTTAAATAATTGGGAGCCTGAAGCCCTTGCTGATCTCCGTCTGCCAACACTTGCTGCATTGAGTAGACACTCAACAATCAGGATGGTGGATAAAGAGCCGATAACAAGGTAGCCTTTTCTTCATGCAGGAAGGCAGAGGAGATGTCAAACAAATGACAGCTTATAAGGGAATGAAGGTTTTCAATCCATATTCATGATTGGGAGCATGTAAGGAGTGGGGGGTAGTAGTAGATCTGCATTACCCAATCTGGAGCAAGAGGCATGTGTGATCTTGCATGTATTGCCACTTGAGAACCTACATGATGGAATTCAGAAATGGTGCATGAAAGTTGGGTGGGGGTGGGGTGGGGAGCGGACTACCAGAGTTGAGATTCTTTTGTTTATCACCCTGGGTGGCGGGGCATGTGACAGGCCGACATGGATTTATATATAGGGTGTGATACAATTTCAAGTTCAGTTCCAAGATTCTCTGTTGGCCTGATTTTGCCCGCAGATTGCAGCCTGTGGTTTGGCTGTCCTGCTTCTTAGGGCCCAAGCAAGTGTAACACATAAACATAACTAACCAAATCCCACCTGCTTCCTCCCACCCCATTCCTTTCCAGAGAAGATCCATCAGCAGAGGTGGAGGTGATTTGAGAGCAAAAGAGCTGCTTCTTCATTCCAGATCCCCTCACCACCGCACACTCCCCACGCTTTCCTTCCTAACTGGGGATCCAAACACATGTAGGGTTGCCCAATCTGAGGATTTGCCCGGCATTGTAGGGTTCTAGCTCCCCTCCCAGGGGTGGAGTTAAATTTCAAAGCGTGAAGCCAAAAATCAGGATTAATATTCGTTATTTTTTACAAGGCCCTCTAACGAAAGTTCCTTGGGTGGCTTCCAACGTAAACATAATAATCTCATTACCGTTAAAGAAAACGAAACCCCAACAGCAACAACATCTAAATAACCAATTAAAGTGGAAAGGGAGATAAAGGTGCAGGACCAGATCAATTGAAAGAGAGAGCAGGGGTGTGTGTGTGTGTGTGTGTGTGTGTGTGTATACACACACACACATGGAATAAAAAAACATGAAATGTTATGTTGTTGTTTAGTTGTTTAGTCGTGTCCTACTCTTCGTGACCCCATGGACCAGAGCCCGCCAGGCACTCCTGTCTTCCACTGCCTCCCGCAGTTTGGTCAGACTCATGTTCGTAGCTTCGAGAACACTGTCCAACCATCTTGTCCTCTGTCGTTCCCTTCTCCTTGTGTCCTCCATCTTTCCCAACATCAGGGTCTTTTCCAGAGAGTCTTCTCTTCTCATGAGGTGGCCAAAGTATTCTCTTCTCATGATGTGGCCAAATGTTATAGCATGCTTTAAAAGGCCTGGAAAGCCTGGCAACAGAAATACATTAAAGTAGGTGCCAGGCAGGCCTTTTGGGGGATGGTATTTCAGAGCTGAGAGGCCGCTACAGAAAAGTCCCTTTCCCCAGTAGACATCCACCCTACCTCATGGGAAGAGAGGGGATTTGGAGAACAGTGGGGGGGGGGAGCTGTCTTCCATTGAGCCCGTTTCCATTTTAAAGTTTAAACCTCGCGCCCTCTTTCAAATATATTCACCCAGATCCCTTTCTGCTCAGGAGGGGGAGTGACTGAAAGGAAGGAAGGCATCATTAAAAGCGGGCATAATATATATATTTTAAGACCCTTTGGAAAGGAGCTGATAATCTTGCACTGAAGAAACACTTACTTACTCAAACGAATCACCAAGTGCTTCTTGGCTCCCTGCTCGACTCCAGAAGGAGCAACCCTAAAACTCCACACACCGCATCTCAGATGCTGAGCATCAGAAGACCTGGCAGCCTGGCACATTAGAAGCATGCATTTTTAGCCCTGTTGTTGGGGGAGGGAAGGGGTCAAGGCGGCATGATTTGGAGAAGAGCAACAGCAAGTGTGGCAAGTTGTTCGCTCTCTCCCAATCTACCCGTTCTTTGTTCCCCCTCTCATAGCAGCTCGTCTCTTTCTCTCTCTGACAAACCCCACCTTTGGAAAAGGCTTTTTCCACGTTCTTACAAACATTTCTGTGTAATGCTTCAGGCCTTAGAGTGGAACTGCATGTTCCTTTGGCGAGTGTGTGTCCCCAAAGCAGTTTAGGAGGCATTTGTGCAAGAGGACCAGCTGGCAGAATGGGTCTGTTTGACCCTCTCCAAATGCCCCTTTGCACAAAGAGCACAGAGGTCGGCGAGGCTGGAAGCGGGGCATGTTTACTGAAGCAACGCCTCTCCTGGCTGCAAATCCTTCCCTTGCAAATGCTCCCCGTTCTCCCACAGTAGCTCTGTGGGGCAAAACATGGGCCGACTGCGCTCCTTAAACGGTGCAAATTCTGCCTTAGTCTTAGATGCGCGAGGACCGGTTTTCCTTCGGTGACGAAGGAATCGCCCAGACGCAGAGGCATTCTTGCCTACATTTTGACCGAACGTGGTTGCCAGGATCCAGCCTGTGGGCTGCCAGTTGGCCGCTGGCCAGTTTTAGAAGGACACGGTGATGATTGGGAGAGGTACAGAGTGTTCAGTTAATAAAAGAAAACCCAGGTGGAACCCAGCTCCCGCCGTCAAGTTTAATTAGTTAAGACAGAGCACGTAGCAGATTGATCTGAAGTCACTGAGGACTGCCTGACAAAGGAGGCCGTTCTTTCCGAAGTGGTTCCCGAGTGGTTGGCCTCTGCCGTGGCCTTGTAAGCTGTCTGTCATGGTGGGGTTGGGTTAAACTTTAAACATATTAACTGGAGCATGGACTTGGAAGGATATCTGGATTCTTTAGCAGAGGTATATTAAAAAGAGAGAGAGAGAGAGCAAAAATTGCAAGCTTGTAAAAATGCCATTAGGATAGGTTCTGGTGCGGGTTTGTAAAATCATTGTGGAACTGATTTTTAAAAAAATTGATTTAAAGATTATGGCTTTTGATACACAAGGTTCCAGTGTTAATTCCTGTCACCTCTGCCTGAGTTGGCCTAGAGGGAGCAATCCAGAAGTAGGGAGCTGTGCAGTTATGGGGAAACCAGCAAGGACACCTCTCTGTGCGTCCTTGCCATTTGAGCCAGGCATTCGGATGTCCCAGCCAGCAGCGTGTGGACACAGTTGCTCTTAAAGGTTGTGTTGCCCAGCTCTTAGGTGTGTGGATCCTGAGCCATGAAAGGTCTCATAGGTCAAAGCCACTTTTTGTTCCTTCTGCCCTGCCAAAGGCCCTTTCGGCCTTGGCATTTCAAACCTGTCCTCTCGAAATCCGGTGGGCTGGTTTTAAAACTGCCGATAAGGCATTCTATTGCTTCTTTATAATGCTGTGTTTATTGTAGTAATGACCTTAAGATGAATAATACAGTGGTAGTGATGGTTGTTTCCCTCCCATTGAACTCATTTGGGTTTTTTTTAGATATGCCATTAAGAAAAAACAATAGGGAATTGATCATAGCCTTGTTAGACCAGCAGTTGTTTCATTTAATCCTGGAGCAGTTTAAAGCCTACCTCAGCCAGGAAGCTCTTTTGGCTAAACTCGAGCCGATAACTGTCTCTCGGCCCAGCTTATTTTACAGTTCATGGCTACATAAGGACGTGGGTGGCACTGTGGTCTAAACCACTCAGCCTCTTGGGCTTGCGGATCGGAAGGTTGGCGGTTCGAATCCCTGTGACGGGGTGAGCTCCCGTTGCTCTGTCCCAGCTCCTGCCAACCTAGCAGTTCAAAAGCACATCAGTGCAAGTAGGTACGCTGCTGTGGGAAGGTAAATGGCGTTTCCGTATGCTCTGGCTTCCGTCATGGTGTTCCATTGTACCAGAAGTGGTTTAGTGATGCTGGCGCTGGCCACATGACCCGGAAAGTTGTTTGTGGACAAACGCTGGCTCCCTTGGTCTGAAGAGCGAGTTGAGCGCCACAACCCCGTAGTTGCCTTTGACTGGACTTAACCGTCCAGGGGTCCTTTACCTTTAGAGGTCAATGGGGCTCCCAGGTAAGCAGGGTAGGGTTGTAGCTTTAGAATGTTGTTGTGAATTTATAATGGCTGTACATCGCCCAGAGTTCCTTGGAGGAAGTGTGCAATATATGTGTTTATAAATAAAAATAAACTGTTACATGTTGCTGTGCTTAGAGAGGGCAGAGAAGGAAGGAGACATTTCCAGCAACCCTGCAACCACAATTGTTGTCAAGCTTAGGAAACAACATTAACTCAAATACATACAGTATTGCTGAATATTTATTTTCTATTGAATGCTTTAATGCCTTTGGATGCCACTCCCGGTACCAAAAATCTTAGTATCATGGTTTTGTTGCGATTCACCCACGCTTAGATTAAACTTCTGTCCACACAGGAGTCCTTAAAAACATATTGCCCTGGAGATTGTGTTGTGATTGCACCGTTTATCTTTTCGAAAAGGTGTCATCAGCTCCAGCCACCGCATAGGAGCACTCCAAAGGACGTCCCCTTTCTTCCTGTCCTGAGCTCTTAGTAAAGCCCTGGAATCTTTACATGAGACAAAGTCCCCACCCCACACAGGGCAGGTGGGGGGGGGGTGGAGAGGCTGCTGACCTGAGATGCGTAGTGTGCTGGAAAGGAAAACATGCCAGATGGACACATACGCAGAGGAAAGATCACAAATAATAAATGAATGATTAAGCTTCACAATCAATGGTCAACTTCATTTTCCAAACCAGACATTTTGAAGAGCTGCTTTCTGCAGGTCTCTCGGTGCACACTGCGCTGAATACGTGCCTATGGGCAGGGCTTTCTTTCAGCTGGAACTCACTGGAACTCAGTTCCGGCACCTCGCAGGTGGGCACCATTGCCATCCTAAGAGAACAAGGGAGGCATTCATGGCAAGCCCCGGCACTTCTTTTTCTATAAAAATAGCAGTGTGAATAGGTATAGACTGCTTTCATCCAACAAAGATTAGTGGCCAGCATTGCTTTTTAAAGTAGCCTGCATGTACACACATACCTGCAGTAGTAATTCGCGGCTTAAAAGAAAGGGGGGGGGAGTGAACTTGTGTTGGGTTTCCATATCTCAAAAAGTGAAAGAAAAACCAGGAGACCCCGAAAATTGTTGAACTTATATTCTTTACATAAATGACTCGCCTAAGATCCAGGACGAAGAATTGATGCTTTTGAATTATGGTGCTGGAGGAGACTCTTGAAAGTCCCATGGACTGCAAGAAGATCAAACCTATCCATTCTGAAGGAAATCAGCCCTGAGTGCTCACTAGAAGGACAGATCCTGAAGCTAAGGCTCCAATACTTTGGCCACCTCATGAGAAGAGAGGACTCCCTGGAAAAGACCCTGATGTTGGGAAAGATGGAGGGCACGACAGAGGACGAGATGGTTGGACAGTGTTCTCGAAGCCACAAACATGAGTTTGACCAAACTGCGGGAGGCAGTGGAAGACAGGAGTGCCTGGCGTGCTCTGGTCCATGGGGTCACGAAGAGTCGGACACGACTAAACAACTAAACAACAACAAAGATCCAGGACGAAGCGCCACCATTTGGAACACCCCAGGACGTCAATTCTGCCTTCGAAATCCCAGTAATGTCTGGGAAAATCTGGACGCATAGCAGCCCTAACTTGTATAAAGTCCCCCTGCATGGTTTCCCACAGGCAGTTCTTGCCTCGCTATAGGCATTTGCTAGTCTCTATTTTGAATGTCCACTCCAATCAGAAAGTGGAGCAAGAGTTAGGAAGGCCTGGAAAGGCAATGCAGCCTGGATGCCTGCATAATCCAGATGTTTAGCCAGGAAGGCCTTTTTGCCACATTCCATCACCAGGGATGTTGACTCTGGCAAGGTTTCTGTGTGGGCGGCAGCTTCCTGCCTTCCCACTGTGATAAGCCTATGGTATGGAGACAATGCAGCCTATCCTTGGAAGCAAATACTAATGGCACTCCAAAATAAGCTTGTCTTGAACTGCACCCTTAGTCTTGCTTGCAAATGAAAGCTTATCTTGCAGTAGATTGTTTTTAAAGCTGCCAGAGGTCTGGTATACCTGAACTGCAAACCTATATTGGTTTTATGCCAGTTTAAAGGAGCCTGGGAACTTCAGTTTGGTGAGGTTGCGGAATATTCTCTGTTAGAAAACTCTTAAGTCGCCACCCCCCACCCCAGATCTCTGGTTCCCTAGGGAAAGGGCAGTTCTGTTGAATCTGTTTGTCTTGTAGCTATGCCCTTAGCTTTGTTTCCTGCCATTGCCAGACACAACTGCCCCACTATAATCTTGGGACTCAGAGGAAATAAATACTTTTTTAAGGGGGGAAAGCCACTGCATTTACACAACCAGGTTGTTGTTCCACGACATCCGCTGCCTTTTAGACAAAAGCTGGTAGTTCCAAACATTATGTTAATTAGATTACAGATACTTAGGCCGGTCCTGATCGGATTCATGTTACAGAAGTCCCTCTGCAGACGAAGCCAGCCATGAGAAATGGATGATACCTTTGGGAATATAATTACTGAGAGCAAGGCACAACTGCCGCACTTCCCATCTGCATCTTCAGAAAGAAACACTCCCCCTAAGAAGAGAATTCTTGCTTGGAGGTTTGGCAGCTTCATGAGACAGGATCCAGAGTCTCGTCTATAATTAGCATCTTGAGGGCTGGTTCATACGTAAACATTGCTGACCGCTCCGTGGAATGTGTGAACTGCCTCTGTGGAGTTTGAATATTTTGCGCATGAGTTGGCACCTGGAGATAGCAGAGTTCCCTCAGCAGAATATTATCTGCGCTCTCAAAGCAAATCCTCACTTGTCAACGAGCGAGGGCTCTGCAGGTGTGAACTGGGCCTCAGAGAAATCAGACTTCCAGCATCCCTTGCGTAGCTTCGCCCACCAGAATGTGGGATGTGGCGGCGACAGGAGCAGCGACAGCACTCCTGTGTGGCAAGCGCACTCTCAGCAGCCAATATGCAAAATGCACTGCACATTGGAAAGTGGCACACCATGCAAGTCGCTTTCACTGGAAAACTGAAGGCATTGGAAGGTAAAAAAGAAAAAGAAAGAAAGAAGACTTTGACACCGTTTGGTTTGGTTTCGTATGTTAACAGATTGAGTCATACCATAATTCCTCCATCAAGTCATGGTGACAGGCAGCGAGACTTTAATCTACTCGACTTCACAGTCAACACTATTCAGTGGTGTAGCATGGGGGGCTGGGGGGGCATGCCCCTGGGTGCACATTTCTGAGGGGGTGCAACCTGCGCCCTCGTGACTAGCTCCCTCCATCATGGCCAGAGCCATGGGGAGGCAAGCTGTGCCCGGGCCAGGCCTTCGGTGAAGAAACACCCGTGCATGCCCCACCGCTGGGCCAGCCAAAAAGGAGAGGGGGGAGGGTGGCAGCAACACCCACTGGGGTGGGAGGAAGGGGAATGTGGGAAAGCACTGCTGTAGCCACGTGCATTGCCCAGAGCGCCTCACTGCAAGGACAGGAGGGCGATGTGACACAGCACCGCTCCTGGCTTTGCGTTTCTCTGCCTTATCTCTGCTCCCAGGTTGGGGCTAGTTTGCAAAAAGAGACTCCCTTGCATTATACCTGAAGGAGCGTCTCCACCCTCATCGTTCAGCCCGGACACTGAGGTCCAGCTCCGAGGGCCTTCTGGCGGTTCCCTCACTGCAAGAAGCAAAGCTACAGGGAACCAGGCAGAGGGCCTTCTCGGAAGTGGCGCCCGCCCTGTGCAACGCCCTCCCATCAGATGTCAAGGAAATAAACAACTACCTGACATTTAGAAGACATCTGAAGGCAGCTCTGTTTAGGGAAGTTTTTAATGTGTGACATTTTAATGTATTTTTAATCTTTGTTGGAAGCCGCCCAGAGTGGCTGGGGAAACCCAGCCAGATGGGTGGGGTCTAAATAATAAATTATTATTATTATTATTATTATTATTATTTATATTAGGTGCTGGCCAGCAAAGGGACTGACTATTTCCCAGTCCACCAGGGGGGACACAGCACTTTTCCCGCCCCGGGTGCCAGCAACCCACACTACACCCCAGTCACTTTTCCAGCAGATGCAACATGATTCTGCTTTGTGTTGATGTTCGTCGCTTCTACGTTCAGAAAACCATTCAGTGAAAATATGTACAAAAAGGGGGAAAGGCAACACACTCTGTGTGTCCAAGGCATGTAGTCAGAGGGAGGATACTTTCGGTCGGGTCTGTGTAAAGAAGGAGTGGAAATTGGTAGTGTGAATTGGTAGGGTGAACTGAGCCCGCGCCCTGACAGTGATGGGGAATGGCAGTTCTGAATAGCTCAACAGTGCACTTCTGAGGTCATTTCCAGGAAGGCAATAGGGCATGGCCAAAGGGACTGCTGGTCTTTGCCTGTGAAGAGAGCAGGGGCATTTTGCCTTTATTATAGATTTAGGGCTAAGGGGTAGGGTTTAAGCCTTGCTGCAAAGCAGCTGCCAACTGGCCTATACTGGCTAGAGTCAAGCTACTAGGCTCCGGTTTAGATCTGCAGATTTCTACTTAAATCTTAAGGACTTTGTGATAGACAGGGGATTTTTATTTGAATCCTTTTTCTTTTGCTTTTTTTGGCATATGCATCTAGCTATATATCTATAGAAAGATATGAGGCGGGTTTGCTTTTTCTTGTGAAGAAGAGGGTTTCTTCATTTGTTCAGTAGTTTTGGGGTCTATTTGGGGACCTTTTGACAGATTGGTGAATGTCGTGGTGGCTTTCTTCAGTAGAAACGCACCGTTGTGCAGCTGGAGATGGAGCAGGATATTTGCCCCTGCTTCCTTGGGGATTTCTTGTCCTAACTAGCAGGGATGCAGTTTTTGAAGGCTACAAAAGGAGCTCTGTGTGTTGGAATGGTAAGCATGGCCAGGATCACTGGCTACTGATTATGTGGTGTCATTGGTGTAAGTACATGGATGCTTCTGGGTAGGGTAACCTAAACAAAAAGACATGACCCTGCCCAAGTGAGCTTCTTCACAGAACCATAGAGTTAGAAGGGACCCTGAGGATGAACTAGTCCAGCCCCCTTCAATGCAGGAATACGCAGCTGTCCCGTACAGGGCTTGAACCTGAAACCTTGGCATTATCAGCACTACTCTCTGACCAACTGAGCTATCCAGGCTGAAGGCTTGCAGTGTAAATTTTAGCAGAGGAAGAATGAACAAGAAGCAAGGGTAATGAGATAAAAATTTAGGGGTGCATGTGGTTATATTATTTATTCAGTTATATTGTTTATTCAGTTGTGGCTATCTTCTCCTCTTCCTCTCTTCCCTCTGTGCTTCACCCTATGTGGCATTTGTGCTGCGCTTGCAACTTGTGCCTAATCTCAGAAGAACTTTGACCCTCCGTTACTCTATCTCTTTCCCCTGTCTGGGTTATGCCACAAACCCTGATGATATTTTCCCCCTCCCCTTTTTTTTGCTAATATAGGGAGAGCCGGTGAAAGGGCAACTGATGTGCTGGGCTCAGCTTAGCTGCTGAGCTCAGATCCAGTGCCAGGCTCCTGGTGTGGGTATATCAACTTGCTCCGCTGTGTCAGTGCTTGAACGTGACCCTTGCATTGCCTCAGCCCAGCTGCTGACTCGGGTGCTGCTCTGTTGCCAGCTTCCCCCCCCCCCACCCCGAGCAGCTGCATTTATTGCAATTAGCAAAAGAACAACAAACCTATGGTTATGTGAAACATACCCAATAAACACCCAAGACGTAACCGGCTGTACTTTTGAATAAATAAGGTATACTATTCGTTGTATCACATTGTAGATTTCGATGGAAGTCTCATAAAGTACACCAAAAAAGCAGAAGACCCAGTGGATCAGTTCATTCTCTAGTCAGTTCATGCATAAGGTCCATACATGTATAAGTGTCTATTCCACCTGTCTGTTCATAGAGTCCAGTAATCCACATGAAGGGTTGTTACAGTTCCACAGAATCCTTTCGCAGAGTCTAAGACAAGGATTTCCGGAATATTAGCCTTGTTTCGCCATCCTAGGCTTCATCAGTAGTACAGGCTCATATGTAATATTACAGGATAGTGGATCTTATAGCATAGTACTGGCTGCAACCAGACAGGTGGAATAGACACTTATACATGTATGGACCTTATGCATGAACTGTTGAACTTTATGAGACTTCCGATGAAATCTACAATTTGATACAAGTACAGCCAGTTACATCTTGTGTGTTTATTGAGCATTTATTGCAATGGCAGGCACCGGTGTGCTCCAGTGGCGTGCGATAGCACGGCAGAAAATCCTCTCCTTGGGAATTCTGCATGGAGCCTCCTCCGAGTGCTATGCTTCCTTGGATTCCCAAAAGTCCGAGTCACAATAACTTATTCTGATAAACCGCAGAGTGCAAAAATGAAATACAGTCTAGATGTCATCCTTGTCATTGTGTCAACAGATATTGGCTAAGGCATACATAGTCTTTCAGATTACCCTGAAGTTTTTATTACGCTTTTCTCCCCGGTGAAAAATCCTAGGCAACTCAGTAGGGGGCATGAATTCCATTTTAGTTTTACAGTACCACAAAGAACTATTCCTTGCAACCCGTAACCGGAGGCTAGAATGAATTAATAAAGGTTGCACCTCTTTGAAGCAACTTTGCATTGCAAACCTGGGGAGTCCTCTTCCAATGGGTGGGCACCCTCAGGCTGTGGACCTCACTAGGCCTGCCAATACCATTGTGGCCAAGCCACACCCATCTGCTCTAAATGTGACATAATGGAATTTTTTCTTTATTTCTTTCTTTCCAGAGGAAGCAGTTTGTATTCAAAGCACTGGAGAAAGTACTTGGAATACAAACTGGCTTTTCCTGCAGAAGGAAAAGAAAAATGCTCTGTTTTTAGGAGCATTTTCACCTTTGCTGGGAACTCCGAAGAGGCTGAACGGAAGTTACAGGGAGCCTCTTTGATGTCGTGGTAGCCGTGGCAATTGGGTGATTGGCACAGAATTATATCTTCAAAGGAGGCTCGTCAGGGGTTGCAGCGACCCCCTCTGAACTTTGACAGGTGTTTGATGCCTGGCATAATTATGAGGACAGATGATTGACAGGTGGGTGGTCCTGCCCACTTGCCAGAGTTGGCACACAGGGGGTGGGAGAGAAATCCAGGCCAGACTCAGTAACACCCCCCAATCAATGGCTATGCTCTGCCTCCACTGTCAGAGACGTCATGCCTCTGAATGGAAATCGCAGGTGAGCAGAGGGCTGCTGTGCTCACCTACCTGCCGGTTTCCCAAAGGCATCTGGTTGGCCGCTGTGAGAACAGGATGCTGGACTTGACGGGCCATTGGCCCGATCTGGCAGGCTCTTCTTCTGCTCTTACATCATAAGAGGTCCTACAGCAGGGATGGCCCGTGTGGTGCCTTCACAAATGGTCTCCCTCTCTCCTAATACCAGAACCCCGGGGTCTTCCAATGAAGCTGAACAGCATGAGATTCAGGAGAGAGACAAAAGGAAATATGCTCCTCCATATTGCACAAGTTAAATGATGGGATTCGCTGCCGTAACATCAAGATGTAATGATGGCCAGGGATTAGACACATTCATGGCCATCGATGATTAGTTGTCATAATGGCTAAATCACCTCCAGTGTCAGAAGCAATATATCTCTTGAGCACCAGTTACCGAGGATCATGAGCAAGAGAGTGCTGTTGTATTTGTGTCCCTGATTGGGGCCTCTGGTTTGCCAGTGTGAGATTGGATCGCTCTTTGGTCTGATACAGCAGGGCTCCTCTTGTGCTCAGATGTTATTGGACTACAACTCTCATCATCACCAACCATTGGCTATGCTGGCTGGGGCTGATGGGAGTTGTAGTCCAATAGCATCTAGAGCAGCGGTTCCCAACCTATGGGTCCCCAGATGTTGTCAGACTACAACTCCCATCATCCCTGACCACAGATCATGCTGGCTAGGAATGATGGGAGTCGTAGTCCAACAACATCTGGGGACCCACAGGTTGAGAAACACTGATCTAGAGGAAAACCACATTGGCTATCCCTGCCCATGGTATGTTGCTCATCCACTTTCAGCTTAGAAGGAGTGTTGATAGTAACTCACTTACCTTTGGGTTCATGCCAGGGGAGACTGGTGTGTATTTTCCCGCTCTTCCTTACCACACACAGTTTGAGAAATCACTAGTGTGTGTTGTAGAAACAGGACAAGGAAGTAAACAGAGCTGATAACCAAAGTAGGTTGGCTCCACAGTGAGTGTCTTTAATGCAGATTCAACACTAAGAGAAACACCAGGGTTGAAAGCAAAGGGAAAGCCCCATTTAGCCCAGCTTCCTACTCAAATTCTAGACAATCTCCCCCCTAACATACTGTCATTTGAACTTGATTTATAATGACAATTAATTGCCAGCTCGTGTCTGGTTCCAATTCAAGGTGCTAACAGTGTTTAAAGCCCTAAATGGGAGGCCCCAAATATCTGCTTCCCTACAGACCCTCTCATAGAACCAGTTTTTAATCTCTAGTGATGCTACAATTTGAAGGACCCCCCAGATGCGGCTTATCAACCTGGGAAGGTAGCCCATCTAGGAGAAGGAAAACCTCCGCTGCCTTGTGGGAGAAGTAAAGGCTAAGAAGTAAGCCCTACACAAATCCACTCTGGATTTGTGTCCCCAAGATGGTTGGATGGCGCCTTGTAGGCCTCCTTCTGGCAACTCCTGCAGGATTTGCTCTTCTTTCCTTTGGACCACATTAGTGAGGCTGAGAGGGGGCTCTTGTCGTCTGGGCAGCCCAGGACCTCCATATCCAGTGCCCAGGCTTGTGCCAGGGGAGTTCACTTTGGTGCTGCTAATGCAGCGATTTGACTTCACCCCTGGAGGTTCACTCTGTTGTCTCTTAAGACAGATAAGTGCACAGCATGGGGCTGTTTAAGAACCCTTTGCAAGCAATCCCTTCGGAAATTGGAGGTGTAAGGAGCAGCATGCGACTGTTCACTATAGGTTTTCCACCAGCCCACGTGTCCCGAATCAGATCCTCAGCCTCGAAGAGGAGGGTTTTGTGCCCCCTTGTTTAGCTCTGTGCCCGTCCCCGGAGAGTGGAGGTGCCTTGCTGGCCTCAGTCCCTCAGCTCCCCACCTGGCCTTATCTCTGCTCCCTCTCAGCGGGGGTTTGTTTTGTTAACACAAAACTGAGAGCTCTTGAACTTCTCTGCCTCACAAACCAGGGCAGGGAGCCAGTGTGGGAATTTGCTAACCTACAGCAACAAAACCGCTCTCTGTCTTGGCTCCTCTCCTGCTCACACCTACTTATATGGGCCGAATGAATTGAGCAAATGTATGCAAAAGGGCACGGCCCACGTGGATTTCCTTGATGCGAAAGGAAGATTTTGGAGGTATAGGAGGACTCTGGAGGGAGAAACAGGTAATGCTTTGAAGTAGAAGGCGCCCTCAGAATGTATGTTGAGGCCTTTGGCAAAACACTGGGGTGGCACGGGGTTGGGAAACAGAACCTTGGTCCGGGTGCCAACTTGGGATAGGGAAAGAGTTTGGTGCCTCTTCTCTCCCTTGCATTCAGTCACACACACACTCCTTCCCATTGGCTTTTCCAGTTTACAAAACAGATGCAAGGCTATGTTTATAGGTTTCACATTGATTGTGTGGTTTGGTTCAGAGATCTCTGGGAATGGGGCTGAAGAAGGGCCACTCCAGCAACTCGTGCTAAGCAAATGTAATAAGGTGTTCCTCCTCCGCAATCCAAAATAGGAACAATGCTATAGCAGCCACAGGTCCCAGAAAATCAGGACTTTTCCTGGGTAAATTGGAGCAATCGGAGTAAACAGTGGTGGAGGTGGAGTCCCTCTTCCCCCAGCTTTTCCACTCCTGGCCAGCCAGCCCCCACCCCCAGCTGCTTATGTTATGACCTTGAGATTGCTCAGAAACTTGCTCGACCATGGAAAAAAGCCTCCCGAAGGGCGCCGAGCCAAAGACAAAAAGCCAAACAAATTTGTTTGCATCGCTCACCAGGCTTGCTCCCACTCCAGGGACAGGGGCTGGGCATCTCAGGGCCTTGTCAATCCAAGCTCTTTCCTGCGTAGCTCAGTTAACGCTGTTGTCGCCTTATATAATTGACCACCTAAGGCAAAAGGGTGGGAGAGGATTGCCCTTAAGGAGGGGGTGTCCATCCCCAAGTGGCACGGAACTCGTTGGAAGGGACGGGAGCAAATTGAAGGATGTCAGTATTTAGTGTTGACATTGTTGTTCTGTTTTTGTGTGGAACTCCCAGTGACTCACCCCCCTGAAGCCTCCTAATGTCGAAGATGACAGGTTCTCGGTGCAACGTAGAAAGCAGAAACACAAGTGGGAAAGGGTCCACTGGTGTTTGCCTGATGCCACAGGGCAGATCATAGCTGCACTGGGTTCATTAGGCTGCACTTGTAGCATATGAGTGATGGGTGACAGGTTGGTTAGCTGTATTGCTTTGGAATGGTGCAGCATAGAAGGGAGTGAAAATATCCAAGTTAGGCCTTAACTGGAATGAGCTCTAGCTGTAGATAGATACCAGCCAAAACTACTCTTTTGCGGTGAGCTAGAGAAATGTGAGACATACCAGGTTCTTGGCGTCCATTGGTCTGAGCTGGTGCTATCTGTTGGGAGTGCTTTACCTTCACACCCACAGCTGTGTTATACTGAGCCAGACCTTTAGTCCATCTAGCCTAATACTGTGTACTTGAGTGACATAAGCTCTTCAAGCTCCCAGTCCTGCTGCCTGAAAAGTGGCTGGGGCAACCCAGCCAGACAGATGGAGTGCAAATAATAAAATTATGATGGTTATTTTTTAACTGAAGATGCTCAGAATTCGACCTGGGACCTTCTGCGCATGACATATGCGCTCTCTGGCTCTTCTCTCACACATCTGCTTGGGCCTTTAGACAATGTGTGGTTCCCATCTAGATATTGTTGGACTATGACCCCCATCAGCTCTGATTGTTGGCAACGCTGGCTATGGTAAGGTTACCAGATTTTTTTCAAAGAATCTGGGGGTACTTTTTTTTTAAAAAAGAGGGGAAAAGTTATTTTAAAATTATTGAAAAGAGAAGTAGAAGTAATATAGTCTCTTCTGTGGTCTCCTCTGTCTCACGGCCTTCCTCTGGGCCCTGGCCTGCTCTCTTGGAGTGCTAGCCGCCATGGAGTAGCCTCGGGTCAGGGCTGGGTTTGGTCACATGTCCTTGGCCTCCTGGTGCGCTCCTACCTCTCCTCAGCTGCGGTGGCGGCGGCGGCGCAACAAGGTTGGGGCTCCCTTCTTTTTTCTCCTTCCTCTTTCTCTCTCTTCCTTCTCCTCCTTCTCCCTGCATTGGCTTTGGGGGTTTTCCTGGCCCCAGAACACCGCTGGGCAGTCGGCCGAGTGGCCAGGCTCTCTCCCTCCCGGTTGATTTGGGTCACGGGGGGGGGTTAGCAGTTCCCCCAGTTGACGCGTCAGGCGTCCCCAGTTCCCCCTTGGCAGTGGCAGCGGCAGTGGCAGTCTCAGCAGCCTGGAGCCAGCCTGGTAGTGCAGTTGGTTCTGGCTGGCTTCAGGAGCTGCTCACTGCTGTGGCGCCCGCCATTTTACCTCGCCGGAAGTCCCCATATGATGTGTCTTGTGCCATTGAACCAATTACACAATATTCATTCCCTACTAATAAATCTACAGCACTTAAAATATAAATCCGGGGACATTAAATGAAATCCAGGGACATTCCGGGGACGGATTTTGTCCAGGGACAGATTTGTAAATCCAGGGACTGTCCCCGGGAAAGGGGACGTCTGGTAACCATAGGCTATGGCTGATGGGAGTTGTAGTCCAGCAGTACTTTGAGGGCACCACATTGGCCATATCTGCATTAGACAGAGCTCTGCTTTGAGTACGGCAGCTTTCAGGAATGGACTCTGATGTTCTCTACCTGGGAGTTATTTCTGGAGATGGCTTGGCAAGATGGATTGCTTGTGTTCTCCAGGAAAGGGACAGGCACCTTTTTCGTGGTAGGTGATGTGTGGGGAAGGCACCTGGCCGACATTGCTGTCCTCAGATTTTGGCCTGTTGTCGGCATCCGTCTGTCTCTGGAGTGCGACATGTTTTGTTGCAGCCGGGGCAGATGAAGGTGTCCGGTTGTGCTTCTGCAGATGCACCATGGTGTTTCTTCTCTCTGCGCTCCTCCCAGTGGTCATTTCTCCTCTGGTCACTGTTGGGGATACACAACTTGACTGCCTGTCTTCAGGCACTGCAGTCATCTGCAATGGATTCCCACTTGGCGGGCCCGATCTTGCCAGTCTCCACATCCTGTTTGCAGACATCTTTGTAGCACAGAGTTGGTCTGCCACCAGGCCTGGTGCCTGAAGCCAGCTCCCCGTAGAGCACATCCTTGGGGATCCTGTCATCTTCCCTTCTGTGGCCTGAATCGCTGGTTTCTCCCCAGCCCTATTTTGAATGCTGTTGAAGTTTTCATATTTTGTTTCGTGGATTTGATTGTAAACTACTTGGAATGCTTATTTGGGCCAGAACGGCTTTGCAAGAAAAGACATGATAAAAAAGGGGAGTATCTATGCACCATGGACCCCTCGCTCTGAGCTACTGCAGTGTGGAAGAGAGATTCCAGTGTAGGTGAGGTCCCTGTGGTTTGAGCTGACACAATAAGGCCACGAGATTCCAGGCTAGCTGGCAACTGTGTTAAGTTGACGTAACACGAAGGGAATGAACACACCAGGTAGGCCTATGTATTGGGTTCCATGACCTGGGATGCCCTTTCTCATTCTATATTATTGAAATTTGCTCTGAACTTCTGCAACAGGGGAGAAAGAGGCCTGAGCTCTTGGGCCGGGCAGATGAGCTCACATCAGCTGACTTAGGAGAAAAAGAGTCCAGACTGGTGGTGGTCCCTGTTTTGTGTAATGGGAGAAGGAAGTTTGAGCTGGCCGTTTGCACCCTGCTTGTCTGAGAAGGTGCAGAAAGGTGGTGGGAAGGGTAACCATTTTAATCTGATTAAAATTACAAGCGCAGTGCCAGTGCTAGTTGGTAGTTTTGTCAAATGCTGTTTACTTATTTTTTTATTTTTTTTTTAATTGCTATGTTTTCGGTTGTAGCAGGCCAGCCTCGTACTGCAATTTCCTCCTCTGCTTGCCAGCAGCTATCCCCACCTCCCTCCATTCCTCTTCACTCCCTACCTACACCTCTCCAGCTTTTGCAGATGCTGCCTCCTGGCACCCAAAATGAGCCATCCTCCCTAACTTACAGTGTCCCAGATACCAAGCAGATGAGGTGTTTACAAGGGAGGGGCTATTTGAGCATCCTGCCTGGGAGATCTTGATGCAGAACTGGTTTGACCGGAAGCAAGGAGGCGTATGGGCCCCGGGGTGTGTTGACCATGTGTTTGGTGGTGAGCTGGGGGTGGGAGGGAATTTATGTGTTGCGCATTCATTTCACCTGCTGTTTGGGTTTCATCACCTTCTATGTTTTCAGATCCAGGACCTGCCTTTAATCTCAAAACCACCTCTCTTATCTTCCTCCCTCTCCCTCAATGTTTCTTCTCTTTCTCTCGCATTCTGCGGTGGGCTCTCCCTTCTCTGTGAGTGAATACATCCATCTGACCAGAAACAGGGAAATTGCTTGGGAGAAAACTAGCAAAATGTAAACGTTTTGAGTTGCAAGATTGGATGCAGCAACCTACTTATGGATAGCTATTACCGTATTTTTTGCACCATAACACTCACTTTTTTCCTCCTAAAAAGTAAGGGGAAATGTCTGTGTGTGTTATGGAGGGAATGCCTACGGGTGGCATGCCTACAGATTTTTCTCCTCTAAAAACTACGTGCGTGTTATGGTAGGGTGCGTGTTATAGAGTGAAAAATACGGTAGTTTAAGAAGCTGCTATTTGACATAACATTCATAAGAACATTACGTTTCCTTCTTATTTTTTTAAAAAGCAGTGGTCTAGCGGCCAGACTCCAGCCCCTGTGGCTGGCCCACTGAGCACATTATATATGTTGGCAGTAGCCTAGTGAACTTTCAGAAGCTGTGTGGGGCTTGTGGAAGCAATGAGCTGTGGCTTCAATGAGCTGTACAGCTGCTAAATCAGACCAAATTCTGCAGAAAACAGAGTTTTCGTGACTTCTTGAGGCTTTGAATGACCTTGACCCAGAATTTGGAACAACTAGGCAGGTCTGATTTGACTCAGATCCTGCCTCAGACCCACACCTCAGACATGTTGTTGTGCACCAAAGCCTTTTGCCTGTCAGGGGTCAGAAGTTCACTGGGAAGGAAAACAGCAAAGTGAAAAATCCTGCCTTGTGAGTCTGACATCCCCAAGTCCTTTAATCTTTTCGGATGTCACAGTCTTACTTCTGAATAATGATTCGCCTTCATCATTCTCCACAGCTTAGGCGATGCTGTTCCTGGCCACTCTTAATAGCACATTCTGTTTTATATAAAGGTCTTCCGGCAGGCAATGCATTCATTATTTCACTGTTCCCATTCATAGGTAGGACAGTGGAATCTTCACTGTCAGTTTGCAGATGGAAAACTAGGTCACCAGGTAGGAGCATTCGGAGGCCTCCAGACAGGCTGGCGATTTGAACTAATGGTCCCTGGCTTTCAGGGCACTTCATCGAAACCACACCCCCTGAGGACAGCTGGTAAGCTTTGAGTTCCTCAGTGCCTGGCGAGCCCTAAGTGGGGAAGCATTTGTCTGTCATGAGTTCAGATCATCACTGCTCAACCTGCCATTTCCCCACTCATTTCTATAAACTGAGCACCAGCACAGTCAGAGATGAGTTTATATGCAGATTTGGTGACCATTCAGCACATAATGTGTGATTTAACAACTCACTTCCATTAAAGGAATTTTGGACCAGCAGTCGCACACCCATCCATGCCCATCTCTTATCATTACAGTAAGAATCTAAAGATTATTCATGAATAGGAGTCTTCATATCTGCCATCAAATATTTTTTTCAGAGGAGACCTTGCACACAACCAACTGAGAATCATCATGTGATGGGTGTACATGTGTGAATTCTGCCCTCTTGCTTTCCTTCTATGTGATTAAGCAGCACCTTTAAAAGCCCTTTGAACAGCTGTTAATAGGCATCGGCACCCTGTGAATTAATCTCCCAGCAGTATCTGGGCATTTCGCAATGAAGTTTACCTGTTCCCTTCTCAATCACTTTCTCCATCAGACTTGGCAACCTGGCATTGCTAATGGCTCCTGGAGCACGTTTGAGAGCGAGACTTAGCTGTGCCCATGTTTTTCTCCAAGTAGGGCGAATAGCAGCTTTGGGAAGGAAAGACAACTTTCAAGAAATGACCTGGGGAGGAAGAGTGGACACCCCCCTTTTCAGCACTGCTGCACTGAGCCAATTTGTACCTCCTCCTCTTCCCCAAGCTTCTTTTAAATCTTTATTAAAAAAAATGTCTGGGATTTTGAGCACAGATCTGCCACATCATGTGTAGCTTGGCACTTTTTTTACAAAAGAGCAGAGAAATTCGTGGAGGTTCATTAATCAACTGGAATTCACTGTGATTCACTCAATGCGAGGGGTGGGATAGGAAAGGCTATTGGCTCCCTCCCTATTTACCTGAATGTCAACTGTTGGAAATGGGACCCAGGGGCCTATCCTGACCCTTCTTTTGTTTCTTCCGCTTGTTGAGAGAATTATTGATCATTTCAGTAGGGTTTTGCTAGATGCGGGTAAGTGCTTTCTAGTCCAGGCAAATGAACTTGAGCAAGCTTCTCTTGCTGTGGTTGGTCAGAGGCATGTGGTTCAAGAACACGCAGGTGCTGTTTGCCTCAGAGACATGGCACCTTTTTTCCACCCCGCCTGCAGCCTACACAAACCTCCAAGGGGGAAAAGGACCCAAGGAGTCTGGGGAGGCAAGAAGCGGAGGTGTATGAGAGGACTCAAACGTGCTTGAGCCAGTAGAAAGGGGTGGGGTGGTAGATCTGAGTCACCAGCCCACATTCTGACTCACCGCTTTGTTTTGATGGAAGGAAGCATGCAGGAGGCAAAAGGGCCGGTTGGTGCCAGGTGATCGCCGGTAAACGAAACATGTATTTGGTTTTTAGACGCATGTTTCTTTCTTCAACATTCGCTGGTGTTGACAGAAGCAGAACTCCTCTTTATAAAAGGCATAGGTGTGCGATTTTTTTGATAAGCCGGATCAAACCGGGCGTTGTGAGTTGGTGATTCATCCCTGACTGGTCTAGTCCTGCTACAATGGAACACAAGGCGATCTTGGCACCTATATGAAAAAATAATAATGGTGGTGGTGATGATGATGATGATAACAACCACCACCTCCCGGAAGAAAACAAGTGCCGGGAATTAGATGGTGATGTTGCTTTCCTACAGACATCCTGACTGGAAGCAAGCTTCCTGTAAAGCCGAAACAAATGTCCCCTGAGCAGCTATTTATTGCTTCAGCGCTCTGACTTATGCACAGGCACATTTCCAGGTGCAAGAGTATAATTTTGCATAGCAAGGTTTAGGCCCAGCGTGCATTAGAAGCCTCCCACTCCGTTGTGTCCCATTGCCACCTCTCAGATCTGCCAAAGGTGCCCTTTTAAGGATACCATATATGTGCCAGCAGGGCATGAAGAGAACCAGTGGCTTCCCCACCGCTGCCACTCGGTCTCCCTCTGCAGATTCATCAAAGTCCAAACGTGCTAACCTTTTTGAAAGCCTTGTAACGCCAACCTTACTTAGTTTGGCTTTTGAGGCTCAGGATTAAATAAATCAGGAAAGAACCTGGTGCAGGGGGTGGGGAGAGTCATTGACTAGATTGTAAACTTAGACTGTTTTCTAGGTTCTTTTTTAAAAAAAATAAAATTCCAACCTGTCAGGATGTGGCATGCTATAACAATGACTATTTAGTGTATTTACATTTTGGCAGGCGCTGAGAGGTCTTGAACCTCTGTCTCTCCTTCCCCAGCTGCAGACATCAGTCTGGTGAGAATTACATTGCCCAGAATCTTCTTAGTTCACAAACCCTGTGAATCATGAATCTTTTTGCACCTCCTACAGAGACATTTGGGCATTATTAACACATCTCCAGCTTTCTCATTAACTTCCCGCAACCTGCTCTGGTCTTAACTAAACCACAGCAAAGTATAAAAAACACTTTGAGGGTCAGTCCCCCCCTTACAATTACCGTATTTTTCGCTCTATAGGACGCACTTTTTCCCCTCCAAAAATGAAGGGGAAATGTGTGTGCGTCCTATGGAGCGAATGCAGGCTTTCCCGGGCTTCCTGCAGCTCCGCGCCACCCTCCGGATCCCGGCGCGAAGCCGCGCGGGGCTCCGGAGGGTGGCGCGGAGCTGCCTGCGCTCCAGGGCTTCGTGCAGCTCCGCGCCACCCTCCAGACCCCTGCGCGAAGCCGCGCGGGGCTCCGGAGGGTGGCGCGGAGCTGCCTGCGCCCCAGGGCTTCCTGCAGCTCCGCGCCACCCTCCCGATCCCGGCGCGAAGCTGCGCGGGGCTCCGGAGGGTGGCGCTGAGCTGCCTGCGCTCCAGGGCTTCTTGCAGCTCCACGCCACCCTCCCGATCCCGGCACGAAGCTGCGCGGGGCTCCGGAGGGTGGCGCGGAGCTGCCTGCGCTCCAGGGCTTCTTGCAGCTCCGCGCCACCCTCCAGACCCCTGCGCGGCCGCGCGGGGCTCCGGAGGGTGGCGCGGAGCTGCCTGCGCCCAGGGCTCCTGCAGCTCCGCGCCACCCTCCCGATCCCGGCGCGAGCCGCGCGGGCTCCGGAGGGTGGCGCGGAGCTGCCTGCGCTCCAGGGCTTCCTGCAGCTCCGCGCCACCCTCCCGGTCCCGGCGCGGCCGCGCGGGGCTCCGGAGGGTGGCGCGGAGCTGCCTGCGCTCCAGGGCTTCTTGCAGCTCCGCGCCACCCTCCAGACCCCGCGCGGCTTCGCGCGGGGGGCTACGGAGGGTGGCGCGGAGCTGCCTGCGCTCCAGGGCTTCCTGCAGCTCCGCGCCACGCTCCCGATCCCGGCGTGAAGCCGCGCGGGGCTCGGGAGGGTGGCGCGGAGCTGCCTGCATTCCGAAGCCTGGTGCGCACTGAAGAGCGCGCCCGGGCTTCGCGCACCTCTCCACAAGCCTGGGGAGACCGGCTCGGTTCCCTAGGCTTGCGGATAGCAGGCTGTTCTGGGGGCTGGGGTCGGGAAGCTCGGGCTTCCCCGCGCCTGCCCCGTGCCTGGGGAGGGATTTTTTTTTTCTTTATTCCCCCCCCCCCCAAAAAAAATAGGTACCTTGAACGCACCTTGTTTTAGAGGGAGAGAACAAGAAAAAAAAAATTTCCCCTGTTCTCCCCCTCCTATGATCCGGTGCGTCCTATGGTCCGGTGCGTCCAATGGTGCGAAAAATACGGTAATCAGCATATAAATTTTATGAAATAAATAAAATAAATATCGTCTGGTGATCCACCTAAAGTTTCTGCATAATGTAATGGGAGACTGTAATGTCCTGCTTTTAAAATGTTTTTTAAATTAATTTTCAGATATAGCAGCATACAGAGTCAGAAAGATGATAATATAAACCCCACAAACAAGATGCAGTGTCAATGTCCTATTTCTGAGAGGCTTGGTGCCTGATTGTCCTATTTTCAGGATCATGTTTCTTCGATGTGATCCCATTATGCCTTTCCAGCAAGTTGTGTTTATAAAGTGCAGCAGCCACATATTAATATTTTCTCCACCCTGCAACAGGGTCTCCAAATAGGCCTAGCGTTCTCACCCACTGCGGGACCTGTGTCTATCTTCTTCCACTTCAGTTTGCAGACTGGAATGGGGGGTGGACCTCCCATGATTAAATGTTCCTCCATGCCCTCTTGCGTGTAAGAAAACAGCACTTTGGGAAGAACGCCCGGCTAGAGCCCCTTTCCTCCAACATGCACATTTTCTCAGTGAAGGGAGTTTTGTTGCGTGGTGGAGCATTCAGTCGTGCGAACTTCCCCCACCTACAGTCTGAAGTGGTACAGTCCAGTCAGGCTTATCACCTCGGGGTGAACTAGGAGGTGAGACAGAGGAGCCACACAGTCTTGTCAGGAAAACTATTTGTGAGGAGGAGGGTATTTTTGCTGAGCACCATCCTGATGTAAGAGCGGAGGCATTGCTTGGGTATTGGCATCCACTGTACGGCGGCGCTTCCGAGTATGGGGATTCTTTGCTAGACTTCACCTCAACAGAGGGCAGGTGTGTGTTTCAAGGAACCTCTCTTGGCTTCGTTTGGGAGAGGGCCAGAAATCTCTCTGGACTCTGGAAACTCTTACCATGGATAAAGGTAAAGGTAAAGGGACCCCTGACCATTAGGTCCAGTCGTAGCCGACTCTGGGGTTGTGGCGCTCATCTCGCTTTATTGGCCGAGGGAGCCGGCGTACAGCTTCCGGGTCATGTGGCCAGCATGACTAAGCCGCTTCTGGCGAACCAGAGCAGCGCACGGAAACGCTGTTTACCTTCCTGCCGTAGCGGTACCTATTTATCTACTTGCACTTTGACGTGCTTTCGAACTGCTAGGTTGGCAGGAGCAGGGACCGAGCAACGGGAGCTCACCCCGTCGTGGGGATTCAAACCGCCGACCTTCTGATCAGCAAGTCCTAGGCTCTGTGGTATAACCCACAGCGCCACCCACGTCCCGTCTTACCATGGATAGGGTTGCCATATTCCAAATTTCCCTGGACATTTCAGCTATTTCCACCCGGACACAGTTTCTTCCATATTCCAGCTATGTCCAGGAAATTCCAGATGTATGGCACACACCTAACGTCGTGTGTGGAGAAGTGTTGCTCCCCACAAAATGGCCTGGCATGCCATATGGGGAGGCCTGGTGGGCCAAGTTTTGCCTGAGGGTTAGAGGCGCCATCTTTGTAATGGGCAGAGGAAACTATAGAGTCTCCATCTTTTGCCAGGTTGCTTGTGTGTCTTTTAGGAGACAGGCTTGTAATAGACACTTTCCTGTTCACATACTGTAGGAATTGTGCCAATTTTTATCCCAATTGTGGTTGTTGTTGTTGTTTGAAAACCCCTTTTTGGGCAGTTGAAGTAACACATATGGCCTCTTTAAAAAAAAATCTTATCTAGTAGTTTTCATGGACTGTATTGTGATCCTCTTGGAATCTCATAATTCTGCAAGCATACTTTGCAAACACTGGATTTGGGAGCAGGTGGAAAATTTAGTGCCTTCTTTTGGTTAATTGTGTTTCTCGTCCTTCCTGTTGCAATGATAAGCCCAAAATTGTAGGGGTAGCAAGTGATGAAATCTCAAACCCAGAGGGTATTTCTGATCACCAGGGAGTAAGGTTTCAATTCCCTGCATACCCCCATTTTTTTTACACCCCCCCCCATGAATATCAAAACTAATTTTAAATTAATCAAGTTCTGCTGTTTTGCTGACTGTTCGTATTTTTTACAGGTCATATAATTTTAGCTGTTCTTTGTGAGACGCTAGCACTTCTTCCCACGCCACCTAAACTGCGTAGTGACCTTTGGCTGCATTGATGCTCTGACCTGGGAAGGAACCCTGAGTCACTTTGCCCAGTTCTGATAAGGAAGCGGCAGGTGAAGCGGCAGGTGGCTAAATGAGGGAAGGAGGGTTAGGAGGAACCCTGGCACTGGAATTTTTTCATTATTATTATTGCTGATCATTTGAAAATCCATCTCTTGTCTGAATCACGTAAAAAACTGGTGACAAGGTGAAAATTTGCCCATGAACCTGGTGCTACAATTGCCACCTGCCCTTGTGAGTCTCTTGCAGGGCAGGAACCAACCTACAAAGAGTCTTGTGGCACATGAAAGGCTGGCAGATTTATTGCAACAAGATCTTTGGCAGTAGCTAGGCTGGTTGAGATGCCAATGATTAGTCTCAATTGCAGTCTAATGCAGATTGGGCAAAAGCTTCCAAGGTTAGCTGTACCTGCACTCAGCGATATTTCTAGGCTTTACTCACCTCGTGTGACGAAATCTCATTTGCATCAATTGATTGACATGCTTGTATGGTATCCATTTTCAGTGTATTTTTTTTTATTTATAATCCTAATTTGTTTGATAATTCCCAATCCCTGTGTACTGTATAGTGCTTCCTGTGCATAGCAGTGTTTCGATTAATTTCTTGGATAAATTGATTTAAAATCATTTGATTGACTGAAGAGGTGCAGCAGCTATGCAAAACTGAAGTTGTTAGGCGCTATGCTAGAAATTAGTTGGAAGGTGATTGTTGGCCTCATTGCTGAGCAGTGATTTGAACCTAGATCTCCCATCTCTGAGGAGAGCAGGCGTAGTTGTATGTCCTGGGGTCAATGGGAATTGGGAGTCCAACAACCTCTGGATGGTCACAGGTTACCCATCCCTGCTCTTAAACCTTCTGGTCCCTTTGTAGCAGCTGCTCTCCTGCTCAAAAGCAGTCATGCCGAAGTCAGGTGGAAAAGACAGGTCCCCCTGGCTTGAGGCACTTACCATCTGCCTGCAATTGTGAGGAGTGGCATTATAGAATTGTAGACTTGGAAGGGATCCTGAGGATCATCTAGTCCAACCCTCTGCAGTGCAGGAATATGCAACTGCCCCACGCAGGGACCGAACCTGCAACCTTGGCATTATCAACACCACACTCTAACCAACTGAGCTATGCAGGCTGTCTCCATTTACACCTTGAGAGCCTCGTGGTACAATAAGGCTAAACACTGGGCTTTGTTTTCCCTTCCAGACTATAAGTGGGCTCAGTGCCTGGAAAAGAGAAAGAAAATGTTCCATGCTAATGTCTGCCAAGGCTATCTACCTTTTCACTTTAAAGACCCAGTAGCTGTTTGACATGGTCAACTAGGCAGGGCTGACCAGCCTGCTGAGGAGCTCTGAGGAAGCTGGACCAAAACCTCACAGCTAAGGCAGCATGCAGTCTTTGTGTTGAGTCTTAACTTGGCTTGTGGTTAACCATCTAAATGAACTGGGGATTCAACAAGTGAAATTTGGATCCTCATCTCCATTGGTGTTTGAGTCATCTGTGCAATCAACTCTCGGGTGTTCTGTATGTGCTCCACCACTTGATCAAGGTAGTCCAGAATCCGGAAGATGAGCTTGCTCTGTGAAATTAGAAGGCAGAATGAGAGCTTTGCCTAAAGCAAGGCAGGCAACCAGACTACTGACTAATTGCAATCTTGGTCAAACGGTTGGGTGGTTAACCTAGTGCACTGCTCAATTCCCGTGCTGCTGCAAAGCTGCCAGAGTAAGTCTAGGGCTGGTAAATTCCCCTAGAGGCTTGCCAAAGTCTTTGCCTGTGCATTTTCCCATAAACATAGATCAATACCATCTTGGCTGGGCTGGCCTTTAATGTGTGGTGCTAAGCAGGCTAGGGGTACATCTTTAATTGTAGTATTTTCAAACAAGTTTCGTTGAGTCTAAAATCCCAAATTATGCAATTTAACAAGTGGAATTTTGCATACTCCGACACTGGAAGAAATTTAGCCTGGTGGGTAAGTCTGCCCTATTGTATTTTTTTTTTTTTAAATTATTTGTTTTACAAATACAAAATATATATGAACAAAAACTGTAAAAACAAATCTGCATAAAGAGATTCTCAGAATCTCGAGACTTCCCCCCTTCCCCTCCATAGGGTCCCATTTTAAACATCTAAAACTGCATATTCATCCATACTCCAATTTTTATATCAAACCATATTATCCATAATAATTTTTATGCTACAAATCCTGCTCTTGTTTCCATCTGCTTACAGTGGTCTCCTAAATAACTTATAAAATTTTCCCATTCTTTTATAAAGTTTTTATCCTCTTGGTTTCTGAGTTTTCCAGTCAGTTTTGCCATCTCAGCATAATCCATCAGCTTGGTTTGCTATTCTTCTCTGGTAGAGACTTTGTCTTCTTTCCAGTTCTGAGCTAATAGCATCCAGGCGGCCGTTGTTCCATACATGAATAGTCTTTTCTGCCCCTTTGGTATAGCGGTACCTGTAATTCCTAATAAAAATGTTTCTGGTTTCCCCTATTGTAAATTTTACTCAGGAGATGGGGAACAACAAGAACATGCTCAGGTTGCAACCCTTTGGGGCAATATCTGAGGTCTCCGTGCCTCTGAATGGCCCATCACTCACCAGATCTCTCTACTACTTGCTGCTCCTTTCACTCACTCACCATCACAGCTGTCGCCATTACCAATCACTCATACACTGACGTTGATGCTGAGGGGCCACTCCTGCTTGCTCACCTGCCCACTTCCTCTGTGCAGTGGCTCTGCTGAGTCCCCACCACTGCCCTGAAAGAGAGGGCAGGAGAGTGAGCAAGGAGCAGCAAACAGTTTCTGTTGTTCCTCCTCACCAGGTACACTTGCTTGCCCAGCAGCTCCTAAAGTGAGTGGGCTGGTGGCAGCAACAAAGGGGAATTACTCCCGTCACAAGGAGGAGTAATGGTCATCCGTTGCCAGGGACCACCGTGTCTGAAGCCCCGCCCCAATACACACACACACACACACACACACACACACACGAGGCAGCACTGCCTGAATTTCTAATTTTGTTCCTTTGAATAAATTTGGAGGCCCGGCAATGTGTCGTTTCAAACAGTGCACTTTCACATCTCCTGTCAAGTACATATAACCATAAATACAAGAGGTCCAGGGTAACAGCTGTGGAAAAACTGGTTCAGACTTAAGCTCTGCTAATTGTTTTGGTTTAGCTCCGCCTAGGGATCTTGTCAAATCTGGATGTTTTGCTGGCTCTTGATTTCACCTAACGTGGGAAGACGGATAGGCAAAAAATGAAACAAATCAAAGGGATATTTAGCCAAGTCATGGGGGTCTCCTCTCCTTTGCTACAGATAATGACATGGACCTGGGAACTCTCCAAAACAACATCAACAACACTTTGGACAACGTTTACGAGGATGGCCTGGAATCGGACCACAGTAGGCCCCTTTCAAACAGCAATCCTCTCTGCAACGGTGAACAGGCCAGTCTTCTGACCGGAGGCGATGTTGTCAAGCGCTCTCAGCCTCTGCTCATCCAAGCCAATAGGTACGTGGAGATGGAGCCAGGAATTGTGGGAAACTCCAACCATCGCCCCCAGTGATTATTTTGTGTTTAAAAATGAGAAGGAGTTCTGAGCTGATTTCTTTTTATCTCTGGACATGCGCAGAGTGCATGGCTCATTCTGAGCTGACGCTCAGCCCTGGAACAAGACAAATACAGGTGTAAGGGTCTCTGGGCATGAACTGAGTTGATTTCCCTCATTACTGAGGAGTCACAGTCTGCCTGTCTAGGAGTAGGAGACACAAGTTTCCAGGAGTCCTTGAAACCTGGCCTTCCTCTTTTAAGAAACTGACTGTGCTCCGAGGCACAGTTCCCACCTCAGTCAGGAGCAGGGAAAGAAGTCGTGCAGATAACCAGCATGCCGTTTTCTTTGCAAAGCAAGACTACAAAACAAGAAGATGGATTACTGATTTCATTCACGGTGAAATTCATTAGTTGTGTGTGATCACAGTGGAAGCGGGGGATCACTGCTTCCAGACAAAGTGTGAGCTTCCTCCTGTGATATGATAGGAAAGAGGGGCTTGAATAGGCTTGCAGTGGACAAGCAGCTTAATAGGATGAATCTAGGTCAGACATTCTGTCCCAGAAATTTGAAGCCCTGAGCAAAATCCAGAGTCAGTTTGGTGGCTTCTCCTCGGGGGAAGCATTGAGGAATTCTGAGAGAAGCCAAGAGGGTTTCGATAAGAATTACTTGTGTGTGTATTTGAGCAGCATTGAAAGTAGGAAGACTCTCTTATCCTCAGTCTGAAGGAACCCATCATCATTTCATCTCTGAAGCTGAAAGCTGGGCTTAACTAGTTCCTGGAAGCAAGACCACTTGGGATCACACAAAAGCCACTCTGAGCAGCTTCTCTAAGATGGCTGCTCGGCCGCTGCGAGAATTGGATGCCGAGATGGGCATTACTCTGATTCAGCAGCCTCTCCTTATGTACCTCCCAAGCCTTGTCTCACAGAGGATACCTCCACAGCACTGTTGACATGCAGTCTTTCATGCTCCATCACAGCTGTGCACGCATAAAAAGTCTGGCGTGCTGTGCCAGACAGATTTCGGACTAACTGCCTGTATGTGGTATGCACTGGCAGGAAAAGGCAACGTGCATTGGAGTTAATCATTAGCTTCCTTCCCTGCTCGCGGGGCCAGTGCCATGGTGAGATGGCACAGCAAGATTGCTGAGTTGAGTGACTTTTCTGAGGCTGGCTCAGGCCCTTTGCCCAGCAAATGCAGTGCTTAGTGCCAGAGGCTGGTGAGGGTGGGGACTGAATCTGACACACTGAATTGAAATATCCAGCTGTATCATTGGCTGCGGGTTGGGAACGCGTTAAAAAGGTGCCAAAAAATGGGGTAGTGAGTGCACAGTTCAGCTTCATGAGAAGGTTAGCTTTCTTGTTTAAAAAGCAGGTTTCTAAGTATCTGTAGAATGCCTTATGAAATCTCAGAAAGGTGGCCGAATAAGATCTCAAGTGGCTGTGGGCGAGAGGAGACATAGCTCATTATCCGATGGGCTAATGCAGCCCATTATCAGCAGAACCAGAATACAATTTGTGCAAAATATTCAGCACAACCAGAATACAATTTGTGCAAAATAAAGAGCAGTCGTGCAAATTCGGTGGATTTGTTTTAGTTTATTCAGGATTTGGATTGCCTAGATGCTGAATTTGAATATCTGTAGATCTAGCCCTGGCCCTAGATCTCTAAAGTACATAAGGGTTTCAGACTTTCTCATGAACAAATAGGCTTTACTCACTAACCCAGAAATCTCGCTCTTTCCCCTTTATGAGGATACGGCACTTCAGGCCTGCGTGATAATCCTTCTGATGTGCTTCTTTTTCCTTTAGAAAGCTGAAAGAGGAGGAGGAGCAGCAGCGTGCCTTATCTTTGCCCTCCATCCCAAACCCTTTCCCAGAACTCTGCAGCCCCTCCAACTCACCCATCCTCAGCAACTCCTCCTTGGGTCCAGGCTCACCACGAGAAGGAGGTTCTCATGTAAGTGTGCCTCTTTACCTTTCGGGATGGAGGGCGATCAGAACAGGGCTTCATTTTTGTCAGGGAACTGCCATCAGTGCCGGAGGGAGAGAGCAAAAGCCAGAGGGATTCCAGAGAGCGTCCCAGGATTGGGAGAGGCAGCCCATCTTCTGGGGAAGAGAATCAGCGTAGCACCAGTGGAGAAGGGGGGCAGATGGGGGAAGCGGCGAGGCGGTCCCATGACTCCTTGCCGGGGACCAGCGGGGAGAGTAGAGGTCCTCCGCTGCCTACGCCCTCCTTGCGCAGAAGGCTTTCGCGCAGAGAGAGTAGGAGGAGACTAGGCGTCAAAGAGCTTCTTTGCTGGAAGACGTTTAAGAAACGCCCACTGACGGATTCTGCCAGCGATTGAGACAGCCACGGGTGAGTGGCTGTCCGGACAGAAAAGGTTCACTCAGGCAACACAGCCAGGTGTTTGCACCGGCTTACGCACCAGCAACCCCTAGAACCACTACAATTTTGAAACAGGGTTTGCTAAGGCATGGTATAGAAGTTCTCTCTTTTGGTGGTGGTGGGGCGCTTGCACAGCCAGCTAGCTACATGTGAAATCAATGAGAGGGCCCCTGAGAATGTGCAGAGGATGTTTTCCTTTCCACAGTGAGACGGCAAACATCTTAGATGAAGGGCAGGGGCTTGTGGTTTTACAGAGGCTGTGCAAGGTTTGCCCAGAGATACGTTGTGCCCCCATCTCCTCCCCACCATGGGGTTCCTTTCAATACACAGACTTGAGTACAAAAACAGTACAAAACCCAACCTAAAAATGAAGAGAGTTAATGGTGACTGAAAGAGTTGAAGAACCCGTTGCCATTGTCTCTTGCTCCAATCCATTAGGGTAGGGCTCAGCCAGGCAAGGTTAACTACTTGCACCCCATCCCACAAAATCGCTAACTTCAGTTTTCAAAAGCACATGTTTTGTAGAAAAACAAACAAACTGCACATAACTCGAAACTGGCAAAGTTGTTTCGAATTGCAAGAATCAGCAATATGACAATCTTTGATTAACTTTCTCAAATGCAAAAGTAAATGTTTTCACACACAAATCATTTTGAACAATCTGTATAAAACTGTTCCCCTCAAAGGTCAGTACTGTGCCGCTCCAAGGTCTGTGCCCTTGCCAGCTGCCTAAGTTGGCCTAATGATAACTCTGACCCTGAACTGCGCTGGAAAACATTCAGTAGGGTATAAGAGTTGTTGTTGTCGCTCCCCCACTCACCCCATTTCCTCAATTGCACCCCCTTCTCTTCATTTCCATTTATTGCAAGCCTAGGCTGTGTGTATGTAGGTTCAGGGCCTCCCTCTCGGCCTTGTTGATGTGGTGCAAAGGAAAGCAAAGCAATACATTTGGCACCAGCTTGGCTGTAGGAGTTGCCGGGAGGAGGCATACAAGACACCATCCAACCACCTTAGGGACTCCAGATTTGTGTAGCCTTTTCTTCTCCCGAATATATCCCACAAGGCCATGGGTACTGATTTTTCCTCTCCAGAGAAAAGGAGTCGCAATGGAGGAAACACAACCTTTCCTTCCCATTCTTAACACAACCAGATTCTGTGGTAGGGGCAGCCAAATTAATTCTTGCTTTGGGTAGCAATCCTGTGCGAGCTGGCCTTGCATTAGGCTTTTCAGCCTCTTCTAAGAGCTGAGAATCAAACACTTGTCTGGTGTGATCTGCTGCTTTCCCCCAAACTATGGACAAGAAGAGCCAGAAAGTAAGAGTTAGAAATGAGGACTTGTGAGCTAACTGAGCACGATGGGGCAAGGCTGGTTCCCATGGGGACTGTTGCCAAGGTTTCAGGTTTTGTTTGGCTAGCCTCTGGGCCTCCTCCGGGAGCCTGTAATTATGGGACAGGAGGTCTCCAGCTGCCTGGGAAGTTTTTCAATCCACCTGATGCCTCTTGCAGTTTATATCAAAGGCCAACAGAGGTGCTTTTCACCTTCACCCAACAGTGAGGAAAACATGGATGTTCATTTTTGTGCACTGTATACAAAGGAGCTGATAGGAGACTAGAGAGCAAGACAAACAGACAAACTGCTTCAGTGTTATCTCGCGGCTTTCCTGCGCTTGATGCATTTTCTTTAAAAAGAATCAATTTATGTATTTATGCGATTTAATATCCTGCCCTCCAGCTCAGACTTGGGCTCTTACGACGGCTCATGATAAAGAACAACAAAAGAATAATAATAAAACCATGAAATTGCAGTAGAGCAAGAGAAGGCTTAAAAGAGCAGCAGCAATTTATCAGTGGACACCAATAGAAGATAATAGCTGTATATCTATACCCACTTCCTTCAGAGCAAACCCCTTTGTACCAGGGTGAGAGAGCCAGGATGGTGTAGCAATTAGTGCATTGGGCTAGGACCTGCGAGTCTAGGGTTCAAATCCACGCTCAGCCAGGAAGCTCGCTGGGTAACTTTGGGCCCTTCACGTTCTCTCAATCTAACCTATTTTACACAGTTGTTGTGAGGATAAAATTGAGCAGGACCAAATTAATAACTTTAAAAAAGTTATTAACTTCCTATTGGATGAATTGCGAAAGGCACAAAGGACCGTTGCAACCTTGCCATCTTCAGAGGAGCCATAAGAGTGATTACCAGCCTTTTCTCTGAAGAGCTCTCATCCATCCTTCTATTTGGAGGCTCTCAGAATCTTTGCCAGTTTCCAGATTTACTGGCAGCCCAGCCTGAGATTACCGTTAAAGTGGAGATTGACAACAAACACTCCCTTGCCTTTCATCTGAAGACGGGGTGCCTACTGTTCATGGTGGGGCCTCCTAATCCTTCCCCTGGGATCCCAGCCAGGGTGCTGGTCAGGGAGCGGCGGGAGAGCATAGGTGTTTAAAGACCAATTACTTTCCCACAGTCTTCCCCAAGCAGGTCCGTTTTCCCCCTCCGCCATCTCAAAAGTGGCGTGCGTCAAGATACGAAGAGCTGCCATAAGATTTAACACTGTGTAATTTTTTAAAACAGAGGTGCCCAGATGCATAGTGAACAAGCAGCTTTCCAAAATACATAGTAAATTTCAAACCCAATCACTCTTGTCTCATCTCAGCCTGTGGAAATTCCTCCAGAACATTGAAGCAGCGTAGCTTGAGCCAGCATAGATGGTAAATTAATCCAAAATCCAGCTTAGCTCCTCCTTTCCCGTGTTCCTCCTGTACATGATTGATGGCTTTCAGTTGCAAGTTTCCATTCCAATGTAGCAGCCAGGTCAGTCTGGCCTTGGGCTATCTCCTTTTTCTGGAAAGAAAGCAACTGACCCTCGGGGACGTGCTGCCCTAACAGATGATAGGTCCTATTAGAAGTGTCTGGGTTGCGGAGTCCTTCCTTAAATGGAGCCCTTGGCCCATGCACTCGCATTGTTGGCATGCCGGCATAGCGACTTCAACCCGGCCACAAATCCCTCTTGCGCTAGCCACTGTGTCATGAGCAAGGTCCTGCTGCATGGGTGATGCTTACACATGTTGGCTGAACCTTTAAGTCAGGCACTCACAAATGTTATTTGTCTACTGGGATATTGCAGGGGCATGAAAGTAGCACACGTACTCTCCTCAAGTAGCCTCTCCCAGTCCCCAAAATATCAGGATGGCTGCAGCTATTGTCACAGCAATGCATCAGCCCCGACAGGTGGGAAGAGGACCTGTATTGATTGAAAAAAATAAAGTCCTTTTCATGGCCCGGGGAGGCTGGTTGAAACAAGGGAGGAAAGAGCCAAGTGGTGACTTGTAAACCCTTCCACTCTGGCTTAGGTCAGGGGCAGGGGACCTTTTTCAGCTCAAGGGCTTAGGGAATGTGGCCTTGCGAGAGCCCCAAAAGTGAGATAAAGAGGCTTAGGGGGCTGCTTTTGGTCCCTAAGCCCATATCCCTCAATCGTCCCGCCACAACATCCTGGAATTGCAGAAGCCACTCCTGCCTCTGATTGGATCCCGGAATCTCCCATTTTGGCAGGCCTGAGTGTTAGCAATTCACTCCTCCCGTTGCTGATATGTGGCTGGATAGTCACATGTCACAGTTTACTTTCATGAGCTGGGAAAGTCTGAAGACGAAAGTTATGTCTTATCTCTTCCGTTATGTTGTGCTGTTGTACTTGTTTCTTTCTCTCTCTGTCTGCTGCTGAAGAAGAGGAGAGCAGACGCCATTATGATCTGTCCTGTAAATATTGCTTAATAAATCCTTAGGATGCTCACATTCACGCTTCCATTTTTTTTTTTTTTTTATAATTGATATTTATTGAATTTTCAAAAAATAACAACAAAAATTTCCAAAAAAAAAAAAATTAGGATACAAAAAACAAAAACAGTGCATAAACAAAAAAGAAAAGAAAACCCAGCTGCAAAGAAAGAGAAAAAAAGAGAGAGACAGAAAAACAAAAATACAAAGTCCTTTACAATCTCTATTGACTTCCTTTCTAGACTTCCTCCTCCTCCCCTCTTTTGTTTCTTAATTTTTAATTTTTACAGCAAATCCTTTCTGTTTTTTCATAACAATCTGTCATTACGTTTCCTTATTCTATTTTCCCTCTTGTCATATAAAAACTTTAAAACTCATAGCTTATATTCAATATTTACCAAATTCTTGCATCATTACCTTTTACGAATCATTTACCAATCCTTACTTAAGCCATGTAATTTCATTCAACATCCTTCAAACATTTGTAAGCATTCCCAATATTAAAAAATAAAAAAGAAAAATTAATAAGTCAAATTCAGTCCAGTCAGCTTCCAACCTCCCCTCCCCTGGACCCGGGATTGTCAGTCCTTTTAACCTCCCTTAACCTGGTTGTCTCGTATCCGAGGCCCTCAAGTCTCTTTCTTGCCCCTTTCGCCACTCTTGTTGATGATTCCTTTCCAGTCGTGGATGCTCCAGCAAGAAAATGCTTTTGACCCTTTGCAGCAAGTCCATCCCAAACCCATTGCCCAAGCCAGACAGCAAATAATACCACTTCAAATTTCCACAAAGCTTGGAGACTTTGGCTACTCCAATCCTCTGATAGCCCATCACCAGACTCGGAAGGTCCAAATAACCATATGGAGGGGGGTCGATCCATCCCCCCATTTCCAAATCTGACCACATTTCATCTTTCCGAATCTGGTTTGTCCCAAGTTCATTTATCAAGTTCAAAGGCTGATCTTGCCCGTCCATAGGTCCCTCCATCTCTGAAGCCTCCATCACTACAGCAGGTTCATATGCTTGTATAGCCTTTAACTGAATTTCATTTGTTTGCTGCTGTGCTCTGGTAACTTCCATCCTCAAGGTCGTCTCCTGACGCATCTGGTCCAGCTGGGCACTTAGTTTTGAAAAACCTTCCAGGAACAATTGTTCAAGCCTTTGTACTAGCATTGTCCTTCAAGGTCAAAGAAAATTCTTTCCCACGAGAGTAGTCCAATAGTCCTTCTCTTTTAATCTCTCTGCGTTGCAATTTCACTAAATTCCACTAGATGGAATTTTTTTTTTTTTATATGTATAAAAAGAATAAAAGCAACAGCAACAATCTTTCTTTTTCCAGAAACACTTTATCCAAAATTCCCCCTTCCAAATTCAAGAGGCAACAGTAGAATCAAAATGTTACCCTTCTTTTAACTAACTGTCGAGCTGGATAAACTTCAGAACGTCAATTCTGACAGCCCGCTCCTGGTTCAGGGCGGTGGAAAATTGCTTTATTTTAAACTCACTTCCGCAGGATTGAAAAGTCCAAATACAACCCCTTTTTCTCCTGCTGTCAAAGGGGGTTCAGAAATCTTAGATGTTGAATTCTAGTTCTCTTAAAATTTAATTTTCAGGCTTTAGTATATTTTGTCTTTGCTTTCTTCACATAACAAAAGAACGGAAGGCGACTTCCTGTTTAGACCTTCCCATTCCGAGACCCAATTAAGTTCAATTTCAAGTCCAATATTATTTGTTTATTCACCAGTCTTAAAAGTGGTTCAGCTCTTCCAAGATCAGGTACTCACGGATAGATGTTTTAGATGCCAAATTGTCCAGGAAAAAGGCAGCGCTCTCCGATAACGGCAGTGCGGCTTTGCTGCACGGAGGAAGCAGACGACTCACAGCACCACGCACCTCCCACTCCGGAGCCCGTTACCGGGCTCCTGGCGAAGGGGAGAGCGCTCTCGGTGCCCGCCGAGTCCCACGTCCACAGGCTTCGTCCGCCTGTGGTTTTTGCGGGTCCCCGCTGCGCCGTAGCGGCAGGACCCAAGCCTCCGTGCAGCGGGTTCCCTTCAGTCCGAAGGGAATTCCGCCATTTTCCGGAGGCGCCACCCCGGAAGCCACACATTCACGCTTCCAGTTGCCACTGCTAACTCTGCTGATTAATAGCATGCACAGGTCATCCGACCTGTGTCGCTGAGCACACCAGAATGAAGATTGATGTCCATTCTGGGGGAGCGCAACACCAGAGGATGCCCGGAGAGGATTGTCTCATACCAGGGCAGTGGGGCCCCCCAGGGCGTATTCGGACACTGAGGTTCTGCACTCCTGAATTAGATGGAGGCAAAAAGAGGACCCAGTTTCTATACCTCTGAACAGAATCTAGACCTAAATGAATATTCATGTAGCCCCGGGCCTTTCGTTAGGAGCCAGCAAAAGCACCAGATTTCATTTAAAAACAAAGTTGGCTATTCCATTATTTGCCACCTTCCCCATGAAACGAGCTTAGAAAAAGGAAGAGGCGAATTCTGCAACAACTAGAACAGAAGGTTTGGGGCATCTTAAAAGCTTAACAGGTTGATTGTGGTGGAATGGAGTCAGCTTCATCAGGTGCATGTAGGGTTGCCCTGCGTTGGCAGGTGTGTCTGTGTCTATACACACACAGGTATAGAGGAAAGACATCGTAAACAGTGAGTCAAATGTGAAACGGCCAAGAAATGCAATAAGTACAGTTTGTGCCCACTCTAAAACAAACAACAAACCCTGCTGTGATTCAGAGAGATGTCTAGCCATGTAACTCCTCTGCCCCAGAAGGTCTGGGGAATCAATTGTTGCCTAATAATAGAAGAGGAGGCTTATTTTGAATAGCACGTATTTATGAAGCAATAGTAATGGAGAAAATGTATTTAAGATGTGCAGAGTGCATTTTCCCTTCACCATTAGATAACCATGCCTGGAATAGAGAGTTGGGCTGTATTTCAATAGACAGGATGTGGCACAGCTCCGATAACTCTCATTTAATAAATGTAGCACAGAGCCCTGTGATCTTGTCACACGCCACCCCAATCTCTGAGTGGGGGTTTCAGGCACTTCCCCGGGGTTCGTGCTTCCTTCAGAATGAGGCACAGCAGAGACTGTGGTGTCTTTAGGATATATGGTTTATTTACACACTCATATATACAACCTGAGCCTACCATGGAGGGGTTCACGGCATTAACACCCCAAAAGGGTATTGTTTCTCCCATAGCCACAGGCTTGGATTCAGACTGTTTTTTTATCTCTTGCTTTCCAGCTTGCTGCTTTGCTTCTATCTCTCAACACTGCAACTCTCTGCTCTCAATGCTGGCTTTTTCCTTCTAACTGCCTGGAGTTGAAGGAGGCGTCCCCTGCCCATTTGCCATCTCCCACAGAGCCCCTTCCTGTGTTCTCCTTAATGGCCCGTCACCCAGGCTATCACCTGCCTAGGAGGCTGACTTGGCTATTCCAAGAATGGGAAGCCTTGGTTTACTTTTAACACATGCTGGATCCAGACTCACAACAATATGATTGTTGTCTTACTTGAGCAATTGGTTTGCTCCCTCTTGTGGAATAGTTGGGTTAAGGAGAGATAATCTCCAGCTGACTAAGAAAGTAAGATCATTGCTGTCAAAGGAGGTCAGTATCCTGTTTCCAACAGTAGCCAAAAGCAGGTGCTTCAGGAGTTCCCGGTTCCCCACTCCTACTCTACAGCATGCAAGGGTTCTGTGGCAAATATTTGTGAGCACAAAATTCTTTTAATAGCTCTCCCCAATTCACTCCTTCCCCACCCCCCACAAACCTCACCATGTCTGTGACAGCAGTGTCTCATACTGAATGTACCTGGCTTATAGAAATGACTCTAGGAACTGAGAACAGAGATATTGCATGTACTCTTGCCGTCTGTGAAAATCCATCCACTAAGGGTGTGCTTAACAACTATTTAAATAATTTATCTTTTAATGGTTGTTAAGCAACTTCCTGGATCAGACCAGGGGTCCATCTAGGCCAGCATCCTGCTTCCAACAGCAACCAGCCAGAGGTGCCCAGGATGTCCACAAGCAGGACATGAAAGCAAGGCAGTCTCCCTTTGCTATTTGTCTATCAAGGATAATGGCCCTTGCTAGACCTGTCCTAAGCCGTGTAAGCCACTGGCCATCCCCGGGGGATATGCTCATAGGTCTGAACCATCCTTCAGCATTTTTGCTTCTCTCCCTCCCCTCTTAACCTCTGCTCGCTTTCTCCCAGTGTGGTGTAGTGGTTAAGAGTGGTAGTCTTGTAATCTGGTGAACCGGGTTCACGTCTCCGCTCCTCCACATGCAGCTGCTGGGTGACCTTGGGCCAGTCACACTTCTCTGAAGTTCTCACTCACCTCACAAAGTGTTTGTTGTGGGGGAGGAAAGGAAAGGAGAATGTTAGCCACTTTGAGGCTCCTTAGGGTAGTGATAAAGCGGGATATCAAATCCAAACTCTTCTTCTTCCCCACCCCACAGGTAGTGAAGGTCTACAGTGAAGATGGCACTTGCCGCTCGCTGGAGGTCACAGCAGGGGCCACGGCTCGTCACGTCTGTGAGATGCTCGTCCAGAAGACTCACGCTTTGCATGATGAGTGCTGGTCCCTAGTGGAGGTCTATCAGCACTTGGCTCTAGGTAAGGAACGGAGGGGTCTCCTTAAAGCCAGGATTGAGAGGGCCAGGCTGCCTATGTTTGTGTGCATAAACATGTGCTCTCTCACACACATTTATTATTAGAGGGCATTATGACAGAGTTAGGATCAGGGATGTGGAAGAATCAGCGGCAATGGGAAGAGAAATTGTCCATGTTTGTTTATTCGTCCCATGCCCAGAACGGAAATGAATCCAAGAAATGCTATCAGTATTAGTGGTTGTTGTTTTGAGTCCAGAAACAATGCATAATTGTATGTGATTGATGGTATTCCCCTTTCTGGTTTGCATTGTGTTTACTTTGCAATAGTGTAATAATAACTGCAAAACATTTCACCACAGTGGTCAGTGAGAAAGGGCAATGAAGTTTTTTTTATCAGAAGGTGAACTGCAGCAGAACAGAAACAAACTGCTTGTGATGAATACGGGGTGGAACGGACACACTTTCTTTTTCTGTGTGCAAGGAATGTTATATTAACTAGCATGCTTCATACCCTTTACTAAGCTGTTCTCCATATTGGTTGAGCATGGAATAGAAATGAGCTGCTAAAGAGGTTCTTAAACCCAAATTGCATTTTTTGTTTCAATCTCTCTCTGCTCTTATTTTGCCAGAGCGATGCCTGGAAGATCATGAGTCGGTGGTGGAGGTTCAGGCCACGTGGCCTGTTGGGGGTGACAGCAGGTTTGTCTTCCGGAAGAACTACGCCAAGTATGAGCTGTTCAAGAGCTCGCCAGTAAGTGTAATGGACCATAAAGCCAGGAGGGGAGGCAATTCTTTCCTCCCAGCATTAAATGGAAGCTTCCTGATCCTCTGCTTTAAAAAAAAACACACCACCCTAATTCCACATCTGTTAGCTTGTATGAAAGGAAATTGTAGCACCTGCCAGTTTTGATTAGTAAACGTTTTGTGTTTCACTTTAGAACCCTAAACTCAGTTTCTGCAAAACCTTTAGGTTTTACTACATTATTATTATTTATTGAATTTATATACCGCCCTATACCTGGGGGTTCACAGAATAAAATCAAGATATAAAAACCACAAAATACATCATAAAAGTAAAAACAACAACCCAATAGCCCCCCTCCCCCAAAAACACAAAAAAACATTTCTGCATTACTTGAATTTATATCACTGGTTGTAAGGTACAACAGAAACCTTTTTTTATTTTAGTTTTCAAATATGAAACAAATCTTATTATACCAAGTGATAATGTAAAAAGTACACGACATTTTATATTTTGGGATGTTCTGCTTCAAAACTACAAAAATAGTGTTTCTATATATTCGGCCAAACAAACTCAGAAACTCTATTCAGACCTTCCTACATTGCTGAAGAAGCACAGGGACATGTGCTTCAACCTCCCCACCTTATTTATTTTTTTGTAACAAAGTTTTTCATTTTCATCTTTTCAACAGTTTGGTTGCGTCAAGATATATCTGTTTACATTAGAGCACACGACATCAACAGTTATGTAAAAATAAAAATAAAACAACTATAAACACTCAAATAAAAGTTTCAGAATATATTAACTACGTTGTGTCAAAGTGTGTATCCCAAAATGAAATGCAGCCACGAAATGATGTATAGTGACGTGTATTGCTTAGATTGGTGGCCATCAATAACCATTAGAAATTATATAACTTTATAGGGAGGGAGGAGGGAGAGGACAGCAACTTTTTACTTCCTACTTACCCTCCCTTTAGGATCTTAGGCCAGGGAGCATGTCATTTGGATACTGAATCTTTATCTGTGTTATATTAGGTGTTCTAGACTTATCAGCATTATAGAATGGGTGCAAGAAAATTTTAAAGAGAGGGAGAGAAACAACTTGAAGCAAAAATAGAGCACGTCTTGGCAGTTTCTCTCTCTCTCTCTGCAGTTATGAGGATAATAAACTTCTCCTTATTTTTACCTTTAAAAAAATAGCATTGAGAGCATTCCCCCTCTTTTGGCACTAGAAACACCAATACGTGACAGCTTACTATCCGAATGGTCTCTGTGTAGTTTTGGAAGGCTCACCCCTTTTCTTTTCTTCTCCATTGCAGCAGTCACTGTTCCCCGAAGCCATGGTTTCCAGCTGCCTGGATGCAGCCAACAAGGGCATGTCCCATTCAGAACTTATACAGGTACAAAACCCACCTGCTTCCTTTCCTCTGCCCATTCAGACCTGCTCCCATTCCCAGGTCTTCATTTATTTCCAGAAGGATAAAGCACTGTTCTTGGGTGGCCATGCTCTTATGCCTAGCGCAATTCCACTGGGAAACACTAGGCCAGGGGTCAGCAAACTTTTTCAGCAGGTCCACTGTCCCTCAGACCTTGTGGGGGGCCGGACTATATTTTGGGGGGGGGAAATGAACGAATTCCTGTGCCCCACAAATAACCCAGAGATGCATTTTAAATAAAAGCACACATTCTACACATGTGAAAACACCACACAGGCCTCACAAATAACTGAGAGATGCATTTTAAATAAAAGGACACATTCTACTCATGTAAAAACACCAGGCAGGCCCCACAAATAACCCAGAGATGCATTTTAAAGAAAAGCACACATTCTACTCATGTAAAAACACCATGCAGGCCTCACAAATAACCCAGAGGTGCATTTTAAAGAAAAGCACACATTCTACTCATGTAAAAACACGCTGATTCCCAGACCGTCCGCGAGCTGGCTTGAGAAGGCGATTGGGCCGGATCAGGCCCCCGGGCCTTACTTTGCCTACCCATGCACTAGGCAGCCAGAAGATGTTGCTGGGGTCTCCTGTATCCCCAGGGCTGCACTCCTGCACTCCTGAGTGTCTCCCACACAGCTGCACCCTAAACTGAAGGGCTAGTTATTGCTGCCAACGTGGACTGCCAGCAGCATTGGCGATACCAGTTGTCTACCCTTGCCATCCTTTTTTTTAAACTGACTGCCTTTTTCAGAATGTGCTGAATTCAGGAAGCTGCCCCGAAATCCAAGGTTTCATGCACCTGAAAGAAGTTGGACGCAAAGTATGGAAAAGGTTTTACTTCTCCCTACGGCGCTCTGGGCTCTATTACTCAACCAAAGGCACATCAAAGGTAAGTGGTGTGCATTGTGTGGGTGGAAGGGTTGGTGTTTTAGTTCAGTCATCCAGTCCTGTTTGCAGCCTGTCAGGGCAATATTGCTGTGCTCTATTGGAAAGAACAGCAGCCGTCAAGGAGGCAGGAACGTCTGAACCACCTGGCAATTTAATTGAATAATGCAGACTCCAGCAGGTACCTTACTGCAGTCGGAAACGGCTGTGTGAAGCTTGATGCTAAGACCAATGGCTTAGGATGTGTTTTGCCAAAAGCTGAAAGTGCCATACAAACAGCAAACTACCGGAAGCAAAATTCATGCCCTTCCATTTTTCTTGGTATCTGTAGTTAAATAAATCTAAGTTATGCACCACAGAAAGAGAAATTATTGAACCTGAGTAGAATACTCAGTAATGATTTCCCCAACCCTTCACCCACCTTAGATCAATAATCCTTGCAACACCTTTGTAAGGCAGGCTTGTGTTATTTTCCCTATGTTACACATCGGGGGAAGGCACAGGCTGAGAGATAGTGGCTTGTCTATGGTCACCTACTGAATTTAAGGCTGCGATGAGTTCTGAATTACTGACTTCTTTCTTATTCACAACGAATTTATATTAGTTAGTGCTGGGGTGAAGTATTTGGCCAAGTGATTTTTGCAAATGTCAAAGGGTGTCTGGGGGGGTTACGATATCCCTTGAAGATTGGATTCATCTTTGGAGGCCTGGCGAAGTTCAAGAATTTTTGTCTTAGGCATTAGTTGGCCGAGAGCTTTTTCTTTTTCAAAAAGCCTTCCACACCCTGGGGAAAACCTTCCCACCCAGGAAAGAATGCCAGGGGAGTGGTGCTATGTCTTGACCTACCATTGTTCCTGAGGATGCTCTTAGATAAAAGATAACTGCCCTCTCAGTCAATGATGGCTTTGTTAAAAAAAGAGAGAGAGAGAAGAAAAGCCTTCTGCTACTTTGCATTTAAGCCAAGAAGAAAATTCTTTAACCCCCCCAGAAATTTGGCAAATATCCACTTCCCACATTCATGGAGGAATAATGGTCCTGGGAAAGAGGGGGAGTTCCTCCAGATGTGGCTGGGCTACAGTTTCTATTATCCCTGACTATGCTGGTTGGCGCTGATGGGAGTTGGAATCCTACAATATCTGGAGGGTATCGGGTCTCCTATCCCTGACCTATGCTAAATTCTGTACTTGGCCTAGCACAGTGGTTTTCAACCAGTATGCTGTGGCACGTAGTGTGCCTTGAATGATGGTCAGGGGTGCTGTGGGCAACACTGGTCTCTGTCCCTCTTTCTTTCCTTCCCTCCCTTTTCTAATACCCTCTCACGTCTCTGCTTCCCAAAGGCTTGCACAGCTATTTATCGCAGCAGCCCTGGCTATAAGCTCTGCAGGCGAATGGTGCCTCTGGGAGGCACCTCTCTTTGGGGTGGGGGCAGCTCAGAGACCAGGGGTGGCAGCTGCCCAGAGAATTCCCAGGGAGAGGGGAGAGGAAAGGAGGCAGAGGGAACCCTCCACAAGGGAGAGTGTTTGAAAAAGGGCGAGAAGCTGCCAGCTCTGCAGGCAAAGGGTGACATAGCTGGGCTCCTGAGCCCCACAGGAGTGCCACAGAAAGAATGTAGTTGGTTAAGGGAGCCATGGACTCAAAAAGGTTGTCCTAGTGTAATCCGGATGCTAAATTCTTCTTTTAGGCTTATGTGACCACACATATACAGAACATACCTGGTACCTACCTCAGCAGACAACTGAGAAGTCAGAGTTGGGTAGACCCTCATGCTGTGGAGCATAGCATCACACTTTACAGTGGACACTCAGGTTGCGAACATGATCCGTGAGGGAGGCAGGTTCGCAACCTGCAGCGCTGCGTCTGCAGAAACATGGGTCGCAATTCGGAGCTTCTGAGCATGCGCAAAGTGTGGTTTAGTGCTTCTGCGCACTGAAACCCGGAAGTAACCCGTTCCGGTAATTCCGGGTTCGGCGCAGTGCGCAACCGGAAAATGTGCGACTTGAAACGTCTGTAACCTGAGGTATGACTGTATCTGTTTTTGATCTTCCTCGTGCCAGGACCCCCGACATCTACAGTATTGTGTCGACATAAACGAATCCAATATCTACTACATCACCCAAGGCAAAAAGCAGTACAGCACCCCCACAGAATATGGCTTTTGCATCAAGGTAAGAAGGGTGAGAAGCACTCATTTAATAGGCACAAAGAGAAGTGCCTGGTGGTAATACAATAATATAGTGTGTTTAAAATACATCCCTGGTTAGAGCAAGCAATGAGATGTCTTGGACAGAATCCAGAATCAAACCTTACCACAGCCTTTCAAGATTATTAAGATACACACACATGCTGATTTTTAATCAATACAGTCAAATTCTGCCTACCCTGCACCCAAAGGTTTTAATCTTGACTACCGTATTTTTCGCTCCATTGAACGCACCGGACCATAGGACGCACCGGATCATAGGAGGGGGAGAACAGGGGGGAAAAAATTTTCTTGTTCTCCCCCTCTAAAACAAGGTGTGTTCAAGGTACATTCACCAGAGATTGTGGGGCTGGCGGTGGGGGGAAGCCACACATTTCCCCTTAATTTTTGGAGGGGGAAATGTGCGTCCTATAGAACAAAAAATACGGTATACACCAGTGTTTCACACAAGTGTGATAACTGAGGCACACTTATTTAGAAAATAACAATATTGGAGACACATGTCACGCTTACACCTGACAAAGCTTACTTTCAGTGTGTGTACATATATCTCTATCTCTCTATCTATACCCACCATCCCAGGATCCCTCCCTCCTGTTTCTGCATGAATCACTTTTCTGGGCATGCCTCAAAATTGGAAAGAGGCAAATCCAGAGCACTAACTCATGCAGAGATGTGGCAGGTACTGTCCCCCGAGGGCGGGTTATCTTGCTGTGCCCCTGTGTTGGGATTGATTGCTTTTCCAGCCAATCCCAGAGCAGAGAAGGGGCAGAGAGAGCCCCAATGGAGGCTGATTAGAATAAAAGAAAGCCGGAACAGTAAATCAAAATAGCGAACTATGCAGAAATGCAGACTCGATGGATGCATACTTTTGGAGAATTTAATTATTTAATCTCTTGATTTGGTTGATCCAGATGGGGAGTGGGTTCTGTGGGTCAGGGCTCATCCCTAGAGCAAGTGAGTTCTGACAGCTTTCAAAAAATGGTTGGGTGGGGCAGTCTTTGACCATCATTTCATGTGCACAATTATTGCTCTTACCTCTGCAGCCATGCAAGGCGCGAAGTGGGGCCAAAGGCCTGAAGCTCTTCTGCAGCGAAGACGAGCAAAGTCGCACATGCTGGATGGCTGCCTTCCGCCTCTTTAAGGTGCAGGGAACTCTTCTAAAATATGACGTGCATAGAAAATTCCTCCTTAATGCAAAGAGCCACTTTAAAGGAATGGTTTTCATCAGGATTGCAGGATAAGAAGGAATAGTTATGCTCCTTGCTCCTTATCTGTTACAAATACAGAGGTGCAGGTGGCACAGTGGTCTAAACCACTGAGCCTCTTCGGCTTGCTGATCAGAAGGTCGACGGTTCAAATACCCACGACGGGGTGAGCTCCTATTGCTCTGTCCCAGCTCCAGTTTGAAAGCACACCAGTGCAAGTAGATAAATAGGTACCGCTGTGATGGGAAGGTAAATGGCGTTTCTGTGCACTCTGGTTTCCATCACAGTGACCCATTGCACCAGAAGCGGTTTACTCATGCTAGCCACATGACCCAGAAAGCTGTCTGTGGACAATCGCCAGCTCCCTTACCCTGAAAGCGAGATGAGTGCCACAACCCCAGAGTTGCCTTTGACTGGACTTAACCGTCCAGGGGCCCTTTACCATTTTTTTACCTTGCTACAAATACTAATTAGCCTGCAAACTGCAAAGTTACTATTTGCACTTTTAAAAACCCCCAAAAAACTGTACATGTTAAATTAAAAGAACCATTTAATGTCACATCAAGTTTGACTCAGGATTTGGATTTGAACTTTGACATACCGATGTTCAGACCCAGTTCACTACATCTGTAGTCTTCAAACTGCATATTCTGACAATTTCTGAGGATGTGTGGACTTCGCGGAGAACACGGTTTCCTGGTATGGGGGAGGGGAACAAGTTTTTGACCAGAGTTCATTTGCAGTTTGCAGCCACAGAGAGGTCCTAGTTGGTTTCAGTTTGCACAGAGCAACAGGGAGATCTGAAAGATCCCAGTTTGTGCTCCACATGAATTTAGTGTGCACCCTAGAATATGCCCCAGATATCCTTGCAACATTCAGGGGTTCTAGGAGTGATGCCTCGGACTCCTAAACATGTTGGTGTGGAAAGAGTTCCCTGTGGTACAGTTAAACCTTGGCTCCCAAACATCCCCAATAACATACGTTTTGGCTCCCGAATGCCAAAAACCCGGAAGTAAGTGTTCTGGTTTTCGAATGTTTTTTGGAAGCCGGATGTCCAACGCGGCTTCCGCTTGAGTGCAGAAAGCTCCTGCAGCCTACCAGAAGCCGCACCTCGGTCGTCAAACTTTTTGGAAGCCAAATGGGCTTCCAGAACAGATTAAGTTTGACAACCGAGGTTTGACTGTAGAAAGTTTGAAAATCATGGTGCTACATGGGGTGACCTGCAGCGATGGTTGCCTCATGGGAAATGTAGTCTCTTGGTTCAAATATTGGCATGATTACAAGTATGCTTCTTCCTTGACTTAGAGAGCAATCCTTTACATATCTGCGCAAAAGTTTCACCGAGTTCAGTAAAGGTTTATCCCTGGTAAGAGATGCAGTCTCAAAGAGGGGGTTTTTGGGTTGTTTTTTTAAAGAATCCCTCAAATATTTCCCAATATGTAGTGTTGCACCCAGCTCTAGCAAATAGTAAATGTCAAGGTCACTACCTAGAATATTGATCATGCTGGGCTGATGCTGACAGGTTTGCCTACCTCACAGATACCAATAGCTATTCTCCTTTCCGCAGTATGGCATACAGCTCTACAGAAACTACCAACAGTGTCAAGCACGGCAAAGAGAAACAGCGTGGATCGGGCCTGTACCCCTGGTAAGCTCCCTGCTATGACGGTGTTTCAGAGATTTTCATTATCAGTGGATAAAGGCAAACATAATGTCTGTAGAGTAAGGATGGACACACCTCCCTGTCAATTTCTGTTTCTGATTTTTCCAGTCCTAAGTTTCCTTCCACATCCGCTTGGAACTTGGTTTCAAAAGCCTGCACACAAATTCGGACACTGCACATTTGGACATATTTTTGCTTAAGATGTGCAATTTTGCTTTAGATATGTGTTTTTCCTAACAGTTTTTCCCAATACAAAACATTTTTGTATGTTGCTTTCACTAATATGTGGGGTTTTTTTTCCTGCACTTTCCCTGATGGATGCATTCTTATACACTTGAGCATTTGCCTTGGGCCTTTAAGGCTACATAAGAACATCTCCTGCCAGGAGCTAATTTGGTGTGCCAATAGAGGGCAACCCCAACGTTCAGCCCCAGAGGATCCCTGTCTGCTTTGTGGTACTTTATGATCCTTAAATTCAACTATGAGCTGTCAGTAATAACCACTCTGCACCAAGACTTGACAGCAAAAGAAGGCGCTTAATCTGAAATACACTCCCATTGGAGACTCCCCAGGATTGCAAGCTTTCCCCCTCCCCCACTGGAAATAGAAGGATTTATTTATTTTAAATGGCAGGTTATGTTCTTCTATTTCAGGTATTATTAATTTGCTTTTCACTGGCTCTTGTACATGTGTTTTTGACTCTGTCATTACCTGGCCCGGAGATAGTCATCAAGACTTGATTAAGCACATCATTTTAGAAACTGAATTGCAATTTGCATGCTGCCATTCGGGACCTACTATTATTGTAGAGATCTGTTGCTGAACCCTTTCTAAAAAACAATCCCATAGCGGAGCGTGTCGGATAACACCTTGGTGGCCATGGACTTCTCGGGTTGTACGGGCCGAGTGATTGAGAATCCCAATGAGGTCCTGTCGGTCGCGTTGGAGGAGGCTCAGGCGTGGAGGGTGAGTCTGCTGTTTGGTTCCTACTTAGAGATCACAGGGAGCCCGGCGGTCAGTTGGGGAATGGGGATCACTACGCTGGGCGTCTTTATTGAAGCAGGTATTACATGGGGCTGTCTCTTAAACTCCACAGTTTGAGCTCCAGCCATGTGGAGAGCCTAAACAGGGCTGCCTTCAGATGTCTTCTAAAAGTCTGGTAGTTGTTGTTCTCTTTGACAACTGGTGGGAGGGCCTTCCACAGGCCAGGTGCCACTACCGAGAAGGCTCTCTGCCTGGTTCCCTGTAACTTGGCTTCTTGAAGTGAGGGAACCGCCAGAAGGCCCTTGGCACTGGACCTCAGTGTCTGGGCAGAACGATGGGGGTGGAGACACTCCTTCAGGTATACTGGACCGAGGCCCTTTAGGGCTTTAAAGGTCAGCACCAGTACTCTTTGTTCTTTGTGCTGCAGCAGATTGCTGGCACGACCACCCGTCCAAATTCAGAATTTAACATAAACAAACGTATTGCTATTTTTTGGGGGGGGGCACCCCTATATGGAACAGGGAAATGATAATTAACATGGCAAGCTTAACATACCTGAAACAACCTCCACTGTTTTCCCCACCACGCTTCAGAAGAAGACGACGCACCGATACAGCCTGCCGACCCCGTTCCAGAGCTCCTCGTTCAGTGCTGGTGAGTACTGAGGGACCCTGGGCGCTGCCTTGTGCTCCAACCACTTGGAGCTGCTGCTTTCAGCTCCAAGCAGCACAGTATCACCTACAACTGACTGGCGGCAATTCCCCAGACAGGCCATCTCCCCAGTCCTACCTGGAAATGCCAAGGACTGAAGCTGCACAATTCTGCTCTAAATCCCAGCGGGCATTTTAGCTGATTTCTGGTTTTTATAACTGATTTTTTAATTTTTAATTGAATTTCTTGCACACAGCTTTAGAGAAGATTGTAATTAAGTGACAGACTTTTTTAAAAAAAAAATTGCCTAATTTAGCATTTCCTATAAAGGGGCCAAGCTTTGTGGGGCTCATCTGAAGCCAGGGTACAGCTCGCATCTGACTGTGTCACCATCTATAAATTCCATTGCATGAAATGTTGAACATGTGAAGGGGCAGGCTGGATAAGTGTGTCTCTGTGCATGTGCAGATTTATATGGTTTCATCTGAGCCACAGCATAGCGCCAAGACCCAATGCTGGCTCATATTAAGTGATAGGGAGGGGTACGCAAGGCTGCCGAGGATGTAAATGCTGCCTTGCTCTATCTGCCAGTGCCAAATAATCCTGGCCAGCCCCACATGTCTAGGATGAAAGGATGGGTTTTCCAGTTACCTTGAACCCCAGCAGCCCTCATTGCGGAGACTAGGGGTTGCAATTGCAACAAATACATTCTTAACACTCCATTCAAGACTGAGTTTCTGAAAGCTCTTTCCATTCCTCCCACAGCCATCCACAGAACCCAGCCATGGTTCCATGGACACATTTCTAGAGAAGACACCCAGCGCCTTATCGTTCAGCAGGGACTGGTGGACGGGTAGGCTGCTTGCTACATCTCTCCAATGCACAACGCTTGTGCAACACAATCCTATATGCATGCATACTCGCACATAGTGCCATCCCATTCCTAACCCTTCCCATCCCAGGGTTATTGTACAGAACGGGATTACATCAATATTGCTAAAAGCCATTTGACCCAGGCTAGACCTGGGAGAGGCAGGCAGTTGCAAAGACAGAATCTTCTTTCTCAAACAACTGAAGCCCATCCCAGCAGAGCCTCTGCCAGGCTTAGGCTGTGGGCACTTTGCCGGCTTGAAACGCAGTTGGCCATTCTTCTTCTCAATGCCGATTAAGAGTGGCTTTGGTGAAAATGCACCAATATGGAGTATTTCGTAGGAAACAACAGGATAGCTGTGGGTTGTGGCTAACCTTGTGTTCACACCACTTCCCAAACCAGCCTTGGAGATGTGGCCTTGCACCTTAGGGGAAGAGGAAACTGTCTTTCTAACTGCCCACCTGCCTGTCCACCTGCTGCCTCTTCCAGTTCTTGAATGAATTGCAGTCGTACCTCGGAAGTCGAACGGAATCTGTTCCGGAAGTCTGTTCAACTTCCAAAACGTTCAGAAACCAAGGCGCGGCTTCTGATTGGCTGCAGGAAGCTCCTGCAGCCAATCAGAAGCCACGGAACCCGCAATGGACATTCAGGTTCCAAAAAACGTTCACAAACCAAAACACTCACTTCCAGGTTTGTGGTGTTTGGGAGCCAAAACGTTCAAGTCGCAAGGCGTTTGGGATCCAAGGTACGACTGTACGTTCATTCATGATTTTGACTTCATGTAGTAACTCTCTTTTCTTGGTTATGGTTTATAACGGGCTACAATCTATGAAGTCAGGCTTAACTGGCAAATAGATCACATTAGGGGTAGAGAACCTGCAACCCTCCCAAATGCTCTTGAACTCCCATCTATCCCAGCCAGAATGGCTGATGGTCAGCGATGATGTGAGTTGTAGTCCAACAACGTTTGGAGAGCCACGAGGTTTGCATGGTTATAAAAATGGAGAATGAGCCACAGGCTAAAGAGTTGGGCTTAATTTGAAATGAAACCATCTCACTTCCTTCCTCCCCACCCAGCCCCACTTTAAGCACTGAGTAATACTGACTGTGTTTACTCCCAGGTAGGTGCAAATATACTTGCAGCCTTAGAGACTTGAAGGTCAGCTTCCTGGAGGCAGAGCCATTTGCCCACCACCATAATTACCCCTTCCTACCCTGAACCAGCCCATGCAATCCAGATCATGCGCTCAGCAAGAGATACCTTGACAGCAATAGCTCCATATGACTCATGCAAGCCTGAAATCATTTTTTTTCAGGAGGTGGGGACCAGAACTGAGTGTTAGTGGTGTGATAGTCATGAGCATGGAGCCTTGAAGATGTTAGTGCCAGAGGACCGCGGGGTTGGGCCTCGGCTCACATACTGCACTGCTCCTCCTTGTGGGCGGAGGAAGAGGCGCAATGTGCCTTTAACAGCCTTCCTGTTGTCTTGCGGATTGCAGGGTCTTCCTGCTGCGGGAGAGTCAGCGGAACCCCAAAGGTTTTGTCTTGTCCCTCTGCCACCTGCAGAAGGTGAAGCACTATCTTATCCTTCCGGTAAGTGGTCGCATTAAAGAATGTACAAAGCTTGCCTTTATAACACTGCATTTGGACAGTCAAATCCTGACTTAGGAAATAAACCAAGATATGCCCGAGCTCCTTGCACCTGCATGCAGCCCGCTTTGCATGAGCAGGGAAACAAACTTAGAAGCTGGGGGGGGGGGGAGTGTGCACGAGAGAGAGTGAGAAAGAGATAGAAATATATTGAGTTTGAGGGAACGTGGTTACCAGACAGGCTTCAAAAGAATGAACATAATTAAGCAAACCAGCCTGGTATAAGTTACAAGTAGGTAGCCATGTTGGTCTGCTGTAGTCGAAACAAAATAAAAAATTTCCTTCCAGTAGCACCTTAGAGACCAGCTAAGTTTGTTATTGGTATGAGCTTTCGTGTGCATGTATCTGAAGAAGTGTGCATGCACACGAAAGCTCATACCAATAACAAACTTTGTTGGTCTCTAAAATGCTACTGGAAGGAATTTTTTTATTTTGTTCAGATTGGTATAAGGCAGGAAAGACATCTTGGCAGTACCCTTTCCTGCCAGCAGTGGGAGAACTGAACAGTCACCCAGTCAGGAATCCTTTGGAGACCTGCACCTTTTCCAGCGCTTTTTTCCCCCCAAGCCAGGCTGGACCCTAACACTAGTTGTGGAGAGCAAGGGCAGGGGGGTTGGAACATGGCCCTGGCACATGCACAGTTTCTACTTTGTGTGCTCCCGAAAACTGAGCCCAGACTCCACTGCAGCCTTGCTTTACTCCAGGGGTAGTCAACCTTTTTATACCTACCGCCCACTAATGCATCTTTGTTGATGGTAAAATTTCCTTACCACCCAGCAGTGCTCAGTGGAAGCAGGATTCAGCTTGTGCCGTAGAACCCACTAGTGGGCAGTAGGGACCAGGTTGACAACCCCTGCTTTATTCTCTTCTGCGCCTTCCCCTCCTGCCAGCAACTCACCATCTTTTATGGGTTTCAGAGTGAAGAAGATGGACACCTCTACTACACCATGGACGACGGCCAGACTCGCTTTGCTGACTTGATCCAGCTGGTGGAATTCCACCAGATCAACCGCGGCATCTTGCCTTGCAAGCTTAAGCACTACTGCACAAGCGTCGCCTTATGATAGGCTGTCTTCCCAAGCGGCCTTTCCCTGTGCCCCACAGATTGGCCACAGCCGGTGACAGGGAGCGGGGGTCTGGGGAGCAGGTCTTTTTTTTAACTCTGTACACCGGGATCGACTCCGAACTTTGAATTGCTCCTTAATAAACTTCAGCTGCTGCAAGCGACCCGATTTGAACCTTCCCATTCCACCACCACACCGTCATCGGAAGCCTCTGGATTTTGAGCAGACTCGAGGATGGATTCGAGGTTGTGGCAATTGCACTTCACTTCTTAAGAGAACACGACTCTGTCAGTGGGCAGCTTCCACCATGAAAGGGAACTGGTGTCCATCTGACCGCTGAGTGTCCCGCTCCACTTCGGGGCTTTGTGTACATCTCTGATCCAGGGCTTGTTTTGGTACCGCACACAAGAGATTTTGCTGCTACTTCAGTCCTCCTGCCTCCTAATGTGTTCTCATTTTCTGGGAGTTGCCTTTCAGGTTTGTTGTGGGTTTTGCATCGCTTCAAAAACCTGTTTGACCGGAGGCAACAGTGGGGGACAAAAGAAATATTGGATGCACACGCCACGGGAAGCGATGCCTCTTGCACACTAACTTCCAGCTCTCATTTAACAACAGCGACAGAGGTTTGCCTGCCTCCAGCACTAGATTTTCTGGGAGCTCCCTCACCTTTGTTAGGAAAGGGAAATTTTCTCTTCTTTTTCTCTGGTGCTTGGCATTGCAGCTTATTTAAAGCGGCAGTCTCCTCTTGGGATGCTGGGCCCATGGGCAGAAGGCTGGTGGAGAGTCAGGAGGGAATCCGGTGACAGTAACTGAAGATGAAAAGGAAAAAGACCCTGAGATTAGAGTTTTATGTGCTACCAACTGAGCTGTCCCCCCCTCCACTCCAGCTGTTGTCCAGGCAAAGACCCAGCCTTCACTGGAACTTTTTATAGCTCTACCAGATTAGAAGAGGCACACAGGATGGGTGGGTGGGTTAAATTGGCATCGCCCAGGAGGCTATCCTTTCCCAGGGATCTCTTCAGTCTGCAGTCCCAAGCATCTTTTCGCACAGAAAAGCAGAGGAACACAGATTTGAAGTTGCTTGGTTCTAGTCCTAGCTGCTCCCCCCACTTGAACACACAGGGATATTCCTTTCAGCACTCTCTCCGGACACCCAATTCTGAATACATTTAAACCCAAAGATCTCGCCACACACACACACACACACCCCGCCAGCGTTCTTATTGGATATTTGGTGCAATATGGCCAATGCCACTGTGCTATAATCCCCAGCTCTCATCCTCTCAAGCTGTTGGGTTTTGTCGTGAGTTGGCTTGTGCTATTGCATCTAAGCATCACAGGCAAGGAATCGAGGTAGGAGGAATTGGTTTTCTCCCCTTACATGAAAGGGGATTTTAAAAACACCCTGGGATGGGGAGGAGGAGAAGCAGGAAGGCTCTGCCACTAATGTCGTGCAAATCTATAAGGCCAGTATCTACTGTGATGAGTTGTGTATATATATATAAGTGATGATAATAAATTGTATTTTTTTTCATACATTTGCTTTGATTTTGTACACAAGATCAGTTGTGAGAAAAGAACAAGCTAAGAGCAGCCAATTAAATGAATAGCAGAGATCACCCTGTAAAGAATCAACAGATTATTTTATCTCTTTATTTATCTAAGACACACAAAACTTCTTACTCATAAATAAAAGTTTATGTTTGATAACTTCTTGTTTCCCTATCCTTAACAGCCCTTGAGGCAGGAATGAGTGTGAAGCCAACGCCGGGCTTCCTCCATTTTTGTTACTGATATATCAGTTTCGCCTCTCAGTGCTACTCTTTGGGCCTCTCTAGATATTGAATCACCCAGATACCATGACATAAAAAAAAAAGAGACTGCGTCAGAAAGGAGTGTCACTGTTGATTTCCTCCAGCCCAGCACCATGGCATTGGTTACACTTGAAATTTCGATATGGGGATACTAAAAGCAAAGCATGCTGGGTGATGCTTCTCGCAAGGCACTCTGGGCAATGTCATTTCCCTGTTCGCATACTGTGTGCCAAGTCTCGTGGTTTTGTTTGTGCATCACGAGTGGTCGGGCCTGGAAGTGATTAGGCAGGATTTGCCATGCAAATCCATTTGGGATTTAGCAATGGCCAGGAGATTAAGGCCTTGGGAGTTGGCCAATTAGCTGGCCTTTTTTAAGATCCTTGAAGAGGGACCCACTGGGGAAGATGTGAGGGCAAATCGCAGAGCTGCGAGAAGCCCACAGCCTTCTCTATAGGAGTCAGAGAAGCCGCTGCCTGGTCTCTGGAGGCTACCTCTGCCTCCTCAGCACAAGCCACCATGGCTCCCAAAGTTGTATTGATAACAGGATGCTCATCCGGGATTGGGCTGGCATTGGCTGTGAAACTAGCACAGGACAAGCAGAGGAGGTTCAAAGGTGAGCTTCTTTAAACAGTGTTTTGTGAAACAACATTTTTTAAAAAATGTGTACAATATAGTTGATTTTTTTCTCTCTGCCTAGTTTCCTTTTAATCTGATGCAGCTACGCAAAATGACATGATCAGGTTGTTTGCTTTTCCAATTTCTTTCCTGTTGGATTCGCTTCTAAGTTTCCAGCATTTAGCATGGATGGTGGTGGTGTAGAGAGCCCTTTGCTAGCCTGGATGAGTGTATTCAGGGCACCTATCTTATCTTCAACTTCTTACCCTCCCTTCACCATGACGTCCCAGGGTGGGTAAGAACAGAGCAATTACGCAATTTGAAAGCAAATACCTAATGCAACACCAAAACGACAATTTAAAATAGAGCGAAAAGGTAAATTCAAAATTAAATGCATAATTCTGTTTAATTGTTTATACCCATAGTTGCCAGCATGTTGATCCAATGAACTTGCCATGGATATAAGAAATAGTTACCTGAAGGCTGTAACATGCCCTGTAGCCCTGAGGCAGGACCATCTCTTAACATCCTGTTTAGGGAAGTTTTTAATGTTTGGTGTTTTATCGTGTTTTTAATATTCTGTTGGGAGCTGTCCAGAGTGGCTGGGGAAACTCAGCCAAATGGGTGGGATATAAATAATATATTATTATTATTATTATTATTATTATTATTATTATTACTGCACAGTGCTGAGCTTCCAACTGTGGTTTTGAGTGTTTCCTAGAATGAGTGTGTTATCAAACAAATGCAGGGATCATTAGTAGTCTGGCTGCAAGCTTTTTAATTAGCTGCTGATTGTATTGTAGTAGCTTTTAAATTTGATTCTGGTGATGCATCACCTTACAGCTGCTAAAGAATTAAAATCTGTCGATTTTGTCTACTGACTTCTATTCTCTAGCTCCAGTTTCAGTTGGAAACTCAGACTTAAACTACATCTAAAAAAACACACACCGAACCTCCGGTGTTTTCCTGTTCAGCCATTTTGAAAACCTGCACTTCCAGGATTGAAATTTGGAACTGTGGTTTAGGGTTGCCAACTTGAACACCAGGAAAAGGGGGGGATGGGGACAAGCCTGCCATTGTGCCCTTAAGAGCAGCACGATACACTGAAATTAGCAGGTGAACTATATCATAACATAGAAATAAACATTATCCATCAGTTGAAGGCTTTAGGCCACACTGTTGCTGCTGCTGCTGCTGCTGCTGCTGATAATAATAATAATAATAATAATAATAATAATAATAATAATTTATTTATACCCCGCCCATCTGGCTGAGTTTTCCCAGCCACTCTGGGTGGCTCCCAATCGAGTGTTAAAAACAATACAGCATTAAATATTAAAAACTTCTCTAAACAGGGCTGCCTTCAGATGTCTTTTTAAGCTAAGATAGCTGCTTATTTCCTTGACATCTGGTGGGAGGATGTTCCAAAGGGCGGACGCCACTACCAAGAAGGCCCTCTGTCTGGTTCCCTGTAACCTCGCAATGAGGGAACTGCCAGCAGGCCCTTGGCGCTGGACCTCAGTGTCCGGGCTGAACGATGGGGGTGGAGACGCTCCTTCAGGTATACAGGACTGAGGCCGTTTAGGGCTTTAAAGGTCAGCACCAACACTCTGAATTGTGCTCAGAAACATATTGGGAGCCAATGTAGGTCTTTCAGGACCGGTGTTATGTGGTCTCGGTGGCCGCTCCCAGTCACCAATCTAGCTGCCGCATTCTGAATTAATTGCAGTTTTCGGGTCACCTTCAAAGGTAGCCCCATGTAGAGCACATTGCAGTAGTCCAAGCGGGAGATAACTAGAGCACAGCTCCTGCAGACAGTTTAAAAGTTGGCAACTTAGGTTGGGTACTTTGGAAATTAAAAAAATGTCCTTTATAGCCCCAGCTATGAGGGTTTGACAATTTGGGCAAGGTGGAATGTAAAAGCTTTGGTCTCAAAGTCGGAGTGGAACTGAGGATGGTTTGGGACTGAGTGACGAAAGCTCCTGTGTTCCAGTGATTGCCACAATGAGGAATGTGGCCAAGAAGGAGAAGCTGGAAACCGCTGCAGGGGCTGCTCTCAACAAGACGCTGGAGATCAAACAGCTGGATGTCTGCGACGAGAAATCCATCCGCAGCTGCGTCAACAGCATCCCCCAACGGCATATTGACATCCTCAGTGAGTATCCAAAAGGTTTGCTGCATTATCTGTCACCCGGAGTAAGGATTGTGTTAGAAGGAGGTGCGCAGTGAATCAGAACCCCTGCCCCACCAAAAATAAGTGGGGGCTCTCTCTTTTTCCTTTCTTTTTAACCCAGAAGGAATACTTGGGGTGAGGTAGCAGCAACGGCAGTAAGATGATGGGGATGGAAGGACTTGCTTGGGACGTCCCTAGATGTTTACATTGTGCACGTGTATGCTAATTCCTACACACACCCAGTGGTGGACCTACATTTTTGGGGCCCCAAAGCTCGAACGGTTATGGGGCCCCTTCACAACCAGCAACGAAGTCTGGGTAACCACTGTTATGTTATCTTCTTCAAAGGGTTTGTTCCACGACACATCGCCACGAATTCTCCATGAGTTTGCGTTTTTGGTATCCGCTTATGAACTCATTTTTATTCCTCTAGGATTTTGACCACTTTTTAAAAAGTGGTGGTGGAGAATACATTAGCCACAGCAGAACAGCCAATTTACCGCAACACTCCGCATTGACATCATTTGTGTTACTGACTCTCAAACTTTGAGATTGTTGAAATACATACGGCAAAACATTAGTCAATTTTTGTGAGACTCAAATTGGGTGACTCAGTTTGGGTCTACTAATTTGGGACTTGGGGACTCAAGTCATTTCTGGGGGCCCTGAGAGATCCACAAGATTCCAGATTGGTTCCTAGTAGAGCCTCTTGCAAGTCTGGGACTGTGATTAAAGAAAAAGAAGAAGACATTGCGTGTCAGATTATTGTGATCTGTGTAGGTCAAGAATGTTAACCAGAGATGGGTTGCAGTAGGGATAAATAGAGTAGTGTAGGGGGGATTGTCCTCTGAAAAATTATGGAACAATGGGGTCCAATGTGACCATTTTGCCTACACTCCTTAGTCCCATATCGTGCTGTGCCAATCTAAAGCCTTCCGGATTGGATTAGAAATTTACTAGAACAACACTCAAGCCAAGGGTTGCTTAGGTCCTTGGCAAAAGATCACAGTTGTGCAGGATAATAATGCTCACTCTCTGTGGGTAGAAACAGACATTCAGAAACCACACAGTAGCTGCTTAAAAATTTGCAGTAAGGTGGTGTGCATGTGCAGTTATCACTTGAGACTGAAGAATCAAGGAGTGACACTCGTGACTGGATGACCGCAGGTCAAATAACCCCCAGCAGAATGCTCATTTTACCAGATGCAATGTCATCTTTGCTACTGCTGCTCCCCACCTCACCCCCAAATAAAACCCTGGCATTCCAGAAATGGAAAGGCGGCTCTGGAATCTTGTCTGGTGGGATAGAATGAGGGCAGAGAAAGGGTTAACCATTCCCCTGCCCCCCTGAAGCTGCCCTGCTCCCATCACGTTTCTTTGGTGGAAAAGCAGCCAAATTTCCCAGAAAAGTGTGTCCGCACCCTTAGGTAGAGAGAGGCAACTGAATTTAGGTATCATAAAAGGCCAGTAAATGGTTAGCTGTTACATTTTTACTAGCATGGTAAGTTACTTGCACGGCCCCAATGGGATTTTCCACCTCAGCTGTCCAAAAATAACTTGACCAGTTTTAGGTATTCTGCACAGTGACTTTGGCAGGCGGAGGGGAGCAGCACCACTTTCTGGTTGCCTCAGGCAATAAAATGTCTTGGGATGGCCATTCCCAGACATGCAGCTAACAACAAACACACAGCTCTGGCCTAATGTGAGCCAGCGTGGTGTAGTGGTTAAGAGCAGTAGACTCATATTCTGGTGAACCAGGTTCGTGTCTCCACTCCTCCACATGCAGCTGCTGGGTGACCTCGGGCTAGTCACACTTCTCTGAAGTCTCTCAACCTCACTCACCTCACAGTGTTTGTTGTGGGGGAGGAAGGGAAAGGAGAATGTTAGCCGCTTTGAGATTCCTTTGTTGTTGTTGTTTAGTCGTTTAGTTGTGTCCGACTCTTCGTGACCCCATGGACCAGAGCACGCCAGGCACTTCTGTCTTCCACTGCCTCCCGCAGTTTGGTCAGACTCATGTTTGTAGCTTCGAGAACACTGTCCAACCATCTCATCCTCTGTCGTCCCCTTCTCCTTGTGCCCTCCATCTTTCCCAACATCAGGGTCTTTTCCAGGGAGTCTTCTCTTCTCATGAGGTGGCCAAAGTATTGGAGTCTCAGCTTCAGGATTTGTCCTTCCAGTGAGCACTCACGGCTGATTTCCTTCAGAATGGATAGGTTTGATCTTCTTGCAGTCCATGGGACTCTCAAGAGTCTCCTCCAGCACCATAATTCACCATAATTGAGACTCCTTAGGGTAGTGATAAAGCGGGATATCAAATCCAAACTCTTCTTCTTCTCTTCTAATATCTTGTGAAACGCCAGCTGGATTACCTGTCTGCATCTCCACAGTTACACACTCGTAGTTTAATATGGCAATCATCTAGTCGTCAGTGTGAAGCAGTTCTCAGTTTCCCCAAGTGTCTGAGAACATGGGAACGGGCTGGAATGGGGTAACATTGGCTCTACCATTGGGCTAGAGCGGGAATGGGGAAACTGCAGCCCTTCAAATGTTGCTGGACTCCAACTCCCTCAGCCCCAGCCTGTTTCCACTGCTCCCTTCCTCTCACTGAACACCAAGGGTGGGGCTCACAATAAGATCTTTTGTCTGCCTGTTGCAGTCAACAACGCTGGCGTTGGTCTTATTGGTCCCATCGAGTGCCAGACCATCGAAGAGATGAAGGCCATCATGGAGACCAACTTCTTTGGCGTGGTGAGGATGATTAAGGAGGTCCTCCCTGACATGAAGAAAAGGCGGAGTGGCCACATTGTGGTCATCAGCAGTGTCATGGGTTTGCAAGGTAAGGTTGTTGTTTTCTTGGCTAAGTCTTCATTCACACAAGCTTTTTTCAGCCTTGTTCGCAAGCCCAGATTTTAAGAAGCAATTTCCTTTCTGTGTGGATAGTGCATTATGCAGCTTAGCCCACTAGGTGGCACTGAGCGGATTTGCATCCGGGTGAAGTCAGGAGTTCCCTGTGTCTGTTTTCTTCCTATGAAGAGAGACAATAAGGTATTTTTTTGCCAAATTTCTGACTGGTGCATCTTCCTCTAAGTCTTCCATGTCACCTGCTTCCTGTGACTCAACCTCTATGCCTTCCTTACTTATTTATAAGTAAGCTCTTTATACGCTGCCCTCTCAATTACATACCATTAATATATTTAAAAGAAGACGCAATACAGAATAACTATTACAATGGCTGGCTACTGCATTCATAAGAACATTGCCTACTAAGCTAAATCAGTCAAAGGGTACAAATAGGCACTTTCCCATCTCCTGGGAAACACACAAACAGCAAAACATGATGGCCATTCTGTGTTGTTTGTCACCAGTATCTGATGTTTTGAGGTAGGCCACCTCCAGAGACAGATTCATGGAGGATAAGGCTCTGTTCTGTTTCCACTGTCAGAGGCAATATATCTCTGAATGCCAGAGGCTGAGAATCACTGGTGAGAAGAGGGTAGCTGGGTGGGTCTTTCCTCGGAGGCAGTGGGCTCTTGTGATGTTCTCTGAACAGAGGCTCCCTTTAGATTAGGATCAATAGCCACTGACAGACCTAGCCTCTTAATAAATCGTCTAGATCCGGCTTCCTCAACCTCAGCCCTCCAGATGTTTTGAGACTACAATTCCTATCATCCCTGACCACTGGTTCTGCTAGCTAGGGATCATGGGAGTTGTAGGCCAAAAACATCTGGAGGGCTGAGTTTGAGGAAGCCTGATCTAGATCTTTTTCTTAGCAAGCTAAGGCTTTGTTTGCACATGTGCAGCAGAATGAGGTGGGTAAATCCCAAGGGGGCAGAAGGACAGACTCAAATTTTGAATATTTTCTCATCTAAAATAAAAACCAGAAACAAAAAACCCCTGCAAGTAAATAGCTAGCACATATGGGGAATTTTTATCCCAGCCCATTTTGCCATGCCAGTTTTCACTTGCAGGGAGGGTGTGTGTGAGAGAGAGAAACCTTCAAAATGTGGCTTATTCACTTGCTGTCTGGAGTGCCGAACACTTTAGCTGCACATAAACTCCATGTGAAAGTAGCAAAAAAGGATCAGGGTGGCTGGTGTAGGGGACTTTTAAGCAGATAACAGGTCTTTTTTTTTTCTTGTTTAAGTTAAGATTTTATAGTACAGTGTTACCTTGGGTTAAGAACTTAATTCGTTCTGGAGGTCCGTTCTTAACCTGAAACTGTTCTTAACCTGAGGTACCACTTGTGCTAATGGGGCCTCCCGCTGTCCCCGCGCGATTTCTGTTCTCATCCTGAGGTAAAGTTCTTAACCTGAGGTACTATTTCTGGGTTAGCAGATTCTGTAACCTGAAGTGTCTGTAACCGGAGGTACCACTGTACTCTGTATAGTATGCATGCCCCCTCTCTCTGTATATGTTTGTGTATGTACACACACACACACACACACCTCCATTGTAACTTGTGTAACTGTCATTTTATATTGAAATGTTGCCTGAAAGTTGTCAAAGCCAGTGGCTCATACAATAAATCTGATGCCTTAATAAACGAGGACATAATTAATTTTGTTTGACTTGGCCATCAGAATGGTCTGCCTGCAGGATTTGTCTGTGTCCAGCCTCTTGCTAATCTCTTCTTTTTCAGGCATCGTGTTCAATGACATCTACACAGCTTCCAAATTTGCCATTGAGGGCTTCTGCGAAAGCCTCATCATCCAGGCGCTCAAGTTCAATATCTTGTGAGTGGCTAATCGGCAAGTGATGCTTTTAGACCCCTTCTCCTCCCCTGCCATGCCTATACAGTTAGGGTTGCCTTCTTTTGCATTTCTGGCAAGTCTCCTTCGGTTTCGACAGCTGCAAAAGCGGAAGGAGTTCAACAGGGGTAGCTTTTTTCCGGTTGAAAGAGTCTAGTGAACGGAAGAGCTTCACTTCATGAATTTATGGCAGGGGGGGAAAGTGGTCACTTTAAATAATGGTAATAAGTGGTGCTATTCACAGGATAAAACAGCTGGTGGTCAGACGAAATTCACTCTGATCAGATCAGAGTTAGCATCTCCCTTTGGGTAGTTTAGCTCTTCAGGAGGGGTAAGTGGGGAAACAGGGAGAATTCAAGTTTATTTATGGCTCATTTGTCTCAAAGTGGGGTGACAACCTCACTACACATTTAAAGCAGTACTATACCACTTTAAGCATTCATGGCTTCCCATTCCCAAAGAATTCTAGGAACTGGAGTTTATTAAGTGCGCTGAAAATTGTTAAGAGATCCCTATTCCCCTCATGAAACTGCAATTCTAATAATTCTGTGGGGGTTCCCTTTGGACTCTTTTCTTTTCTTTTCTTTTCTTTTCTTTTCTTTTCTTTTCTTTTCTTTTCTTTTCTTTTCTCTTCTCTTCTCTTCTCTTCTCTTCTCTTCTCTTCTCTTCTCTTCTTTTTCTTTTGCTAGCAGGCCATGTTGAATCCAGCCTGCTTTTTTAAGAATCACAAATAGGAGCTAAGGCATGGGGGGGGGGCTACATAAATAAAGGATTTTGAACAGTATATATTTAGGATTGGCGTTCTCCCCCCCCCAATATAGCTTCCAAATTAGCCGCTTTTTCAGTCATGGTTCGCTACAGTCATACCCAGAATAGACAGGGTGACTGAGGTTAGTCATCTGTATTGATCTGAATGGGCTTACTCTGCGTATGACTTAGTTGGATCGAGCGCAGCCGTTTCTCACTGCCACTTCCACTCCCTCCAACAATTGCTCATAGCCTGACTTGGCCTCTTCTGTGCCTCTGGAACATGGTGGCTCCCTTCCTCACAGCCGAAATGGAGGGAGGACCCCACAGGCACCAGAAAAGAATGCCTGGCTTAAGGATGAACCTTACATATTGTGTGCTTGGCTTGTAGTGTCAGTTTGATAGAGCCTGGCCCAGTCGTGACCGAGTTTGAGATGAAGGTCTATGAAGACGCAGAGAAAGCTGACTATTCCCAGACGGATCCTGAGACTGCAGAAATATTCACCAATGTCTACCTGAAAAATTCGAAGGCCATCTTCTCCAGTTTGGGCCAGACCCCTGAAGATGTAGCTGAGGTGAAAAAAAAACTAATGTCTTCTTTATGTGTGACAAGGGCTGCCATTTATGATGATGATGATCATCATCATCATCATCATTACCGGTATATCATCATCATCATCATCATCACTTGCAGGAATTTCTATGCTGCTCAAGACACAAAATTCCAGATCGCTGCACATTTTAGGATTGGAAAGCACTTGTAGAACCAAGCATAGGGGGAAAACAGCACAGCATCTTCAGTAGAATGGACAACCTGGCTGGTTCACACCACAGGCAAAGTCTGTGAGAATATAAAAGCTTTAAGCCCATGTCTAAAGCAACCATTCTGAAGCTTGGGGCGCCCGACATTGTTAGACTACAACTCCCATTGTTCCCGACCACTGGTCCTGCTAGCTAGGGATGATGGGAGTTGTAGTTGTTAGGCTATCCCTGTCCAGGTAGGGGTGCCACTGAGGCCACCCAAGTCTCAAGCAGCAGCAATGCATCCAAAATTACCCCCAAACTGCATACCCGCTCCTTCAGAAGGAATGTAACCCCATCGAAAGCAGGCAGCCTCCCATCCAACTGGTTAGATGCAAATTAACAGTCTCTCACCCAATGTTGCTCAAGAATTCAAAGAAACAAACAAAAAAAACCACAACAGTGCAGTATTGAATGGTGCAGTCTGCCATCTTGATTCAAGTTGTATCCAAGCACGGGTGGAAACCTGCTCCTTGATCACAGGAACCATCTTGCAAAATTTGGTTAAGGTATCTGAACACATACAGAACAGACAAACAACTTTCTAAAATATATAGCGGATGTGGTCAACTGATTAATCGTAGGAGTTTTAGTAGGTTCCATTGATTAATCAACTAAGGCTGGATCTACACTGACCTTTTTAATGTTATTAGAAAGATACTAGATATATAGTTCTAAAACGTCACAGGGCACTGGCAAATAAAAAATGCTCCTTACCTTGTTTTTTACCGTAACAATAGAGTTTCTCTATTGCAGGTTCCCGGTTGCTCAGCAGCTCCCTCTGGTGTCAAATAATAGTAATAATAATAATAATAATAATAATAATAATAATAATTTATTCATTCATTCATTCCCCACCCATCTGGCTGGATTTCTCCAGCTACTCTGGGCAGCTCCCAACAGAATTGATGATGATGATGTTGATGACAATAATAATAATAATAATAATAATAATAATAATAATAATGTGATAAAACATCAGACATGAAAAGCTTCCCTAAACAGGGCTGCATTCAAATATCTTCTAAAAGTTGGATAGTTGTTTATTTCCTTGACATCTGATGGGAGAGCGTTCCACAGGGCAGGCACCACTACCGAGAAGGCCCTCTGCCTGGTTCCCTGTAACCTCACTTCTCACAGGGAGGGAACCGCCAGAAGGTCCTCGGAGCTGGACCTCAGTGTCTGGGCTAAACGATGGAGGTGGAGACGCTCCTTCAGGTATTGTGAGGGAGGGTGGGCTTTGGAGTGCAACCCCATCTGCAGAGCCACAGGTTTCCCAGCTCTGCCTTTGTGTGGATGTCCCCTGGCATTTATTTACGTGGGTGTCCTGTGTTTCCCTCCGCAGCACACGCTGAAGGTCATCACCACGGCCAAGCCGCCCTTCCGCCACCAGACCAACGCCATCTACACGCCCATGACGGCTCTCAAGCACGCCGACCCCACCGGGGCCTTGATGACCGACTCGTTCTACAAGATGGTCTTCAAATATGATACCCTCTTGCACGTCAGCCTGAAGGCCATTCGGCTGATCCGCTGGCAAGCCCAGAAAATGAGGCAAGGAGCTAGGTTGTTGGGCTTCAGATGAGGAGGCCCTTCAGAGGCCGGAGAGAGAGAGACTGGGGAACGGAAGATCCCAAAACAGATTCACTTCTCTTTTTACCAAACTTTCTGTTCGCACATTTGAAACACTTTAAAACCCTCAATTCTATTCTCACTACTTCTGACTAGGCTTTTTGTTTTTTGTAATTCGCACCCTGGAGCCCTGCTTTGTGTTTATTTGCATGCTTTAACCCCCGTTCTCCCTTTGAATTGCCCCAGAGATGAGGTTGAAAGGCCCGTGTTCATGCAGAAGCTGAGTAGGAGCAGCAGCAGCAGCCAGGAAGGCACGGCTCTGAGCAGTCCCAGGATAGCAAACCACTTGGAAATCTGTGAACTGGTCTCACCTCTTAGGACAAAGAGCAGCAGTGCAAAAAAACAAAAAAACAAATAAAGGCTGAACTGTGCAATATGTTAAATACAAGTGGCTTGCAGCCACATGGGGGGGATTAGAGAAATTAATCCCAGGCAAGGGGGGGGGGAGAGAATTGCCATCCAGATTCGAGGTTTAACCCTCCCCTCCCCTGGCGTGATTTTGACAAAAATCCTCTCTCCCCGCCCCCTCCTTGCTGCAATTAGCAATAGCAACAAAAAAAGAGGTTTCCTTGCTGCTTTTTGTTTGTTTGTGGTAAATGTGATAGCAGTAAAAAGAAGAAGAAAAGAAATAGCCTACCCTGTGTGGACTGGAAAAGCATAATTCACACACCTCCCACAGATGTGAATTTTACCTTCGTAGAGGAGGCTAGTCTCTACATGCGCTCAGGCATCCCTCTATTACCTTCCTTGCTGGGAAGCAAGAGAGTTCAATGACACATTTCAGCCAGGCAAAAACACTCGAGGATGGCACAAAGAAGCAGGGCTGGTGAGGGGGTGTGGCCTAGGGAAGGGGCGTGGCCTGGGGTGATGATCAGATGCAGGGGTCTGGAGGCCTGCATTTGACCTCCCACAACCACTCCTGCTTGGGAGGAACAGAAAGGTGGTTGGGGAGAGAAGGAAGGGACCACGGAGGTGCTGCAGGAAGAAACCAATTTATTACATCTCTGAAAGACATGCCCTCCAACGTGAAAATAGGGGCCTCCCGTTCCAAAATGGGATAATTTTACTATTTATACCCCACACACCTTACTGGGTTGCTCCAGCCACTCTGGGCAACTTCCAACATATATAAAAACATAATAAAACAGTAAATGTTTTTTAAAAAACCCTTCCCTAATACAGGATTGCCTTCAGACAGCTCGGGGGTCAGATAATTCCACACCCTCCAACATTTCTCCAATGAAAATAGCGACATCCTAAGGAAAAGCGGGACATTCTGGGATCAAATCAGAAACCGGGACACCTTCTCTAAATCAGGGACGTCCCTGGAAAATAGGGGCACTTGGAGGGTCTGCAAAAGAGTGAAGCCCCAAGTGATTGACTCTACCATCCAGAAGCAGCAATAACACAATCGGAAGGCGCTCCTCCCCTCTCCATCTCAACCTTTACAAGTTTTTGCCGCTGCAAAGAGAAGATGCACCTGTGGCACAAATGGCCACTGGCTATCCATTCTGGTTCTGTGTGTGCCAGCATGTTGGGGCTATCTCTCTCATCACTACCCAAATTCTCTGGCTAGGATCTGCTGTGGTGTTGAGGCAGGGGACCCCTGTGTGTATGTGTGTACCCACCCAGATCCATCCCTTTTTGAGCTCACAGAGGTGCTTGGCACACACCTTGGCAGTTGGGAAGAAACCAGCCTAAGGAAGAGTCCGTTTGTGAATCCTGTGGAGAGTAGGGATGGGTAAATTTTGTCCATTTCGGATTCTCATGTTTTCCACTCTAAGGTTCAGTTCTCTCCCTTTTCCTCATCAGTTTATGATTTATAGGGAACTGAAACCAAAAGTGACATATTTGTGTATCCCTATCCACAGTACACTCTCCATGGTACCACAGTGGAGTAACTTCAGTCTCTGGTCTTCATGGTCTGATGGGAGGGCTCTTTAAATAGTCATATGACTTCCAACACACACAGGGCCATTAGGACAATGGGAGCTTGCCCCACCAACCTCAAGCCCATCCTCAGCCAGCCCCCCAGCCCCCACCTGCCTGCTTTCTTATTTGCACCCAGTCAGGGATTGGCGATTCCTGTCACCAGTTCCAGATCCACCTTCCGTCAGTCTCTCTGCCTTCTTACCTACCAGTTGCAATGGGCACCAGTCATCACTGCCTTCTTCAAAATTTGGCAAGCCAACTCTCATCTTCCTGTCATTCTGCTGAGTGGGGCTCTGGCCTCCTGCCTCAAAGTCTTACCTCATGGTACCACCCGTTCTTTATCCTTTAGCATTTGAGAGTCCTGAATCAAGGTTTACTTTTTGGTTGTTTTCTGGTTGTTGTTGCTCCTAACAGTTTTTAAATCGCACACAAACACAATGCAAAACCATGGCAAGGTTGCCCTTGTGTGCTGCCCGTTTCTCCTCAATCTCTCTCCTTGCCCTCTTTCCCTAAGTACCCCCAAACAGCCCTCAAAATATGTAATAGCAGAAGTCGAATGAAGAATACTTTCTGGAAATAATAAAAAGGAACAACGTAAACATTTCAGTATGTTTCCGAGCACAATTCAAAGTGTTGGTGCTGACCTTTAAAGCCCTAAACGGCCTCGGCCCAGTATACCTGAAGGAGCATCTCCACCCCCATCGTTCTGCCCAGATGCTGAGGTCCAGCTCTGAGGGTCTTCTGGCAGTTTCCTAATTGTGAGAAGTAAAGTTACAGGGAACCAAGCAGAGGGCCTTCTCGGTGGTGGCACCCGCCCATCAGATGTCAAGGAAATAAAGAACTATACAACTTTTAGAAGACATCTGAAGGAAGCCCTGTATATGGGAGTTTTTAATGTTTGATATTTAATTATGTGTTTATATTTCTTGGGGGCCCCAGTCAGATGGGCAAGGTACAAATAAAATTATTATTACTATTACTATTACTATAACTATTACTATTACTATTACTATTATTATTATTCAGGAACAAACAAATAAGTGCTTCTCTAGTTGGTATGTAGCAGTCTGAGTGAATTTCCATACACAATGCACACAGAGCAGCTGTAATAGTTTAGTGATAACAAGAACTCTGGAAGTAGAAGGAAACCCCAGTGGTGGGTCATTGGGTACATGAGGACCAGACTTCTGCAAGATAAATCAATTCTCCTGGAAACTCAAACCTGAGAACCTTTGCTTCTAGATTATCAGTTGCCCTGTTTGCTGATTATAATGTCTCTGTGTGTGAGAGAGATGACACCTAGCGGCCCATGCAAGTATTTCTCTTCTTGACTTTTTGCCAAGAGACCTATTCTGCAAAATGATAAGAGCGGATTTGATTATGATGACGATGATTCGATCATTTGACATAGAACTCTTGCAGAGCACATAAGAGGGGGGAAAGGGAGGAGAAGGAGGAAGAATAAATCAGAAGGTTTTTGTTTTGTTTTTGCTCCACATCTTCTGGACTTCTACTTGTAGATTGAATACCTGGAAGCTCCCCTTTACTCATTTGTGCCCTTGGTCCCATAGGCAGAAGCGGGTGACATTGGGGGTGGCCATGTGCTCTCATCGTGCTGGTTGAGTCACATGATCCTGAGGTAGACAGCCCATGACCAGCCTTAGGGGTTTCAGTTCCCAGTCCCAGACAGAAATATCTCCAGCGAGCTGTGCTTATTAGACCCTGACGCGGTATTTTTAGCCACTTGGGGTTTAAACTGTAAAGAAATGACTGAACAGCGCCTAATTCTGATGACTGCGTGGACTGAAAAAGCAGATACAACACAGAGGGAGGGAGCAAAGGTTGCGGCTTGTAAGGCGAAGGGAACCTTCAGTCTAAATAAATACAAGAGAGGTTTTCAAGGAGATAATTGGTGATGATAATGGAGGGGCCGATTTCTTTGAAATGGTGTTTTTAGGAAAAGGTAGCCGTTTCCCAGAACCAGGCTTGTTTTACGTAAATCACAGAACTGGAAGGGACCACGACTCCCACCCTCTGAAACACAGGAAACTTTGGCCCAACATGGGGCTCAAACCCACAACCCTGATATTAAGAGTCTCGTGCTCTACTGACTGAGGAGTTCATCTGTATGGACCACAGTCAGCCTTGTTTTTCCTCTGACAAATCACCACTATTTGTGGGATTATGAAGATGGGCAGAGCAGTCCTAGATTCCCATTAGGCTGGGACATGAGATATGCTGTGGCATGGCCACTTCCCATAAGCCCCAAACAGCATGGCCAAATATCAGGATGGCAGGAAGTCCCTTCCAATCTGGAGGGCACCACGTTGGCCACCCTTGCTACACATTCTCTTTTTAAAAAAAAAAAAATATTTATTAAAATTTCAACATGTTACAAAAATGAGCGAAAAAAGAAAAAAAAAGCAGATGAAAAAAAGAAAAAGATATAAAAATGGAAAAATACAGAGTACAAAATAAAACCAGGTAAACAAACAAATTAGTCTTTCTATGTCTTATCCTTCATTTACTTGTTTCCTCGACCTCCTCACACCTCCCTTTTTTGTATTCCAGTTCACATATTCTGTTCAGCAGTTCCCTCCCCTCTTTTAAATATCCTAATCAATAATCATAAAGATATTGTACTTTTAGATTTTTACATATTACATAGTAAACCCTTTTTCATCTTCCCTTGTAACATTTCAGCTAAGAACCACTTAGTTTTTATCGAACATCATTCTAACATTCATTGATTTTACAATATTTCTGTAGATAATCTTTGAATTTCTTCCAATCTTCTTCCACCGACTCTTCTCCCTGGTCTCGGATTCTGCCAGTCATTTCCGCCAGTTCCATATAGTCCATCAGCTTCATCTGCCATTCTTCCAGAGTGGGTAGATCTTGTGTCTTCCAATACTTTGGAATAAGAATTCTTGCTGCTGTTGTGGCATACATAAAGAAAGTTCTGTCCCTCTTTAACACCAATTGGCCGACTATGCCCAGGAGGAAGGCCTCTGGTTTCTTCAAGAAGGTATATTTAAATACCTTTTTCAATTCATTATATATCATTTCCCAGAACACCCTTGCTACACATTCTCAGCCTGGGGGACACACACAGACAAACTGGTGTAAAAATACCACCAGTCTGGGGCTGTGCTAGCAAAGACACCCACATGCTGCCTCTACACAGGGGGAGCCAATGAGTGTATAATGTTATGACATCACAGCACACACACCATGGTGCCACAGTGCCCCCTGTCTACCAGTCCAAGCAGCACGGGCAGCAGCAACCCCTGCTACAACGAGACCCCTGGTGTCCATACAGGCAGGGATTCAGTGACCACACAAACCCCTGTCATGTTCCTCAGAAACCAGTGGGGTATAGTGCTTAAGGTACTGGGGCTTGAACCTCACTTGGCCATGAAGCTCAGTGGGTGGCCTTGGGTCAGTCACCATCTCTTAGCCTAAGCCTACCTCACAGGGTTGTTTTGAGGATAAAAAAGGAAGAGGGAGAAGGCTGTATGCCACTTTGAGCTCCTCAGAAGAAATAATAACAATGATGATGCTGATGGTGGTGGTAGTAGTAGTAGTAGTAGTGGTAGTAGTGGCAGTGTTTTGGAGTCCAACACAAAAAGGAAGGAAGGAGAGCGAAGTATTAGTACCACTCTATTCTGCCTTAGTCAGACCACACCTGGAATACTGCCTCCAATTCTGGATACCACAATTTAAGTGGGATATTGACAAGCTGGAGTGCGTGGAGAGGAGAGCAACCAAGATGATCAAGGGTCTGGAAACCAGGCCTTATGAGGAATAATTGAAGGATCTGCTTAGCCTGGAAAAGAGGTGACTGAGAGGAAATCGGGTAGCCATTTTCAAATATCTGATGGGCTGTCACATGGGAAAGGGAGCAAGCTTGTTTTCTCCTGCTTCAAGTTCCAAGAAAGGAGATTCCAACCAAACACCAGAGAAACCTTTTTGACAGTGAGAGCTGTATGGCAGTGGAATGGTCTTCTTCAGGAAGTTATGGACTCTCCATGTAACACAGGACCCACATAACTCCCTGAGCAGGAGGACTGGGCAAAGCGCACACTGTTTTCCTGGGACAAAGATTGAAGACCTACCCAAGGAGGCAAAGACCTTTTCGCCTGTAAGCCAAGGGAAGCCAAAGATAAACACCGACAGCAGCCTCACCAAACAGGACATGGGATTGGGAGCAGGGGCAGATTTAGGTTTGATGAGGCCCTAAGCTACTGAAGGTAATGGGGCCCTTTATATGTCCAGCAGTCCTTTGTCAACAACAAATTGTCACCTTTTTTTGCGTTGAATATATGCTATATGGTAATTTATGGACCTAATAGGTTAGGTATCTAAAGCCATTTTATTTGTTTTTTATCTTATATTGTTGAACTGTACATACAGGTTTTTTTCCTTTAATTTTTTTGGGGCCCCCAGGAGAGTGGGGCCCTAAGCTATAGCTTGCTTAGCTTATACGTAAATCTGGCACTGATTGGGAGACAGGAGATGGGAGTTCAAACCTCATTGGGGTGGGGGGTGGAGGGCAAACATGCCCCCATTCAACTGTGGCATGTCTACAAAATCCCACAGAGCGGCCTCAGCAGTGAGGCACAGCCGCAGACAGCACTTAATCACCTCATGGAGTGTTGTGGGCTGCTGCGAGAACAGACTGATGAACCAGATTCGCTCTGGGCCTGATCCAGCACAACTCTCTTGCTTATGTTTATTTGACTTTTTCCCCCAGCCTCAGCACTGAGTCACAGACACCTGGATGAGCCCTAAGTAAAACAGCTCACGTTGCACAAATGGTGGTATAGGCCGGGCTGAGAGACATTTAAAGGTGAACCTACCTAATTCATACTTTCCAGAGCGAGATGTGAACTGAAACGCAACCAACTTCACGCAGTGCTGTTCTCCAACCAAGTAATGCTTACCAAAATGCATGTGCTAAGCGGAGGGCGCATATAAATGCATATATTAGTGGAAATAGCGCACACAAATGACAAAGTGTTTTCCCATCAGGCAAAATGATATACGAAATGGCGTATATTAGGAGAAATGAACAACAGAATGTTATTGAGGACTTTTATTCTTTTCTTAAGCAAGCTGATGTGGAGAACGGAACCTCAGATTTGAAAAACGAGAAACGGAGAGAAAATAAAACTGTGATCAATTCCTCCATCCCTACAGTGGGGTCCCTAGTTCAAACCCAAGGTTCAAACCTACACTAGAAAACATAGGCTGCATTGTATACTCTGAGGGCTTGTCCACTTTTCCCTTTGCCCTGTCATGTTCCCCCAGGAAATCCCGTTCTTTACTGTTGAATAGGAGCAAGTGTCAAGTGGGTTTCCTGCAGATTGACATTTGCTCTGATTCAGCAGCAAAGAGGGAGTTTTCCTGAGGGGAAGGCGGTACAACAAACAGAATACCCCTTGGATGAGGTATTCTTTCTAGACAGGGAACCAGAGGAGCTATGGATGAGCTGGAGCTGGCAGCAGTTCTCCTGGGTTTCGGACAGGGCTGGGGATTGAACCCACGACCTTGTGCATGCAAGGCTGATGCAACCCTGCCCCTGATCTACAGCCCATCCTCAAACACTTTTGCATGTTGCACACCATGGAGCTTTGCAGGGGTACAGGAGCCTGGAGGAAGCAGTTTAACAAGCCCACAGCCTGTAGCATCCTCCTAATTGCTGCTGGCTCTGGTGTGAGCCTCCCTCCGTGGAAAATGGTCGCAGCATGGATCCTGTAGCTGCAGGAGAGCAAGGGAGGCACACACAGAGGACGACAAGCAGCTGGAGGCCGTTGCCCCTGGCCCTGGATCCCCCGTAGGCGTTTGTGAGGAAGTGAGAGAGAAGACGGAGCGGCACCACCTGAGCACACAGCCAGGCTCACGCCACAGCCTCACCCCACTCTCTGTTGTGGTCAGGGAGGAGGAGGAGGAGAAGGCAGCGAACCCATCTCTCTCAGGGCTTGCAGGGAAACTCTGTGAAGCAACAGCTTGCTCTGCTCTCTCACAGCATCCAGGCTGTGAGAATCATGGGGAATAAGGCTCCTGCTGGCTACTCACCAAGGCAGCGAGGTTCTTCCTCCACCCAGTGAAGGACTTTGGGCTCTCCAATTTCAGCAGTGCCGTGTGCAGCACTGAAATTTGGCATGCATGCGGTCAGAGAGAGAGGCCATAAACGTGAGGGTTTATCTACTGATGCTTGGGTGCTGAGGCTACACCAGGCACCCCCAAACTTGGCCCTCCAGATATTTTGGGACTACAGCTCCCATCATCCCTAGCTAACAGGACCAGTGGCCAGCCATGATGGGAATTGTAGTCCCAAAACATATGGAGGGCCCAGTTTGGGGATGCCTGGGTTACACCATATTCAGTTCCCCATCATGGAGATTGTGGTCATTCACACAGGGGTAATGCTTGAAATAATTTTTCTTTCCTACCAAAGAGCAACCCTGCATAGACAGTGAGGGTGTGACTGTGAACTAAAGGGGTATAGGATTTGGTAAAAGCATGTACATTTAGGGCATGGGCTGTTGCTCAGTGGTAGAGCGTCTGCTTTGCAGGCAGAAGGTTGCAGGTTCAATCCCCGGCTTCTCCAGCTGAAACCTGGAATTGCTCCTGTTTGAAACTATGTAGTGCCGCTGCCAGTCAGTGCAGGTCATATTGACTTGGATAGAACAATGGTCTGACTTGGTGCAAAGGTAGGTTTCTATGTTCCTCTGAATTTTTAAGACCCACTGATTCCAACTGGAGACTCTGGCGTGACCTTAGGGCTCCCATCCTAGCCACCCTTACATCCCACTGAACTCAGTAGGGCTTGGGTTTGTTTGTTTTTTAGTAGATGCATTGCACTAGCAGCCTACTGAGCCTTTCAAAGCTGAACCCGAGCAAGGTTGTTCCTCTTCGCTCCTCTTGCCTCTGTCCTTGGGCGCTCTTTTCAGATTGCTTGCCTCCTCCTGCACTCCCTACATTTCTGAAGAGAGGAAAGTTTTATTCAAATTCTCAGAAACCACAGAGTCAGGGCTGGCTGCACCTTTTTGGGTCTTTGATGGGAACACTTCTGAAGTGTGGATCCGGCAGGTGTTCTTCCTGTTACTGCGGTGGAGGAGGAGGAGGAGGAGAAGTGGAGGAGGAGGAGGTAGTCAACTGCAAAGCAAGCGCCCGTCATGATTTGTGAAGAAGAAATGAGAAAGGCTCCTTCACTCTGTGGATAAGGGGCAGGGAGGAGGGGCAGGATGGAAATGCAATAGTGCACAGTTCCAGGAAACTCACAGAAATGGTGCCCTCCATATGCTGCTGCACTACAACTCCCATCATCCTTTGGGAGCATCATCCCATTGTTGGAGCTGATGGGAATTGGAGTCCAGCAACTTATGGAGGGCACCAGGTTGTGGAGGACAAGGGGTGCCATTAGAGCAAGAGTACAGAGTGGCGCTGTGGGTTAAACGACAGAGCCTAGGACTTGCCAATCAGAAAGTCAGCAGTTTGAATCCCCACGATGGAGTGAGCTCCCGTTGTTCGGTCCCTGCTCCTGCCAACCTAGCAGTTCGAAAGCACGTCAAAGTGCAAGTAGATAAATAGGTGGGAAGGTAAACGGCATTTCCGTGCGCTGCTCTGGTTCGCCAAAAGTGGCTTAGTCATGCTGGCCACATGACCCGGAAGCTGTATGCTGGCTCCCTCAGCCAATAAAGTGAGGTGAGCGCCGCAACCCCAGAGTTGGTCACGACTGGACCTAATGGTCAGGGGTCCCCTTTACCCTTTACAGACATGTTTGCCATTCCTTCCGTCTGCGCTTCAAGTGTCCAGGTGCTCAGGCAAAAGCCCCCTGATTAGGGAAGGGGAAACTGATTACCGTATTTTTCGCTCCATAGGACGCACTTTTTCCCCTCCAAAAATGAAGGGGAAATGTGTGTGCGTCCTATGGAGCGAATGCAGAGCTCGCTGAAGCCTGGAGAGCGAGAGGCATCGGTGCGCACCGACCCCTCTCGCTCTCCAGGCTTCAGGAAGCTATCCGCAAGCCTTGCAAGCCCGGTGGGAGTTCCCGCGGGCTCACAAGGCTTGCAGGCAGCAGCCTGCAGCCCCGGCGAGTGTCCGCAAGCCTTGCGCGCCCGGCAGGAGGTCCCGCCGAGCGCGCGAGGCTTGGGGCAGCAGCCTGTCGCCCGAAGCACGGGAGCCCTCCGGAGGGCTCCCGTGCTCGGGCGAGTGTCTGCAAGCCTTGCGCTCCCGGCAGGAGGTCCCGCCCAGCGCGCAAGGCTTGGGGCTGCAGCTTGTCGCCCGAAGCACGGGGAGCCCTCCGGAGGGCTCCCTTGCTCGGGCGAGTGTCTGCAAGCCTTGCGCGCCCGGCAGGAGGTCCCGCCCAGCGCGCAAGGCTTGGGGCTGCAGCTAGTCGCCCGAAGCACGGGAGCCCTCCGGAGGGCTCCCGTGCTCGGGCGAGTGTCTGCAGCCTTGCGCGCCCGGCAGGAGGTCCCACCGAGCGCGCAAGGCTTGGGGCTGCAGCTTGTCGCCCGAAGCACGGGAGCCCTCCGGAGGGCTCCCGTGCTTCGGGCGAGTGTCTGCAAGCCTTGCGCTTCCGGCAGGAGGTCCCGCCCAGCGCGCAAGGCTTGGGGCTGCAGCTTGTCGCCCGAGCACGGGAGCCCTCCGGAGGGCTCCCTTGCTTCGGGCGAGTGTCTGCAAGCCTTGCGCGCCCGGCAGGAGGTCCCGCCCAGCGCGCAAGGCTTGGGGCTGCAGCTTGTCGCCCGAGCACGGGAGCCCTCCGGAGGGCTCCCCGTGCTTCGGCGAGTGTCTGCAGCCTTGCGCGCCCGGCAGGAGGTCCCGCCGAGCGCGCAAGGCTTGGGGCTGCAGCTTGTCGCCCGAAGCACGGGAGCCCTCCGGAGGGCTCCCCGTGCTCGGGCGAGTGTCTGCAAGCCTTGCGCGCCCGGCAGGAGGTCCCGCCGAGCGCGCAAGGCTTGGGGCTGCAGCTCGCCCGAAGCACGGGGAGCCCTCCGGAGGGCTCCCCGTGCTTCGGGCGAGTGTCTGCAAGCCTTGCGCTTCCGGCAGGAGGTCCCGCCCAGCGCGCAAGGCTTGGGGCTGCAGCTTGTCGCCCGAGCACGGGGAGCCCTCCGGAGGGCTCCCTTGCTTCGGGCGAGTGTCTGCAAGCCTTGCAAGCCCGGCAGGAGGTCCCGCCCAGCGCGCAAGGCTTGGGGCTGCAGCTGTCGCCCGAAGCACGGGAGCCCTCCGGAGGGCTCCCGTGCTCGGGCGAGTGTCTGCAAGCCTTGCGCGCCCGGCAGGAGGTCCCGCCGAGCGCGCAAGGCCTGGGGCTGCAGCTAGTCGCCCGAGCACGGGGAGCCCTCCGGAGGGCTCCCGTGCTTCGGGCGAGTGCCTGCAGCCTTGCGCGCCCGGCAGGAGGTCCCGCCGAGCGCGCAAGGCTTGGGGCTGCAGCTTGTCGCCCGAGCACGGGAGCCCTCCGGAGGGCTCCCCGTGCTCGGGCGAGTGTCTGCAAGCCTTGCGCGCCCGGCAGGAGGTCCCGCCGAGCGCACAAGGCTTGGGGCTGCAGCTTGGCGCCGAAGCACGGGAGCCCTCCGGAGGGCTCCCCGTGCTTCGGCCGTGTGTCTGCAAGCCTCGCGCGCCCGGTGGGAGGTCCCGCCGAGCGTGCGAGGCTTGGGGCGGTAGCCTGCAGCCCGAAGCACGCGAGGCTTGGGGCGGCAGCGGGGGGGGGGGGATAATTTTTTTTATTCATTTCCCCCCCAAAAAAACGAGGTGCGTCCTATGGACCGGTGCGTCCTATAGAACGAAAAATACGGTATACACTGTCTGGCATTAGTTCCCCAAAGTCAACTTTAGCAAATTTTCCCAGGGCGCCTACCTACCCAAGTAGGGTAGCCGTGTGTCCTACATGGCAGAGGACAGTTCTCTCTTTGAAGGGCAAGTCCAATTTTAAAAACTGCTAACCCAGTGAAGGGAGACCAGGGACTTTGAAGCTGCCTATCCACAGATAAGACTGCAGACCCATGGGTCTGCTGGCCAGAGTCTTCCTCACTGTGGTGGCATACACCATATTCCTATTCAACTTGTAGTTAAGTATATTAAAATATTTCTAAATTTGCACCTATATAACTTGGCAGATGCAAATGTCATGTAATATCCAGGCCCTCTTTTGGTGAGGTGTTAAGTGGCCGTTCTCCCCCAAATCCTTTCAAGATGGAGATTCTGGGGCCTTCTGCCTGAGAAACATTTTCTCTCTAACCCACTGAATTATGAGCCTTCCAGTAATGTTTTTGACATTCCACCCATAACTTCCTTCAATGCTTGCCTGTCTCCAGCCTAAGGACTCTAGGATTAAAATAACTGATGTCATTGTGTCTACCAAAAAAGAAAACTGCAGCCTCTGGAAAACACAGAATGGTGTGTCTGCCGGAATCCTCCCTCCTCCCTCACCTTGCAAACATACAGGAAAGTGTCTTCTAAGGGCTGTGAAAACCTCTTTAAAGAATGTTAGACGATACCCATAGGTCTTAACTTCTCACCTTTTCGGTGGTTGCGTGCTCACTCGAAGTGGGAAAATGTGTGTGGGTGGCCTTAAGGTGCAGCTTGGGCCAAGGTGGCTGGAAGAGGAAGAGAGAGAAAAGGCTGCAAGGCAAATTCTCAAGGATGACGAGAAGACACGAAGTGGCAGGAGGGGGGGGTAGTTGTCTTCAGCTGCTCACAGAAACTCACTACAAGCTGAGTTAGCAGTTAAACTAACCTTATTTCTGATGAGGCCAGGGAACCTGCATAGAACAGTAACTAACCACTCTAGCCAGGCTCTCTGCTGCAACGCTTCTTAATGCTCATTCATCATTGTTTGTGCTCAGGATGCTTGCAGGGCAGTTACACATGATCCCAATTTCAATACTTCATACCCTCCAATTGCCCCAATTTTGCTGGGATGGTCCTGGAATTCCTACAGCTGCAATGGCTTCTGACTTGATTATGGAATGTCCTGGTGCTCCCTGCCAGCAGACGGGGCCCATGGAAACAGCTGCAATGGCTCTGGGAAGCAGTGGCACAGCAGGGATGGGGGTGGCCCCAGGTGCATTTTTTGGGAATGGGTGTGACCAGCCGCCCCCATAACAGGCTCCCTCATTGGAGCCTGGCTCCAGCATGCAGCTATAGCAGGCTTCCTCAAACTCAGCCCTCCAGATGTTTTTGGCCTACAACTCCCATGATCCCTAGCTAGTAGGACCAGTAGTCAAGGATGATGGGAATTGTAGTCTCAAAACATCTGGGGGGCAGAGTTTGAGGAAGCCTGAGCTATAGCTCCGCTCCCAGGTCAGGCAGAAAGGAGAGTCTGTGGCAGCGTTGCTGCCCCTCTCCTCCACTGGGCTGTGGCGTGTGAGTGTGCCCACACACTGCTCTCCCTGTGCCGTGCCTCCTTGGGACAGTGGCAACCGGGTGCTGCTAAGTTGTCTCCGCTTCGAAGCATCTCAAGTGACTTTTGTACACCGATTGCATCTTCCGGTTCAGGAAGACGTGCTCCAAACCATGTGGTGCCTCCCCCTTTATTACCTTGGTGGAAAAAGAAACCAAAACATACAGAGCCACGGGTACTGAAAAAAGCACTTTGTATTAAAAAATAAATCCATCACTTTACACTGTAGATAACACTTTTTGAAAACAAACACACTCGGAATGACAGCAGGTTCCCGTTAATTCTTTGACTGGAACGAAAGAACTCCAGAACAAGTGCAGAGACCTATTTTCGAAGCAGAAACACACCAGCGTGCTGTCTTCAGAGCGACAGCCATGAGCGACGAGTAGTCAGAAGCAGCAATGTTAATGCAGAGGCACATTCACGGCCCTCCAAGGTAAGGCAATGGCGTTTTCAGCTTCCATGGAGGGTTTCCTATCACAAGGCAACAGTGGTTTCCTTCTGCCAGTTCTCAACAGAGGCAAGAGCAACTCCCAAGGAAGGTTCAGAAGCAAGGATACGAAGGGCTCCCCTTACCCCCACCCGATCCTGCTGGGAAATTTTGCTAGTCTTTTACCAACACTTTTTGCTGTCTGCAAAATCCCTTCCACGTTTCCCCCTTGAGAGACCCATTAGGCTGGAGCAGCAGCAACAATGGTGGCAACACAGGAAGGTTTGGAACCTTCCTCACTGGGAAATTTGGCTAGTCATCAAATTTCTTTCTGCTCCTTCAAAATTAACCTGCCATTTTTGCCCCAGCAAAAGCCTCCACGTTTATCTCAAAAAAAGATGTTAGGTAAAACTAAACGGTACACCCTTAATTTCAGAATGTTTTCTGATGACTTCTTTTCAGCAAATCCAGAATGTGGGTTTGCCAACACCAGAGTTTACTATGGGTTCACGGCTGTTTGTGTTCCCGTTTAATTTGTGTAGTCCCCAGGATGTTACAACTATCTCAATGCTTTCCCCTTGTAAATCCAGGTTTACCCAATACAGGGATAACCCAATAAATTGGGGTGAAGCCAGGCTCCAAACTGCTACACTCAGGGGCCGCAAACAATTTGTCCCTGTGTTTTTGCGCGAGTGAAGCAGCTGTCTCCCTCCATGTCCCCTACTTCCTAAATGTTTTGTTTCCTTTTCCCTTATTTATAAAAAATGTTTAAATTCATGAAAAATAACACAGAAAATAAAGATTATAAAAAATTCACAGCAGTTTACAACATTTATACATAAAATCATACAATAAAAAGACATAAAATGTTAAAATCAGAAATCAGCTAGCACATATTCTTAATTGCCTGCATAAGCCTGATAGAAGGGGAAAGTTTTCAGCAGGCATTTAAAAGTTAAAACAGAAGCTGCTTGCTGAATCTCTGTTGGCAGAGTATTCCAGAAAACAGGCCCAATGACCCTAAAGGCTTGGTTTCCTCTTGTCAAATAAGCCCCACCAACTTGGGGAATCATAGAATTGTAGAGTTGGAAGGGACCCCAGGGGTCATGTAGTCCAAACCCCTGCAATGCGGGAATTTCAACTAAAGCATCCATGACAAATGGCCATCCAAAACTCTGCTTAAAAGCCTCAAAGGGAGGACAGTCCACCACCTCTTGTGGGAGTCAGTTCAATGGTCAAACAGCTGTTACTGTCAGAAACGTCTTCCTGATGTTTAGTCAGAATCTTCTTTCTTGTAACTTGAAGCCATTGGTTTAGGTCCTGCACTTCAGAGCAGGAGACAAGCTTGCTCCATCTTCCATGTGACAGTCCTTTAGATACTTGAAGACAGCTATCCTATCTTCTCTCAGTCTCTTTCCCAGGCTAAACATACCCAATTCCCTCAACCATTCCTCATAAGGCTTGGTTTCCAGACCCTTGTTCATCTTGGTCACCTTCCTCTGCCCAGGTCCTTAGCTCTGCCTACTGACCCTGTTAAGAGGTGGGGTCAGAACTAGGGGCGGGAGATAAATTATATTAAGTTCACCTTTAAAGGTGATTCTACTTATCTCACCATTTCTGAAACAATTCACATGCTGAACTTCTCTGAATTTTGCAGTGAAGTTCTCAAACCAAGTAACATGTACCAAAATACATATACAGGGGAAAGATGTGCACATATGTATGTGTTGTGCGTGGAAAATAAATGCATAATCTTAGAGGAAATCGCATTGCGAAAATTACAGGCAAATACAGTATTTACTCAAATCTAATGCTCACCTTTTTTGGCCAAGTTACGTTGCGAAAATTAAGGTGCAGATTAGACTTGATGGCACATTTACATTCGCCAGCAAATACTCTTTTTGTTTCAAGGTTCTGAAAATTGAGGTGCGCATTGGATTTGATGGCTGTTGTGGAAAAATTGAACACATGACTGGAAAAAATAAGAAGCTGAGAGAAACTGAAATTTGGTAGATTCACCCATCTGTAGTCAGTACTGTCTGAAGTTGCAAGCTGGCAACTCTAAATATGCAAGACCAGTGATTTGTCCAGGAACAGAGGTGCCCCTGAAGGATAATGACATGTGAACTGAAAGACAGGGAGGAAGAGGGAATGTGTGTGTGTGTTTTCTCTCTTTTACACACACACACACACACACACACACACACGCACACACACCAACAAGAGAGAGAGAGAGAGAGCAAGAGAGAGATGGAAATAGCACAGATTGCCCTTAAGGCATATATAAAAAGGCTCACCAGTGTGACAAGAACAAAAGACCACTTTTACATCTTTGCTACTGACAGGATAAAACGAAAGTCACACTTCTGCTACAAACAAGCTGGTTGAATGGCTCCTCTACCAAGGACCACCGGAAACTGCAGCAACTGAGAACTCACCCTATAAAGAAATATAACTCACTGAGGTCAGGGCTCAATCTTAGCCCAATAACTGTGGGCTTATCCACATCTACCTTTCCTCCACTCTTTCCAGACATCACCTGCTCCCTGTCCGATCGCCCCTTTTTGGTTTTGCTCTAGACCAGGGGTAGGCAACCTAAGGCCTGGGGGCCGGATGCGGCCCAAACACCTTCTCAATCCGGCCCTGGGAATCAGCATGTTTTTACATGAGTAGAATGTGTGCTTTTATTTAAAATGTATCTCTGGGTTATTTGTGGGGCATAGGAATTCGTTCATTATTTTTTTCAAAATATAGTCCGGCCCACCGCATGGTCTGAAGGATGGTGGACCAGCTCACAGCTGAAAAAGGTTGCTGACCTCTGCTCTAGACCTTTTCCGCTGAAAACCTGCTCTTTAAAACTCAATCGGAGCAAACAGCCATCCACAGAAAACCCCAATTGATGTTTGTGCCCCGCCCCCGGCAAATGTTTGGGCATGGAGCTTTTAAGTGCAGACCTGTGCCTGGAAGGAACAGGGAGAAAGGTAAGTGTAGATAAGCCCTCTTTTTCATTGCCAAGGCGCCAAGGGAAGAATGTGGGTTGGACTACTTTAGGAGGCCTGCCTTTGGGAAGGGAATCAATGGACTGAATGCTCTCTGACAGAAGAAGCTCCCCACTCCCCTCAGGAAAACAGCATGCTAGGGAGATGGCCTACAGTCTAGCCTTGTTTCTGGCATGCTGCTTTTCCAAATGCAAGGCGCTATTTTGCGTCCCTAGGGTGAACCAATCAAACATGCGGTTCCCACAGGTGGGGTCTATAGCTCCATGCTTTCCAAATGGATGGTTCCAGGTTCAGTCCCCAGCCTCTCCAGCTTAAAAAAAAAAAAGTAAGAGGAGGAGGATCAGATGATATAAAGGACTCTCCACCACCTAAATCTTTACAATAATGGGCCAGGAGGACAATCAGGGGCAGCTTCCTTCGCTCACAACATGAGGTGGAAAAGCTACTTTCTCAGTTCGCTCTGCAGATTATATAAACTGGCCTGAGGTCCCGGAATAATTGAAAAATGAACAAAAAGCACCTGAGTCTTCACAAACCACAGGTCCAGCCATCTCCAAGCACCAAATGCTGGAAACTAAGCCCCGACACCCTTTCTTCCCTCTCCGCCATTGTTGTTGTTTTCAGAAATTAAGCACTGTTGGGGGCAGCCATCTTAGTTTCCGGTCTGCGTTAACTGTGAGCCTAATCCAGGGCTGGGTCACCAAAGGACCTTTCAGACACTGTGGGATTCCCAGCACTCATCAGCCTCAGAGAGCATGGCCAATATTTCTCTATTTTTATTTAAGACATTTATATACCGCTTAATTTTTCACGTTTCTGAGGGGTGCTAAGGGTGATATAAGTTGTAGCCCAGCAACATTCGGGCTTGGGGCCTACAGATTCCTCACCTCTGGCCGAACCTTTTTTACAGGTGGTACAGAAAAATGTCAACGAAATCTCTCCACTTTTTTTTTTAAGGGTTTTAAAAATCTGACTACATTACAAATGTAAACTAGTCTTAAACTCCCCACGTTCCTGGACAAGGAACCCTGAAGACTGTAGATCCATGGAGTCAAGGAAATACCCACAAGTTATAATTCCCCACCCCCACCCCCCAGGTTGTTTGGTAGAAATCACACAATACTCAAACTTGGTTTTGGACTGGTTTTAGGTTACGGTGCACGAGTCTCCCCAGAAACTGATGGGAGAAGTTCTGCTCTCATTTCAGTCCCATTCTGTGCTCGCCACGGACTATGTGGGAGGAGAACTCGTATTTGTCATGGCTCCGGTGGCCACACAAATTACACTCAAAAGGGTCACGGAAGCCGTGGCATCCCATGTGGATGGTGAACATCACATAATCCAGGAAGAGGACGCGGCAGTGGTCACATCGGTAGACCCCAATGGGTTCGCCTTCCTTGTTGAAGACTTTCAAGACGTCACGAGGACAAACGACGGGTGGCCTGAAGATCTCGTAGGACCTGGGGTGCTCCTTGTAGACCAGGAGCCCATTATGGGCCTGCAGAGGAGGAGGAGCCGCTTGGTTCTGGTGGTAGGCAAGGCTCTGGTGCTCCTCTTGGTTGCTGTCTGAGTCTGTGGAATCTTGGCCGCTGTTGTTTGGAGAAAGGCCTCTGTCGGAAGACATAGCCTTGTCTCTCAGCTGGGCATGGCTCTTTTCCACCTCCTGAGGGTTGCCGTTGGGCACTTCAGAGCGGGTGAGCGCCAGGGGGTACAGGCTGCTGATCACGGGCACCATCTCCGAGGTCGGGGGTGCCGGGTTCTGCACAAGCGGGCGCAGGGATTCTGCGCCAAGGTAGCCCATGGAATTGTTGATGGCTTGTTGGTCCAGCAGGCATCCTTGCAACATGGCCTCCCTCTCCTTCTCGTACACAAAGCTGGGGTTGTAATTCACTTCAAAGCTGGAGCGTTTCTCACCTGTGGGACAGAAGGATGCATGAGGATGTTACAGGGTAAAGTTCTAAAACCGCCTTACATTTATACCGTGGCAGCATGAAAATACTTTTATAAATAAATACATTTTGCGTACAAAAGCATCTCTGTGCCACCATGTTCTAAAATATCAGGGCAGTGCACAATATCGCAATATAAGATACTATTAAAAACAATACATGGGGTATTGAGGCCTCACCCCTATTAGGAATTCTACTCTGCCTTGACCTGTCCTGTTCCTTTCACTAGCATTCCCTGAACACTTTCAGGTCTAGCTTAAGGATTATTTTATTATTTATTTATTGAATTTATATACAGTGGTATCTTGGGTTACATACGCTTCAGGTTACAGACTCCGCTAACCCTCGGGTTAAGAACTTTGCTTCAGGATGAGAACAGAAATCGTGCTCCGGCAGCGCGGCAGCAGCAGGAGGCCCCATTAGCTAAACTGGTGCTTCAGGTTAAGAACAGTTTCAGGTTAAGTACGGACCTCCGGAACGAATTAAGTACTTAACCTGAGGTACCACTGTACCGTCCTATACCTAGAGGTCTCAGGGCGGCTCACAGAAAAGATCACAATATATAAAATCAAAATAAGAACAATATCCCAATAACACCCCCCCCCAAAAAAGAGCGGCATTTTAAAAGGGTCTAGGATGTCCATCAGGTCAACCAAAGGCCTGGTTTAAAAGGAATGTTTTTGCTTGGCACCTAAAGGTGTATAATGAAGGCACCAGGCGAACTTCTCTGGGGAGAGCATTCCACAGACAGGGAGCAACCGCAGAGAAGGCCTGTTCTCGGGTTGCCACCCTCCGGACCTCTCAAGGAGGAGGCACATGAAGAAGGGCCTCAGAAGATGATCTCAGGGTCTGCGTAGGTTCATATGGAAAGAGGTGGTCCTTGAGGTATTGCGGTCCTGAAACCTGCCTTTTTTAAATAGGACAAAACAGAAGCTGACATTCTCCAGCAGCTGAATTCTGCAGCCAGTACTAATTTCTGCACTTTTCTGGTACAGTTATAGTACCAGGGGATCCATTCAGCCTTGGCCATAAGGCAATGGAATTCTGCTGCCACAAGCAACATTTTCACACACAGCAGGCAAAGGCGTTTTTCGTATTAAAATCCTCTGTGCTTGAAGGATAGAAACTAGAATGTCAAACCCTTGAGATATTTATCACTGGCAGTACTATGACTCAAGGACCACGAAACTTGGCAGGCTGTTTCAGTGGATGGGTTTGAAACCAACCACTCACGTTTCTTTAGTAATGTGCTTGAGAACCCGCTGACAAGATTCTCTGTCAATCTTGTGATCCATCTGATAGATAAAAGGAATTTTAAAAAGAAAAAAGAAAAAATCCCCCACAGAATGACATTTGTCTATGACTCAGATGCCAGTTCTAGAAAAGATGAATCAAAGAAAATTAGCCCCGTTTCTCAAGGGATGCTGAAAGTTTTCAGTTTCTTGTTTTGAACTCATGAATACGATTAACTAAGAAAATATCCAGCGTTAGGGCGGGCTCTGTGCAGGCAATGTGAAGGCTTATAAATATTTGGTATATTGTATTGAAAGCCCCGGGAAGTTACTGTGTGTCTCTGTACATTCTGCAGAGATAAACTTTTGGGATTTTTGACTACGTGCTATCTGATGCAGCTTCCCACAAAGCAATTAAGAAGTTGGCTGAAGGCCAAGAAAACTGAGCAGAGGGAGTTATTCTTCCTAGAGATATGGGACCTTGGATACAACTCTGCTATTGGTCGAGGTCTCCACATAGGCATGACGACTCATGACATTCCTTGCTGGATAGTTGGTTGGTCAGTGTGTGTTCTGAGAGTCGTTTGGAGTTTGTTCAGTGAGAGAGTTAAGATCCGTGTCTGTATCCTGTATATAGTAACTTGTAAAGTCTGTTGTAAATAAGAAACACCTATAAGTAACCAAGTTACTGGTAGCAGTGTCTTGTTCCTGCTTCATCCTACCTGCCTGCAAGTGATTGCTTCTGAAAGTCTTTGTATGCTCTGCTATATTCAACTGGGTCTAGCTAAGATCCTGCAACAGGTTAAGGTTGCGAAACATCCATATAAACTGCATTCCTATATGAGAACTGCTAGTGCAGTCCTTGCAACTCAGTTTCAGGGATGGCGAGAAGATGCTGCCATTACTACAATAGTGTTCTCATGGCTGTGCTTTACCTTTGGCACTTACAGAAGGTGCCACTGGGGTGGGGAGCTATCCCTGGATCCCTGCCTTTGGTCAGTCCAGCCATTAAGATCCAAGCCTTCTCCAATTCGCATGGCTCCCTCTCTTCACCTGCACAGTCCTGTCTTGGCTATTGCTTTTTCTTGGTACCATTTGAGGACAAGAGAATGTTGGGAATGCTGACTTTTTCTGTAAGATTGGATCCACAGTTCAAAACATCTTGATGCTTTTTAGCATGCTCTCTTAGAGGAAGCTTAAAACGTTCTGTTCACCACACAACGAAGGCAGTTTGTCCTATCTGTATGAAACTTTTATGGTGAAATTACATGGTGAATAGCTATTTCTGGCCACAGTTCGGTGAAGAATGGCTAAGTTGCAACAGTTCAACTATTTGGCAGAGGGGTGTGAGCAGTATTTTTGCCTTGAAAAAATATATGCTATGTTTCTCCTTCTGGCTGTGGAAAAATGTATGTTTTGAATTTTAAAATGGACCTTACAACACATGTTTAGAATGGAGAAATATTAGGATTACCAACCATAATGTATTTTATTTACCTAACCAGTAAATTTGCATTCTACTAGATAACCACTATTGTGTTTGAGGGGGGAAAGGAAAGTCTAGATTCTGCCATGCTTTGCATATGACTCACTAGCCCTATCCTGGTTTGCTGTATTCCTCCAAGCACTGCACTGGCTTTGATACCGCTCAGCAGAATCAGTAATTCTGAATTACAACTTTGTAGTGCTAAGGTGCTCTTGGATTCCTGCTTGATCCAAAATGCAGGCGTAGCTCCCCTCCCCCTTACATTTAGCTTCGCTCTCTGGATATTCCAAATGAGTACTCCTCCTCTCGTGAGTTAACACTAGGCCGGAGCCGAAGGGGGGAGAAGCTTTCAAAAGCTCAAAAACACCTCCTGTTTGGGGGTTAGCACTGTGAGAGAGAAAAAGTGTTTGTGGAGTAGGGGTAGTCAGAAAAGGTTCACCTTTGGTATATAAGCAGAAACCTGGTAGGGAAAGAGATAGCAGAGGGTGAAATATTTCCACCCTGTGGCAAACCCCAAACCGGAAATGTTTGAGTCACTAAGTAAAAAATAGGACATATAGGAATTATGGTTTCCACCTGCTCATTTGTACCCAATCTGATCCACTTAATCGCACAGCAGCAGCTGCAGACACTCAAGGGTATTAATCACAGGTGGCAAACCACAAAGTGACCCAGAAAACACTGGCGCAATTTCAACTGCGATCAAGAACATGGAATTAAAAGAAACAACAACCCACACTGCGCACGCTTATGACATTGTTTTGGGCGGGTGTAGAGTTGTGGGTGTCATTTCAGTGATTACACCCTCTCAATTAATGTTTTTAATTGACCTGGCCTTGTTCTATGAAGCTCATTGCCCTCCCTTGTTTCCCAACCAGGGACTGTGGGGCTTGAGCAGAGAACTGTGGCCTACTCTCCACATCCAGCAAGAGTGAGAAAATCTGACAACCTCGGTTCCTCACATTTGCTCATTTCCCCAACCTTAAGTTCAGTTCTCCACACTTCCACATCTGTTTGCAATTCCTTCAAAAAAAAAGAAGTCCTGAAAATCCACCAGCTTTTTAGTGCAATTTTCTCCTAATATGAACATTTCTGCAAAGCAATTTCCCTTCCTTTATATAATGCGTTTGCATCCCATTTTCACTAATACAGGCATTTCTATGTACGCTTTGCCCCGGTACATGCATTTTTACACACATTACTTGGCCACAGAAATGCATTGCAAAATTCAGCAAAGTGTACATTTTTGAAGGGATGGCTGTGTTTCAGTTTGCACGTTTGTTTTAGAAAGTGCAACTTAGACAGTCTCCCTTTAAATGGAAATTGGATTATATTTCTCTCCCATCCTAGGGTGGTAGCATGGCCTGTACCTCTTCAGAACTGCAGGTAGGAATGCCATTCTCCCCCAATATTTCTGTAAACTAACACATCAAAGAGAAAGTTGTGAGATCAGCCCAGCCTGCTTTTTCCAGTCCTAGTTTCTACTTGCAGAAAGTGGTCCCCCATTTGAAAATATGCATTTGAAAATATGGTCCCTTGCCTGTCTGGTGCTGTCTAAGATGGTACAGTCCATTTTAGTACCTCAGGGCTTTACTATTTCAAAGATGGCAGTAACACCATCACACCACTTGCTGCTCTGTCGTTCCCTGGCTGCAAGGCAGGACAACACACAGAGTAATGATGTCATCTCTCTCCTCTCAATGTCTAGTTAAGCTCCGAGTCGGAAGATGGTGAAATGGACTGTACTACTTGGGAGAGGTGCAAGTTAGTGGATGTGACCAGTGCCAGATTTATGTATAAGCTAAACAAACTATAGCTTAGGGCCCCCCAAAAATATACTTCTTCTTAATTGTATTTCACTATTAATATACTTCTTCTTAATTGTATTTCAGTTCAACAATTACTTTGATAATATACATATGTTGTTATGTGCAAATGGCTTTAGATACCTATTAGGTCCATAAATTACCGTATAGCATATATTCAACACGAAAAACAGTGAGAATTTGTTGTTGACAAAGGACAGCTGGACATATAAAGGGCCTCATTACCTTCAGTAGCTTAGGGCCTCATCAAACCTAAATCCGTCCCTGGGTGCGACATTTTTAAATGCTTTTGTAAGGGAGGCAGAATCCTCCTAAGCAGAGGACTAGCAGAGCAGGAAATGAGTACTGCTAAAATGGTTCTCCGTATTTTAGCACGAGAAGATACTCTGCCATCTGAAGATGCACAGCCTACCACCTCTTTCATATCAATTCAAGACTCTTTACCGCCTTATTCCCACCATGCTTTGCTGTGAGTGTAGACCAGGCCCAAGTTCTACACCACATAATCACCTCAGTTTCCCCCAGAGAAAAAGCACAGGACCCAGAAACAGTTATCCATTAATATTATTGTCCAGATCCTGGTATCTAACCATCTGCTACTTGAGGTAATGCCTATGTCTGTGTTCCCCAACCTCATGCCTTCCAGAAATTTCGAACTACAGCTCCCACCAGCCACAGCCAGAGCATCTGGAGGGCAGCAGGTGGGGAAAGGATTTCCTAGGTAGGAAGAGATCCAAACATCTTCCTCCAAGCAATTTTTCACTCTAGTACTTAATGAAAAGTCAGCATAAGGTCAGACAAGAGGCTTATGGGAGTGCGCCTTGGAGGATAAAAGAGAGTGAGTCACTTTTTAAAAGTCACACTATATGAAACCCCACCGCATGGAGTAATTTATTTATTTCTTAATTGACAACAACATCATAGCGTCAGAAAACAGCACTGTAGTGACACCCGTGTTTCCTTCTTTCTTAACCAACTCTTCAAGAAACTGTTTGCCAACCTGTACCTTGCAGAAGCTGTATCTTACCCCAATAAGGCAGGTGCCATCGCAGTTCAGTTCACATTGTTGAATCCCCCCCCCCAATCTTCCATGTGGGTACACAAGCATGTGAAGAAAGGCTAGGCCTCACACGTCTCCCCTGACAGCCTGTGCCTTAAGATCTATGGGAGACGCCCTACTTACATTCCCACCAATGACAACAGTTTTTGGACAGCAGCATGGAACAAGGCCTTCTCTGTTACGGAACTTGATGTTTGCTTTATATTGTTAGCTTTATGAGGGGAGGGAGTTATATGGACCCTTTGAATCAGAGGGCGGAATAAAAATTCAGTAAAGGTACCCCTGCCCGTACGGGCCAGTCTTAACAGACTCTAGGGTTGTGCGCTCATCTCACTCTAGAGGCCGGGAGCCAGCGCTGTCCGCAGACACTTCCGGGTCATGTGGCCAGCGTGATGAAGCTGCTCTGGCGAACCGGCACCAGAGCAGCACACGGAAACGGCGTTTACCTTCCCGCTATAAAGCGGTACCTATTTATCTACTTGCACTTAAGGGTGCTTTCGAACTGCTAGGTGGGCAGGAGCTGGGACCGAACGACGGGAGCTCACCCCGCCGCGGGGATTCGAACCGCCGACCATGCGATCGGCAAGTCCTAGGCGCTGAGGTTTTACCCACAGCACCACCCGCGTTCCTTTAAAAATTCAGTTCTAATACCAATAATGCGACCAGGATTTTGCACACCTTGGTCCACGATCATGGCTGCTGGCAAAAGTGTACAAAGTCACATGGGGAAATTCATCTGTGTTAACTACTCCTTAGAGGCTGCATTGCCTGATACCTAAAGCAGGTAATGTGTGTGACAAGTACATGTTTGTAAACACTTATTTCATCATACAGGTACATTGCATTAGCCATTGGCTTCATCCCCCTACTGAGTGTGCACCCGTTGGCTCAGGTTTGCTGGTGTTTTAATTGGTGAAAAGGACTTTGTTTTCTTAGTTGAAAACCTGTATCTGTGCCTCTTCTTAAACATGCTGCACATGTTACACAACGGGAAACCTGAATTTGCTATTTGCTGTACTCTTATTGGGGAAGCAAGCTATGTTCAGTTCCAGCTCCTAGGTGATATACTCATCTAATAAATATGTTTTGCAAACTTGTGTTTGTCTTTTAAAAAGTTGAGAGGGGTAACTGTTTTAATCTGTTTCAGAAAATGCTGCAAAAATTCTTGAGGCAATTTAAGGACTATCAGGTTTAAGCAGATCCATCTCTATGCAAAAAAAATGAAATGGACAGCAAAAGTGGCAACGTTCAGAGCCCACTGCGAGAGCATTTCAGTTACCCAGAAGGCTGTTGTGAAAGTCACAATCCTTTAACAAAAGAGAGCATCTAGAGTAGGTATTAGAATTTATCAGGGAATATTTAAGGGTTATATAAGATCATATTGTACCAATCACACCATATTAGCAGAACTTGAGTGATACTTGTAAACACAACAAATACCGTTTGTGGAGTAGACTGGAACAATATTAAAGAATATAAAACTGTGCGGGGAAAACAACAACAGTATAAACAGTAGAATGAGAATGATTGGAAGACTCATTTTGTCAGAAGTCTTTTTTATTTAAGCGTTTAATTAAGTATTAATTAGGAAGATTAAGGTTTTTTTATATATGTAAATTTGCTTTTTCTTCTTTTTTTCTGTATTTTTTCTTTTCTTTTTTCTTAATTGTTTTTTCTTTAATTTTCTTTTTGTAGTATGAGATTGTAAATTCTTTGTAAATCTTTGTATAAGTGTGTAATTTAAACTGATAACGATTATTTTTTTTAAAAAAAGAATTTATCATGGAATTAGATTTCATCCAGACTGAGGAGTTCATCTCCTCTTCAAATTTTTAATTCATTTTAGTATTGCCAGGAAGACTGTGTTGTCACAAATTACTACTGTAGATTAAGGTCGGTGTTCCTATCTTATACGCATTTGATCTTTGCACAGAAATATGGAAGAACTTCTGTGTCGATTTCATGGCCTTTTTAGCCTCTTTAAGCAAGAAACCAAGTCTTTAATGTCATCAGCGCAGTCCTGTGAAAGACTTCGCCAACGAAGATTCAGCAGGTGCCTTTTGTGCTAACTCTTAAACACCTGTTGAAAACTGTTCTATTCCACTAGTCCAGGCATATCCAATTCCCAAGAGACTGTGATCTACGCCCAGTATAAAAAAAACTGGCAGTGATCTACCCATTGTCATTGGATGGAGGAGGAGCGTGCGTGAGGTGGGTGGATTGCCCAGAATTGTTTAGCTTTTTTTAGGAGTGAAGTACCTAGAGTTGTTGAGCTTTTTGGGGGAGGATTGCACAGAGTTTTTTAGCATTTCCCCCATAACTTTTTGTACACAATAAGGATCCCATGATCTACCAGGATCAGCCAGGGATCTACCGGTAGATCACTAGTCCTATGCAGGCAGTTAAGAATACATCCTCTCACCATGGTTAATAGATGTTTTTAACTTTTTAATGGTTTTACTGCTGTAAACCACATTGATATATTTTTTATGAAACAGGGCTATACAATTTTTTTATATATAAATAAATAAGTAAAATGACATGAGTACTAGTCCATAAAAGTTTGTGATGCTTGGTGTGTCAATTGTCATGATTAAAATGCATTTGTTGTATTATTTAGTAAGTTGGCAAGCTTAATAAAGCAGAATAATATTTGGCAACCTTGTAAGTCAATGGTTGTTTGAGGTATTTATGCTTATGATATATATGCATTCTTTATTGCATATAATGCTTTAAAAACATGTATCATTGCGTTACCCATTTTTTCTTACTAGTCCTTCGATTTTAAGTCTTTGACCCAGATAGACTAAAAAATTAGCATAATAAATGAAAGCTTTGCAGTTTCAACTAGCAGCTTGTTTCAACTTGAAGATAAGGAGCCTTAGCAACTGCATCGCAACCACAGAGCAGAATGGATATATTTATTTGGGCTTGTGTGTATATGAACGGTTTTTGCTTACAGAGGCTGGAAGCAGCAAAACAAGGTTGGGGCTGGTGGATTTGAAGTGTGAAAATCAAGCCGAAACTGTGATGCAAGCAATTTGGACTTTGCTAGCTAATATGGGGGAGACTTGTGGCCTCTGTATTGGATTGTGTTCCCCAGCACGTGAAGAGGACAATATTGAGACATTTTTTGATACCTAGAACCTGTATTTTGGCAGTGTTGCTTTTGCAACCTTGTGGCGTTCTGGATCCTGTGGAACAGGACTTTGCTTTCCACCCCATGTCTCTATAAAAGCAGTTTTCTCGCAGTTTGAATTCGGAGAAGACTATCCAGCCAAACCCCAAGAGGCAACAGGTGTCTGCAGCATCTCCTTCTCCCGTGCCTCACCTTTTCCTAGTTTTGCTTGGCCAGGATCCTTTGTGTGAGTATCATCCCATCCTTGACATATATATATATATATATATATATATATATATATATGTGATTAGTCTATTTCGGGGGGATAACTGTTCCTATAAGGGAAGAGAGAGGGATGCCCTTCTCATCAGGGAGAGCTGTGTAAAATTTGGGTAGGAAACAAAACTTCTATTTTGTCAGGTGGTTTAGCCTTACATCTTTGCATTCCCTTGAAAATAAAGATGCCAGGTTGTGTGTCTCAGGCCTGATCACTTTAGCTCACACAGCAAGGCTGTTGTTTGGGTCGTAACATGTTACATTTTTATGTGCCTTAACAAAGTGAAGCAGGCCCCTGTTAACAGGTCATAGAAGCTCAAAGGGTGTATCTACAAAATTAACATACGTTGTTTTTATGTCAGTTGTCATGGCTTCTTCCAAAGAATTCTGGTTTGGTGAGGGGTCTGTGTCTCCTCAGTTAGACTTCTGTTCCTCCTCTCAGAGAACTACAGTCCCCAGAATTCCTTTGGGTGAGAGAATATCTTATGCTCATTTAAAATTTGTGCCACAGACATGTTCTCACATTATACCTTGCCTTAGAAAAGGTAAAGGGACCCCTGACCATTAGGTCCAGTCGTGGCCGACTCTGGGGTTGCGGCGCTCATCTCACTTTATTGGCCAAGGGAGCCGGCGTACAGCTTCCAGGTCATGTGGCCAGCATGACTAAGCCGCTTCTGGCGAACCCGAGCAGTGCATGGAAACGCCATTTACCTTCCTGCCGGAGCGGTACCTATTTATCTACTTGCACTTTGACGTGCTTTCGAACTGCTAGGTGGGCAGGAGCAGGGACTGAGCAACGGGAGCTCACCCCGTCGTGGGGATTCGAACTGCTGACCTTCTGATACCTTGCCTTACTTCTCTGCAACTCTTGCCACCGCTCCACCTTTTACTCCATGTACTGAGAATATTTATACTCTGGCTCTTCTGGGAGGGAAACCCCTGCTGTGGATGAGTCAAGAAGTGAAAAGAGCCACTCATCCACAACCTTCCTTAAATGGTTGATTCCCACTTGCAGCCTGCCGCAGTAATGTGCATTCCGACATTTCATTTTGACATAGTGCATTTTTATTCTGCCCTTCCTCCAAGGAGCTCAGGTTGACAGGCAGGGCTTCACCAATTTTATCCTCGGCAAAAGACAGCAAGGTAGATCAGGCTCAAAGCAAATAACGTACCAAGCTTTTATAGCAGAGCAGTGGTTAGAACCTGTTTTTTCTCTGCTCTATCACATTGTTTACAATACACATTGGCACCACTGAGTAGTTAATCCGTATAAACAATCTCCCAGCTGTACTCTGCGAACAAGCATGGATTGGTGGGTGAGTGAAGGGGCCCAAACTCTGTGAAACCCACCAATCCCAGTGACAAGTGAGCATCACCTGCTGCCTTCATAATCACAACCTGATCTCAGGTAGTGCTGCTGGTTCGTAATGTACAGAAAGGATCTTGTCCATCAAAGGTGTGTAGGCTGTAGGTGCAAACAAACACCACACACCGTTTTTGCACAGGTGACTACTGACTCTTGTTTGTAAATGTCAGAGAGAGCCCGCTGTGGTTAAGGTGAACAAATCTTTCCCCTCTGCCTTTGCAGAGTCAGGGGTAGGGTGGGGAATTAAGGTCAAGTTTATTTTTATTCAAGACATTAAAAGAGAGAGGATGGCAGTTAGTCTCAGGGTGTTTGCAGCAAGATCAGATAAAAAATACAGTACCAGAGAGATCTCGGCTTATAAAATTTGATTTTGAAGGAAGGCAAAAAAAACCGGTATTACGCTAAATATACAAACTGGTACAGAGCCAGGAATTAGAATGAAATTTCTATCTGAACTGTTGGAATCAAGATCCTGGACAAGAAATTCAGACAGATCCATGGAAGTGGATATGGCCAAAAGTCCCCCAATAACCTGTGCTATCTCTTAAATGAAGTTTTTAAAAGTTTATGCTCCACTGGTATTTAAAATCATCATGTCCCAAACATATATAATACTGCTAGTGATCGACACTGGAGATTCAGAGCGGAGAATGCAGGAATGCTGCATATTTTCTGGGCTCGTCTCAAAGTTTAAAAATTCTGGGAGGATGTAGCAACTGAAATCAAGGTAATAATAGGATACGTAAAGAGACCCCTGACTGTTAGGTCCAGTTGCGACGCTCATCTCGCTTTATTGGCCGAGGGAGCCGGCGTACAGCTTCTGGGTCATGTGGCCAGCATGACTAAGCCGCTTCTGGCGAACCAGAGCAGCACATGGAAACGCCATTTACCTTCCCGCCGGAGTGGTACCTATTTATCTACTTGCACTTTGATGTGCTTTTGAACTGCTAGGTTGGCAGGAGCAGGAACTGAGCAACGGAAGCTCACCCTGTCGCAGGGATTCGAACCTGCAACCTTCTGATCGGCAAGTCCTAGGCTCTGTGGTTTAGACCACAGCGCCACCCGCGTCCCAATAATAGGATACACGTGACCTAATAATTGTTGCCGTGAAGCTCACTGGGCGACCTTGGCCTGTCACTGCCTCTTAGCCTAATGTACCTCGCAGGGCTGTTGTGAGGATGAAATGAGGAGGGGGAGAACCATGTACACCACTTTGAGCTTCTTGGAGAAAAAAGGTGGGATATAAATCCAGTAAATATTTGGCTACGTTGAAGACATAGCATTAAAGGAAGATTGAACTGGTTCAGAATTTACTGACTTCCAGAGGAATAGTTATCTGTTATAACTGGAAGAAATCAAAGGCACCATCCCTGTACAATTGGGTAATCAAAATTTGGGATATTGTTCACAAATACCTGTAATAATATAATTAAATAACAACAACGGACAAACTCACAAATATGGTAAGTGCCAGAGAAGGCGGACAGTCAGGTGATTATATTTTGGGGGGGGTGAAGAATTGAGTGTCTTTATAATTTACTGGATTGATAAGGTCCAAAATATTGTAAAACCGTGTATACTGCTTGGACGTTTATAATTTGATATTATTATATTATTATAGCAGCACTATCATAACAAAATTTACTTTAAATTGTATTATTTAGATTCTCCTCTATTAAGCATAGCAGAGTTTTTCCCCGTGCATCTTTTTTTTGTATATTAAATTTTCAATAAAAATTCTAGAAAAAAACAAAAATAAAATTATAGTAGGTTCATGTTTAACTTGAGCTTGAGGTAAAGAAGTAGAAGAGGGGTGTTTGGCCTCGGACATTTTTGTACCTGAAACGAAAACACCCTGCTCTATTCTGAAATTCATTTAGAGAGAGAGAGAGAGAGAGAGAGAGAGAGAGAGAGAGAGAGAATGATACACAAAGACAGGTTGGAGACATGAAAACTGGGCCTCTTGAGTTCCAAAGGTACTGTATCGCATAGTGTTAGGTACAACTGTTGGGGAGGTTGCAGCTGCCCTAGAATCACAGACTCATAGAGATTGAAGGGGACCTTCCAAGGGTCATCTAGTCCAACCCCCTCCAATGCAGGAATCTCTACTAAATCACCCATGACATATGGCCTTCCAAGCTCTTACTGTGTTGTGTGAGCTAAGTGTTCTTGTTTTTTAATAGCATGGAAACATGCAAGGTAACTTGCTAGCATCAGGCAGCTGCTTAAGGCAGAGCTACAAGTGAATGGTTGAAAAGTTGGGGAACCAACCTTTAATTCAGTAAATCAACTAAACGTTTAGTGAATTACTCCATGAATAACACTATTTTAATCAGTGAGCACAGGAGTTAAGTGCATGCTCGTTTATTAATTTCTTTTGCATCCAGTATGATAGAAATCCAACACATCCTAATTATTAACCATGCCCTTTCCCCCTGCCCAGTAATGTGGTAGTTTTTGTTGATAAACTGTTTTATCCATTTCTTTCAAAGGCTCCTAAACTGAGATTTTGATAATATGTGAATAGATGTAAATGCTAATGGACAAAATGAATCTGTTATTTGGAGATTTCCAGTTTTTCCACTTGTCTTTCATATGTGTTTTCTTTTGCTCTTACAAATTGCAAACTGCATAAGCTCACTCTGCAAATTTTTGATAAGCATATCAAAAATATGACATTATAAAATATCTAATAGAATTAAGTAGAATTAAAATATCAGTATTTTAAAAACAACAACAGTATAAAGACTAGCAATACCAACAGTAGTTCCAATATTAAGCGTACTAATATTTTATTATAAATAATGGATGGTATTCATCTATATTTTACTCAGAGAAGAACTACAGAAATTGAAATTAATGTTCAATGGGATTGCTCTGGGTAAAACTTTGTTAAATACTGCCCAATAGTACTAAGTAATATTAATCTTTCATGGGATAACTTGGCAAAGTAATTACTGGAAGAAGTTTATCAGAACCGTTCTCTGTATTTCATATTCAAAATATGTCAAAAACAGTAAAGCTAAAAGTAAAAGGAAACGGCGTCTATAAAGCCACCAAACATGTGTATGTCCTTTTTTGTTTTGTGCACCTATGTGCAAGTACAGGCAGAGAGGCACAAACATATTGGGTCCTCAACCGACACACAAATGCCCCAACTAATAGTATCTGTGCAATCAAAGACACAAAATAGGTTCAATCATAAACTGGTTTAATTAGCAGAGTAATCTAATCAGCAGGAGCTATCTTTAATTGGCAAGCGTAAATTTTAATTAGAGGGGCTGTGAATTAAGGGCACAATTGTTTATTATGCTTAACCCTATTTGATCCTTAGGTGTGGTTTCGATATGGATGGAAAAGAAAATATTAAGACTGCAGTTCCCTTCTAGCAATTGTAAGCTGCTACCCTCTTATTGAAATTTTGGAAATATGCAACGCAGTTAAAGTCAATCAATTAATCAGTTCACAGGCCATCAGGCAGCTAAAATATCTTTCCGCAAAGAATATCTGCTGTAACAAAGGCTGCATCCTGCCTTAGGGTAAGAATTATATCTATTGCTTCATAGGTACTCATAAACAAACCAGTAGCACAGCCCCAAGCTGTTTACGTGCCTTCTGAATCACAGCTCTCTGGGTTTGGGCTATATATTGGACCAGTACTGATCTCACTGGAAATCAATCCAATGCTCTCTTGAAGTCTCCAGAGTTCGAATCAGCAGCCTTAATAGCTTTCCTAGTCTTTTCAGGGAGAACCCTGAAAATGCACATAAAGCTGCCCACTTCATTGAAATGAAAGCGGGGAGAAGAGGAACAAACAGGCACCAACGAGCACTTCATCAGGGATCTGGTTGTGAACGCAACTTCCTGTACAAGGTACGCTACTAATTCCTGCACCAACATAAGCTTTCGAATCATCCCAGGCAGGACAAACATGTGAGTTCCTCACCAACACAATTCCAGTGCGATTTCATGATAAAAGCATGTTTTCTCTTACCAATGAATTTCTGAGGCATGGAACTTTTCCGTTTGGCCACGTTGCTTGCTAAGCGGTCCAGCACAAGGGCCCGTTCAGTCCCCATCTCGGATTTGATGTGCCTTCCCTCCACGCTTTCTAGATGAGGGAAAACGAAGAGAAAAATCAGGCTGAAAAGAGGGGAGAACGAAAAGAAAGGGAGGGAGAGAGGGAGAGAGAGATGTAGCAAAGAAGGGGAAAAGAGATAGTTGCCCTCAACACTTCAGCCAGGGAGGCTGAGTGGAACTTGTGGTAGAGTAGCTGTTTTCTTCTTGTTGTTCTCAAACCTCTGTTTCACCCCTGTGGTCAGCAGAGCTAAGGGGCAAAAACACCACACACACTGAAACCCTGCAATTTCTCAGACTCACAAAAGGGGAGCAAACAACCTAACGGAATTAACATCTTGATTGTACACTTCCTCTTGCTAATGAACAGGCTGGACCTTGTAGTTTGTGAAACGCAGAGGGAGACTTTGTCCCGCCCATCTTTCCATTTGATTTTGAGTAAGACTTGCAAGACACCTGCAGGCAGGCCCAGAACACATGAAAAGGCAAATGTGAACGGGGAGCGTTCAGCCCTTTGATGGATGTGCTAAGAAAAAAAGCGCTTTGATGGAACCACAACATCTTCACCCTTTGAAACATGCTTGGTTTATCATTAATATTAGCACTGTTTGAAACAGAATGCTTTATTGTGGAATGCTACAGTTCAGTGCTCCAGCCAGTCATAACCTCTCCGCAAGACACCATTCAATTCTCCCTCCCCATCACTTTTCACTCCCCAGCCCACCCAAACAGATACTTAGCATTCTGTGATCACTGAGCATGCTCACTGGGGTTTTTTTTTGGGGGGGGGTTAAGGATGCTGATGTTATTTTAGCCTTCAAAGTCCCCCCCCCCCAATATTCTTTGTACTTCTGCAAACTCTGGGATTCCTCCAAGCATGCAAAGTCCTCTCTCCTATTTCTCAGTGGCCCTATTTTGGTTACTATCCTGTTCAGAAGCAGCTCGGCAGCTGGGGCAGAACCATTATGTTAGCTTCCTGGCAGGCTGGTTGCTATTGCTTTCCAGGAGGCAGGGAGTAGAGGGAGGCCAGTGTGGTGAAAACTTTCTGGCAGGAGTGCCAGATTGGCTTTGCCAGTGCGTTTTTACTGCACCAACTTCCCTGCTGTTTCCACACTCCCTATCTCTCTCTGGGATGCAACAGCAACCCATTTGCTGGGAAACTGACATAGAAGCTCCACCCTACCCAGCAAACTGCCTCTGACCCTGTTGGTACTCAGCAACTGAGTTTGCTATTAGTGGGAGTAATCATTATTTATTAAATTATACAGAGCAACTGAGGTACATGACACATACTATTACATAAGGTATGTGTGGTGGTGGGGGGAGTCTCTGCCTTGAGGAGTTTATAATCTATTTTTTTTTAATGATATTTATTAAGAGTTTAAAAATTACAGGAAAAAAAGAAAAAGAAAACAACAAAAAATTTAACAAAGCATACATTACAATACATAAAAAAGCATAAAAAACAATACAACGATACAGCAAAAAAAGAACACAATAACATTAAAACACACATCCAATGTTCCATATCTTTATCTTTCATTTACTTGTTTCATCGACCTCCTCACACCTCCCTTTTTGTATTCTAATTTAATTAATTGTTTCAGCAGATTCTTTCCATCTTTCTCAATTTTTGTTATATAATTTATATAATTTAATCTAACCTTTTAATTAACTCAACAAATCCTTTCCATCTTTCACTATATTCTGTCATTCGATTTACCTTAATTTATTTAACCTTATCTTGCCATAAAAAAACCAAAACCTTAAAACTTAAAACTTAATATACGTAACGAGGAGTTTATAATCTAAAGAGGTGACAGCAAAGCAGAAGGGAGGGATGACAAGGAAAGAGTTCGTATGCAAAACGGTCCATGCAGTGAGCCCCCTTTTCAATGTGGCTGCATCATTCGCACACAGCCTCCCACTTTGCCTGGGGCGTCACTATGGAAAAGAGGCTCCTGGGCAGCTGCAACTGAAGAGCGGCCTAGGCTGTTTTCAGGATGATATAAGGTGCAAAGGGGTCGAAGAAAAGCTTCAGGACAAAAGGCTTAATGGAAGAATTGTGTTTTACAGAAGAAGGGCAAGACAGAGGCAGCACCTTGTGAGGGGAAGCAGGAGAGAATGGAGAGTCTGCAGAAATATCACACCTGCAGAAATATCACAACAACAATGAATTCTGGTGGCCGAGGGCGGCAATGGTGGAAGAGTGAAAGTCATGGGCATCAATATATACAGTGGTACCTTGGGTGAAGTACTTAATTCGTTCCGGAGGCCCGTTCTTAACCTGAAACTGTTCTTAACCTGAAGCACCACTTTACTAATGGGGCCTCCTGCTGCTGCCGCGCCGCCAGAGCACAATTTCTGTTCTCATCCTGAAGCAAAGTTCTTAACCTGAAGCACTATTTCTGGGTTAGCGGAGTGTGTAACCTGAAACGTATGTAACCTGAAGCGTATGTAACCCGAGGTACCACTGTATAAGATATAAGGAGAGCAAAGCCAAGGAAGGCTTGGAAGACAAAGACTTAAACTGAAAGCAAGGAAGCAGTGATTCCAACGGATCTGTGATTTCTTTCTTTTAAAAAACAAAAGCACACAAAACAGCGCTTACTGGTTTACAAGGATCACAAACTCTGAAGAATGCTATAAAGAGAAAACAGCAAGGAAAGTTTCAATGCAGAAAAATCCCCTTTGTCACTATGTTATGTTAATAAAGCAAGACAGAACAACAACAATGAGATAAATCTCTCCATCCCAATGGGAAGTAAAGGGTCCAGTTAGAGGACTGCTAATATTCTTTACGTTCTGTCTATAGATCTGGCCTTGTATCCAACAGGAATAAGTGGCTCACCAGGTGGGGCCGAGCCGCTACGCGAACTTCCTGGCAGGCGGGTCACTGTTGCTTACCAGGAGAGAGACGAGGCGTCGGGGTGTCAGCACAGTGCAAACACACTGGCAGAGTCAATCTGGCACTCCTGCCGGAAGATTTGCACTGCGCCACCCTCCCCACCGCCCTTCGCCTCTCCCTCCCACCTGCTAGCTTTGTGGCTCCACCCCACGGCAGTCTGGAGCAGAGATTTTCCAACTGTGTACTCTTCAGTTTGGAGCCTTGTCACTCTATCTTGGAAGCTTATTGCTAGCTCGTTAATGTGACTGCTGGTAATAACAGGCAACCTTTTCTGAGAGGCAGCTTGTTCTCAATGCATGTCTCCACACAATATGGAGACAGGAGAAAGTGCTGGGTGTGTTCTAGGTCACACAGACTTCATAGGGTAATAGTGGGTGGCTCTGATAGTACTGGCCACAACCTCACACAAACCTAGAAGATTTCTCAGAATTTTTATTTTTATTTTAAAAAGAGGAAGGACAAATTTGTGGCATCCTAAATACTCAAAAATACATTGTAGCTGCATAAACCCACTGCATCTGATGTTTTGGTGGTCCCTGAAAGCTTATGTCACATTGAATGCAAGCCTTTTTTTACAAGTGCATTTTTAAAAATTAATTTCCATTTAATTTTTTGCAAAACAAATGAAGTAATAATAAAAATTCACAGTACCCAAAAATAAAATGAAATAAAATTCAGGTAATCCCTAACAACATTTTAAATTGACCTGAAAGATGATTCACCTTCATGAATTCAGTGTCTCTATGAACCCATTTAGGGTGTTAAGGCTGAAAACATAAGGGGTCCAGGATCTACAGGCCACCATCTTGCTGAAGCAACACAGGTCTGTATCTGGGCAGGGCCTACATGGCTGATGGCCTGGGAACCACAAGTACACTGCCTTGAATTCCATGATGCCAGGTGATTGACAGATGGGTGGCTCCTGCCCACCTGTTAAAGCTGGCCTGTGGAGAGGGAGTGGGGGATAAAGATTTCGTCTGCCAAGCTGGAAAGGTTCCCCACCCCTGGGGATAATGTAAGAAAATAAATACAGTGGTAATTCGGGTTAAGAACTTAATTCATTCTGGAGGTCCATTCTTAACCTGAAACTGTTCTTAACCGGAGGTACCACTTTAGCTAATGGGGCCTCCCACTCTGCCGGAGCACGATTTCTGTTCTCATCCTGAAGCAAAGTTCTTAACCCGAGGTATTATTTCTGGGTTAGCGGAGTCTGTAACCTGAAGCGTCTGTAACCCAAGGTACCATTATAAATAAGGAATAAGAGCCCCTCTGAATAATATCGAAGGTTCCCCTAATCCAGAATGCTTCTTTTAACAGCAGGTGGCCACAAGGTCTCTCTGTGGCTTTTCCAGAGAGCATAAAATGATGACCTCTTTGAAATTTGTCCCAGAGGAAGGTTCCCATAATGAATAAAATGTGTGCTTAAATAAAATAACACAGCATTAACCACAAAGGCGTGATAGATGAAACTTGCAGCACTGTAAGTTAACCCTTTCGACAACTTGTTTTGACAACTTAGCTTCAAACTCACCTCAGGCATATTTGAATCGGCACTGAAATTAGTCACATACACACAAAAAGGGCCATAGGCAGATTACTTAATTTGCTTGCTTGCACTTTACACAGCATTTTGAAACTGAAGGCAGAGGGCCTTCAAAGCACTCCTGTCCCAAAACCGCAGTACAGAAATTAGTCAACATGGATGAGGGGGAGGGGGCCTGGCTAATCACTGCTGAGACTGTAGCATGTTGAGGACTGTTGTCCTGATTGAAAAAAAGACTAGCCTCAATAGGCAAGGTGTCGCACGTGCCACAATTCTGTGGAAGTACAGAAAGTGCACATTATGTGATTGCGGGCGCAAAATTCAGTTTCCTAAGAAACTCATGTTTCTGTCTTTCCTTTTTCTTTTGCTTTTTTGGAAAAAGAAAGAAAGAACAGGTTTATAAACCTTATGGCTGGGGTGACTTAATGCAGCTTTTCTCAAGAAAGAATGTGGATTGCCTGGTGCAGAATTTTAGCATAGAGTACAGCCTGGTCCTGATCAGAAGGTCAGCGGTTCGAATCCCCGTGACGGGGTGAGCTCCCGTTGCTCAGTCTCTGCTCCTGCCCACCTAGCAGTTTGAAAGCACGTCAAAGTGCAAGTAGATAAATAGGTACCGCTCTGGTGGGAAGGTAAACGGTGTTTCCATGCGCTGCTCTGGTTCGCCAGAAGCAGCTTAGTCATGCTGGCCACATGACCCGGAAGCTGTACGCCGGCTCCCTCGGCCAATAAAGCGAGATGAGCGCCGCAACCCAAGAGTCGGTCACGGCTGGCCCTAATGGTCAGGGGTCCCTTTACCTTTACAGCCTGGTCCAACCATTAGGTAGTGTAAGGCAATTGCTTGAGGCAACAGATTCTGGGTGTCATGAAAGGGCAGCAAATTGTTTTATGTATTCTTATTGCATTTTTACTCTGAGGGAGAGGCACTTGGTGGATTTTCTGTCTCAGGTGCCAAAATGACATGCTTAGTCTTAGATACCATGCCCCTCATTTTTTGAGGGGGAAGGGATCATGTGCTGTTCTGCCTTAGGCAGCAAAAAGTCTTGGGCTGGCCCTGGCTGCAGGAGCTGTGCATGTCAATACCCAGTGCCTCGCCTGTGAGCCTGGAGACCGATATAGCACAAGGTGTAGAGTTATGCATAGGAGACTGGGTCACGGGGTGTGTGAGGATGCTCCCAGATGAAGGCTTATTATTGCAAATGGGCGCCGGCAACAGGGCTTTCTGGATTTCCCCCAGAAAGAGGAAATCTGAACTAAACAGGGACGGATAATACGGGCTTGCATTTTGACTCCTCTTCCATACATACAGCTCACAATAAACACCTGTCTGGAAGCACCCTGAGGTTTTTTGTATACACAAAAGAGTATGCTTCTGTACACATGTATAAGCTTGTTAGTGCAAATGGGTTTCACTCTCTGGACTAGAGGGATAGTAAAGGGAGACTCAGGCTTCCCTAAAGGGTAAAGGTAAAGGGACCCCTGACCATTAGGTCCAGTCGTGACCGACTCTGGGGTTGCGGCACTCATCTCGCTGTATTGGCCGAGGGAGCCAGCATACAGCTTCTGGGTCATGTGGCCAGCATGACTAAACCACTTCTGGCAAAACCAGAGCAGCGCACGGAAATGCCGTTTACCTTCCCGCCGGAGCGGTACCTATTTATCTACTTGCACTTTGAGGTGCTTTCAAACTGCTAGGTTGGCAGGAGCAGGGACCGAGCAATAGGAGCTCACCCCGTCGCGGGGATTCGAACCACCGACCTTCTGATCAGCAAGCCCTAGGCTCTGTGGTTTAACTCACAGCGCCACCCACGTCCCTCTGTCTCAGGCTTCCCTACAGATACATAAAAGAGGGAAATAGGAAAGCAGAAAGAGAGAGAGAATTTAAAGAACTTCTTGTGCACAACAGGAATGCTACTTAAAAACAGAACTTTCAGTGTCTATTTCTACATTCTAAGGGCATTTTCAGCCTTTGCTAATGCACAGGAGAAAGTGGGAGAGAAGAAGCATTTGTAATGCAAATGGTCATTCTGCCAATTGTAGATTTCACACATTGCAGAGCTGATGGCAGCAGCAACTGCCTTAAGCCTCAGTGTGAAAACACCTCAGCAGCCTGAGCTCTAGGATAAGCGAGGCTAGGGCGTGCCTCTCCCTTCCTCCCTAAAACAACAGGGCTGTAAAAGTGCTATGCAACATCTTTCTCTTTTCAGTTTAAGGATGCGGGAGGCAGGAGGCCAGAAACATAACTTCGAGCATGGTGGGAGAAATGGAGGAGAGAACAAGTGAGCCGACCTCCAAGTCTGGTTGTGTTTTGGGGATGGTGAGAAACAAGGACAAGATAGTACTGGGCTGCGTCACATGAAGAGACTATTCTGGGCTTTGAATGGTAGTTTGCTACTTGAAAGGGCTTGCTATCAGTGCAATCCAGAAGTAAAAACTAGTGAAGTCAGTGGGGCTTACTCCCAGGTAAATAGGGTTAGGATCTTCGCTGAATTGGTCAACCCGAGACTGGGCTGTACCAATCTGAACTACAACTGGTAGGGAGGGGGCAAGATAAACAAACAAACAAAAACCCAAATAAACAAAACAAAACAAAAATCCCTGAGTGTACTGTGAACTAGCAGAAGAACTAGAATCCTTCCCTTGGACACTGTAGCTTTATACGTGTAGAGTTGTGCTTTTCTTTGTGTGGATGCCATATCCACCTGCAATCTGCCTGGTGGAGATCATCACCTGAGTTGCATCCAAACTTACATGCACAATCTGCAGTGCAGTAACACAACAGCTCTCTAACCATGAAATAATTTTAGCTGATTAAACTGTACTAAATGGCAGGCAATTAGTAAACTGATTGATTGATTGGTTACATTTAATTATATGTGAATATTACCCCCCCAAAATTGATTTGTGACCACTATTCTATGGAAGCTGCCCAGAGTGGCTGGGGAAACCCAGCCAGATGGACGGGGTACAAATAAAAAATTATTATTATTATTATTATTATTATTATTATTATTATTATTATTATTCTCAGATCCACCCATTAAATGGGACCCAGTGACTAATCAAAGAAAAATCACACTACTAATCAAGTCAATTAAAGTTTGTAGCCCAAACCTTTTTCAGTCTCAGTTTCATCATGGAAAATCTTCGAGAGGCAGCATGCCAGTGGGGGGGGGGGGGGGGGAATCAAAGGCCAAAGTGGGGGGAGCAGCAGGTGTAACTCTTACGTTTACACAACTATTTTTCAGCCATCTTAAAAAAAAATAATGTCTTTTTTTCTATGCACCCCCACTCCCCCAACATCTCCACACGGACAAGCAATAGGCATTATCAGAGCTCAAGGACACATTTCAGCCCGGCAGAGGTGCTTGAGGAGGGCATGCGTGAGGGGGTGTGGCTTGGGGAAAGCCCCCAGGGCCAGACAGAAAGAGCTTGAGGGGCACCATTCGCGCCTAGGAACAAGGCTCCCCACCCCAGATCTTATCACATGTGACATTAGCTTCCCCAGCCATTTATTTACTAAAGTGTCGCTGTGATGCCAAAGGATGTACAATCTAAATGTGGAGTGGGGAAGGGACTGTCACAAAATGTTAATAATTAGTACAGATACTGTGAGGGAAGTGAAAGATCGGTTTTGATGGTTGTTAAGGAGACCTCTTCTGTGGCCTAGGGACAGAAGGATCCCTGTACAGTGGTACCTCGGGTTAAGTACTTAATTCGTTCCGGGGGCCCGTTCTTAACCTGAAACTGTTCTTAACCTGAAGCACCACTTTAGCTAATGGGGCCTCCTGCTGCCGCCGCGCCGCCAGAGCACAATTTCTGTTCTCATCCTGAAGCAAAGTTCTTAACCTGAAGCACTATTTCTGGGTTAGCGGAGTCTGTAACCTGAAGCGTATGTAACCTGAAGTGTAGGTAACCCGAGGTACCACTGTACTGCAAGTGAGCAGAGAAGGAGAGGGTAAAGAGGAAGCAGGAAGCAGAAAGCACCAACTTTTTGGGTGCTCTTATCCCCTCCCCAACCCCTCTCTCTGTCTGTCTCTCTTTCTCCTTTGGTCCTCTATTCTAGCAACGTAGCAACGGCATGCCTTTTCAGGGTGCAATTCAGGCTGTTCCCAACATGAGACTTCTGTCAGCCCAGGCCTTAACAGTTTCACATTTCTCACAGCGAGAGGGTTTGGTTAACATAACCTCAGAAGTGCTAAATGAGACCTGAATGAGCGGCCTTGCTTCCTGTCACACCAAATGATGTGGTCATTAGGGGAATGGAGCACGGAACGAGACAACTGATTAGTGGCCCGATAAGGATCTCTGATCAGGCATAGGAGTCACGTTTGAATTACAACGCTGCATGCAGGGTTTGGGGTATGAACTTTTTTTTCTTCCTTCCCAGCCATGTGGTCGCAAATGCTAACCTTTTCAATCAATGGCAAATTCCAGAGGAGCAGTCGAAAGGCAGATGAGACGCCTCAGAGAAGATAAACACGGAGCAAAATCCCCCACACTCAATCCTCCTAGTTCAAGCTAGATTCGGTACGCCCACAGATCCTCCCTGCTTGCAACAACCACGATCGTTTCCCTTCCACGCTTTAGTAACAAAAGGAGTACATACATATATGTGTGTGTGTGTGTGTGTGTGTGTATACACACACATCTATATATCATCTATATCATCTATATCTATATCATCTATATCTATATCTATATCTATATCTATCTATCTATATATATACATATATATCCCTATACTGACATCAGTTGATCATACCAATAAATCATCTGTTATGCCACCATCATGTGGCTGGCAAGTTTTTGAAATTAACCCAACATTTACGAATTGCGCCAAAGTTCAAGTAAAATTTAAAATGTTGAATGTGAGTTCATAAACATGTTGTTCTTTATTTGGGGCAGGGTGTTATTTATTATAAGCCGCAACCTAATCAACCAATAAGATCTTACACTAAAAACAACAAGCGTGGCAGGAAATTCCATTACGAAAATTCAACGCATTAAAAAGCCTGATAAATAAGCAAGCTTTAAACCAGCATTGAAAAGATAATCTAGAATGTTCCAGCTGCGCTTCTGAGCAGAGTTGCGTTCCACCTTTAAGGTGCCACCACAGAAAAGGCCCTGAGCCTAAATGCCCATTTATCTTCAGACTACAATCCACTATATTTCCAATTGCAACTTCTCTGCTTCGCTCCTTGGCCACATCCAAGCCGTATGTTGAAAGCAAATTTATACCACTTGAACAGCAAAGAATCCTGGGAACTGTTGTTTTTAACCCGTCACAGAACTACAATGCCCAGGATTCTTTGGGGAGAGCCATGAGATCCATATGTGCTTTGAAATGTATGGTGTGACTGTGACCCTATAAATTGGGGTGGATGTTGCCAGGAACTTCCCATCCACCTTGTGCTGCAGAAGCAACAAACCAGAATGCGCAAAGATCCCAGTCAGCCCTTTAAAATGCCTTGAGACAACTGCTTTGCTTACTACCCCTTCCCTCCACCACTACCCTTGGCCTTCCAAGGGGATTATGGGGTAAAACCAGAGGCCGGATTTGTACAACAGGCAGAGTGGATTAGAACTGGCTGAGGCTACTGGTGGAATGGCAGCTGTATCCTCTCCCACTGCCTTGGGGCATTTAAATAGACATTTTTTTGTATAAAAACATGCCTGAATATGTTCTTTGGGATTGAATTAATTCCTGGTAATAGAATCTGTTTATAGCAACTATGCACAAAATTCGCCATGATGGAGGAAGGTCTACATGCCTTAAATTATTTGATTCCTCAGAGCCACATGGATTTCCCTTGCAAAGGGAGGGAAACAATTGTTTATGAAACTCTGTTCCAGGATCTTTCCCCTCCTCAATACTCCAACTTAATTCAGAATTCTCTGCATCTAATTGATTTTGAGGGGCTCACCAGCTTCACCAAGGGTAGCATTCTGCAGGTAAGTCCGGCATCTCTCTTTGTGTTCTTCCAATGAGCTTCTTTGTTTGTAACTCCGTCCACAGAATTCGCACTTGAATGGTTTCTCCACTAGGAGGAATAAGCAAGCAAACAAAAGGACTGTTATCTTTCTGTTCATGTACTGTGTTACTGACATATCAATTTTAATATGTAAACCAGTGGTTTAAAATCATTGTCTTGTCCATCCCTTGAATTCTCCTGCATGAGCGATCAGATTGCATCAGGGACTGGAATAATTCCAGATACCCTTGGGCAAAAGACTTTGGATATAATATACAGCTTGAAGAATGGGAAAGGTTGTGGAATGAAAGGATAAAATTTACAGCCTGTAATGCTTTGAAAGAGAATATGATGAAAATGATGTATAGATGGTATATTACACCAGTGAAATTAGCTAAAATGTATAAGACAAATAATAAATGTTGGAAATGTAAAGAAAAAGAGGGAACATTTAGCATATGTGGTGGGAATGTAAAAAAGTAAAGAACTTCTGGGAAATGATATATAATGAGATGAAAAAGATGTTGAAATATACATTTTTTTAAAAAACCAGAAGCATTTTTACTTGGTATTATAGATCAGGATATTAATAGGCAAGATGTTAAATTATTTTTATATGCAACAACTGCGGCAAGAGTATTGTTAGCCCAGAAATGGAAACAAGAAGAAATTCCGACGAAAGAAGAATGGCAGACGAAATTAATGGACTATGCAGAATTGGACAAAATGACAGGAAGGATTCGAAACCTGCGGGACCAGAGATTTACAGAAGATTGAAAGAAGTATATGAGTTATTTGAAGAGCAACTGTAATCAACAAATTACACTAGTAGGACTACAAGAAGTTTTGTAAGGAGAAATATACAAAGTGTTACAAAGTAGAAAAAGATAGAGATATCGATTATGAGTTTGAAATGTAATAGGGAAGATAAGAAATGCATACTGAGAGATTAGATTGGAAAATTTTCAGACAGGATTGATGGAAGTCAAAAATTTGAATAAGATGTAAAAGTATGTTTAATTACTGTTGAAAATGAGATGTTAAAAAAAAAGAATAAATTTATATATATATATATATATATGGAATAATTCCAGATACCCAATTGCCCAGTGGACTTAAATATTTGACAGTGACGTTGAATATTTTCCCTCCAATCCCAACTGTACCCATTTTGCAGCTGAAGGAAAATGCGGAAGAGCAAAGTGTGGGTCCATGGTCACCGACAAGATTTCTCTGTATGGCCCTTAGACGCCAGTCTCCCAAACCTCCCTTATCTGTCCACTTTCTTCTTGTCTACGGTACATAGTTCCTAATATTCCAGGGCTCTATGGGAGATTTTACCCCAGTCCTGCTTTCTCCATGACTACTCCATGTCTCCGGCACCTATTCTGTCCTATTTTCTTCAGCCTCTCTGCCTAGCCCTTCTCACGCTTCATGTACACAGCTCCTGCTGTCCTTATGCACTTTGAAATTTCCTCAGAGCCCCTCTCTCATTAGCCTCCTTTTGTCTCCCATCTTCTCTCTCAAATTTCATCAAGTTCCGTTCTCCTTTTAGCCAGCTCTGCCAGCTATCTTGCTTGTATGGCTTTAAAAGAGGAATAGTCAAATTCACAAAGGATAATAACAATGGCTGTTAGACATGATGGCTTTGTATGTTCTACTTCCACTGTTGGAGGAAATTGAGATCGCTGCCCTGCAGGGGGTTAGACTAAATGACCCTCAGGATCCCTTTCAACTCTACAATTCTCTGATTCTATGATTCCGGGTTCCCTTGCTCCTTTGCTTTTTTCTGGGGCCTCTTTCCCACCTTCAACGTGCATCAGAAAGCTACTCCTGTCCCTGCAGGCTGTGTGAGATATTATTCCCAGCCAGACTGACCTTCTCTCTTAAGACTAAAATGCTAATCGATGGCACTAAACGATTTATGAACATTTTGTGACATCACAGCAGCTCTGCCAATCAGCATTCAGTGCTTCCACATGCATGATGCAAAGACTAGACATCAATTCTCTTTGTAAAGTTGATTGCTTGCAACACACACACAAAAACGGTGTGACTTCATCACAGTTTCCTAGATAAGTGCGACACATCAACATCAATGACTTTGATCAATCTTGTGTGGTTAGTTGACTCTCATGCAATATTTGGATGCAAAAGTAATTACTCATGGCGAAGGGGGTGGTAAGGATTTTGAAAGACTGAAAGTGAAGAGGAAAAGGAACTGGAGCTGTTCAATGAGGGCAGGTGGGGGGAGGGGGCGAGAACTACCGTTTTTTACCATATATGAGACGCCCCAGTGTATAAGACTTTTGGGGACCCCAAATTAAGAAAATGGAGGGAGATGGCCCAAAGTTGTTGAACTTATTTTCGGGAAGGATTGCCCAGATTTGTTGAGCTTTTTTGGAGGGGAATGCCCCAAAAATCGCACACACAATTGCCACACCAACAAACACCTAAGCAGCCCTTGCAGCAGCAACCAATCTCCCACCCAATCACCACTGACAAGCTCCTGCTCACAGCTGCAACAAATCGCCTGCCCCGCATATGCACTATCCGTGTATAAGACGCCCCCGATTTTTAATCTTATTTTAGAATTAAAAACCTCTCGTCTTCTACACGGAAAAGTATGGTATTTTTTAGAAGTCACTTACCAGAATGTGTCCTTAAGTGACCAGTGAGCGCATCTCTCCTTTGACAGGCATAGCTGCAAAGGTGGCATTTGAATGGCTTTTCCCCGGTGTGAAGTTTAACATGGCGGAGAAGGTTGCCCTTCTGAGTAAACGAGGCCCCGCACTGGTTACACTGGAAAGGGCGCTCACCTTAAAAACACCATGGAAGGAGGAGAAAAAGGTATCACTTAAGTGCTGTCATGCAGGCAGTATAGTCTCTATACTAAAAACACAAATTATACATAATTCTGCCTGAGGGCTGCCAGGCAGGGCTTCAGATGCCACACCACCCAGCACTGGCCAAAAGAGAGAACGCAAGGGCCACCCCACAGACCTAAAGTGTGTGTGTGTGTTGGTGGTGAGGTAACAGCCAACTGAGAGTGGCATTACCCAATTTTTTTGACAGCCGCAGCACACTCCTTTCCTGAATTAATGGCATTCTTCACCAGGAATAGCAAGAGTCTTGTGGCAGCTTAAATTTGTAATTCTTGCTTGAAGCAGATCCACTGAAATTGATGGACAGGGCGACTAACTCAGAGGCATTCATTTCAGTGGGACCACTTTTTTTGTAATCACTATTTTTGGTTGGAAAACCGCATTGCAAAATTCAGATAAGTGCAAATTTTGAAGGATATGTGTGTTTTGGTTCTCATGTTTTTTTCAGGAAGTGGCAACGTGATAAATTTGGCTTTAAATGCGAACTGAATCAAATTTCTCCCCCCCCCACCTCTACTCCCCACTCAACTTGACACAGGGGTGATAAACTTAGTGGGCCCAGATCAAATGCATTTAACATCGGCCTTGCCTTAGAAAGGACTAAAAGTAATTACCAGTGTGGCTGCGTTTGTGAACCATCAAGACATTGAGGCTGACACAGCGCAACCCACAAATGTGGCAAATCAGCTTTCCACTAGATGGCCTGATGAGGTCGTACGGCCCGGAATGCCTTTCTAGCTCGATGCTCTCATACTCTCCATACTCCTGCTGACAGTTATAAAGGCTCCCAGGCTCTCCTCGGTTTTCCATTGGTTCAGAATTCAAGACGCCATCTTCTTTTTCAGTGTATTCACCTTTGCCTTTAAGCAAGTTATCTTCTGGAGGGGTGGGTGAAGGGAAATGGAAGACAGGTCCCAAATGTGAGGAGATGGATAAAAATTGAGAATCCATAGAAAGAAGTCAGCCATGCTCCCCCCCCCCCCATTACCAGCAAAAATAATGCAAAATGGTTTTTTCCTTAAGTTTTCTTGTTTGTCTTTTCCAGATCTTAAAACTTATTTTGGGGGGCAGGGGGCAGATTGAATTCAAACTATTATAGGTTATAAGCCATTTAGACCAAGGGTGGTAAATTTGTTGGTCTCCAGTTCTCATCAGCCCCAGACAGCACATTCAATGGTCTGTGATGATGGGAACTGGAGTCTGATAATCTGGAAAAGCAGTTTTCCCATCCCTGATTTAGGCCAGCAAAAACCATTTTTAAATGCCCACCCTCTTTAATTCCCCACTGCCCACCCCATTCACGACTGCTCACAGTATGAAGAAAATAGAGAAACCAGAAAAAGAGAAGGAAAAATAGGAGAGAAAGACAGATGAAGGGAGGGCAGAGAAAAGAAACAACAACATGAAGACAAGATGGATCCATTCAAGATCCAGCAACTCAAGAAATGGCTCCCAGGTAAGATCAGAGGTGTCAGGAGTATTTCATTTTTAGCATCACTGTTTCCTTGACGCTTAATTCTAATATTTCTTCCACCCACTGAGCAATCCATATCTCTGTCTTATAAGCTGTCATTCTGGAGCTACTTCTGTGCTCACCTGAGGCCAGGAAGTGTTCTGGATTTCTGAGCAGCAGCAGGAGCAAGAAAACACTCAGCTCAATGAACTGCTAGAAACTCCAAAGGCAGCTGCTTTTGGCATTAGAGTCACCTCTGATTGAAAGTCTTTAAGCAGCAACCCATTGTACACAACCTTGCAATTCCACCTGGGTCGAAGGGATGGAGGCAACTTCCATGTGCTGGGTTTTCATCACATGGCCCTAAAAATACTGGGGGAAGGCTCCATCGAGCACTTCAGAATTAGGCCTATTTGAGTCTTGTTTGTTTTAACTAGAGGACATCCAGAACCAAAATGATCCAGGCACCAGGAATGGAATTTGCTATTTATCACAGGGACGAGGGCCAGATTTAGGTTTGATGCTACTGAAGGTAATGGGGCCGTTTATATGTCCAGCTGTCCTTTGTCAACAACAAATTGCCACTGTTTTTTGTGTTGAATATATGCTATATGGTAATTTATGGACCTAATAGGAGCCTACACAAAACAAAACACTGGTGTAGGTTTTATTTGATTTGTTTTTTATCTTATATTTTGGAAATGTACATCCAGTTTTTTCCCTTTAATTTTTTGGGGGGAGAGTGGGGCCCTAAGATATAGCCTGTTTAGCTTATACATAAATCCGGCACTGACAGGCATAGACCAATAGGAGTGTTGGTGGGAGTATGTGTATGGTGCTTAACTCTTCCTCTGCCAGCTATTGTTCTGCTCCAAAATCACCTCAAGGTGCCTGCTTCCCCTCTCAGGGCTGATGCATGTGAACCCTGAAGAAGGAAAATCAACTTGTGGGCAGGATCTAAGCCAGAAAATTGTCAACAGGGAAAGCCCGCCCTCCCACCTTCTCCTGCGACTGCTTGTCGTTTTTTTCTTTTTTTAAAGCCTCAACACCAAGACTTCATTAAACACATTTGTTTATAATGGATGAGTTGCCCTAAAACGCCTCATGCTTCATTTAAAAATAGCATCATGCTGTAGCTGTAAAGGTAATATTTCTGTAGGTAGAGGAAAGCCCGTTTCTCGCTCTATGGCCAGCAGAATGAATTAAGCAAAAAATTGTAAACGATGCAGAATTACACGAAATAAGTCGTGCAAATTCAATTTACATAATATATACATGAGCACAGTTCAACTTCTCTATGAAATGAAATTTAATTTGCCCCCCCCCCCAGCGAAGAGTTACACGTAGCCCTTCCCATTGCATGCAAGTCTTTGAAAAGCTATGGGGAGTCTATGCAACTGGAACCTGGAAAAAATAAAAATAAATAAAAAATGCTGCAGTGTAAAGTCTGTCTCTTCAGGTTCCCAATCATTGCATTTCTTTCCCTCCCAGTTTTCCATTCCCCTCCCTCTCGTTCTGTGACCACTGAACACGTTCAGTCCTCATTGGACTGCTTTGGATTTTTGAGAACCCTGCCTAGAACACAAATCACGGTGAAAGCTCCATAAATATGTCGTCTGGAGAAGCCCATAGAATCTATTGGCTCACAGGATCATTTCCACATAAGGCAGTGTGATGGGATGATGAGCTGCTTGTGCGTAAAATCGTATCCCCTCAGAGTTTGTTCAAGTCCACAAACCTCTGTCTGTGACGGAGCCCCTCAGACATGGCTACTCTAGTCACTAGCAGATTCCGACAGTGGTTGCTTTCGTAATCGCTTCCAACATAAAAGCTCCTTAACGGAAACACGTCTTCTGGAATCTCTGCGTGACAGTTTCCGGCGAGGAGTGGGTGTTCTTACAGGAGGTCCTGAAACTTCCCCACTGTTTTCGCTGGAAGTGTCTCTGAGCCATCCCTCCAGCTCAGCTCCTCTCCCCCTGCTGGTTCCCTCTTCAGCTGCTGCGTCTCTCCCAACCTGTGTGAGCCCTTTCACCTCCCTGTTGGTTCCCTCTTCAGCTGCTGCGTCTCTCCCAACCTGTGTGAGCCCTTTCACCTCCCTTCCGTCCGATGGCAGTTCCCTGACATCCACCTCCCCTCCAGGGCCCCCTTCACCCCCTCTCGCCCCCTCCTCTACGGGCGGTGAGGAGGCAAAACCCGGAATGAACTTCCTTCATCTTCCGATGTCTCGAACACTTCTCTCAACCTGTTGCGGTTCCTGGTCTCGAAGTACACCTCCTCCTCAGAGTCCATCTCCCCTTCCCCTTCCGAGTCCGGGAATCCTTCCAACTCCTCCCCTTCATCAGTGGTCCCAAAGTATTCCCTCCGGAACCTCTCCACAGGCTGAGGTTTCCTTGGGAACCTTTGATGGAACGTTTCTATCAATACCTCGTCATTGATATCTTCAGCCATTACCCAAGTGTTTTCTGACTCCGGTTCTCCTTCCCACGCTACCAAATACTCCACCTGATCCCCCTTCCACCTGGCGTCGAGGATTTCTGCCACATGGCTGCTGCATTCTCTTTCTTCTACGACCGGTCCCCGGGGCCCAGCCCTTCTCGTCCCCCTTCGTACGGTGACAGTAACGACCTGTGAAATACTGGGTGCAGTTTCATGTGGTTGGGTAACCGGAGCCTGAAAGCCACTGGGTTGACCTGTTGAATGACCTCAAAGGGACCCAACCTCCTGGGTCTTAATTTCTTACAACCTCCTTTGAACGGCAACCCTTGGGTTGACAGCCACACCCTATCTCCCACCCTTATGGTTTCACCTTCCCTTCGGTTCTTGTCTGCCTGCCTCTTGTATTCTTCCTTCGCCCTTTCTAAGTTGAGTTGGAGCTGACGATGGATTGCTTCCATTTCTTCCACAAAATGCTCGGCTGCCGGGACGCTCCATCTCTCCCCCTCTCCCCTGGGAAAGCCCTGGGATGACACCCATAATTAGCCAAGAAGGGGCTCATCCCTGTGGACACATTCTCGGCATTGTTGTAGGCAAATTCCGCCAGCGCCAACTTTTCTACCCAGTCATTCTCTCTGTCATTGACATAACACCTCAGGTATTGCTGGAGGACACCGTTTGCTCTTTCCGCCTGCCCGTTGGTTTCAGGGTGCCGGGCAGTCGAAAAATTGACCTCCACCTGCAGTAAGCTCATGAGCTTCCTCCAGAACCTGGAAGTAAATTGTTTTCCTCGGTCTGAGACCACCCTCAATGGCACCCCGTGCAACCTAAAAATGTTTTCTACAAATAACTTCGCTGTCTCTTCCGCCGTGACTGCATGCGAGCAAGCTACAAAGTGGCACATCTTTGTTAGTAGGTCTACCACCACCATGATGGCTGTTTTCCCTTTGGACTTCGGCAGATCAGTCATAAAATCTATCGACACTGCCTCCCAAGGTCGTTCTGGGGTTGGTAAGGGTTCTAATAGCCCCGCCGGCGCCCGCCTTTCCCCTTTGGCTCGCTGGCATTGCTCGCACCCTCTTACATACTCACGTACATCTTCCCTCACCTTAGGCCACCAAAATTCCCTGGTGACCAACCACATGGTTTTGTGTTGTCCAAAATGCCCCGCCGTAGGGCTGTCGTGCAACTGCTTGAGTACCCTCCCCTTAACTCTCCTTCAGGGATATACAGTGCCCCTTTGTAATACAAAGCTCCATTTCTTTCCTCAAAACCCCTGGTTCCTCTCCATCACCCCTAAGACCTCTGAGCTTATTCTGGGCGTATTCATCATTCTCTGTTTCCTCTACCAGTTCTCTTTGTCCCACCAATGCCGCCCCACACACCCAGCGGTCTTCTGGAATGACATGTCTCTCTTCGGTGCCCCCTCCCCTCCAAATATTCAGGTTTGCGTGAGAGAGCGTCCGCCCTAATGTTCTCTGGGCCTGGCACGTAACTAATCTCAAAGTTAAATTTGGAGAACTCCTGGGCCCATCTCACTTGCCGTTGGTTGAGCACTCGTGCCGTCCTCCAATACTCTAGGTTCTTGTGGTCAGTGCACACTTGCACCTTATGTTGTGCGCCAATTAGCAGGTGCCTCCATCTCCGGAACGCCTCATGAATGGCTAGTAGTTCTCGGTCATACACCGTGTAGTTCCTCTCGGATTTGTTCAGCTTTCGCGAAAAAAGGCACACGGTCTCCACTCTGACCCCTTCTTGCCTGGCTGCAGAAGCACCGCCCCAATCGCTCTGTCTGATGCGTCAGTTTCCACTCTCATCGGTTTTTGTAAATCCACATGCAGGAGTTGTTGTTCCGAGGCGAAGGCCCTTTTTAGTTCCTCAAATGCTCGCTCCGCCTCCTCAGTCCACACGAACTTCTTCTTACTGCTGAGACAGTCCGTAATGGGCGCCGTCAGGTGGGCAAAGTTTCGGATGAACTTACGATAGAAGTTCCCAAATCCTAGGAACCTCTGCACATCCTTCTTTGTTTTGGGTGTTTTCCATTCCAGCACCGCCTGGACCTTGCCGGGATCCATGGCCAATCCTTTGTCTGACAGGCGATACCCCAGGAATTCCACCTCCTTGGTATGAAACTGACACTTCTCCAGTTTCACCCACAGCTGGTTGGCTTGCAGCCTGCTCAACACTTCTCTGACGTCTCTCACATGCTGCTCCTCATTCTCAGAATACACCAACACGTCGTCTTATTAGGCCACACAATTCTTGTAAAGCAAAGGCCCCAGGACGTGGTTCATAAACGATTGAAATGTTGCGGAGCCTGCTTGTAGGCCGAAGGGCATAACCAAATATTCAAATGCCCCTAAAGGGGTGAACATAGTGGTTTTCCATTCATCCCCCTTCCTTATTCGTACCAGGTTGTACGCCCCCCTTAGGTCCAGCTTTGTGAAAATCTTTCCCTTCCGCACCCTTGTCAAAATGTCGTCAATCCTGGGCATAGGGAAGGCTACTGGTTCTGACACTGCATTTAAGGCCCTGAAGTCACACACCAGCCTCGGCTTGTTCGTGTTTTTCTTATCCACAAAAAACACTGGGCTGCCCCCCACCGCCCTGGACTCTCTGATGAACCCTCTCTTCAGGTTCTTGTCAATGAACTCTCTTAACTCCTGCATCTCTCTGTCTGACATGGCGTACAGCTTGCCTACAGGGAGCTGTGCTCCAGGGAGTAAGTTGATTTGACAGTCAAAGGGTCTATGCGGGGGTAGTTGGTCAGCTTCCCTTTCGCTGAAGACGTCACGGAGATCTGCATATTGTCGTGGTACCTTCACGTTCTCTGTTACTTCAGTCCCTGCTAGGGTGGCTTGGACCCCTGCCAAACCCTTTCCCTCTTTGCAGTGTTCTAAGCAATGTGCTGAACCAAAAGAAACCACTCTCTGATGCCAGCCCACCAGCGGATCATGTAACGCTAGCCAGCTCATCCCCAATATAATGGGAGCTCCTCCCAAGGTGGCCACATTAAAAGCTATCAGTTCGGTGTGCCTTGCTACCTTCATTATCATTGGGACGGTCTGCAAGCTGACTTCTCCACCCAACAGCTCCCTGCCATCGATAGTGGTCACCTGCAGGGGCTGCTTAAAGGATTGTCTGTATCTGGTGTTCAGCTGCAAACTCTTTGCTCATGAAATTGCAGGAGCTGCCTGAGTCCAACAGCGCCTTTATCTTTAGAGGGTGTCCGTTTGGCAGCTCTAGCGTCACTTCTATCACTAGGGCGGGTTTAGGAGGTTCTGGCGTGGGCACTCTCACTGCTCTTTGGCCTGGCTGCTGTGCCCTGACAGTGGCAGCCAGGCGTTGGCTTTTACTTGCTCCGGTATATTTTCCTCTCTTCCATCCACAGCTCCTACCATCCCTTGCCATTCTTTCCTCTGGGGGCAGACTCTGGCAAAGTGACCTGGCTGTTGGCAGAGATAGCATTTCCGGGCGCCTTTTCCCTCCTTCTTTGCCCCCTCACTGGGCTTTGAAACTGCGCGCGCGCGCTGTTCCGATTTCCATCGGCTCTGCCGGTGGGAAAGTTGGCTCTGGAATGTCTGGAATGCGGAACTCCTTCCAACGTTCCCCTTTCCCTTCCCGCCTCTCCAATGCTCTCGCCTCCTGGCGCGCTCCTATGGCCAGCGCTGATTTGGTCAGCTGGTCCATAGACTCCGCCCTGGGCGCCCGGGAAAGTTCGTCTTTCACAGCCGAAGAAAGCCCTTCTTCAAAGAGCATCTGAATGGGTTCCGCCGATAAGTCCCACCCCAATCTGTGAACAAGCATGGTGAACTCAGTCCAGTACTCACGGACAGATCGGCTCCCCTGTTTGCAACCCATTAACTGTCTGCGCACCACTCCCTTTTCAATATCGCTGGAAAACATCAGATCCATGGCGCGAAAGAACTTCATCGTGTCCTTTAAGACGTCACTATTAGCTGCCATCAGGGGTCTAACCCAGTCTCTCGCCCCCTTTTCAAGATGCTCAATCACGAAAGCCACTCGTGATTCCTCGTCAGGAATTCATCAAACTGCAGATTGAGGGCATATTGCATTTCTGTCCGAAAACCATGATAGTTTTGGGCTCCACCCCAAACTTCTGCACCAATCCTGGTACCTTTCTGGCAAACTGGGTGGCTTTCCCCTTTTGTCTGCATCCTGAGCCCTCCTCTCCTCAAGCCTCGCCGTCTGCATCGCTAGCTGGACCTCCAACATCTGGTACCTTTCTTCCAGGCTTGGACCCGCTCCAGCTCCTGCTTCTCCGGTTCCGGCTGGGTTGCTCATGATGCCTTCTCCTGCACAAGCTGCTTTCAAAGACTGTCGGAATGCTGTGATGGGATGATGAGCTGCTTGTGCGTAAAATCGTATCCCCTCAGAGTTTGTTCAAGTCCACAAACCTCTGTCTGTGTGAGCCCCTCAGACATGGCTACTCTAGTCACTAGCAGATTCCGACAGTGGTTGCTTTCGTAATCGCTTCCAACATAAAAGCTCCTTAACGGAAACACGTCTTCTGGAATCTCTGCGTGACAGTTTCCGGCGAGGAGTGGGTGTTCTTACAGGAGGTCCTGAAACTTCCCCACTGTTTTCGCTGGAAGTGTCTCTGAGCCATCCCTCCAGCTCAGCTCCTCTCCCCCTGCTGGTTCCCTCTTCAGCTGCTGCGTCTCTCCCAACCTGTGTGAGCCCTTTCACCTCCCTGTTGGTTCCCTCTTCAGCTGCTGCGTCTCTCCCAACCTGTGTGAGCCCTTTCACCTCCCTTCCGTCCGATGGCAGTTCCCTGACAGGCAGGTATGGAGAAGCTGTGGACCTCTAGATGTTGCTGAACCATAGTTCCTATCAGGCCCACCAAGGCTTACCAATGGCCAGGGATGATGGGAATTGTAGTTCAGCGGCATCTGGAGGGCCAAAGAATCCCTGCTTAAGAGTTGACCATGGCCACCACCAGAGAACTGACTACTTTGGAAGCAGCTGGGAATATGACGCAGTGCATCCATCACCACAACTGTCTTGAAACAAACAAACATGCAAAATCCTATGCATGTTTACTTGCTGGTAAGTTCCACTGTGTTCATTCAATAGGGCACACTTCCATGTAAGTGGAAATAGGATCACAGTCTTAGTAACAATTGTGGAGTTTACCATTCATTGCCTTTCTGTAGCAAATGAAATTTGAGGGACTCCATAATAAATGCACATGCAGGACAGCTGGTATGTTGAGCTTGTTGAAGAAATCTTGGGTGGCCAGGAGTGGACTTTTGCATTAAATGATCATTTAATACAAAGGCCCAGTCCTGGCCACCCAAGCTTTCTTCATGTCAGCAGCCCAGTTTAGATGGAAACGTTTTCTTCTTCTTATCGTTGAGCAACTAGGAGTCAGAACAGGGGGCGGCAACCTAAGGCCATTTAACCGGCCCATGGACCCCCAGCGCGGAGCAGAGCGGGGACCGCCTTCCGCGATGCTGGCTGGCTTCCCATTGGCTGCAGGAAGCTCCTGCAGCCAATGGGAAGCTGCGCACGCCTCCTCCACACCAGAAGGAGCACCGGAAATAGTGTTTGTGTGTGCACGTGCATACTCCAGCCCACCAGTCTGCAGGATTGTGAACTGGCCCAAGCCACAAAAACTTTGCCGACCCCTGAGTCAGAAAGTCTTTGCCAGTGTACTGCAAACCACACAGAGATCTACCAGTATATCACAAACTATCTTCTGTCTGCCCCCAGCTCTATGGTTTGAGAAAAGTAGTGTGGGGAGTGAATGTATCAACTTCTGAAGATATGCTATGATTGCAGAATATGCTTTCAGACATCCTCACTGGATATGCACAGTGACTACCTCTTGAGGTTTTTGTATGGGTAGAGTTTACTAATCGTATGTGTTTGCTTGAGGAGCATCTGCATGTGTGGGGCCGAAGGAGAAGGATCTTGGCAGTTGGACGTAACCAGTGAAGGAGAAACAAGTTTTTGCAGCTGGCTGATAAGAAGGAGCCTTGGGGAGAAAAGGGCTAAGCTGTTGGTTTTTGGAAACCATACAGACCAGCACTGGGCACCTGGGTGCTTGCCTTCCTCCCAGTTTGTACAATGCAAATAAGTAGATGTCATAAATAAGGGTGGGGAAATCTGCCAGTTTCTGTTTCTCTGGTTTCTGGTTTCTCCAATGTTAAGTTCCATTCTCCACATTTCCACATCAGTCCTCAGGAAAAGTCATCGGCATTTTGCTGTGAATTTATCCGAGTGCACACACATTTGTATACATATTTTTGCAAAGCAATTTTCCCAAAAGTAACACATTTCTGTATGTTATTTTCACTAATATATATGTTTTAATGATGCTTTATCCTCAGTATATGCATTTTTGCCCACATTTCTTGGCTGAAGAACTTCATATGCAAAAACATCAGAGAAGTGCAAATTTCAAAGAGTGGCTCTGTTTGGATTGTACTGTTTTGGAAACGGCAAATTACCATATTTTTTGCTGTATAAGACTCACTTTTTCCCTCCTAAAAAGTAAGGGGAAATGTGTGTGCATCTTATGGAGCGAATGCAGGCTGCGCAGCTATCCCAGAAGCCAGAAGAGCAAGAGGGATTGCTGCTTTCACTGCGCAGCGATCCCTCTTGCTTTTCTGGCTTCTGAGATTCAGAATATTTTTTTTCTTGTTTTCCTCCTCCAAAAACTAGGTGCGTCTTGTGGTCTGGTGCGTCTTATAGAGCAAAAAATACGGCAGGTAGGTTTGCCTTTAAATGCAAACTGAATTCTCTGGCATCCCTAGTTACAAAATCACACTACACAAGTCCACAGCACTCTCCACTCCCAAGGAAACTGACTGTGCGAAAGGCTGGCCCTGGTTGGGGAAGTGGAGACATGAACAAGACAACTCACCTACTTCGGGATTCTGCCTGTGGGAACCTCTTTGCAAGATTCTTACTGAAACTCCTCCTAAGGAAAAATACCCGCCTTTTGCTTTTCCTTCAGGCCATCTGCCTCTGCCTAGTGCATCTCTCTGCCTCTGATTCACTTTTGATAAGGAACTGAAAGGATGCACCTGAGCCCTCCTGACTGAAGCCCCCGCCATGCTCTAGTGCTCGAAGGTTCCCCCAAGCAAAAGCTTGAGCGATTTTTCAGTTTGCATGTAGGTGCTTTCTAAAAAAGCACGACGGGAAACATGCGGACCAACATGCAGGAGGGGCAGAAAGCAGAAGCTGTGAGAAAAGAGCAGTTCGGTGACAAACCCTGTCTTCACTGGCAGGAGGTAAAGGGAAGAGAGAATAGCCCAGCCTTGCTCAGTGAGGCTTATATTTGTCTTGAAAAAGCAATACTTGATTTGAAAGCCTTTCACTTATGCCTGGCTATGGGTTAAGGCTGGCACGTCCAAAGCCCTGCCAGTCGGTTTAATCTGGCCCCTGTGGCAGTTTATTTCCTAGAGGGTAAAATCCTTAAAAAAGCTCAACAACTTCAACCCTAAAAAAAGTCAACAACTTTGGTCGGCCCTCAAGCATGTTCACTTCATCAAATCTGGCCCTCTTTGAAAAAAGTTTGGGCACCCCTGTTAAGCTCACCAGGAGAGCTCTGCCTATTAAGAATTCTGAATATCCCCTCCCCAACAGGCCAAGGAAGCTGGAGGGGACAGAAACCACAGCCTTACCTATATCTTAATTTACTCGGTAAGAAGTGTCACACAATTCAATAGGATTTACTTCTGCGTAAACAAAGGGACACTGGAAGCTGCTTTATTCTATGTCAAACCACTGGTCCTTCTAGCTCAGTATTGTCTAAACCAGGGGCAGCAAAGCGGTACCCTCCAGGCATTACTGGACTCTGTATCCCATCATTCTCAGCAAACACAGCCAGGGATGATAGAAGTTGGAGTCTAACAACATCTGCAATGCACCATGTTAGCTACTCCAGTCTACACTGACTGGCAGCAGGCAAGGGATTGTCCCGACTCTACCCGCAGATGCTGGGGACTGAAGCTGGGATATTCTGCATGCAAAGCAGATACTCTACTGCTGAGCTACAGCCCTTCCCAGTGCAGAAGTTTGCATTGTAAGGCTGCAATTCTAAGCACACTTAAATGGTGGTGAGTCCTATTGGAATCAGAGAGCCTTGCTGCCAAATAGATGTGTTTAAAATTGCACTGACAAAGACAGAGGAACTGCTGCCTGCCTTTCTCTATCACTCACCATCTCTCTTAACAGCCACTTGTATCTGCTCCTCACCTTTCCAACTTCCATTTTTTAACAAAAGTCACCACAATGGTTCTGTCTTATTCCATTTATACCTGGACAACGACATCCATCATTCATAACCAGCTTGGTCAGGGATGATGGGAGTCAGTGCCGTAGCTACTGGGGGGGGGGCTATCCAATTTTTGCCCCAGGTGAAGCCTCCAGATGGGTGCCCTTGAGGCTCCTAGCCTGTGTACAAAAATGTGTGGGATGGGTCTTTGACCCGGGTGAAATAAAGCCTTGTTTTGCCCCTGCTGGCAACTGTGATTCAGCCACAGCTAGGGATTCGTGGTTGGTTGAAGGCTTCAAAGGCATCACAGCATTTACACACTGAGACCACAATCTAGAGAACTGAATTTCCTCCCTCAGCCCACTCCATCCACAGGAGACAGGATGAAAAAACTGGAGGGGAATGTGGCACCGCTGGCCACCTTTCTACAGCTGGTTAAGAATCTTTGTTTGACTCAACACTCCTTAACATGAATTGTTCAGGATGCTCCCACTCCCAACTCCTGGGTAAAACCAGTCACTGAAAAAGAGGGAAGATAAACAATGGAGGAAGGCCGCCAATGGTTCTGTGACCCCATCCAACCGTCCCTGCCTGCTTGTGTTACATGTGGCTGTGGAGGGGAGACTTAAAGTTAGGATTCGCAACCATCAGAGCCTTTCACACGAGGAAGGCAACACACTGCCACACGCTCAGGGCTGATTCATACATTGTTAGAGCAAGGCAGAAGCTGCTTCTCTGGGGTCCCTTCCCACTCCACTCCACGCTAATGTCAGCGTTTGAAAAACCGTGTCATTCCTTCCACCCATGGAGCTCTGACACATAACTGTTATGGGTGGAGCAGTGTAGGAAGAAAAAAACCAGAGGAAAACGTTACCTATGCTGTTGTGACAAGAGTGTGACTCAGGCCCCCGTCTTGTTCATGCCTCCTCAAGCTTTCCCCAAGGCAAAGGGTACATCCACACTAGGTGTGGGTGGTTGATGTGTAATTCCCACTCTTCGTCCCGTGAGGGGAAATTGACATGATGGAAGATGGGGCACATGTCGAAGGGTGGGAAGTTATGAGGCTTACGGGGAGAGAGAACAATGAGTGGGTAGTACTAACAGTGAGTGGGCAATTGCCAATTAATTTCCGAGCACAATTCAAGGTGTTTAAAACCCTAAATGGCATAAGATCCAAATACCTGAAAGATCGCTTCCTTCCCTACAGACTTTCTTGGGTGTTAAGATCAGCAGATTAGTCATTCTGTCACCCTCAGAAATTTAGCCAGGGTAGTCTGGGAGAGGGAATCCTTTATGTCAGCTCCTAGGTCAGAGTTTTGGATTTGGATTTGATATCCTGCTTTATCACTACCCTAAGGAGTCTCAAAGCAGCTAACATTCTCCTTTCCCTTCCTCCCTCACAACAAACACTCTGTGAGGTGAGTGGGGCTGAGAGACTTCAGAAAAGTGTGACTGGCCCAAGGTCACCCAGCAGCTGCATGTGGAGGAGCGGAGACACGAACCCAGTTTACCAGATTACGAGTCTACCACTCTTAACCACTACACCACACTGGCTCTTTTCCATGTTGGTGACACACTTTTTAGACATGCAACATTTCACGACACAGTAATTCAGTTTTACTAGCAGACCAGAGGTTGAATGAACCTATTTCCAGCCCCGGGAGGAACACGACACACCTAAACACTGCAGCCAACACACTAATGTGTTGCAACACACAGTTTGGAAAGCTCTGTCCTAGGTTGCAGAATTCCCTCTGTATTATGCAGTTTCCATCATATGATGAAGACAGACCTCTTTACCCTGGCTTTTGACACCTGATATATATATTTTCAGGACCTACCCAATTCCTGCTAATATAATTTGTTTTGACTGTTTTTAATTTTGAATTTTAAACTGTTGTAACCTACCCTTGGACCTCCTGGTGAAGTGTGGGTGATAAATTGATTAACAACAACAAAAACTGAAACATGGGTGCAGAGGGGGATGACTTTGGATCTTGTCTTGTTTTTCATTTAAATAACTAATTTCTAGGGTGATGCCTCAATGAACCCAGACGGTGAACACCTGGTGGAAATTTCACTTACTAAAAATACCAAACTTTCCGAATTCCTTGGCAAGCACGAAGGCTTATTGCCAAAAAGCTGGCCTCTCGTAAAAGAAAATAAAAAGCAGGGGAGGGGCAAAATAAGAAATAAGCAAACTAGATGGGGAGAGGGGTAAAGAAAAGCTATTCAAATATCAAGAACTTATGCTTTCATGGTGGGAGGTCTGAAGTAGGGATGGGGAAGAAACCCAAGTTCAGTTCGCTCTGAAAAGGCAAATCTACCCAATTCACACTTACGCAAACTGAAACAAAGTCATTCTTTGAAATGGGCACTTCTACAAATTTCGCAGTGAAGTTCTCCAACCAAGGAATATGTACTGAAATGCCTAGACTGGCTAAAGGGTGCACAGAATGCATATATAACATTTAAAGAACATTAAAATTGCATTGTATTAGGCAAAGCTTCATACATCAATGTGCATATGAGCAGAATCCCACACTAAAATGCTGATGAATCTTCATGAGAATATTTTTTAAAAAAAATAAGAATTGACTTGCAAGTGATGGGGGAACGTGGAGAACTCAGCTTAATGTTTGAAAAATGAAAAACTGAGAAGAACAGCCTAGTCTGAAGGCGCCGGAGGCGGTTTTGTCTCAGAAAATGCGACCTATGCTAGCAATGGTTTTCAAATTCTGCACCTTCAGAGAATCCATTCCAGATGAAGTTGTCTGCTGACGAATCCTTGAATGCTGTGGAGGGTTCTGGTCACGTTCTCAGCACAGGTGGGGTTCAGGCATCCCAGGCCCACTGGGACTAATTGCTGCTGTACGAGAACCTCAAACGTACTCCAGAATATCCCCAGACACTTTGGAATATAAATGGTGCTGGTAGTGGCAGCAGCAGCAGCTGGTAAGCTACCTTCCATAGAAATTTGTCTCCCATTACTAGATCTGTTGGTGAGGTTCTTTGATAAGCCTATGAGGAACCCTAGGATTCTCAGAAATGTAGCTTGAAAAACACAGCACAAGCCTATTAATACCATCAGTACTTCCATCCAAAGAACCCTGGGAATTATTCTAGGTGGAAAGGTTAGGGAACTCTAATAAAGAGTGCATGGAGAGCGTCTGGAGCTCTGTATCTACCTTGTTCCATCTCCAGCTTCTCTTTATACAATACATTAATCCCAGGTAACAGAGCTGGGAAGGACTTCTGCATGAGACTTTGGAAAGCTGCTGCTCATCATAACAGACAATATGGGCTGGGCTGGGCTAGCATAATGCAGCTTCCCAAATTCTGATGTCTCGCCTTCTTTAAGGGCCACACTTCAGCGTTCACAAAGTAACAAAAATTGGGCAAAATTCATTAAACAAATCTCTCTCTTGCTCCCGCCCCAATCCCCCACTGTGAAAGGAGGGACTTTAAAGTCCTTGGAGACGCTAGCTGCCTTTTTGGGGAGCTCATATTATTCTATAAACAGCCTATATACATGGGCAAAGAGTTAATGCGCTGCATATTTTATGCATATCATAACAACTCCTAGGCGCGTTAGTTAATAAAACAAAGGAAGAAAACACAGAGAATTCACAGAGCCCTGCCTGACTTGTGAGTTTCAAATCAGAAACCACAATCAAAGGAAGACGGTGCCAATACAGTAAGTTTCAAGTTCCACAGTCGTGTGTGTTTTTAAAATCCTTTATGAAATCCCCTGTTAAATGAGCCTCTGCAGAAAAGGACTTGCTGAAGTTGCTAGATACGCTTCTCCCCCTCCCAATTTTGTCCCACTAGCAGGACGAGGCAAGAGATGCGATATTCTGATTATAATAAAAAACACAGCACTTCCTTTTCTAGCACAACCACACATCTAAGGCGACGGCAGCTGGAACCTCAACCAAGAGAACTTTGGGCAGATGCTTCCATTTTGCTCCTGTCTTTTCTCTTGCTCTTTTCACAGACACCCATAAAACAAAACCGCAGCACGCCTACCGGCTTAAGGTCCAAGGTATCTTGCCCACACACCTTTCCCTGTTTTGCACAAACACAAACTAACTTACAGCACTGACAAACCTCTAATTCAGGAGTTCATAACTTCACTAGCTGGGAATCCAAATTTGAAAATGGGACATACCTATACATGCAAATATATATAGGAGTTCCTGAACCCTGCGGCTTAAAAGCTCTCAGAGAGTAAAATTTCCAGTGGCAGCTGTGATGGAAAAGAGGACAAGGACTCCTGTACCTTTAATAGTTGTGCAGAAGAGCGGTTTTTAGCTGGTATAGATAAACTTGTCCTTGCTGGCACAAGGAAAGCATAAGACCAGTACCTATCCTGTGATAAAAGTTCAGAAGTGTGTGGAAGATCAGGGGTCATCCCATGACAGAGTTCAGAAGCGGCAGATCTTTTTCAGAAAAGGACCATTTGGGCCCTTGTGAAAGTACCCACCTAATGTTTGAACTGCTCCTGTGAGCAGGCCATGGATACAGCAGTTGATTGTAGACTCTGTGCTGCTCCTATGGCACCCACACAACATTGCCCTGGTCAAAATGCCTTCACGTATTTCCCTCCCCCCATTTAATCCAGAATTGCTGTTCCTGCATTTGTGAACATCACTGGGCACGGTTAACTGTCGTGGGAATGCACTCCCAATTCTGTGCACTGCTAAATGCCCAAGAGCACATTTATATAAAATATGGGTTGGCCTTTTGTTCCCGATAGTATATTTTATTAAACAAAACAGAACTTTTATTCCCTTTTTAGCTCAAACCCTATTTCTGGTAAGGCAGGTGATGTCACTCAGAGCCACTGCCATGGGAGGACTTAAAGGGGAAGTTCACGATCTTCCTGATTATCTCCTTAGCCGCTTATCTTTGCACTTGGTGCAGACAGTTGCAGTCCTGCTAACTCCACAGATACAACAGAGATAAAGGCAACGTTTCCGGACTAACTTCTGTTAGTGCAAAAGAAAAAAAGAAAAATAAAGGTTTGTCTGGTATTGGGGATTGCTAATAGGCTGCACTGAGAAGGTGGGGGACAATGGCAGGTCATATATGTTCCCCCCTTTGTCAAGTTAAGATAAAGGTAAAGGACCCCTGGATGGTTAAGTCCAGTCAAAGATGACTATGGGGTTGCGGTGCTCATCCTTCTTTCAGGCCAAGGGAGCCAGCGTTTGTCCACAGACAGCTTTCTGGATCACGTGGCCAGCATGACTAAACTGCTTCTGGCACAACAGAACACCAGAAACCAGAGTGCACGGAAACGCCATTTAGCTTCCCACCACAGTGGTACCTATTTATCTACTTTCGCTGGTGTGCTTTCAAATTGCTAGGTTGGCTGTCAAGACAGAAAGAAGGACAGACCTCCTGCACTCCATGTAGCTGTAAGAGGTGTGCAGAAGCAGGATTTCAGCAGCTGCAGCTTATCACATGCAATGGTGAGAAAAGCAACATTTGTTGAAATCCCTTTTATATATAGCTACAGAAACCCTGGGCTAGTTCTCACTCAACTGGTGCCTAGGCTGTACCACTTCCACGGGAAAAAGGCTAGGCTAGAATTCTGCTCCTGAAAGGGCAACATTTCTGTCGTGTTAGCTCTCTGCTACCACACGCAGCCTAAAGCAGTACAGTCCAGGCAGAGAGAATTAGGCTTATGTCTCAGAGGTGGCCCAATACATTTTGGTGCACCCCCTCCCACTTGGTTAATAACTCAATGGCAAAGTTTCCACTTTGCACGCAGAATCCTCAGCATCTCTAGGTAGGGATGGGAAATGCTCCTGTCTGAAAGACTGAGAGCCACTGCCAGTCAGACAATACCAAGTAGACAATATCAAGCAAGATGAACCAACGGTCTGACTTAGTACATAGCGGCTTCCTGTGATGTTCTCTTCCTCTGAAGCCATACTGAAGTTAATGGGAACTCTGCAAGGGCACACTGGACTGACCTCCATGAATCCGAATTCTGTCTCATTTTGCCACCCCGTTTCTTCATCTTACATGGTGACAAAGCTCCCTCTGCCTTATTTTCCTGTCCCTGTGTTGTTGTACCCATAATGCCTTCTTGATTCTGCCCACTTGCTCCTTCCCCCTTGCTGTGGGGGAAAAATCTGATTAGGAACTTAACCCACCACCCAAACCCTAGAATGAAACTTTTTCTAGAATGCCTTTGTGTGTGGAAGACTCGGCCATTATGAGACAGACTAAGTTGCGAGATTAATAGTCAGAGGGGGAGGTGAGCCATTGCTTGGTTATCATGTTTGGATTGTATGTTTGATTTGGCAAACCCTCCCCTGGAAAGACTGATTTATGGTGCAACTGGTCTGGGAAAATTAAGGAGCAGACGCTTAGACTTTATTACATCGGAACAGACTAAAATGGCGCCTGCCGCCCAAGCAGGACTTTTGGATCAGTGTGTGGTGATTTAAGGAGAGCCTTACAAAGTTCACACAGAAATATAATAATGTTTGGTTTAACTCGCCTGCGAAAACAGCTCAGAGGTTATTAAGAAGAAAAATGATAACAAGAAGAAGACTGGAAGATGGGATTTGTGAACATCAAAAGCAGCAGAAATATGAGATGATTGGACCCTCACTGAACTCGAAACATGGGAACCCCCAACAAAATTCAAAATTCGGCAAAATATTTGGACTGTATAATATTTATTGGTATAATTTGGAATAATTAATGTGATATGATTGGATTGTTAAATGGAAAACTTAATAAAAATTATTTTTTTAAAAAAAAGACTCGGCAATACATATCCCATAAACTTCAGCGCCGGGGTGGGGCTCTTGGTATTGAAGTCTGATCTAGAGGTGAGAGAACTCTGAGACTGTACCTGTGCCCACCTCCTTCTCTCCCCTCCCCCACACCATCACCCAAGTGGCAGAGAGGAGAGAGACAGCAGATCCCAGCAGATACAGAAGGGAAAGAGAGAAAGGGGCTGCCACTTTCAAAATGGTTCCCAATTATGTCAGGGAATTTTGAAGGTTAGTTGGTTCCATTTTTTTAGTTGGCTCAATAAACTCAGGGATAGATGTTCAGCTACTATTCCCATCATCTGTGAACCAATGGCCATGCATGACAGGGCTGGTGGGAGCTGGAGTCTAAAAAAACATCTGCTTCTTCCTGAATTACTTATATTAATAATGGCAATTCTAGGTGGCATATGTTGTTTTATTAGCTTTAATTCCAGTTTCCACTTTACCTTCTCTCCCTTCTCCATTAGTCAACTGATATTCCTTTGAGTCTTCACTGTTGTCCATGTTTTCAATTTCATGGGATGTGTTAGAATTGCCATCAGTCAAAACATCTGAAACATCTAGAAGGAGTTTTTAAAATATATTTATATATACGTGACTGAATTATAACGATGATGAATCATTTAGACAGCAATTCAAATGTGCTTTAATACATTTTAGCTCACTGCGTAACAATGAAAGATGCTCTCAATGCTTGCATTTTACAAATTAGGGAAACTGAGACTGAGCAAGTAGAAGGCCACCTTCTTGTAAAGATGAGTTGAAATTTGAACTCTGGTTACAAATCCAACATGCAAGCATTAATAATATAGTTCAAATGCACTAGCATCAAATCATTAAAAACCTTCAAATTTTCAGGCATCAGTCTTGTGGGCTAAGGCCACACTGCAGACACGTAAGTATCCAACTTAATGTTAGACATCCTGGATCAAGTCTCTCGTTACATACCGTATTGGCCTGAATATAAGCCTCACTTTCCCCCAAAATTCTGACCATGAAAAGTTAAAGTGCAGATTATATTCGTGACCTTACGGTATGCAGCCAGGAGAATGGGGCAAAGAGCGCCAGGATCGCAGCAAAGCAGCGCCCGCCCCGTGCGTAGTCCCCCATCCTCTCCCCCAAGGCCGGGGAGAGAGCGAGGAAGGGGAAAGGCCGCCGGCAACGCAGCACGGCTCCCCCCTCCCTGCCCAGTATGCAGCCAGGAGCAGCAAGGAATGGAGTGGCTTATATTCAGGTATTTTTTCTTTCCTCCCCCCTTCAATTTTAAAGGTGCAGCTTATATTTGGGTGTGGCTTATATTCAAGACAATACGGTACTTATATGGTCATACGTGGGAAGTAAGAATCATCTTCAGGTTCCCAGGCTGGGAACTCTTTTAAGGATGGAGGAATGGGGGAGGGCATCACAGCACAGTACCTGTAGGCTCTGTTTGTTCCCGAGAATGGCTGAGGTCCATGCCAGCTGGTGAATCTGAAAAGAGGCCAAGAAAGAATTTAAATCTCTAAAGATTGCATAACGCTAAGTGACAATTCTGCAATGAGACTGGAAGGGCTGAACCTGGTCCAAAATCGTGTCGTCCAAAACATACTCTTCCCGTGGGGGTGGGGGTGTGTGTGTGTGTGTGTGTGTTCAATTAAACAGAACAATCCATTAAATAGCCAAGAGGCGCATATAAAGAATGGAGACAAGACCTTCTCATTCCTTAGAACATGGGATATGTAGTCCAAGCATTATTACGCCTTTGCTTCACCCCTTATAAAACCACAACGAAACCACAAAATTAGACCATGGCAAATGGCCTTGGTCAGAAAAGAATATTTAAAAAAACCCTAAATTGTTTTATGCAATTTATCACTTTTAAAAAAAAAAAAAATCCTCTCAGGCTTGCCTCCAGCCTATCTTTCTGTTTCTCTCCTTTCAAACTTCCTTTAAAATCCTATGTTTCTGTAAATCGTTTGGCTTAAATAACAAATTTCTGAAGAAGAACAGACATGGGCATCTCGTAACATTCCTATTAATCAGCTTTATAACAATCAATCAATAGTATCTTAATATTTTCTCTTGAATTTTTGAATATAATGCTTTAATTTTCTGTTAATTATGTTGCTTTGAAAGTTATACTTTTATATTTGACTTCCTTCAGTAATGTTTTATTCTGGATTATTTTATTTGATGTTTTAATGCAGGTTGAAAACTGCTTTGAGGTTTTCCCCCCTTAAAAATATAAAACACTATTGAAATGAAGTGAATAATAACAATGATATCCAAATAATATCAATAAATGTTTGTTGGAGATGAAAAGCATTCAGATACAGACATCGTGCAAGATTTCGGTCCTGTTTATACATACAAACTTGTTGAGAGAAGTCCTAGATTCAGGATGGGGAATCTGTGGCCTTCCAGATGTTTTTGGTTCCAGTTCCCATTCTATATTCACTATGCAGATGGGTCTTGAGAGGCCAACAGCACCCGGAAGGCCACAGTTTCTCCATGCCTGACTGAGACAAAATCCAAGGGATGATAGTATATGTCAGGGAACTGACATCGGAGCTAGAGGTGGAGGGGAGGCTCTCTAATGATGCTGGAGAAGGGCCCAGCAGGGAGAGAGGCAGCTCAGCAGATGGGGAAGCAATTCGGTGCAACACCAGGAATAAGGAGGGGCAGATGGGGGAATCGGAGAGAGGGCTCCCAGACTCTTCACCGGACACCTACGGGGAGAGCACGGGTCCTCCGCTACCCACGCCCTCCCTGCGCAGAAGACTTCCGCGCAGAGAAAGTAGGAGGAGACTGGGTGTCAAACAACTTTTATGTTGGAAAAGGTTTAAGAAACGCCCACTGACGGATTCTGCTAGCGACTGAGGCAGCCATGAATTGAAGGGCTGTCCAGACAGAAAGGTTTAACAAGGCAACATAGCCAGGAGAGGCGGCAACTTACGCACGAGCAACCCCATACCATTATAGTATATGACATTGCTCTCAATCCCAGAAATATTTTATTGGGGTGTTTAAAAGGAGTGGCGAAACCAGCAGAATTAAAACAACAATTCCATTCATTTGCTACTGCACTGATCTCTGGAAAACCTTGCAATTCCTCTTAATTTCAAAGTGGTTAAAAATTGGATGTAAACGCATTGCTAATTAACTTGTTTTTCAAGAAGCTACTCACTATCTCTTGAGTGATACTGATGCCTATTTTAAAAAGTTGCTGTGTTACCTTGATGACAAGGAATATCAGAAAGAGAGAGAGCTAGATAAAATTGCTTCCCAAGAGAAACAAAGATGAAGGTTGTGATCCTATACCAGCTGCTGGGAGTAAGGCCCACTGAGCACAAGTAGAGGATTGCCCTGTTAATTTGTATTGAAGACGGAGGTTTTCTGCACCCCTGGAATCTATGCATGCCTGATATAGGGTCTGGAATGTGAACTTTCCATTATTGGGTTGATTTGTTGCTGTGGCATATATAGCTGCCATTGCCTCTGGCATGAACAATTAAAACTTCACCTTGAAGGAGCTACTATTGAAATCAAGATAATAGGTTTATTGAAAGACTGTCTTTAAAGATAAATCTCTGGAATAATACTTTTGTAGATGAGGCACAACCTTTTTTCTCTGTTGTAGATGAGCCAATCTATTTATTCCGTGCCAGGGCAATTTAAAATTAGTCTCAATTAGATTATTTTTGGAATTGTAAATGTGTTAATTATGGGTGGCGTTCGAGTAGGGTTTTTTTCAGAACAGACCTCATATGGTATACAGAAACATGCAGTGCTTTTTTTTTTTTGGTAAAAAAAACAAATTAGTTAATGAGATGTTGTGTGACTCATATCTTGATAAAAGTGTCATGGGTGCCAGCACAAAATGGCTGCCATGGGCAGTAAAAAATAAATAAATTAAAAAGAGATGCCAGCACTCCATGTTGGTGAGTACTGCCACAAAAACAACACCGGACACATGTAAACAATGAGGCCTGGTGGAAGTGAAATGCAAGAAAAACACCTATTTATGGCAATTAAAATGAAAGCTCATACCAGGATTAGGTAACATGGTGCCCTCCAGATTTTGTGGACTACAACTCCCATCATCTCCAGCAATTGGCCCTGCTGGCTAGGGCTGATGGGAATTATATTCCAAATTATCTGAGGGGCACCAGGTCTGCCAGTCCTGGCTTATACTTATTTGGCATACATTTACAGCGCAATCCTCTACCTGTCCAGGTACGTGTATCTATGATTCCAACAGGTACGTGTGTACAGGATTGCAGCCTTCAGCTGTAATAAAATAGTCATAGGCTCTATGCTTGGCATTTTCTTACCCTCTGATCACACTGTTTGTATTTCTCTCTCAACACCTCTCTCGATACCTGCCAACTGCGGGTGAAGACTTCACACATCTGGAAGGAGACTGCAGTCCCCAAAATCTCCTACCATAATAAATGTGTCAAGTCTTTGAGGTGCCACAAGACTCCTCCTTGTTCGCACTAAATATAAACTTGCTCACATTGAAGGCCTTTATCCCCTTCACCTGCCTTCCTGTTCTGTCCCACAGAAACCCATTTCCTGTCAGCCCCTTTGTTCACACTCCTGTCTCCTCGGCACCGCCTGCCACATGATTTCCAACCTCTAGAGCAGCTCCCCGCCCCAGCTCAAAGCCAAAACCACCTTCTGTGAAAACCCTCCTGAATTCCTCCTTTAGCGTCTCCTCGCCACCATCTGTCAAGGCCAGACCACATAGTTCATGAAACTAACACATTTAACAGGGCAGTTTTGTTTTTTTTAAAAATAGCCATTGCAAAAAAAGGAGGTGGCCCCAAAACAGCCGTCATTTTCCTGGGAGGCAGGGGGTGATATATTAGCTGTCTTCCTCCTGGGGAAAAAGTGGCTGGTGGCAGGGGGGGGCAATTTCATCAGAAATATGCTGACCATAGAGGAAGGGGAAGGCTTAAATTCCCTCCTCGCACCCCATATCCTAGGCCCTATAACAACCCTACCGCTGCAACTGCTTTGGATTTGAATGGCATTCATGCAAGTAGTGGCCGCATTGCCAATATGGCTTCCCAACGCTGCCAGTTACCAAGAGGGACTACTGTGCATTGCAAAGGATTCTGGGGCATGTTTCAGGATGCACAAAGTGCTAAGCCTGCCCTTTGGGGCGCCACCAGTGGCATAGCATGGGGGGTGCAGGGGGGCCGGCCGCACCGGGCACAACATCTGGGGGGCGCTCGCTCGCACTAACTAATCTAGTGGAAGAGACTCGAGTGCTAAAATCCACAGGTTAGGGGGCGCAAATTACTTGCCTTGCCCCAGGTGCTGACAACCTATGCTACGCCACTGGGCGCCACCAACGCTCTTCACCGATCCTGCACACCTTGAACGTTACCGAGAGGCCTGCGGGGCCTCACTGTCACCCTCTGCCAACAGAGAGTGCACAAAGCTGGAGCAAACCAAACTTATTCCTGCTTTGAAGACAGGGGTGCCTGGCGTGCTCTGGTCCATGGGATCACGAAGAGTCGGACATGACTAAATGACTAAACAGCAATTCCTGCTTTCCCACTGTGAGCTGCTGGCTTTGGATTTGATTTTTTAAAAATTGGACAACTGGTTAGGGCCTAGGGGCATAGCTGTCAACTTTCAGATTTGAAAATAAGGGATCAGCAGCCTCACCTGTCCTGGGGACAGTCTACGGGATATCTAACAATCCAGGATAGCAGCGGGAAGCAGTGGGAAACGGTGCTGGAATAAGGGAATTTCCCGCAAAAAAGGGGAAGGTTGACAGCCACGCCTAGGGGGAACATGTCCATGTATGGAGTCCAGCAGTCTGAGGTGGGGGGCTTGGGCTGGATGTGGGGGCAGAATATATATACCGCCGCCACTGCGAGCAAGGCCTGTCATTTACTGGTTGGTTGGCAACCCTAGCTGAAAACTACAGGGAAAGTTTATCAATGGTGCAGATCCACCCTGCAAGCCGTTTGTCTGCCATGACATATCGCAAAACCCCTGATAAGCTGGCTGAGGAATACTGACTGAAAACCACTTTTTGAGGGAGAGTAATCAAGCATGCATCTCTTCTAATGGTCTCTCTGCTTCTCTCTTTCTCCCTCCTTTGATCTCCTTATCTGAGAATCTGATGTCTGTTTAAAAAGAGAAAGAAACTTGGTCCTGGCTGTTACATAACTGCAAAACTTAGCTCACATGAAGCAGCAGGAAAGTGTTAACCGCTTCCCTTGCTTCACCACCAAGGTTTATGGAACATATATGGGGCCTCTGCAACATCCGAGTAGAAGAACTTTGATAGCAGAAGGCCTTTCCAAACCACTGCCATGCACCACTCCTTAATTTTTTTCCCCTTCTTCCTGAAGATTAAAGTATTGCTTCTCGGATCTGACACCACATTATCTGATGGTGAGGGGACAGAGCAGTTCTGTTACCCAGTCTCTGTGTGTTTTCCTTTTTGTTTTTTGTTTTGTTTTGTTTTTGCTTTCTGACTAGAAATCAGATTAAAACTGCCCCTTGATTTTCAACGACAGGAGTAGAGAACCGGAAGCCATCCAAATTATGTTGGAATACAGTTCCCATCAGTCCCAGCCAACATGACCAATGGCCGGGGTGTGTGTGTGTGTGTTGTAGTCCAGCAACATCTAGATGACACAAGCTTCCCTGCCCACTTTTAGAAACAGCCTGCTCTGACTCAGGGCCAGGCCCACCCATGAGCCAAGGTGAGGCAACTATCTCAGGCATTGGGGACAGGCTCGTGCCTTGCAGCATCCTGCTGTTAAGCTGCCAAAATATAGATAGACATGTAGTCCACCAATGCTATTCTCTGGGGGGCAGTCATGCAGGCAGGAGTGGAACCACTGCAAAACAGTACCGCCAACTCCTAACCCGCAGGACACCATGGTCAATAGTATAAAAACTGGATGAGGAATCTAACAGCAGCAGTAGGGTTGCACTCCACTGCCTCGCCTTCAAGGGAGGTCATCTGTCAGGGTAACCAGGGCTGATTCTGTACCAAATGCAGACCTGAATCCAGAGTGGAATGGGTCCAGATAATCTTTTTCCTCCAATAGTGCCTGCAGCTGAATCACCACCAACCTTGCAAGAACCTTAACCCCAAGAGCGGATATTAGAGATGGATGGGGGTGGTAGCTGTGGGGCACCTCAGAATCCAGTGAAGGCTTTTTCAGCAGCAGGAATACCACCACCTTCTTCAAGGCAGGTGGGATAACCCTTTGGTGGTGCTACCCACCCTCTGGACTCACCCCCACCCTGGAGTCAGTCCCCCACCCTGACTTAGATGAACAAGTGAGGATGGGCAAGGGTGAGAGGGCAAGTGGTTGGGCAGATAGCCGGAAGCACCTTGCCCACATCCTCAGGCCTCAATAGCTGGAACTGAACCCAGAGAATTGGACATGACCATAGCTGTCAACGTTTCCCTTTTTTTTAAGGGAAATTCCCTTATTCCAAATAGGATTCCTCGCAAGAAAAGGGAAAAGTTGACAGCTATGGATATGACAGTGCTCTGGATGTCTCACCAGAGAATATATTCGAATCCAGCAGCATCCAGGTCTGTATAAAAGTGAACCATTTTGCCCTATTTAACTCTTCACAGCAGGCCTTGAATGGTTCCAGTGTCCAACATTAGAGAACCAAAATGCACAGGCTTGAGTTTTGTTCTTAAAAAACAACAACAAAAAACCTGTTAGTGAAATGGTGGGAGATCTACAAGTCTGCAGGAAAGAGGATTCATCTTGTCAAAGTTTTAAAGATAAGTGTTTGACACAACACCCCATGAGCTGGCAAGTGTCAAGGAGTGGGGGGGGAGGCTAGATGTCACCCATGAATCACTAGTTGCTAATCTCTGCCTTAAATAATCAATTGTGGTTCTGTCACTTGCACTTCATTGACAGATTGCTAGGAAATGGAGCTTAAATTGAGTTGGAGCCCACCACAGATGCCCACCATCTATTACACAATGGTCTGAAGAACTTAATGCATTTGCTACATTTGCACATACTTTTCATAAACACCAATCTCACTTGGATACCGATTTGGACATTTGGATAGCATCTATTGCGCTATATGAGTAAACTAAAATGGACATATTGATAGTTATTGTATTGTTAATATGAGATGATTGGGGGGGTTCCCTTCCTCGGCTCCTTTTTGTTTTGTTTTCTTGACTTACAGTAATTTTTGCAGTACAAAAAATTGAAAAAGGACTCACCAGAGTTTACCCCCCAAAGAGGTACTGAATGCAAGCAATTGGTTCTGAAAAGTGGGATGTAGCAATAAATATAAAACAAATGTCTCTGAACATTCTAGGCCAGAGGATGTGGGTTCAAAGAAGACTTGAACAGTGGTCAACCATCTCCAACCTGGAGTCCTCCAGATGTTTTGGACTACAACTCCTGGCAGCCCAAACCAATGGCTGTGCTGGCTGGAGATGATGGGACTTGTAGTTCAAAATAATCAGGAGGGCACTCCTGATGGAGAAGGCTGCTTTAGAAATTAAGCAAAACAACCTTGGAAGAATTAACACCATCTCAATAATAACAGAGAGCTTTTGAAGATAAACCAGAAAGAAAATGACTAGAAGCATTGAGATTTTAGAAAAAGGGATTCACCTGCTATCTACTTAATCAGGTTGGAAATTATATATATCTTCCAACAATTCATAGATTAAAACTGAGCCTTTCGTGAAAAAACAACAACAACCCATTCTCACCCCCAAGAGTGATGCTCATGGGAACCCCCTCCCAAAATTGCACACTACTGAAGTCTCATCTGTTCTTGCTATTTATATATTTATTCTGCAGGCAATGTGGTCTGCACTGCAGTGCCTTCTCAAGCAGGGAATATTAGTAAACTGACCAGAGAATCCTACCAGCTCCTCAACTTTAGAATGTTCAATCTCACAATAGATCTGGCTGCCCTTATTACAAATAGCAGCAACTCAAAACACATTAAAACTGTTTATCTGGATAGAGAGTTTTCCAGATTTTGTCAGACTACAAATCCCATCAGCCCCAGGCAGCGCCAGTCAATGGTCAGGTGATGGGAGTCGAAGTCGAGTAACATCTGAAGGGTTACAGGGGCCCGTCCTTGAAGCAAATATATTTCCATTCATGGGCACTAAAATCATGACGCATTCCCCATTCCAAGAGTTAAGTTCTGGGGAGAGAGGCTGAATCCTAAAGAATTACAGCTCTAGCAATGCACACTTAATATGTTTTTAAAAGTGTCATCACTCCCAAAATCTCTCCAAATGACAAAATGGGGATGATACACAGGGACAGACAACAGACCACAGGGAGTACGAGGTGTATATGAGTTCACTTCAATCTTGCACAAAAATCAAGCAAGCTTGTTTCAGAGGTATGAGATGACGGGACATCGCTAAAACATACATTTATTCCACTGTCTGCTAATATTTGATACTAAGATTGTGATTTCATACTTTCGTAAACTGACACACTCTTAGGAAATGCAAATAAAGAGGTCACATCTTATGCACCACTCAGCATTCACGAAATGAAAATATTGCCAATGAAGGATCCAGTGAAAACCAAAATCTGATTCCTGTGACCTATTGCTGGGTTTTTCAAAACATTTTCATTTTTATTTTTGTGAAGCTCCTGTGCCCTCAACAGCTACGTTGGCAGGCAGAAATTCACAAAATTCAGCTTTTCCTAGAATTGGAAATGGGGGCAATGGTCAAACCTCCTCCCCCCCACGTTAACGTATTGACTGTTACAAAACTGTTTAAGTCACAACAGACCTCTCAGAAATTTTGTGTTCAAATGAAATGTCCTTCTGCAGCTGTACAGAGGAGACCAAACTACGTAGCATGAAAAGTTCATTCAGAAAATTCACTTTATCTGCTAAGGTAAGGAGGAAAAGAACAAAGAGGAACAATATGTGAAACAATGGCAAAAACCAAGCAATACCCACCCATGTGCCCTAGCTTAAAACCCTGTTTGATAACTATATATTATAAAGGCCAAACCATAGATCTGGCAAGAGAACCGGGTACAGAAACCCAGGTCATCTAAAAAGCAGTGAGGAGAGAACATAATTTTCAAAGAAGGATTGGCTGCGGAGAATGGTCACTTTCCCAGGCTGTAAAGGCCAACTGGGGGAAGCAAATTTCGAGTGCCAGTAGGTTGAACAACTCTGAGTAGGAAAGTAGGGGGGAAAACTCTGAGTAGGAAAGTAGGGGGGGAAACTCTGAGTGGGAAAGCAGCCGGTGGGGAAAGGATTGAGCGTTCTTCCTCCATGCCTCCCTGCCTCTTAGAATCTTCCCAACGTTGCTTTTCAATAAAGGAAAAAAGGAAACAGTTGAGGCTTCACTTATGCACGATATAAGGAGGGCATTTTGCTTCTCTCAATCTTTCAAGCCTTGCTAAAGCTGTGCCCAAAGAACAGGAGCCAGGGAGCAAATTGCCATTTCAGCATTCAGCTTTGGAAGGGGGCCATTAAGAGATGGGGAATGAGATTCACAGAAGGATTTAAAATCCTGCAAAGATGGGGATTTGGGAGGGGGGTGGTTCTGGGGAGAAGCAGTCCATTTTAAAACAGTATGTTCCAGTGAACAAAGTTAGAACTGCTGTTGCCTGTTTTAAGCCTCCCCGCTTTTTTGCAGGGTGGGTGGGCGCGACAACAAAGGAATTTGACCCTATGGCGTTCATAGCCGCAGGCCTGTGTAGTTGCTTATGGTAATAGTCGCTTGGCGTTTAGAACTAGTGAGGTGCTCCTGAGGAAGATTGCCAACTAGTCTGAAACACAGTAGAACCCAAGGATTCCTTTCTCTGCCTTCCCTAAATGGAAACCAAGGAAAATTGGACAAAGTTTAAAAAGTTGGGAGCAACTTTTTGAGGAGCAGACCTCATGTTGAGACTTTCAGAGGGAGAGAGAAATTACATGCTAGACCAATCACCCACAGAGCTAAATTAGGGTTGCCATATTTTGAAGAGCAAAAAAAAAAAGAGGACGCTATGACGACTCTCGTTTTAAATACCCCCTACTATATGTAGGCAATAGAAACTGTGATATATTGCTGAGGGGGACAGGAGAAGAGAATAGGAAAGCAAGTCTTCGGCTACCAGTTATGTCTACGTCTCATCCAGAAAGTATGGCAAATTTAAAAAACCCACTCGGACAGAAATTTTACCCCTGAAAAAGAGGATGTGTCCTGGAAAAAGAGAAGAAATGGCAACCCTATAAATATCAGTGGTGGAATGCAACTTAAAGAAATCTTCTTGCTTTTGACATTTAAAAACAAAGAATGAAAGAACGTGCTAGTGCCATTTTTCTGCTTGGCACTAGATTTCAGAGAGAAGAAATCTGGGTGTACAGAGAAAACATTATACCCTTTGAGCTGCATATCCTTCATCCAAATGGAATCCCCCCACAAAAAACGCATCTGCTTTTATAGTGTAATACCCCCTTGGCCAGAGAGGAACCTTATCACTGGATAAAGCACCTGGCAGGACCACCACATTTTAGCACTAAGCAGACATCTGCAGCTCAATCCTCATTTGTACTGACTCAGAGGAACACCCTCTGACTTCAAAGGGGCTTTCTTCTAAGTAAACATAGCTAGCGTTGACACCCCCATAAGAAGTAACTATTTCTTGAAGATCATACTTGGCAGCTACAAATTCACTTGCCAATTTTTAAAAAATAAATAAATGAATAAATAATGAAAACTGCTTAGGAAGTGGCAGTTATCAAATAAAAATATCTGATACAAAAGCCATCCCTTTACAGGTTACAATCAATATCCCAACCTCTTATTTGCTGGATGAAGAGTTCTTTGGAATTCAAAACGGAGAACGTTAATGGAGGTCATACCGATTTTATATCTCCTGGCAAAGTGCTTTGAATGCCAAGCAAAATTAACAATTAAACCCGTTTAAATTGTTAACAACTGCCAGATTAACATCTGAGACAAAGCAACATTTGCAATGTCACATCGAAAGCAAGAGACACTCCTTACAATCCACAAATGAGTGACCCTAGCAATTGTTACTTTACAAACAACACCTGATCCTATTGATGTTCACTTGTATGTAAATCTTCCTTACTCTGAAGCAAGTGTGCGCAAGATTGCAACCTCACTTTACTTTGTAAACCAGTTTGGCTGAAATTTTGAAGTTTCGACCTATGAAATATGTATTGTACTGGTGTGAGTATACCTTTTGGTATGTATGTATTCTGAGCATGTAGGGTGTGCACGCATGAACTAAAGAGAAACATAACATGTTTCTCTTTAAACAAATGGGAACAGGAGAAAGTATTTCCTAAAATATAGCCAGCGATCAACCTGCACTGCAACCACCCTACCAGAAGAGTTCAGCTTTATATTGTATCCTTAAGGTACTTTAAGGTTGTGATTCCAGAAATCCACATCTTAGTAGCCAATAAAAAAACCTGGGGTCTAGCAAAGAAAGTAGCACTTCATAAATCTTGCCATTCTAGAGCGTGTATTTTAAGGCGGTTCAGCACTTTAAAAAAATATATTTCTTGTTGCAAAATTCTAATGGAAGTAGAGAGGAAAACAAAGTAGAAAAGTCCAAGAAAACAATAGATTTCACCATCATTTGCACATAACAAGTGGCGTTTGGGTAATACTATTATCGCAGAATTCCTTTGTGTGTGTGCTTTATTGTTGGAAGAGCGGGGTTGAGTAAAGAACTGTACAAAAGCTGTGAAACAGGAGAGACTGCATTGCTTGGTCTGCTGTTCTAAGTTCTCATCACGGCAAAGCGGTATTTGAAAAAAAGAAGAAGCAATAATTCCTAAGGGCAGAATTCTTTCCCTGCCCTAGTGTTTATTTCGTTGTCCCACTTTGCACAGAAGCAGGACAACAGGACCCCACAGAGAGTGAGAGGTCAGTGTGCCTCCTAGATCCCTAGCATCCCTTTTGAAATTCTGTCTCGTGGTTCCCAGGAGCTTCTGTGGATGTGTGTGGAGGAGGAGAAAGAAGAAGAAGAAGAAGAAGAAGAAGAAGAAGAAGAAGAAGAAGAAGAAGAAGAGAGATCAACTATGAAACTGCGCACTACTTGTGCAGGAAAATAAAATAAAAGGAAAGGAAAGGAAAGGAAAGCAGGGTTTTGCTGAAACAGAACTCGTCAGAATTGTTATCATCTCTCACCTTCCATTTTGTTCTGCAGCAACTGCTCCAGATGCTTCTCTTCTGGGTCCTGGGATTCCTCTGGACTTTCAGAAAGAAAATAAGATTCCCAACCTGGCAGGCTTCTGCTTCAAAAAGGAGCTGTCTTGCATCGCAGCAATGACACCCAGGACTTGACAAGGAAGGACAGGAAATACTTGCATGTTGTGTAGGAACAGAGTGCCCCCAGGTGGTGGGGGGAGGTGGCAGATGTGGTGCAAAAACATAACAACGAGGCACAGTTTTTTTAGTTGCTGTTACTCATTTGTTGGGGGGGGGCAGGAATCCAGCCGTCCTTCTCCTAGTTAAGGAAGCATCGCTTCTCCAGTACTCAGACCACAGAGTATTGATCTGGGAGGTCTTCTCCCCTAACTGTGCGTCTGTCAGCTGCTTCTCCCTGTTTGATTCAGATTACTTAAAACCATTGTAAACATTAGCAGTGCACTTCTGTGCACATTTATGCAGAAGTAAGCCACACTCTCTTCAATGGGACTTACTCCCAGGTCAGTTTGTATACAAACACAATTTAGCCTAACCTTCCTCACAGGGGTTGTTGTGAAGATGAAATGGGGAGGAGGATGAACATGGTTATGTACACCACCTTGAGATCCTTAGATGATAAACTATATTTCTATGGTATATAAATGAAATAAATAAATAAATAAAATGATTAAATAAAGCTAGTGAGGCCACTACTGAACGGGGCCTAACTGTTGATGGACAACTTCAAGGCCCCTCTTGCTCTCTTTTCATAGGGTTCTTTAGCTTTTAGGGACAGATTTTTCCAACTACTGTCCTCATCTCTTCAAAGATAATAATAATAATAATTTATTATTTATACCCCACCCATCTGGCTGGGTTTCCACAGACACTCTGGGAGGCTCCCAACAGAATATTAAAAACACGATAAAACATCAAATGTTAAAAACGTCCCTAAACAGGGCTGCCTTCAGAGGTCTTCTAAAAATCAGGTAGTTGTTTATTTCCTTGACATCTGATGGGAGGGCGTTCCACAGGGCGGGCACCACTACCAAGAAGGCCCTCTGCCTGGTTCCCTGTAGCTTCGCTCCTCACAGTGAGGGAACCGCCAGAAGGCTCTCGGAGCTGGACCTCAGTGTTCGGGCTGAATTATGGGGGTGGAGATGCTCCTTCAGGTATACTGGGCTGTGGCCGTTTAGGGCTTTAAAGGTCAGCACCAACACTTTGAATTGTGCTCAGAAACATACTGAATACTCTCCTCTTTGAAGTAGGGCACAAGACCAACCTATTCCTTTTTTTAAAAAAAATATTAATTTATTTAACATAATTATTACAAAATATAAGCAAAATATTGTAAATACATACATACATACATACATATTTCAAATAAGCACACATATATAAAAAAGAACAAAAGAGAAAAGAAGAAAAAATAGAGAGAGAAAAGAAGAAGAAAAGTTGGAAGAATTTTTTCCAAATTTATTCTACAAATATCTCAATATGAAAATATTAATAAAATTTCATTGGTTGACCTCCATCGCTTACCCTGCACTTCCTATATACATTTTAAGCAAGATTGTATCTGTTATTCTGTATTATTCCCATATAATCTCACATAAATATTCTAATCAATTCATAAATCTATTCTAAACACAACCAATACTTTACATTCAATCTTTGTCTACATAAATAATCATTTAAACATTTCCATTGTTTCTGGATTATATTTTTTTGGTTTTTGTCTTATCAAATCAGTCAACTTTGCTAATTGCAAGTATTCACATAATTTATTCAGCCATTCTTCTTTAGTTGGAACATATTTTCCTTTCCAAAGACCAACCTATTCCTTAGGCCACCCTGAGTGGGCCAGTGGGACCTCAGTCACTCTCTGGAAAGGGAGCAGGCGAATGCCCACCCAATGCCTCCCCTACAGCAGCATCTTGCAGGGGAAGATGGGCTGCGGGAGGCCAGGCTATCTTCCAGAGATGCACATTTGCCATGACGGACTCTCATAAACCTCCAGAGAATCCCGAGGTTCTCCGGAACAACCGAGGCAGAACAGTAGCCACGGTTACTAGAAAGACAAGTTGACAAGTCTGTTGGCGTGACAGTTGGAACGCCGACTGGACCCAGGAGGGGTATCTCCCTTTGTTTCCCCCTTCTCCTCCCCTTATGGACAGAAGAAGGCTGAGAGGGCCAGAGTAGCAGAAAAGGATGGACTCTCCATTGCACCATGCAAGGTGGCAGCGGTTGGTCGCCCCTTCCCCTGTACATCGCCCCCCACCTTCTCCTCACGATGGGGGTCATGCTGAATGCTCTCATGGCCTTGACCCAAGGTAACTGACATCCATTTTACAATGGATCGGCCAATGTTATCCAGGTCTGGGTACCGGGACTCCCCAGGGGGCGGGACCAACCGGCCAATGAGCATCGCTTAGGTCCACCCCTTGGTGGTTCTCATGCCTAGCCTTCTCACAGAGGGTACAGAAACTGGGTGAGGTGGGGGGAACCATTACATATACAGTGGTACCTCTGGTTACGTACTTAATTCATTCCGGAGGTCTGTTCTTAACCTGAAACTGTTCTTAACCTGAAGCACCACTTTAGCTAATGGGGCCTCATGCTGCCACCGGAGCACGATTTCTGTTCTCATCCTGAAGCAAAGTTCTTAACCCGAGGTACTATTTCTGGGTTAGCGGAGTCTGTAACCTGAAGCGTATGCAACCCGAGGTACCACTGTAATTAAGTCTACTGCAAAAAACAACCAAAATAGGTCTTGTTGTGGCACCTTAAAGATGGATACATTTATTTTGGCAGGTTTTGTGGGCAATGAATCCTCCCAGGTGCTGGCATATTTTATGCCCTTCAATCTGACACATTCTCATTCTGCTGGAGCCAACTTGTGTGCCACATCAAGTATTTTGGGTAGAATGTTAGGGTGGCTTACCACGCAAACGCCATCTGATGAAATTCCCTCTTCCTACGCCATTCTGAGAGGTGTAGGAAGCCTGTCCTGTGTTTGCAGCTGGCCACATTCGCAGGGCTGGTGCAAGAGGTCCTGCTGCTTGCAGCAGATGCAGAGTCACTGCCCCCCCCAGCACCACACAAGGACTTCCGTCTGCTTCCTGCTCCTATTCCTATAGATTGTGTGGTCCTTCCAGAGTAAGGTAAGGTGGGTCATGTGGCCCCAAAGAGCTCCAGTTCCAGACCCTCTTCCGTCAGACAAACCACCTACCAACATCTTCATTTTATCAGGATTGAACCTCACTTCATATTCAGACCCTACTATTCCTCCAGTTAGCTCAGGGCAGCTTGCATTGCATTGTAGTGCTTGTTATCTTCACAACAACTCTGTGAGGAAGGGTAGGCTGAGCTTTGACTGGTCCAAGGTCATGGAGCAAGCTTTGTGTGAGTTGAGATTTAACCCCAGGTCTCTGTGGTTCAATCCCATGTGCCCTAATCATTAAATAATTTTATTTTCCCCGCAGTCGAAAATGAAGTGGGCAAAGAACAGTATTCTGTTACATCAGTTAAAAAGAATTACATTTATGGCAATACCCACCATAAAGGTAACATTTTATTTTTCCATTTCTAAAATTAAGACGGTGCATGGAATACAGTGTCTGTATTGTTGTTGTTTACCAATGAAAGGAGCAGAGATAATTCTTAGAAGTTCAACAGGAGCATCGTATCCTGTTTGTGTCACTTTATTGAAAGAGGTCTAAACCACTGAGCCTCTTGGGCTTGTCGATCGGAAGGTCGGCGGTTTGAATCCCCACAATGGGGTGAGCAGTTCGAAAGCACACCAGTGCAAATAGATAAATAGGTACCGTCGTGGCAGTAAGGTGAACAGTGTTTCCGTGTGCTCTGGCTTCCGTCGCAGTGTTCCATTGCGCCAGAAGTGGTTTAGTCATGCTGGCCACATGACCCAGAAAGCTGTCTGTGGACAAACGCCAGCTCCCTCAACCTGAAAGCGAGATGAGCGCCACAACCCCATAGTCGCCTTTGACTGGACTTAACTGTCCAGGGCAGTGCCAGATTTATGTATAGGCTAAGTAGGCTGAAGCCTAGGGCCTCTAAATCTAGGGGGCCTCACCAGCCTGCCCTCTCCCCAGTGCCACAGTCTCCCCTCTCCCAAAATTGTAAACCCAAGACTTCATGCAAGGGCAGGGCAACTCAGGCCCAGCAACTATTAGCCTCACGGCTAGCCAGTGGGGCCCAATTTGAAGCAGTGGGGCGCAACTTGAATTTATTTATTTTTGTAGGGCCCCACTTCACAGCCAAAGTCTGCAAAATCTTATAGATATAAATAAAATCCACCTAGATTCCCCTGGTGCAGGGGCCCCCTTAGGAGCGGCCCGTAGTGCCCAATTTGGCCCAATTGCCTTAAGGTCAGTCCTGATGAGACCGTGCAGGGGTTGGACTGACAAGCCCTGCACCTTCTAGGTCCCTGGTGTCACCATTCAGAGTACAGACTCAAGGACTTGTTATGGAAATCAGTTTTGTCACCTCTTCCCCCCCAAACCCCGAGACAATGAGCCCAGCCACCCTTTATTCACAGTCACATAAGCACTACACTACAGCATGGCCATAAACTTGTACGTTCAACTGCTGAAATATACACCCAATATGTAACAATGGAGATTTATGTTACTGCTTTATGAATAAACACTGTTTTATGAACGGACTCTGTATTTTTTGAATTACCTAAGAGCCACCAATAGGGAGCTCTAGAATCTGACAGCTAACCAATTGGGTACTACCAAATAGCGACCCGTATTGCTGAAAGCAGATAACCAGCCCGGAATGCTTCAGCTCAGCCTTTGCACTGTTGACTGAACACCCCTTGCTGGGCAGATAATGGAAAAAGCTCGTAAATTGTATCCCTTATGGCATCCTGGCCGACTCTATTACACTGGTGTAAACCCTGGTGCACCAGAAGCACAGAATAGCAGCAAATACATCAACAACTGATAAGACTTGTCAACCAGTTATTCCAAAGTCTTCCTAAATTATAAAGCTCCAAAATACAGGCCAAAAGAGAGCAGGTCTGGGAAGAGTGAGGCATACAATGGGCACCACTAGTGAAAAGGCCCTGCCCTGTCATTTGATAGGGTGCCCACTTGCCCTCTTTCTTGACATGGAATGCTCTTTATTGGAGTCTCCAGGCCCAGTACAAAGACCATAAGAAGGGAGAGCAGGGACCTTGAAGTTCCCAATAGCTGTTAATCAAGCAAGCAAGCACACAGGTCACCTTTGTCACAGTCAGGACGCCTATGTCCTGGCCAGGCCTGCACCTTTGTCCTCAGTAACCAAAATTATATGATCAACATATACAAGCAGAAAAGTTGTTTTCCTTCATTTGCAAGGAATCATACAAAACAAAGTGGCACTAATAAAGAAAAGTTCCAGGGTGGCAACAGAAAGCAAACTAAAATGCTTTTGCCGTTCATCAAAACTATCCAGCAATATCAAGTTATAGGAAAACTGGTGCTAGTAAGAGCAATCCTTCTAGATGGTTAACTGGTTCGGCAACATCCTTGCACATGCTAATTATTTCCGTCAAGTGTTAAATGAACTAATCAGAGGCAGCTACAGGAGAGCTATGAGATCCAGGTGAGGTTCAGGTGCCTTGTCAATCCCAGCAGGTATATAAGAAGATGACCCAGCCTGCGGCCTACCCAGGCTGCAGAAGGTTTAGAAAGTTCAGTTATTGCAGAAGTTTTTCAGTATTAATTTTATGCATTTTTGTTTATAATATTTTTCTATTTTCTTCTAGTTGTGGGGGTGGGGGTGGGGAAGGGCCTCACATGTGGAGTAGCCTAGGGCCTCTCTTCATCTAAATCCAGCCCTGGTCCAGGGTCCTCTACCTTTACCTTTACTTATGCTCAGGATATGACCATTTTTCAACATCTTCTTCTTCTGCAGTGAATGTCTATGTCAAAGTACACAGAGACAGCCCCTTTCTAGTGTGCATGGACCTGTCACTTTCACAAAGTGAAGTCATAGACCCCAACTACCTATGGATTGGGCCAGATGGACTGAACCTGAGACGTGAGTTACCTTTTTGGCAGAATCAGAAATCATAGAATTGTAGAGTTAGAAGGGACCACGAGGGTCATTTAGTCCAACCCCCTGCAATAGAAAGGATCAATAGGCTTTCTAGCTCAACTCCCTCCTGAAGACAGGGCTACAAACTCACCCCCTCCACATGGAGAGATGGATTCACCCATACACCATAATGTGCCACAACCAGAGTGCCAGAGTAGCACAGAAATTAGGTGCTTGTCTGCTGGGATCCAAATAACTGTGTAACTACTTCCATTTGCCCAAGAGGGTATTGGGCTTGTGTTTCCTCACTTTCAGTTGCCCTGCTGCATGGCAAATCACTTTTGAAATTGACAGCTGGGAAATTATATGGCTTCCTATCTCCTCTTAACCTTTTTTGCTAAGTTAAACAGGCCCATTTATTTTGGTATCTGCGCTAATAGTGTCTTCTAATAGTGGCAGCTGCCCCAGCACAGAAAGCAAAATTAGGATGCCATTTGCATGTATTGTAGGACCCCTCCCACCAGATCCTTTGCATGCCTGCAGCTGCCTTAGAGCACAGATTCTCTAGAATCATGTGTGTTGCATGTCTGTTGACCTGGCTTTACCTTTCTTTCTTTCAGGGAAAAGTTATGTGAATCTCACAGCTACTGGAAAGTTGATGGTGCGCGGTTTTACAGAGCACATGTCTGGATCTTACACTTGCACACTTTCTTACAGAGTTTTACAGCCCGACATGAAAGGAGAACGAGAGATATTCAAGACATATAGGTTTATGGTGTATGGTAAGAGAAGCAAGTCCTGTCTTGCCTGTGCCCTCCTAAGTCTTGCTCTAGGCCTTGCCTAATTCCTTAGCTCACAAACAGGACTGAATCAGGTACTTTGAGCCTCCAAAAAGCCCCAACATACCGTAGAAGTTTGGATACTCAGAAATGTCATCTAATGAGCACTCAACTAGGGCTGCCAGCTTTTCAGTTAGCTCCTACTACTGTACCTTTAACAGCAGCTAAATCCGCAGACTCCAGTAGGTACTTTATCTCCATTATCTGGAAGGTGTTCCCTGTGCATCTTTTGACAGATCAACCTGCTATAAAAGGCAGAAGAGCTGGCTAAGCCAACACCTCTCTCTCTCCCCCTTCCCCTCCCTCCCTCCCTCCCTCTCTCTCTCTCTCTCATATACACACACAGAGAGGCGGGGGGCACAGAGGCACAGATACAGGTACAGGTTTTCTGCTGCTTCTCTTTCTCGGCAATTAAACCGGGATTCTGCACTAACTGCTTATATGTAAGTGCCCCAGAGCACCCGTTTACTACTAATATGCAGAAACTGAGCTGGTTCACATCTCATACTAATCCACAGTTTTAATTATTTGTTATTATTTATTAAATTTGTATACTGCCCTATACCTGCAGGTCTCAGGGCGCTTCACAGTTTTAATGCAAGGCACATGAGTTGGAACAAACCTGAGCAAGCCTTGAGCTTGCATGCTCCTCTAATGTCTCTCCCCATCCAGCTTCCCAGATGACCCAGTCCTGGAGCCATGGTTCTGAGTAACTATAGTGAACTTAAACAAGCCAACCACCCAAGCCATGGTTTGAAGCTGGCTTGTTAATGCTAACCGCAGTACGTCAGTCGAGAAAAGGCCATGGTTAACTTAAACCTGAAGCTTTAAACTCCTCCTGGCTGTGCAAGAGAAGAGGAAAGGGTTAGCACATGAATGCTCATTCTAGCTCATGCACATTATACTAAACTACGGTTCTGCTAACATGACCGTTGTTCGTGGATTTTGTCCCAGGTGCCCTGCTTCTTCCCTGACTTTTAGTGGCCAAGGAAAGAAACTTTAAGTGAGAAAGAGAAACAGCAGCAGCATTACTGGTGTGGCTTACCTGGTGTCAGATTGTAGCCAATTCATAGATCACAACCCAAATACATTGACCGAGGCCTGAAAACAATAGATCAATTTACACCATAAGCCTGAGAGAAAAGAGCTTGGGTCTTTTATTTTATGTACAAATCGTAGTTGCGGTAGGTGCTTTATAAATAGATAAATATGGTTAGCAACAACAGCAGATGATAGTGCATACCATTTAGAGTCACACACATTTCTCCTCTCACCCCCATCTTTTAAAGCGTATCGGGAACCAGATTACACGTATCGAATGGCTGTTCACTTTACGACCAAAGAGTGTCGTCTAACAACAAATCATCAATTCTTTCAAGAGCTAAATAAGATCTTGAACAATCTGATTTCCCACCTGACGTGTCGTATCCGCGAGACGTCCTACAGATGCTTTTCTGTCAAGCGACCAAAACATGGGCTAGAAGACGAGCTGTTCATTGTTTTTCAAGGTAACAGAAGAGGGGTGGTTCTGTTTTGTCACCATGGCCTTTGGCCAACGGGAAACAATGGTGGGATGATCCACATAGAGCTAGATACTTAGAGAGGATCTCTAAAGAGCCGTCAGAGGGACATTCTATCTCCAATCTTAGCACCAAACACCACAGCATTGAAATAGGCCCTCTGCCTGTTCTTTAGGAATAAAAGGGGGAAATGCTGCCTTTTACTCTTAAACAGCAGGCAGAGGATTTATTTCCAATCTTAGTGTTATGTTCGTTTGGTGCTAAGATCAGAGATAAAAGATCCCCCTGACTGGCCTTTAGAGAGGTTCCCTAAAGGGCATTTTATCTCTTATCAGAAGAGAAAGGGCCCTGTCTTTCTGACAGTGCACAAGCTTCCTGAATGGTCTCTTGCATACCTCCACTGAACTTCCTTGCAATATGCAGCCACCAGAGAGGGTTGGGTCTTGGTTCACATGGGCTCACACGGGGCAAAGTGAAGGCCCAAACGACATCATGAGAGCTGCCTGCAGCACAGAACATGCCCCAGAATTTGCTGCAAGGCCCTGGGGTTTAATGGCAGAGAAATCAATGGCAAAAGTCTTCTCACAAGATAGAAAGTTTGAAAGCCACTGCCATAGGCCAGGCCTTCTGTCGCTGTCCATGGTACTTGGTTATAGTATAACTGAAGCCACATTCCTTCTTCCTCTGTTGCTTGCTTCACCCATCACTTTAAGAGCTTAGGGTTTGGGGTTTATTCCCTCCCCCCGCTTCCTGGCCCAAAGATGGAACTATAAGACAGGTTATGTGTCTCCTGGATTGTCCGTCCTTTTCTAATAACACTCCTGAACAAGGCAGAGCTAGTATAGCTTTAAAGAAGGCAGCCTTTGCAGCTGCAGTCCTAAGCAACCTTACCTGGAAGCAAATTCCATTCCAATCGCCCAGGTTTAATTGTGAGTAAATAAGGCTTGGGAATGAGTGTAAAAATCCTGTCTTTGGTGATTCTTTAGGCACAATTAACAGAGAAATGGATTTTCATCAGCAGGCAGTTGTATTTCTTTGCCTTTTAGTGAGTCCATTTGCCCCTGGCTGGGAACTTATTTGTCGCAAGATGGCCTCTGACTGTGAAGATGTGACCAACAACCGTGTTCAAAAGGTCGGAGTTCTTTTCAAAAAAAATTCTGAACAGGAATATTGAACAGTTATACATTCCAAAATGCTAACGAGATAAGTGAGTTGGGAGAGAGGGAATAGAGGCTCAGAGCAGCCTACAAAACGTAAAATACCTTTCCCTACTCCTTGGCATATAGCCTCCTGTGTACACTAACAAGTCATAACTGGTCTCTATTGCAGTATCTTGGGTTCGGATTGCTCTCAAAGTTAGGTTTTTGGGGGTGGAGATAGGAAAGTGCCCCCTCTCCCCAACTGGCAGTGCTTGGGTCAATAACTGTTCTGCACATCTGCTGCTGCAGTTGTCCCTTTTTTTTTTTTTGGCTAACTGCTTTGAACGCACCCCCCCTTGTGGTTAGTCCATTAGGGTAAATGGGGCACTACCCCTTTAACCTCAATCTGCCCTCTGCCAGCGCCTACCTGTCTGTCTCTTTACATGCATCCAGTTGAGGGGATGGCCCTGGCTGTTGGTTTCAGCACTGCCCTGGCAGAACTCAGCAAGGAGCAGGGTGGGAACCAAACTAGAATTACTTGGCTCTGCCTATCTTTGGCTCTGGTTCCACCTCCTCCTGGTCTCCCTGGCCTGCCCTACCAGTATCAAGGGACACCCTCTACCATTAGCACATGCACAGTATTACAAGAAGCACGGCTGCCATGACAGCCTACTGAACAATGAGGCTGGCAGTGCCAACAGGAAAAGGAGGGGATAAACACTGGCTGGAGAAATTAAAGGGAGCAGCCATAACCCTAAAGCCAGAGGCCAGGGTTCCTGCACCTTCGGTTTTTATCCTGAAGTGGGAGGGTGATTTCAGCGGATGCCGCTCCTCATGACATGCACTGCAGTGGTGTGAAAACCTTCATATAGCCCATTGCTATCCTTTAAAAGTGCAGGGAGCAAGCAACTTCAAACAGCATAGACGTTTGAACACTAGGGGGGTCTTCCGCAGACATTTTCAAATGTTAGTGCACAATTTATGGGGACTAAAAACTTGCTCCTTTATGTAATGAAGTGGGGAGAGAATGGTTGACATTGATGCATCCAGTCAACATGCACGTTGTTGTGTTTTTCTGACTTAATTGTATGTTTTAGGCCCAATCGCTCGTGGAAGAGTTCTTCCGTAGGCAGCAGTACATCATGAAACATGAGTTTCAGAATGCCCCTGCAATCCATTACGTAGACCACAGTTTACAAGTCACTCGGCTGGACAGCTGCCGGCCAGGATTTGGGAAAAACGACATCGCCCACAGCGACTGTGCAAATTGCTGCGGTATTTGTTTTATTATCTATCTATTCCCACCACCCTCACCATCCTCCTCCAAAGTGTTTGGGATGGCACACATGGCTTTGGGAAGGTTGCTCCCCATTTATTATCACAGCTCTGCAAGGTAGCTACTGAGGCTGAGAGAGGTTGGGCTCAGATCACCCAGCAATGAATGCCCACTTGATTTCTCCTATTAAATCAAGCGATATAAGGGCTCTTCGAGCACAGCTTTTTGAGGTTGAGAGAACACCTCCTCCGCAACCTCAAAAGCACAGAGGTGCAATTGCTCTTTTAAGAAACAGGGATGGGTGAATCTGTCTATTTTAGGTCAGTGCCACTTTGGCAAAAAACAACAACAACCCCAATTCGTTTCTGCAGCACATTGCCCAACCAAAAACCTCTCAAAATACTATTGAAATATTTATCCCGAAAGTATTTTTATTCCTTCTGCACACATGTAAATACAAATAGTGTAGCGACATTTGGAGAAGGGTGAAGAAGAAGAAGAGAAGAAGAGTTTGGATTTGATATCCCGCCTTTCACTCCCTTTAAGGAGTCTCAAAGCGGCTAACATTCTCCTTTCCCTTCCTCCCCCCACAACAAACACTCTGTGAGGTGAGTGGGGCTGAGAGACTTCAGAGAAGTGTGACTGGCCCAAGGTCACCCAGCAGCTGCATGTGGAGGAGCGGAGACGCGAACCCGGTTCCCCAGATTAGGAGACTACCGCTCTTAACCACTACACCACACTGGCAGAGGTGCCAGTTTCTGAAGGGGGGGCACATCATGTGGTGCATGACGTCATGGGTGTGCCATCCTGATGTTGTGCTCGTGACGTCAGGATGTTGGAGGAGCTGGGGGTGGAGCCAAACACAGTGGCTGCATGGCTTCAATGACTGAAGCTCCTCCTCTACCTGCCACTGTGACCGGCTAGGGCAGGCATAGGCAAACTTGGCCCTCCAGATGTTTGGGGACTACAACTCCCATCATCCCTAGCTAACTACACCAGTGGTCAGGGATGGTGGTAATTGTAGTCTCAAAACATCTGGAGGGCCGAGTTTGCCTATGCCTGGGCTAGGGGCTGCTTCCTTGCTCCTTCCCCTCTGTGGCAGCAACAGGAGGAGAAGGAAGCAGCTGCTAAAGTCATGCTGCACTTGGCTCCACACCTGACCTCCTCCTCTACTGCTTTTGAACATAGTGGCGGCCTGGCCGCCCCCAAAAAATATTGGGGTGTGTGTCCAAGAGGGCTTGGCCCCCAGGAGATAGCACCCCTGGGTGAAAGCACCCCTAGCTGTTATGTGTGCCTACCATTGGACTGAGTTCTTAATTGTACAGTGGTACCTTGGTTGTCAAATGACTTGGCTCCTGAACAAATCAGCTCCCGAATGCCGCAAACCCAGAAGTAAGTGTTTTGGTTTGCAAACGTTTTTTGGAAGCCAAACTTCCGATGCGGCTTCCGGTTGAGTGTTGGAAGCTCCTGCAGCCAATTGGAAGCTGCGCTTTGGTTTTCGAACAGTCTTGGAAGTCGAATGGACTCCCAGAACAGATTAAGTTCAACAACCAAGGTACCCCTGCTATTTGTAATTCCCATCCTGTGAAAATTGCTTTGCTTCCCACTGTCACTATTACAACAAGGATTTGATGTTAAAGATAACAAATGAGCACTGAAAGTTTGGCAGCAAAATAGTAACAATAAAAACAAACAAAACTGATGAATTTGTGGAATAAATGCAGTGTCGCAAGATGCGGGAATGGCCATTTGACAAATAACTTGGAATTGTAAATAAATGTTTCCCTTAATTGCAAAGGTTAGATAAATACTTGCAATGCTGTTGCACTTGGTCCTTTGTGTATATGTTTTGTATGTGTGTGCATGGAGAGGTAGATATATAATCTTGATTGTTGCAAGAATATCATGACTGATAACCCATTAGATAGCTTCATTTCCCCAATATGACGTTTGCCCATTTGGTTCGCAGTGGCCTGTGACCCCGGGAGCTACAGCCCAAACAATGCAGTGGTCTGCCAGCCGTGTACAAATATACGGATTAAAAACTATGGAGCAAAATCCTGCTAAATAAAAACAAAATGAGAAAAATGGAGAGTGGATCCTAAGACTTGTTATTTCATCGTTTTCCGCTCCAATCATGGGTTCAAACGAGAGTCAAAGAAAGACATGGAAACGGTAGCACTGTATTTACCTCCACCGTGGAATGTCTAGTAAATATACAATAAAATTAAGCACATAATTCATAATAAGATCTAACAATAAATAGCTAACAATAAATATGTGGAAACATAATACCAATAAAGCAAAACTAAGGCATCTCCAAAATTAAAAATTGATCCCAACAAAAACACCTGAATGATACTAGTCTCTAGGCATCCTGAGTGTCTTAATAGTCACAATTTGTGACCCTCGTTTCAAGGGAATTTATTCCTAATTTTGAACTCAGCAGCTGAGAATTTGGCTCCTCCCACTTCCAACAGTGTATTGCCATACAGAAGCTGGACCACTGAGGCCGTATAACACTCTTCTGAAAAGTCTTAGGATAATCATAGTTTAGGGTTACACTCTGGTTGTCAAATAGCTGCAGTTTCCTGTGAAACAGGAAGCCTCCACATTTGTATTAATGTTACATGTGGCCTTTGGACCAAATACCCCTCCTAATAATGATGGTGATGATGATGATGATGATGATGATGATGATGATGATGATGATGATGATATTTATATGCTGCCCACATGACTGGGTTGCCAAGTGGAAGAACCTTGTCAACAAATATTTCCAAGGTTCCTGCAAGAATCATGCATTTGATGATTTGAGGACCTCATGTGCAATCTTGGTCTGGCATCTGGGCCATGTGGCTGGATTTCACAAAGACACATCAGAAGATGGAAAACCATAAAGGCTAGGATGGTAACTGGGATGGCAAACCACTCCCAAGCAGCCTTCTATCTATCACCTAGTGCAAACCATTTGCTGCTTCTGGTGGTCTTCCAATCACTCCATTCCACAAGCGGAGAAGCAGGAAGCACCAGCCAATTTGGAACTGGACGGGCTCAAAAGGGTGGAAGCACTGAGTGCTGTACAGGGCTTTACACCTTAAGACCTCAGCCCAGCTGACCCCCCTTGCAACAGGGGGAAAGATTTGCCTTCTTAGGATCTGTTTTACTTCCTGCTTCACCCACTTAGGATCTGCAGGGCGTACAAGCTGGAGTACAGAGCAGCCAGTTCTGAACGGGCTTCGTTGCTCCACAGACAGACGGTGGAGTCTTTCCCAGCTTCCAAATCCAGCCCACAAGTTTGCAGCATCTCAATGGCCAGGTGAATTTCTTCGTTCTCCAAGGAATGGTGTGGAATCTCGAAATCGCTGCCTTCGTCGCCAAAAAGAATCCACTCCAAAATGCCATCCATCTTTTGGTGTAAAAAAGAGAGAGAGAACGGGACAAAATGAGTGAAAGGGCCAATTTACACCTGCCCCTTCCTCTGGCATATGAGCAGTAATCGCCTTTCTTGGGCGCGCAAGTGCTCACAGATACAGCAGGGTACAATTCCCGGGATGAATTGTGGGAGAGGGCAGTAACTGAAGAAGACGTGAGAAAAGCCCTGCTGGACAAAAATCCTGTCTAGTCCAGCACCCTGTTTTCACAGTGGCCAACCAGATGCCTGTGGAAAGCCCCAAAGCAGAATTTGAGCACAAAAACTCACTCCCATTTTGGATTCTTAGTAACTGACATACTGCCTCAGCTACTGAGATAATATACAGTGGTACCTCAGGTTAATTCGTTCCAGAGGTCCATTCTTAACCTGAAACTGTTCTTAATCTGAAGCACCACTTTAGCTATTGGGGCCTCCTGCTGCCGCCGCGCCGCCAGAGCACGATTTCTGTTCTCATCCTGAAGCAAAGTTCTTAAACTGAAGCACTATTTCTGGGTTAGCGGAGTCAGTAACCTGAAGCGTATGTAACCTGAAGCGTATGTAACCTGAGGTACCACTGTAAAGGTAAAAGGTAAAGGACCCCTGGACGGTTAAGTCCAGTCAAAGGGGACTATGAGGTTGCGGCACTCATCTCGCTTTCAGGCTGAGGGAGCCAGCGTTTGTCCACAGACAGCTTTCCGGGTCATGTGGCCAGCAGGACTAAACTGCTTCTGGCACAACGGACACTGTGACGGAAGCCAGAGCACACGGAAACGCCGTTTACCTTCCTGCCGCAAGGGTACCTGTAATATATGAGGTAACATACAACCATAGGGACTAGTAGCCACTGATAGACTTATCTTTAGTCTGTTCCCAGCCTGCTTTCTTGTTTCTTCACACATACACACACATTCACCTCACCGTAGCTAGGGAGAAGTCACCTCCCCCAAACTCTGATTCAAAATACTCCAGAAAGATCTTTTACGTTTTTCCTAACTGTCCCTTCCCCAATGAGGAAAGATCAACCATCTTGGGCAGAGTGGATGACCAAGAAAGAGACAGCCAGTGGCCATAACAAAATGTTAAAACGCTTAAGGGAAAATCGTCCTGATGTAAAGGGTGAGGGAAGAGCAAACGAATACCTCCCAGGCATGAATGTTGATCTTTTCTTTAAAATAATAATAATAAAACTACATGGAAGGAGTTAAGCCAGAAGGGCCTCACCATCTCCAGCTGCTGGGTCATTTTCTTCTTCTCCAGGATGGTATCCAGCAGCGGTAGCATCTCATAGTCCAAGTCTGTGAACACAAATCCCAAGACGTGATGAATGGAGCGATAGTGCCACATCTGGATGGTAGCATCTTTTACACACACATGCGCAAAGTTATCCAGAACAGACAGGTCTGGATGGATGGCTTAGAGCAAGCATAGGCAAACTCAGCCCTCCCAATGTTTTGGGACTACAGTTCACATCATCCCTGACCACTGGTCCTGTTAGCTAGGGATCATGGGAGTTGTAGTCCCAAAACATCGGGAGGGCCGAGTTTGCCTATGCCTGGCTTAGAGGCTTGCAAGGAAGGTGCAAAAACTATCCACCAACCCCTGTGGCTTTGGGGAAGCCAAGCAGACACACCCAACCGATAAGTGTTCTCCATACCATCTAGAGAAGAACAAAGGAAGTTGACTGGTCCCCAGAGATCTTGGTTTTTCACACTCTCCGTGTCTTGAGAAATCCCTAAATAGGAAAGCAGCTTTTCCACAGAAGGTCGGTGTTCCTCATTCAGGGACTCCAGCATGGAGTGATCGACACTGTTTCCTGCCATAGAAAGCTCCAGCTGATGGGAAATTATAGCAATTGGTCAGTCAACAAGGGTGAAAATGCACAGCTGCCGCATATAACAGAGCCCTTAGCTCCCAATGCCTTTCTTTTCTTTTCCCCCCGGAGCTGAGATGCATATTTGCTGCTAAATTCCAATTAAGGACTTCTGGGAAGATAAGCAATGTGATTAGGTGCAGAGACTAAGTAGATAAGTTTGGGTAAAGCCAGGATCTTGGAACAGACAGGCTGGAAGCTCAAGAAAGAAGATACTTTGGTAGCAGCTTCCCGGAACAAGCGCTGAAACTGAAATAGACACAGGAAGGGTACATACCCGCTGTGAAGAAGAACCTGCAGGTGTTGCTTGACTCCAGCTCCCATCTGCCCCAGCTAGCATGGCCAATAGTTAGGAATGATAGGAGTTGTGGTCCAACAACATCTAGAGGCAGAGCCGGCCCAGCCAGTAGGCAGGGTGAGTGAGGCTGCTGCTTCAGGTGGCAGATGCCCCCAGGTGGCATGACAATGAGTGTCCCGCCTGCCCTGCCAACACCATGGTGGAGAAGCACCGCCACCAGAAGCACCAATTTTGGGCAAGATTGCATCCATCTGGGGCAAAATCCTTACCCGAAATTTGCAAACCCTTCCCCCAAATCTGCGCAGATGGTGCTGCTTCTAAGCCAGCAGTGGCGTGAGCAGGTTAGTGGTTGCAGCAGCGGCAGCAGGGCAAAGCAGAACTTCCTGTTCTGCCTATAGCCCCCTCAGCCCCCATCTGGTGGGTCACAGGTTCTCCATCCCTGGCATTTACAGATTTAGTCTGTGTCCATACTAGGGTTCCCAAGCTTGAGTCTCCAGCCATTTGTGGACTACAACTCCCATCATTCTTAGCTAGCAGGACCAGCGGTCAGGGATGATGGGAACTGTAGTCCACAAACAGCTGGAGACCCAAGCTTGGGAAACCCTGGTCTACACCTACATGCAGCAGAATAGCATGGTATATGAGCTCTCGAGCAGCTGAGAAAAGTGACGAACCATCGACTGGACAGTGGAAGCGACTTCTCCGTCCTGCAGGAAAACTTCAAAGGATTCCAGAAGCTGCTTCCTCAAAGGCTGGCTCAAGAGCGCCAGCGGCTCATATGCCTCTTTGACGGCGTCTTTCACTTGCTGGACAGCTAAAGGTTGCAGTCAAGACGGTTAGCATGATTTGCACTATGGCGCTTTTGATAACACACAGGTTCGACAGCTCCGCCACCCCTGATCTAAGCGAGGAGGTGGCTTTGCCTTTGAGGACTGAGGCTGGTTTATGATGGACAATAGGCTCTTGGGTACATAACCAGCCTCTCTGTTAAAAGTGCTTGTTAGGGCACATTGCTTAGATATTCCAGCGATACATAAATAGCTCAAATGAATAGTATGGCGCTGAGTTTCAGAGGCAGCGGGAGCTAATTTCAGCTAGGTTCAGCTTTGAGAGGAGCAAGAGGAACATAGACCACACCTGGAGAACTGTGTCCAGTTCTGGGCACCGCAATTAAAGAAGGATATTGATGTGCTGGAACGTGTGCATTTGAGGGTGACCAAGATGACCAAGGGTCTGGCAACCAAGCCTTAGGAGGAATGGTTGAGGGAGGTGGGTATGTTTAGCACAGAGAAGAGGAGACTGAGAGGAGATGTAATAGACACCTTCAAATATCTAAGGAGCTGTCACTTGGAGGATGGCGCAAAGCTTGTTTTCTCCTGCTCCAGAGGTTAGGACCTGAACAAGTGGCTTCAAGTTACGAGAAAGGAGATTCTTTCTGACATTAAGAGCCGTTTGACAGTGGAGCATACTCCCACGAGCATGCTCCTTCCTTGGAGGATTTTAAACAGAAGTTGGATGGCCACTTGTCATGTATGATCTAGTTGAGATTCCTGCATTGCAGGGGGCTGGACTAGATAGCCCCCGGGGGTCCCTTCCAACCCTACGATTCTGTGATTCAACAATTTTTATTATACTGAGCCAGACCTACTGCCTACTACTGACTGGCAAGGGAACACCAGCATTTCAGGCAGGAGTCTTATTTCCCATTCCTACCAGGAGATGCTGGGGACTGAACCTGGAACCTCCCGCATAGAAAACAGATGTTCTGCCACGGAGCTATGGAAGGAATTTGCTGGTCTCTGGTGGGAAAGATCTGCAGGATTGGGACAGGCAGAATCCAGGCGCGAAATCAGAAAGCAACAGAAGGCCACTTGCCTGTTAGTGAGGAGCCCAGCTCATCCTGGAATGCTAAAGGGAGAAGGAGAGAGAAATTAAAAAATATTGGCTGAAAAATACCCACTTGGAATTCATGTTAGCTAAAGCTGTGTTCACTGTGCACTCACTGTGTTTCCAAGTGCTGGGTTCACACATCATCCAAAACGCATTATGCACCCTGGACCTTTTTAATAGAACACTACTGGTTGAGTCCCTGTTTCTCAGACCAGCTTCACACCAACTAGAGTCCGTAAGCTGTTCCTAATTCATCTCTAGCCAAGGTGTGAACACTTGGCACAGGGCAAAGACATCCCCGCCCTATTAACCCCTCCCCCCCGTCATGTGTGCAGAAGCAGAAATAAATCTGACACTAACGAAGCTGTGTTGATGTGAAGAGCTGGAGCGGAAAACACTGTGAAACCCATCAGGTGGGGGAAATTTAACAGTGCTGTGCGGTGCTAATTTAGCCACTCTAGTAATCTTTGCACACCTTTTCCTCTGTTCCCTCACCTCCTTCTTATTCTGCCTACTTTGGACATTCATACTGGAACATTATCAAGACAGAGTCCTCTCTGTCTCTTTTTGTTTCGCTTACATTATTCCGCAAAGCGCCATACATTTTGAGTGCATTATTATGTGTAAATTATAAATAACAACAGTCTCACACATACCATCATACGTGAGCGAGGAAACCAACTTTGTTTGAAGCCGCTGGCAGAGCAAAACTGGAAAGAAAACGAAGAAATGATCAGGAAAGGATTGCAGAATCGAGTTCTTCATGTCTTCCATGGTCTCAGAGTGACTCGGGGGCAACCTGCGGTGCTGAACTGTTTAACTACAGGTAGATGCCTCACACACCAGTTGTTATCACACCACCCAGCAAACTCTCCAATTCCTGTGGTTCTGCACACCAAAAGCATCACTGTCAGGGACTGGTCCAAAGAGGAGGGATGGTGAAGTTCGCCCCACCCCGCCCTCCACTTCCCAGAGAAGAGGGAGACAGTATAGATTTAGAACAGTGGTTTGCAGAAGGTCATAGTTCAGAGGCTGCAGAGCGGAGAATCTGGGAAATATTGGGAGGGGAGCAGGAAGAAGAAGAAGCACTAGGGGAAAGACAGCTGACAGACTCAGTGTGTCAAGAAAGCATTCCAGACCCCCCCCCCAGGACCCAGCATGCCTTGAGAGTAGTAGAACAGAAAGCTCAGAGGCAGAAAGTACAGATCAGCAGGCTCAGGGGTGATGTAAAATAGGAGGGACTGAGGGGGTGGGACTTTACTTGGAGCAACGCCATCATCTAAGAGAGACTGCATTCCTTTCTCTCTCTCTGTGAATACTGAATAAATTACTTGGTAAGAACTCTTCTTGTTTATCTGCTTCTTGGCATCCCACTTGACAATCATTTTCTCACTCCGTTGCAGGGTGAATTGGCTCATGGGCAACCTGCTGGAAGCTTCATGCTACTAGTGGAAGGGGAGCTGATAGTCCTGACCATTTAAAAATGAGAGAGCTGCTCTCTAGATCATCAAGAGGGCAGAGACTGTGGAACCTCCAAGGTGCTGGACTATAAGTCCCATCATGCTGTCTGGGGCTGAAAGGAGTTGGAGTCCAACAACTGGAGGGCCGTAGGTTCCCCATCCTGGCTCAAGATGCTTTCACATTCTTTGTGGAAGCTACACCCGTCTCAATCTGTACAGACAACTCTTTTCACTCACCCAGTTCTTCATCGTAGGTTTGGAGCTTCTCAACCACGTAGGCCAGCACTGTGCCCCGGGGGATCAGCATTGCCTTCTTCTTCACTGTTGTGCTCAGGCCCTGTGTGCAGACAGTTGTTGTTTTTGTGGTTATTATTATTATTATTATTATTATTATTATTTCAATTTGTATACTGCCCTTCATCTGAAGATCAAAGGGCAATAAAAATACAAAATGAGAACACAATTGTCATAGCAACAACCACAACAAACCAATAACCCCCCCCCCAAACACATATAAAAGGCCATAGTTTGATTGTTTAATCAGCCAATTACCTGGTAACAACAACAACATTTTGTTTGTTTGTTTGTTTCCCACCCATCTGACTGGGTTACCCCAGCCCCTCTGGGCAGCTTCCAACTAAAAATAAAGGGACAAAACAACACATCAAATATTAAAAGTTTCCCCAAACAGGGCTGCCTTCAGAGGTCTACGAAAAAACATCTGACAGAAGGGCGTTTGACAGGATGGGTGCAACTACCTAGAGACACTTTGTTGCCTGGCATCTAAAGACCTGCAATGAAGGCACCAGGCAAGCTTCCCTGGGGAGAGCATTCCACAGACAGGGAGCCACCACAGAAATGTGGGTTGTGGGAGACAGAGAGAAAGAGAAGAGGGAGAAACCACAAAGCTAAAGGCCACAAACCTGTATCGTCAATATTTCCGCTGCTGTCACCGTTCCCTTGCCACCTGCTTGGACAGTCTGCTCAATCAGAAGCGGCTCCATTATCTCGAAAGCCTCCGTCACAACGTAGAAATGCAGCTTAGGGTAGAGTTGCTGGAGAAGGCTGAGGGATGGCACCATTTTCCTGAAAGCAACGGGGAGGTACGTTGCAATGGCTCCTAAGCATTCAGGGTTCTTGCTGAGTGAGGAAAGAACCGGGGGGCTTCTGCGCCCCTCGTGAGGGCCACTCTGGGAAGGGCTACAGAGCAGAATGTTCCCAGCAATGTGGCACTTTCCCAGACCCCACACCCGGATCCTGGCCAAGACAATTTGCTTGCTGAGGCAAAGGACAACATGGTGTGTCTCCCTGCCCGCTTTCCATGTGACCTTCCTGACAGTTTCACTTCAAGACTAAAAGCATCATCTTAATGTGCATGCCTCCACCCCAGCTGCCCAGTCCACAACTGCACAATATTTGTTCTACCCCAGGCACCGGCAACCCCCGCTACACCACTGCTACCCAGATGCTCAGAAAGTTGAGGTCATTGTAATCTGTTTTAGTATTTTAATTTTTGCATGCTTTAAAGGAGGGTTGTAATTTTTTTTCCATGGTTTTATTATTTCCCCTTTCTGTATACTGTTTTGATGGTTGGTTTTGCGTGTGTGTGCGTGCATGTGTGTTTTACAATCAAGCAATGTATAAATTTTATGAAATGAATAAATGGCTAGCCTCCTGGAAAGTGAGGAGAGTGAGCATTCCAGAGACAAGGCAAGGATTGTAGCAGATTCTGCAAGGAGTGCATAACTCAAGTCCCAGCTCAAGGAATCCTAACTCAAGGCTGCTTTCTTTCTTCTATCTTTGACTGCCCTCTAATGGAAACTGTTGGGGCTGCAGTTAAGTCTTAAGCCCTCTTAGCAAAAACGGATTCTATTTGTACTGTGTTGCTGTTGCAGCTTTTGCTTGTTCCTGTCCACATAGGAACTTTCATCTTGTTTGCTTTCACCTTGCTTTGCCATTTAATGTTGGGTATGCCAGGTTGCAGTGAGAAATGGTGCTTTAGAGGAGCTCCATAGTGCTAGCTGCCCTCATAAGGACTGCCAGGCTATTCCTATTCTCTGATCCTTCCTGTTCAGAGGGAGTCTGGTACAGTCATGGCGGGAAAAGTTTCACTGAAAGACAGTTTAGAAGACGGTGCCCAACACCCACTGCATATTTGGTGCACATTTAAAGCACATGGCAATCCCCCCAATAACTCCTGGGAACTGTAGTTTGCTATGGGTGCTGGGAACTGTAGCTCTATGAACTACAGTTCCCAAGGTTCTTTGCAGGGGCGATGTGCTTTAAATGCACAGTGTGGATGTGAGAATGGATGTGGGCCTGATCCATTTCTCTGTCCTACTCTGCAGCTCTTGGTGACACCCAAAGTCAGCTTCCTGGAGCAGCTCCAGTCTCCTTTTGCATTATGGTAGGGTTGACTGCAGTGCAAGAGAAGGCTCTCCATTTGCATAAACCAAAAAAGGCAATGGCCAACAAGCCTGGTCAGCTTCTCCCCTTCCCAAGCACCCTGCAAAGCCATGCTCACCACAGCTCCCTGGTGTCCACATAGGTTTTCCTCACAGCTACCAGAGAGGAAGACAAGCAGGCCGAGCCCAAGCCGCCGATATCCACTGCGGCAGTCTGTATCTTGAGGTTCAGTTTTGCTCCAGATTTGTGGCAGATGTTTGCAGAGAACAGAAGTGGTTCAGAGTGTTTCAGTTCTGGGGAAAGCACAACGAAACCCCACATTCAAAACACTTCGGTCAGATTCATTTCTTTAACCACCACATTCCACTCCTGATGATTCTCAAAGAGGTTCACAATAATCAAATCATATGTACAGGCAGATGCTATCGCCCTTCTTCTAATTACAGAGCCAGAACAGCAGGTTCTCTCGGCGGCATTAAACTATTATATTTTGTGGCTCCTGCCTCTGCTTCCTTGAAAGGGATCTGTATGTTACGACCAAACCCATTGGGTTTATGCAATCCATCCTCCCATTCTCTCCCCTCCTAGTGCACTTTGTTTCCTTCCTTACTGGAAGAAGTTGCTTGGCAGGAGGGTGGAGCAGCTAGGTGTGCTACCTTCCCAGCAAGTGGGTCTTTGTTGCTTACCGGAATAGATATGGGGAGGAGTGATCTGCGGGGGGCAAGGTTAACATAGATCCTTTCTGCTCCCTGATGCCAAATACCTATGGTTTGCCATTATGTCTGAATTGGACAAACTATCTGTTGTGCATTCAGTGGTCTGTGTTTGCCTGAGCCTGGACTAAGGATTCTGAGCCCCTGTGTTCTGATTCGATACGTGATATCCAATCCCAAAACATTTCAGGTTTTGGGCCTCTGCCATTGGCCCTTAAACTCTGAGTTATGATTCGCAGCTTGGAAGTTTAGACAGCCAATCGCGTTGAGAATGGGAGTGGTCCAGGCCCTCAGAAATTTATATAAGCAGTTGCTTTGCCCCTGTTGTCCAGTTCTGTTAATTCAGTAAATGTTATCACTTGTGTCTTGCCTCGTGGGAACCCACCTACACTTCACTATTGTTACTACAAACCACTTTCCATGCAAACCAGAACTGGCATCCATAGTTCATATTGAGTATGTGAGTTTGAAGCATGGCCCGCTGAAGAGCTAAACCGCAAATCCAAACACCTTAAATATCTTTTGCCGCATTCCAAACACCCAGTGGCGTAGCGTGGGTTGTCAGCACCCGGGGCAAGGCAAGTAATTTGCGCCCCCTAACCCGTGGATTTGCGCCCCCTAACCCCCAGATGTTGCGCCCGGTGCAGCCGGCCCCCCCTGCACCCCCCATGCTACACCACTGCAAACACCCCAGCCATGAAATTCCAATGTCCATGGAGGGCTACTTCAAATGTATGTGCATGGAAGTGGGAACACCTTCAAACGAGGCACATACAACTTTCTGGCCTAAACCCCAAACGGAGCCTACATAAGCCATGCATAAGCAAATAGCAAATCATCATTGCCTGTCTGGGACAAGAGCCTCTCCAGCTCTATGAGCCAGTGTTGTGTAGTGGTTAAGAGCGGTAGGCTCGTAATCTGGTGAACAGGGTTCGCATCTTACTGTATTACAGTAATTTAAAAATTTTTTGGAAGCCGCCCAGAGTGGCTGGGGAAGCCCAACCAGATGGGCAGGGTATAAATAATAATAATAATAAATAATAATAATAATTATTATTATTATTATTATCATTATCATTATCATTATCATTATCATCATCATCATCATCTCCGCTCCTCCACATGCAGCTGCTGGGTGACCTTGGGCCAGTCACACTTCTCTGAAGTCTCTCAGCCCCACTCACCTCACAGAGTGTTTGTTGTGGGGGAGGAAGGGAAAGGAGAATGTTAGCCGCTTTGAGACTCCTTCGGGTAGTGATAAAGCGGGATATCAAATCCAAACTCCTCCTCTTCTTCTTCTCCTTCTCCTTCTTCTTCTTCTTCTTCTTCTTCTTCTATGATGCTCTGATTTGGCTTCACTTCTAGATCCCATTCCTGGGTTGCCCGTCGCAGTTGTTAAACAGAAAAAAACATCTCCCCTAATCTTTGGTATGCACCCTGGTCTGCACATGGTTTCTAGTAAGCCACTGTATTGCTCCTGGCCCCACGGACCCTAACAGATGCCTACTAAATTATACGAAAAACAACATACCTATTTCCACCTCTGCTCCTTTCTCAAGCACATCCGCCAGCTTGAAAGGGCTTGGGGAATACTTCCGCGTATTCCAAGGAAACCTGGATTGCTCTTTAGTCACCAGAGAGAGAGGCTGGAAGCTATCGGTGAGTACCTGGCTAGTCACAGGTATCAGCCTCCTGTCTGAGCCCAGCTCTTTTATAAGCTGCTTGGTCAGCCGCTTAAACATTTTTTTATCCCCACAGATTGGAAGACGCTGAGACACAACAGCAGGAAGACAGTAAGGCAGCTTACAACCTGTGAGGAAGGAACGGAATTATTTTATTTTTATTAAAACAGGATAGCCAGTGTGGTAAAGTAGTTTGAGTGTTGTATTACGACCTGGGAGGCTAAGGTGCAAGTCGGTGACTATGGCCCAATCATTGTCTCTCCCTTCAGCCTACCTCACAGGATAGTTGTGAGGGTGAGAATTGTGAGGGTAATATCTGCAGTATACATTAAAAACCCATGGCTCCCCCCCCCCCAAGAATCCCAGGAACTGTAGTTTACCCCTCACAGAGCCACAATTCCCAGTCCCCTTAGCAAACTATAGTTCCCAGGATTCTTTGAGGAAAACCAAATGCACAGTGTGAATATGACTGCTGTCCCATCCCCATGGTTGAAGTAAGCGTCAACTGCCATGGGGGGGCACCATTTTGTTTTTTTGCCTCACGCAGCAAAATATTTTAGGCTGGCCCTGGTGCTGTAATACCTGCAACTTTTCAATTCTCAGGGCACATCTGGTTCTTGAGCACTCCTCAAATTGCAGCCCCAAGCTAGTATTTGAAGTTGACTGTGGAACTGGGCAGTGCGTTAGGCCTCAGGCTTTCAGAAAAAGAGTGAGAGAACGCTCTCCCAAACAACATTTACAAACCATTTTGAAGCATTAAAAAAGGCTGTGTTCTGAGGCCCAGGTTGCATGCAAAGTGGTTTTCCTCCCAGTATTGTTTTTTCCCCCCTGCTAACTTTGAAGGAGTTTTAGTTGAAGAAAACCACTTCCCTAAACGTGTGGTGATCACCTCACTTGCACATGCTGCCAGTGGTGAAATCTAAGGCTGGCAAAGTACTGAAGTGTTGCTGTTGTTTTATAGGCTGCCGTCCTGCTTGTAATTAAGTGATCGCTCAACTGGTCTTTATTTATTTACAATATGTATACCCGTATACTGCCTTTCATTATCAAACTCCAGGGCAGGTTACAGAACACATTAAAGCAGTAATAAATTTAAACCGTAAATACAGCAAGCCACAACAGAAAAAAATAGAAAGCATAGTGCTAAGAGCTGAGTATGAATATCAGCAAATGATAAATAACTAAGGGCTTATCCACACTTACTGTGCTTTAACTTTCTGTGTCCAAACAGTTGCCCCTCCCCAAAAAAGCTTTCCTTTCAAAAACCTGCTCTTTAAAGCTGAATTGGAGCAAACATCAATTTGGGTTTTCTGCGGACTGACATTTGTTCCGATTGAGCTTTAAAGGGTGGGTTTTCAGGGGGAAAGCTCTGGAACAAAAAGAAAAGGGGGGGGTTAACAATCCAGTTAGAAATTACTTTAGACAGTGAGAGGAAGTGAAGGAAACACAGAATGGAGGCCAAAAAAAGAAGAATGAAAAACAAGGAGAAGGAGGAGGATGAAGAGAAGGAGAAGAAAAAGAAGGGAGAAGGAGAGGGAGGAGGAAAAGGAGGAGATAAAAAAATGAAAGGGGGTTCTATATTCCTCATTGTGATTGAAAGCAGATTCTGTGTCTGGAAACGTTGAAGGTGGAAGAGAGAGGGAAATCCCTAAAAGGAGAGTCAGCAGAAAAAATTGAAAAGAGCCAGCCCTACTATTAGGTAGAGGGAACCAGTGGGTGCCTCACACCCTGTCCTTTTCCCCACTGAGCTCTCCTGCTGCCTTGAAGTGCAGTGAAGGATGCTGCCCCATCATCCCCACTGTTGAATTACACTTCACCTTCTGTCAGGTTGGCTTCAGTACAAGGAAAGGAGCAGGCGCCATCTTGGCCTTTGCTTCAGGCAGCCAAATATGGGGCCAGCCCTGACCACCAGGCCACTGACAGGTGACAGCGCAGAGAAGCATTTGTCAATTAAGAAAGGGTGTGGTTTTTCTTTCAAGCTGTCCATGTGCTACAAAATGCGTACAGGCAACAGGGTTACAAAAATCTGCCTGGGCTGGTCCTGTTTATAGGCTGATGTAAACACTAATACAGGGACGCGGGTGGCGCTGTGGGTTAAACCACAGAGTCTAGGGCTTGCCGATCAGAAGGGCGGTGGTTTGAATCCCCACGATGGGGTGAGCTCCCATTGCTCGGTCCCTGCTCCTGCCAACCTAGCAGTTCGAAAGCACGTCAAAGTGCAAGTAGATAAATAGGTACGGCTCCGGCGGGAAGGTAAACGGTGTTTCCGTGCGCTGCTCTGGTTCCCCAGAAGCGGCTTAGTCATGCTGGCCACATGACCCGGAAGCTGTACGCCAGCTCCCTCGGCCAATAAAGCAACCCCAGAGTCGGCCACGACTGGACCTAATGGTCAGAGGTACCTTTACCTTTAAACACTAATACAGTGGTACCTTGGGTTACAGATGCTTCAGGTTACACACTCCGCTAACCCAGATATAGTACCTCGGGTTAAGAACTGTACCTCAGGATGAGAACAGAAATCGTGTGCCAGCGGTGCGGCAGCAGCAGGAGGCCCCATTAGCTAAAGTGGTACCTCAGGTTAAGAACAGTTTCAGGTTAAGAACAGACCTCCAGAACGAATTAAATTCTTAACCCGAGATACCACTGTAAGATAAAGGCTGATTTGGAAGAAAGCACATGAAATTCACAAGGAAAGTAGTCAGCTTGCCCACCCTGCCCGATGGGCTAACTTGCCTTTAACAGTCCCATCAGTCAGAGAAATTCAACAGGTGTAGCTTTCCTTGTTACATTTCTGCCCGTCAGGTAACTCTGGCAGATGCACGAGCGCCGTCAATGAGAGAAAAGAGGAGTCTTGGCCCCAAGAGACACCATGAATTTGTTCAGTTCAGCTGCCTTTTGAGTTTTTTTCTTTCTTACTTACTTTTTTAATGCTTTAAAAATGACAGGCTAAAATGACACTCCTGCCAGCTTCACATTAAAAGCAAAAATGTGTGACTTGGCATGGGGGAATAAGGTTGGAAGTTAAAAGAGAGAGAGGGACCAGAATGAAAATACACAATTACTGACGTTTTAAAATGTTCTTTCAAACCGAGAGTGGTGAGGTAAGCTGGGAACGAGGATTGGATTGTTCTTGTTAAAAGTTTCATTTATTCAATGCACAGAGAAGCAAAAGGAAAAGGGGGAGGGAAACACCAAGGTATTTGCTAAAGATTTCCTGAGTTGCTGGATTATATCACATCAATAACTTTGTAATTAGTAATGATTTGTGTTCAACATTTTTAGAGGTGCAAAGAACCTATCTTAGTTTCGCTTCCAGCTACCTGTGCTCCTTCCGGCTGTAAAAGTGAGGTGGGAGATTCTGGGATGTCATGAAGACATCGAAACAGAATTTCTTGGTTTCTTTCAGAAAATAGTTTTTGACTTACCTGAATCCTGAAGCCTTCAGGTTTCTTCTTTTAAAAAGGGGGGGTTTCCTTGGTTGACAAGAATAACTCTGGATTCAGCAAGGTCAGCTGCAAGTTTCCTTCTCATGAGCTTGCCAACAACACTCTTAAAGGAATTGTGAAGTGAACTGCTGGACGCTTCATTTTCTGCTAATAAAGGGAAGTTGGGTATCCTCTTTTTAACCCTCCTTATGAGTCACACAAACCACTAGGTATTGGCATGTTCAACTGGCTAGAGAGCAGGTGAGTGATCAGTTGAGGTGAGAGGGTTCACATGTGCCACGACCTGCCTTGAAGTCGTGCCCTTTTACCTGTAGACAGAAATCCCAAACAAGTGAGGTAGAACTTAGGGGTCTTCTGTAGTGACAGGAAAAACACTCTGCACATTCTCGGTAAAACTTAATTTCTTTATCATTGATTCGGTTGCCCTAGGGTTTAGCGCTGGCAATAAACAGAGTGGGTTCGAATTAAAATGTCAAGAACCAGCGTGGGGAAATGGGTAACAGAGAGAACCCTACACAATTATTCCTGATTATTACAACCGCTACTAGTACAAAATGTGGCAGAGTGGCTATGCTCTGTTCCAGACCCTCCAAGTATCCCTATTTTCCAGGGACTGTCCCGGATTTACAGAAGCTGTCCCCATTTCTGATTTGATCCCGGAAAGTCCCACTTTTTCTTAGAACGTCCCTATTTTCGTCAGAGAAATGTTGGAGGGTGTGGAGTTATGTAACCCCCAAAACAAAACTATACCACCTTTAGAAGACAACTGAAGGCAGCCCTGTACAGGGAAGTTGTTTAATCTTTAATTCTTTATTATGTTATTATATATGTTGGAAGCCATCCAGAGTGGCTGGGGCAACCCAGTCAGGTGGGCAGGATGTTGTTGTTGTTGTTGTTGTTGTTGTTAAATAGGGCATCCCTATTTTCATCAGAGAAATGATGATTTCGTTCCACTGATTCCTCCCAGTGGTCAGTCAGCATTCTGAACCATAGAATTTTATTTTATTTTGTATAATTTTTCTTAAATTTTGTTTTACATTTTTGAATATTCAATATTTAACATCCTTAAAATATCAATGATTTCCCTTCTTCTCTTTCCATGGATCATTTTGCAAAACATAAACCCCTGCATATTTTATAGAAACTAAACCATTCAGTATTCCATTATTACATCCATCAAAACTCATTTACACTGTTGAATTTATCTTAATGCTGCCCACGTTTTCAAATATACACAGTCCCCCCCCCCATATATTCAATAAACGTTTTCCAATCTTCTTTAAAGTTGTGTTCTTCTCGTTCTCTTATTCTATATGTTAGGTCCGCAAGCTGCGCATATTCCATCAGTTTAAGTTGCCATTCTTCTTTGGTTGGGACTGAATCATAGAATTTTAGAGCTGGAAGGGACCACAGGGGTCAGCTAGCCCAACCTCCTGCAGTGCAGGAATATTTTTGCCCAACATGGGACTTGAACCCACAACCTCTCTTTTTGTAATTTAGTGATTTATTGCAATTTAAAGAAAGTTGGCATTTGAAATTTAACAAAAACGTCCAGAACTCCTTTTTAAAAAAGAACAACACAATCCCACACAGCATAAATCAGTGGACTCCCAT